GGTTTGAGGGGTTAGGGTGGGAAGGGAATGGAATGGAATCGGTAATGGGACGGGATGGGGGGATTTGAAATGGATTGGATGGATGGGTTGGGATGGATGGATGGAAAATGATAGTGATAGGGTTTAAGTTAAAACTACCTCTACTTAATGAAATTAAATGATATATGTAAAACTTTATTTAATTTATTTATGTATGCGCGCTTCTTTTTAGTGGAGGTGGTTAGTGGTGGTGATGGTGATATTGGCGATGGTGTTGATAATGATAATAATGAAGAATCTACAACTTTTATTGGTTTAAATATCTAGTCACTTGTCGCTTATTGTGTATATGACAAGATTGTATATAAAGAATAGAAAAATGTCAGATATAAAATAATTAGACTTAAGGATAAGATTACTTATCTAGTTATCTATAATATACAAAAGTATACTGTAACGATACTGTACCGGAGGCAGCGGCTGCCTGAGGTTTCGTCTGATTGGTAGTTGTGGGTTAAGGCTTTATCACTAGTCTTCACTTGGAAGTGAAGTCGTTACTAGATCAAGTAGAATGTAGGTAAACTAATTGATAACTAAGTTGAGCACGAAGCTCCTAAACTATGAAACTACTCTGACTATATACTGAACAATAAAGGGGGCCCCTAGGAGCTTTCTGGCTCCTCAAGACTCCTTATCACGCGATTTCTGATGGTGCGTGCGCATACGATCTTCAGGTGACCAAGATCACATACTAATTCGATGAAATCTGATCGTGTTTGCACACGGCCTAAGCTCTCCTAATTAATCAGTTTGCTACCATCGTAACACCATCAATCCTAATGGTGAATCGTGACATATACGAATTCAAATCCTGTAAGATTAATATTAATTAAAAGATGAGTTTTAATAAAAAGTATTTCATCCAGAGTATTAAATTGTTACGAGGTTTGCCGTCTAGATCACGTGGAAGTGCTCTAGGCTCTCGAGGTGGTTTATAACTAGGCGTCAAGCAGGGACTTAAAGTAATGACAATAATGCAATTCGTAACTAATAGTAGAGTATACTAAATGATTGATCTTGAGCACGAAGCTCTATACAAAAGAAATCCATCTTGATTATATAGTCCTTCGTGCCTATGGTTAACTAGGAATCGTCGTTCCTGGGAACGAGCGTTCCTGGTTGTTCCTAGGAACGTTCGTTCCCCACCGTTCCATCACATGTTTTATGGTCATATGACATACTAATCGTTTTGGACGTAACACCATCCCCTTCTTAGCTTAGCGTTCGTCCCTGAGCGCTTATAACTAATCTTGTATACTCTGCATTTGAAAATTATCGGAACCCTTCTGGTCTTATTTCTGTACTATACCTACTTTTCCTATTACTACAGCTCGTCGAAAGTGTAAGGAAGTAATCCGTCTGGCTCAATCAATTGAACAGAGTGGTGTGGAGATGATTCCTTGCAACTTTTGTCGTGAGAATGAGCTTCGCTGTGTAAAGGATCTAAGTAATTCTGAGCGAACACGTTGTTCTGAGTGTATGCGGGCTCGTCGTTCTTGTGATGCCGAGTTTGCTTTATCTGATGACTGGGATAGAGAGGTTCCTCGCGAAGGTGATTGGGAAGCTCTTGATCGACATGAGGAGAAGTTAGATCGAGAGGAGGAGGCAACCATGTCGAAGTTACTCCGTCTGCGAAAACAAAGGAAATTTATAAAAGAGCGTCGCAAACGCATGGCTGATAGAGGTCTTAAGTACCTGGATGAGCTTGATGCTTTGGAAGAGAGAGAGAAATTGGAGAATGAACGTGTGGAAAGAGAGAAGGAACAAGCAGGTACTGGTTCGTCAATGCCTGTTGCGGTTAATTCGAATGTGTTGGATAATTTCGATCCTTCTTCTTTCCTGAGTCTCTCAGAACCCTTTTCGTTTCAGAATTCTTCGGGTCCTTTTTGGGGAGATCCGGATAGCGTTGGTGAAATGCCTCCAACTTCTCAGGGCAGCTAAGATCTTTCTTGAGCTCCCAAGTGTTTTCTGAATATGGGTAATCCAACCATTTGATCAGATATTTGATCTTGCCTCTGATATATTTATAATCTAGTATAATTTCAACATCGTATATGGCGTCTGGATTGACTGGTTCGATTTCCGTTATGGGCGCATCGGGCGCTTCTGTTGGTGCTGGTTCGAGCAAGGATATATGGAATACTGGGTGAATATTCATGGTGTGTAGTAGTTTTAATCTGTAGTTGATTGGTCCGACTATCTTATCGATTTTGAATGGTCTTAGTTTCTTGTGATCTAGTTTATCGTTTGGTCGTTTTGTTTGTATGTTTCTTCGAATGAGATAAACTTTATCCCTCTCTTTAAGTGTAGGTCCCATACTACGTAATTCGTTGTAGTACAACGCTGTTCTTAGAGCGATGAACTATAAATCCAAAGAAAGTTGTGCTTGTAGTTCCTTGATTTCCGTGATATCTTTTATAGCTTCGTCTGCATTCGTATCTTGTAGCAATAGTGATTTGTATGCTAATAGATTGAACCTAAAGTTAGCATAAGCTGGCATCACTTTTGTTGTTTTTGTTTTTAATGTATTATATGCGAATTATATCAAGGGTAATAGTTTAACCCAATTGTCTTGTTTGTAATTGATATAGCAGCGAAGATAGGCTTCTATCGTTTGGTTCAATCGTTCTATTTGGCCATCTGTTTGTGGATGAAAGGCTATGGAGAGCTTTCTCTTGATTCCAAGCAGTACTATAAGGATAGACCAAAATTTCGATGTGAATAGCTTGTCCCTATCTGAGATAATCTCATCTGGTATATTGTGAATGCTAACTATATTCCGCATGAATATATAAGCAAGGTCATCTGCTGTCCAAGTTTCACAGAATGGTATTATATAAGCAAACTTGGTTAGTTTGTCCGTTATTACCAAGATGGAGTCGTACTCCTTCTGGGTGACTGGGTCTTTGGATAATGATAGTTTTACTACAAAATCCCAAGCAATGGACTTCCATGGTTGAGTAGGTAGTTCGGGGGTCTTGAGCTGGCTATAAGGTGTGTGCTGGGCGGCTTTATTTCTTATGTAGGTATTGCAGTTCTCAACTACGTTCTCAACTATAGTCCTCATCTTTGGAAAGTAGACTTTTTTCCTTATTCTGGCAAAGGTTCTTGCAATACCTTGATGCCTGTGAGCTGGGAGCTCATATTGTTTTATGACATAATCCTTAGCTAGATTGGAGGGTATATAAAGCTTGCTATAAAAATGGATGAATCCATCTTCGATGGTGAATTCTCTTTCTGGATTGTCTGGTATAGCTAGGATTCTCTTAGCTGTAGTATCTGTTGAGTATTCTGTCTTTATGATATCTTTGATAGTATCATAATTTATTCCTGATGTAGCAGCAAGTTGTGGTTTGTTGTGAACTAAAGTGTCGCCATCCTGCTTTAGTATTGTATGTGATTCGTGTGTTTTGTTTTGTAAGTATTCTGGTTTTCGGTTGAGAGTATCTGCTCTAGCATTTTCGTTTCCTTTGACATATGAAATTCTGAAGTTGTAGGCGGCCATGATTTCCGACCAACGGACCTGCCATCTGTTTAATTCCTTCGTTGTAGTGAAGTAAACCAAGTTCTTGTGATCTGTATACACCTGCACTGTGTATTTTGATCCTTTCAAGTACACTCTCCATTCCCTAAAAGCATCTACTATCGCTAGTAATTCCTTGTCGTATATCTTATAATTTAGTTTGGCTAACGATAGCTTGCAGAAATGGTAAGCGACTGATTGCTATTTCTCATTCGAGCCAGATTGACTCAACATTGCTCCTATTGTATAGTCTGAGGAGTCTGTTTCCACAATTATTGGTAATTCTGGATCAAATGCTCTGAGGACTAATTCTTCTGCGAATGCTTCCTTGAAGCGTTCGAATGCTTCTTGTGCTGTTTCTGTCCATCGGAATTCCCCTTGACTCTTCTTAATGATCTCGGTCATTGGAGCGGCTATCTTTGAATAGTTCTTAATGAATCGTCGGTAAAAGTTGGCGAACCCCAGGAAGGATTGTACTTCCTTCACGTTGGTTGGGGGTTCCCATTCTATAACTGCTTTTACCTTGTTAGGACTTATCTTGAGACCTCCGGAGAATATGGTATAGCCTAGGAATTCCGTTTCTGTGATGTGAAATTCACACTTGCTGGGTTTGCATTGGAGGTCTGCCTCCTTCAGTTATTGCAGAACCTTATAAATGTCTTTAATATGTTGTTCTTTCGTTTCCGAGAATACCAAAATATCATCTAGATAACATATATAATATATATCTAGATACTTCCTTAATACATTATTGATCAAGTGTATACATGTTGCTGATGCGTTTGTTAATCCGAATGGCATAACCTGATACTCGTATAATCCGTATCGAGTTCTGAATACTGTTTTCCATTCTTCACCTTCCTTCATTCTGATGAGGTGAAATCCGTTTCGTAGATCAAACTTGAAGAAAATTTTAGCTTTTCCTAATCGATCCCTCAGTTCCGTAGCTAAGGAAAATGGGTACCGATCTTTGATTGTTATATCATTGAGTTTGCGATAACCTATATATAATCTATCTATATCATCCTTCTTTGGTACAAATAGTATAGGGCTAGCTGTTTATGAGGTTGATTCTCTGATCCATCCCTTTTTTAATACATCGCCAATATAATCCCTAAGCGTCCTTAGGTTAGAGGCTGATATTGGATAGATTGGTCCAAATGGAGACATCTTGCCTTCCTCCAATACTATCTCGTGATCCCATGGCTTGTATTCTGATAAAGCTTTATAGCCTTTTCTTTCTTCGAATAGTTTCTTGTACTTCTGGTACTGTACCGGTATTGGCGTCTCGTCCTGTTTCTCTATAGAGGTGGTTTCAAGCAACTTCTTCTGCTCGTTCTTCATTTGTACAGGAGGTTCATCTTCCTTCATTGTTAATGAAGGACCCTGGACTGGGCGTCCTACATCAGTGGTACTGTTCGCCTTCAATTTTCCACCGTGTATATTCAGCCTCGCAGGCTCTAGCGTATCTCGTTGATCGCTTCTCCTCGGAAATGATATGGTTTCCGATGACCAATCAATCTGGGGGTTGTGTGCTTTCAACTATGGCATCCCCAGAATGATCTGTTGATTCCCTAGTGGAACAACATCGAATTGGATAACCTCCTTGTGCTGGGTTATACTCATCCGCAAAGGGTGAGTCTCCTGCAAAATCTTTCCGTCCAATCCGGCTAATTGTCCATCAACTAGCTGCAATTGATATAGGGTTCGTTTCGCCTGAAGCTGTACTCCCAAATGCTTCACAGTTCCTGGTGCAATAAAATTTCCCGTGGCCCCTGAATCAATCATGGCCCGGATTACTCGTCCATTTATCTTCGCATTGCAGTAAATCTGTCCTGCCTGACCTGCGATATTTAATTGTCCTTGACCCAAAACCTTGTTGTGGTCAATTTGGTCGATTTGGTCGATTTGGTCAATTTGGTCGATTTTGTGTAACTGACCATTTAAATGATCATGTGACGATAATTTTTTCGACCTTCCCTTCTTGTAGGGTCTTTTTGCTTTTCTTTGAGGAAACCATCCTGTGGCTTCCTTATCTGATAGGTGAATTCTACAGGATTCATCATAGCAAGCTATTCAGCTCATTATCGTATGTTCTATTGACGGTATTTCTTTCGGATCTTCTTTGATAAAAGGAAATGAAGGGGTTCGTAGACACTCCAATTCATATCGATCTATAGTGTTCAACTGTTGACCTGAAGAATGATTATATGAACCCAATTAACCACTCCTCAAGAGTGGCGTCACTTTTGGGCAACAGTTATGAGCCCGGTTTGCGGTCCCATGGTCCAGTGGTATCATTTATAATTTCCACTACCAGCGCAACTTGCAATCATCATATTCTTCAGTAAAAAGTTACATTATCGATTATATCGCATCCAATGAGAGTTACTCCTAAAAACTCCAAGCGAGCGATCCCCATGCACCTCGACGGAACAAGCCTCTGAAGAGGGGTAGAGCCAATCAGATGCTCTCAGAACCCTACTCTTGCATACATGCCCCAGAGTCTAGAAAAAATGTTAGACAGTAAAAGGCAGAGGACTATGTTATCCGGCCAATCAACTCAGATCGGATCAGCCAATCATATCCAGGAATAGCCTCAAAAAAATAATGGCATATCCTGATTCGGCAATCCCTGAGGGGGAGTGTTGACCTGAAGAATGATTATATGAACCCAATTAACCACTCCTCAAGAGTGGCGTCACTTTTGGGCAACATCAACCCTTCCTGGTCTTGTAGTATTGCATCAATTTCCTTTTGACGTTCTTTACGTTCGTAACTATCGTCTTCGATTGGATATGAAGCGTATAGTTGGGGTACAAAGGTAGCATTGAGTTGACCTTTGCCGAACTTCTTGTGATAACCTCCTCCTGATGATCTCTTGCTTCGACAATCCCTGGCCCGATGGCCTGGTTTGCCACATTCGAAGCATAGCTTATCCTTGCATCTGCGTTCTACCTCTTCCTTAAATAATTTGTTCTTAAACGTTGCATCCAATTGCATTGATTCTCTATAAGATTATCTGTTTACTCGAGATCTTCCTTCATTCTTGTGGTACTTACCACGATCTCGGTTTCCATAGACATTGGAAGATCAGCGTTCCTTCTGATACTCGTAAAGCATCTCATCCGCCTTAATAGATTCCTCGATTAATTTGTTTAGGTCTTCCCAAATGCAATTGCGATCCAGTTCTAGCCTGACCTCAAACTTGAGCCCTTTTCGGTAATGGTTCATCGTCGCGTTCTCTTCCCATCCAATGGTACCTATATACCTCCTGAATTCCACAATGTACTTGACTGCTGACCCTGTTTGCTTGAGGCTATAGATCTTGGACTCAGCGTCACATAATTCATTGATGTTCCCGAATACTCATCATATCTCTCTCTTAAACCCTTCGAATCTCCCAAAGATAGCTTGAATTAAATACATTCGCTTCTTAGACTCGCTCAAATTGATGAAATAATCCTTGAGGTATAATTGGATCCACTTAGCAGCTTCTCCTCTGAGGTAGAAGGCAGTCCAGACACTTTTATCGGTATTATGATTGAACTTATCCTGATTGAATTGGAAGTAGATCTCAAATTGAAATAAGAAGATTTCTAGCTCTTATCGATTGCCTATGAATCGATCTGGTAGGGCAACTTTAAGAATCTCGGTGACGGTAATCTCCTTGGGGTCTTCGATACCTCCCATAGCGATGTCTCCGTCCTTATCGGTACTTTCGGGAGTGGCCTGGCTAATCGTAGCGGGATCGCTGAGCTATGGTATCTTGGAAGACATAGTATCGTTACTTATCGAATCGGTACTTGAAGCAGTAATGGTGCTCAAAGTGTTACGAGGTTTACCGTCTAGATCACGTGGAAGTGCTCCAGGCTCTCGAGGTGGTTTATAACTAGGCGTCAAGCAGGGACTTAAAGTAATGACAATAATGCAATTCGTAACTAATAGTAGAGTATACTAAATGATTGATCTTGAGCACGAAGCTCTATACAAAAGAAATCCATCTTGATTATATAGACCTTCATGCCTATGGCTAGTCAGGACCGCGCAGCGGTCCATAACGTGACTTTAATCACGTTACCTTGGTTTAGTCATGTGACGCGGCATAGAAGATAGCCGTGATTGATTGATTGATTGATTGATTGTGTTTATCGTCATAGGCCGTAGGCCCACGCGCCTTGGCGCGTGATAACCTTAGCCATCTATTCCAGTTTTGGACAAATGACGCTCAGAGGAGAAGCCTCTGAGTGGTTTACTAGCTAGCTAGGGGGAGTATTTATATACAATTTAAAGGGGGCTAGGGCAGGGTTTACATGATTGCCTTCGCAGGGGGGGTTTGAGCCGGTAGGCCTTTTGGGGTTGTAATTGTGGTCATCCTCGTCCACTAGATCACTGGCTCTTGATCTCTCTCCCTTCCCCTCATACTATTAAAACATTGTACTCGAAAACCCTTCATCCCTGATCCCCTTCCCGATACCATCAATCCAATTACTCCTTATATACCAGAACGTACTGTAATCGCCCACCGTCAGGATTGCCTCGTCCTCATTCTGATCATCCTGCCAATAGAAAGCTTATGAAGGAGCACCAATCCTCATATAGCGTAACTATAGCATGCACAGGTAGTGGCTTGTACGGGTGTCCCGATTCCGTAAGTAGCATACCTCCGCTGAATGAGAGCAGAGTAAGTTTCGTCATCAGCTCAGGTCCTTCAACAGTACTCCTCCGGTGTTCCCGTATGGAAGGTATATAAATTGTTGTCGTTTCAGTCGTGTCGATCATGGGAGGTATACAGTATATAACATATACGCGTCAAAGATGTCGAGTTGTACTATATGTTCCAGAGGAGTCTCACTTTTAAGAAGTGAGATGATTTCGTGGCGTATTGTCGTAGATGATGGTGTTGTCCTCTGTTTCGTAATAAAGGTAGTGTTGTAGAGAGCGCATTTCGATAATGCAACTGTCAAAAAACCGCAAACGGGTAAAAACGTCGTGATCGGGCGCCTCTTCCTCTTCCAATTACCACGACTCCATCAAATAACTCAAACTTAGCTCTGCAGACTCTCATAAGAGAGCTGGAGGTTCGTAGGATGCACCGCGTACAGGTGTTGAGTCTTCGCATCCCAGAAGATAGCCGTCGTAACATGTAAGTTGTTTTAAACGGGGTTTGAGGGGTGATGTTACACCGGGTAACAAGAAGACGCTCACGTGCTACCAATATCATGTGACTGACTCAGTAAGGATCAGCAAGCTCAGTACTGAGCCATACTGATCCTACTGATCAGCTAGAACACGAAGGTCTATATAATCAAGATGGATTTCCTTTGTATAGAGCTTCGTGCTCAAGATCAATCATTTAGTATACTCTACTATTAGTTACGAATTGCATTATTGTCATTACTTTAAGTCCCTGCTTGACGCCTAGTTATAAACCACCTCGAGAGCCTGGAGCACTTCCACGTGATCTAGACGGCAAACCTCGTAACAGGTGAAAGGAGGAGGATAGGGAAGGGAGAAGAAAAGGAAGGAAGAAGAAGGAGGGAGAAGAGAGAGAGAGAGAGATAAGAAAAATATAAGTTTATTTTATTATTATTATTGTTAAAAGGAATAGAAGTTACCGGTACTAATCACGTGTCGTGATTAGTAATACGGTTACCTAAACAGGCTAGATTAGATGAACCATAAGCAGGCATATTGGTCCCCTCCGAGGATACCAAGAGGAGATCTTAATATGCCTACACACGTAGTAATATAGTCAATATAGAGGCCTCTTCCACCCAATCTTTTAATAATTATAATAAATAGTATTATAAGATCTTATAATCTTATACTACGATGTTACGTCCAAAACGATTAGTATGTCACATGACCATAAAACATGTGATGGAACGGTGAGGAACGAACGTTCCTAGGAACAACCAGGAACGCTCGTTCCCAGGAACGACGATTCCTAGTTAACCATAGGCACGAAGGACTATATAATCAAGATGGATTTCTTTTGTATAGAGCTTCGTGCTCAAGATCAATCATTTAGTATACTCTACTATTAGTTACGAATTGCATATCATTATTGTCATTACTTCAAGTCCCTGCTTGACGCCTAGTTATAAACCTACTTCGAGAGCCTAGAGCACTTCCACGTGATCTAGACGGCAAACCTCGTAACATACGATTTGAGAAACTTAAATATTATATAATATATTTTAATTATGAATATTTATAAATAAAGTATTAAATAGATGCTGATCTGGTATAATTAGTGTATATAATGATACTAGATACTAGATACTATGTTTGATAATGATTAAGCTGATGGCTTTATTATATATGATCAATTAAGATATTGATCTGTGTCCGTTCTTACCTCCCCTTCTCTTTTGCCTCCCCTCTTAACTCCCCTCTTACCTCCCCTTTTACCCCCCCCTACAACTGCACACCAACCCCACCACCGAACCTAGTCTACTCCTCTCCAAACCTCACCAAAAACAACGACACCAAAACAAAACCAAGCGCCATAAACCCCAATCCAGAATTTTCCCACTCAAACCCCAATTTGCTATATGCATACAAGGACAATCCCGCCCCCAGCACCACCATACCCGCAGTATTCCGCACCAAAATCATAACCGCCATCGCCATCGTAGAAACTGCATGTTGCATATATATACAGGATTTGGGACCACGGAATGGATATGTGTGAACGAAGTGAATGACTTCAATTTAATTACTACTGTAATAAAGAACTAAGCGAACGCGAAAGAGACTAGCTCTTTTAGTAAGTCTATATAAGACTTACTACTTTCAATATGTAGCTAGCTCTTTAGACAGAATACAATTAGACATACAGGACCTACGTAATCCGTGGGTGCTACGTCTTCCGTATCCTTCTCGTACCAACAGGATATGATTTTCTGTCCATCCACACCAATGGGCAGGGCCATACCATCGAGAACCATAATAAGTATGCTTAATCTATATTCGGGTTTTATTTCTCCTCCAGCTATGGTTTAGATCACCCATCTATATGTCACCTCCGCGCTGCTCTGGGGGAAACTTATCAGTTATAGCTAGTTAACCTGATTTTCGTAGACTCATCATGTTTTTCCTGATGAATAGGTGAGCCTGCTTTTTTGGTCTCTGCTATTTTAAGTGTAAATTTCTCTGCGACGTTTAGATGTTGGGGTTATTTCCATCGGGTTTGTAGAATCCTCGTGCAACAAGTAGGACTTGAGACTTCAGTTCAACCCTACTAGTTTCCGCGAGAAGGAAATTTAGAATAACACAATCTGTGAACATACCATCTATTTCCAACATACAAATAAAATAAAATAAAAGTATGAAAATACATTTCGCCAAATTCTTTAAACCTATTTGCGCGCTATCTAGAAAAGAAACCCCGATGTTATCAAAGTTATATGAATATAGAATTTTCTCATAAAATTACATGTATCAAACATTACTTACTTATGTTGTATCTACCCAGGCAGGAAAACTAGAACTTTGATATTCCATTTTCAAGATAAGAAATGTCCGTTTTGAGGTATACTATACCAATAGATATTTCATGTCAGACCAACAAGTTCCAACCAGGCCCAACACTTACCAACAATTGCTAATGCTTGTGATGAATATACATGTAAGATGTATTTATCCCCGAAAGATTTGATGATAACCCAATATCAAGAGTAACAGAGATAGATAAAGCAATTCAAATCCGCATAAATCACTACACTAACAGTCACCCAGATCTCAACATCCTAACATTTCACTCCTATCTTCCCCCTCCATACCAACCCAACAACCCCTCCCCCTCAAAAGAATATCTACCTTCCCCATCACCACCGCCACCACCCACGCCAAAATCGACACCACAACCCTCCTCATCCAAAAAGTCCAACCGAACACCCTACCGCCCCTTCGTCTCAATCCAAACTCCACACGCTGATGACCTCCCCACCGCCATCCAACCATCCCAAGAAAATTTTTAGGAAACCCACTCCCGCAATCCCGCCAGTCACTCACTAGATTACCGCGCATCGCCGTGAGAGTGGCGAGTTAGTCTGTGCTGCCATTGGCATATCAATGAGAAAAATGCATTTCCGACGGCTCCGCCTAAGATTGAGGCGACGTGGAAGCCGGGAGGGTGAGAAGAGGGAGTTTGTGAATTTTGTTTTGAGATAGCTTTTTGCCGAGGTGGGTTGATGAGAGGAGCTGTGTAGTATGCTATGTATGCTATGCTATGCTATGTATGTTTATTTTCGAGTCTTGTTTGTACGGTAAGTGAATGAAATTAATCACTGAAATGTTCCAAATAGTTCCCTAATATACTAGCCACTCATCCCTCCTACCATCATCAAGGAGTAGCACGTCTCCTAGTGCAATTTGAAGAAAAAAAAAGCAAAAGAACTCCACCTAGAATACTGGAGCGAGGCAGAAGAAGCAGCTGCACGAGAAGGAGCTCGATTCTTGCTAGAGAGAAACATGGCTGGAGTGGAGACCGTTGCTTAAATATTGTATTTATGGAACCAAGGAAAATATGAGTGAAGAGTGGCAGGAATTATGTCATAAGTGTTTACCGCAGGAACAATATGCGATGGTAGGATTGATGCATTTACTAAATTGATTCTTACTATCTAATCCTGTCTCTTCGTCCTCACATTCCGCTTTTACGTGTCTTCGTATATTCATATGCTTTTTGTTTCTCAAGGAAAACTTTACCCCTTAACTTAACTCCCTCAAAAATCTTGCGTTGATCGATAATACTAACTTCTCGATTGCAGTGGAAACCAAAAAGGGGCGTGTGGACAGATGACGCGGTAATGCCCTGGGATTTAGGGGTAGAGAACTGAGTATGAGGAATGGATTATGCAAAATAGATGATCCTTTTAGAGAGCCCAATGTAACTCTAGAATAATAATCTTCAACACAACCCCGAACCTCCACCCCCACCCCTCTCCCATCAAAACAATCCCAGGGTACCCATCCACTAGGTGATCTAACAATGAAAAGAAAAAAAGATATCTCACACCACCAACTAAAAATCACTTTATCCACATTTTGGTTTTCAAGTATCTAGAGCTAGAGAGATCAAAGAACCCAAGAAACTCCATCTAAACTGTCAATCCGAGAACTGATAAATTTTATAAGATATATAAATATCGCACTAGCAGCTCCACTAAGAACCATATAACCACCCAGCATATTCCCGCTCTTCCATACATAATTGAAACCCACAAAATGCATACTAAATAAATCAAGCAGCTCGAAAAACGGAATGTAGATCCAGATTCGCTGGGACAAAACTTTTGTATATTCATCCATGCCATCGAAATTACTACCTAGTATATACCATTTCATTTCATCCCGCCGCATTCCAGACATCTCCTCAATCCTTGCATCCACTTCAAACTCTCCATATACTTCCGGCTGGTAAAATCCACAATCCCATTCTCACATCTCAATCCCATTCTCACATCTCAACCACAAATTCACATCTCAACCACAAATTCATATCTCAACCACAAATTCAAGTTCAAGCTCTGATACTTTTTCCTTCCGAGTTCCTACCGAAGATACCTGACAGCTTCTCTGAAGATGCCTATAAATTAAAGAGAAGTAAAGTATAGACAAACTGTAATGCTCCATATGCATTTGAATTCCCATTCCCATTTCCATTCCATATACCATCTCACCCAATCTTACCTATACCGAATCCTTCCAACCAAACCCTAAACAATGCCCAATAAAATCGCTTAGGGTGAAATTGAGCAAAAAAAATAAAACTCGCTCCCGACTCCATCGCTAACTTAAAAATTCGTAGTGTAGCCCATGTTGGATACCAGGATACAATATCTGAACATAATTCATGTGCCCATGTCGCAGATAGTTGAACCAAAATGGTATTCATCATTCCATGCCAATGTTTTTCCTCCCAATATGCTATTCATCCATCCCACATGCCGAATCGCCAAAGATGATGATGAATGACAGACTCCAAATGATGCCAACAAAAACCCAAGAAAACAAAAGAAAAACGCTGCGTTAGCTCTGAGAGCTGAGCTGGCTGGTGGCGAATTTGAAATTGAATGAGAAGGAATAAGGTGAAGGTAAAGGTTTTCGATTTTGTTAAAAGGAATGAAAACGAAGCAATTTCCCTCAATTACTTGAGGTATTATTTGAAAATCATCGCATAGACCCTCGAATAGTGTAAATACCAACTCTTGACCGAAATTTTTGGCGTACTGCAATGCTTAAAATAGCCCTAAATCTGTTAAAAGAGCTGCTCTTCTCTCTCGGCGCTTCGTAGTCCCTCGTAGTTCTGGTGGCTCCTCCAATATGTCGTCGGCCATACTGGTATTGCCAAACTCTCGTTTCTTCCCCGACATCATAAATCGAATTTGTTCATCTTTCCCACAAAGACCTTCGGTCGCAAAATCGCAACGTTCGAATTCCATGATTCCACCCCTCAAGGTATCGCAATTTGCAACAATCAAGTCTTGACCATCATTGGTGAAGTCGAAGCCTCCAATCTCCCCTAAGAAGCTGAGAGTCTGTTTACTGTCGAAGGTTTCAGCATCTATAATATTGACATAATCCGCTGGTTCTGCCGCGACCAAAATCGGCCTACCAGTACCCAAGGGAGAAAACTTAAGTTTCCTGACGCCAGCCATATCTGCAGCAATACTTGCTACGGGTCGATTCCAATACCGAGCATCCCAAATCTTCACTTGCATGTCCTGGTTTCCAGTGGCTACCGTCCATCCGTCCTCAGACCAGTCACAGGCGAATCCAAAGTCAAGATGACCCTCGAGTTCTTGTAAAACTTGGCCTGTTTCGGAATTGCAGATCATAACTCTGCGAGTATCGCCGACCAATACACGTAGACGTCGATCGGGTGATACGGCTGTGCAGTTCATAGCATGATCATAATAGTGATCTGAGATGAACTTATTAGTAGTAACATCAAGAGTTCTAACGCCCGTGTCGTTTGAAGCAAAAGTAACTAAAGGTGACGAAGATCTCGAAAGATGAACTTGGGCATGGTTTGTTATGTCGTTGGGATGTTCTGTGATTAAGCCTTCAACGTGTTTTGCATCCTTATGGGCCCTAGTACTAATCAGAGCGTATTGCCCCTCAAATCCACCCGCAACAACAAGCTCGTGGCCACTGGTCAGAGTAGAGATTTGGCATGCATTGGAGATGGTATGAAATGCCGATAGCCTTGGATTTCCCAGATCCATCAGCATACGGGGAATGGATCCAATGGTGGGGTCATAATGCAAGACCTTTGTTTTTGCAGCGTATGTTACACAGTTTTGCGAAAGGCAGCTAATTAGGTTGCGCAATTGAAAATGACGGATGTGAACGTCATGTTGAAAATCCATTCGCCGAAATTTGAAGTAGTTATCGCAGTTTGCAAGTCTCAAACCTAACTGTCGCGGCTAAATTCTATCAATACAATACCTAGGCCAGAAGCACGAGTAAACTTACATAAAGCTGTGGGCGGTTGGGGTATATGAGGTTGGTATAATTCTTATAGGTAGCCCGACGCCTTTGCCTGGCTTCCAGTCGTGTCACACCTAAGTCTTTCCAATCGATTCTCTGTATATCACAGTCATCGCCTTGAAGGTCACACCTTCGCATGGGCATAAGATCTCGGGCAAGAATATGACTAGTGATAGCAGCTTGCGAGGGAACCCCCTTTTTGGAATGCCCTGGGACTCTGCGGGGTACAGTTGTTGCCCAGTCGCTAAGAAAGTCGCCGAGATTCATGTTGAGCTGGCTGTCAACTTGAGCTACGTCAGCATCAGCATCAGTGTCAACGTCATGGTCAGCATCATAGTCAATGTCAGGGTCAATAACATATTCAAGACCTTGATTAACATCAGGCCCCTGGCCATTTGATTCTGGCCCAGCGGATAAAATAATTGGTGTCTCCTCATCTAGGAGTGCTAAATCCCCTTCTACTAGAAGAGGAGGATCTGGCATAAGGAAATCATTAACAAATGAAGCAGGGGGTAATGTACTCTGATTGTGATTTATGAACGTATCATAGTGTTCATCCGGGGCCGACTCAAAATCACCATGTTCCTGCCCATCCTGAATATGTTGTAGTTGTTGTGAAACTTCCGACATTACAGCCGGTAAATCCGTAGTATTATTGACTTCGAGTAAAGGTAAAGGTGTATCTCCCTCATACGGGAATGAGTTACCCCCTACCCCTGTTGGAACATCCAATTCACCCAAGGATGTTTGTGTAGAGAAAGAATTGGGTAAAGATTGAATTTGAAGATGATGGTGCGTTCCTCCCAGAATATACTGGCCCATTATCCCGGAACCTACTGCTTCCATTGCAGCGTTGAGTTGTTCTGCGTGTGAGGGTATCGTTGTCAAAGGCGCTCCTCCATCTGACATATCCTGATCTGATTCTTCCATCATATCCTCGGGAAAGGAACGGCTTCCTGGTGTATAGGCTCCGCTAGGGCCGTTGAGGATCATACTTGAATTGCTCGTCGGTGTTGCTAGCGCAAAAGGGTGATTTGTAGAGGGAGTTTCCGGTGCATCTAGTAATATGCGACCACTGGATGAATCATTCTCGATATTGTCTGTCGAACTTCCGTGAGGGGGAGTCAGTGGAGTGGGAAGCATTGCGCCGTTGTCTTCTCTGCTACACACAAAGAGTCGGATATCATAGACAGGAAGGTCTCGCGGGGAAGTATATTGTGTCGGAGTAAGAGGTTATTGTGGATGAGCATGAGCATGAGCATGAGAAGCTGAGCACAAGCTAGAAGAAGTAATTTGTGGCAGATTAGGGAACCAGTTGAATGACAATGACAGATTTGGGATCCTTAAGCTGTACAAGATGCGCGATGCAATGTGCGATTTGGTGTTACGAGCATGGGCGGCCTCGGCCTGCCGAATTGGTAAATGTGTGCTGCAACTAATGATGAGATTAGTTTTGGATTGGATTGGATTTAGAAATTACGCTTGAGGAACAAGTGAGCAACGAGAGAAACGGGATGTGGTGGCGTCTCTTACGGTTGGAGTGGGTGTGGGAGCTATAGGATAAAGAGGTTGGAGTGTTCAAAATTGGGTTAGCTAGATGGATGAGTTGTGTTGTATTATCATTATTATTATTATTATTATTATTTGTTAGCATGAGTATTAGAGTGGCATGCGGTCTTCAGCGGATCAAATCCACAATTGGAAAGTGTGAAATGGGGGGTGAAATAATGTGTAAGGGTGGCGGATAGTGGGGTTTATGGTTTATGGTTGTGGTTTACGGTGACGGTTTATCTGAATTTAGTTTCCGATGCTTATTAGTGGTCAGGTTTTTGGTTGGCTGTTGAACAAGTGTATAATGAGTAGCATCATAAAAGCGTGGGGAGTTATTTTTATGAAGAAAGAGTGATATGAATGAATATGCCGTATGACTGAGTTTTGGTATATATTTTATTAGAAATCGGCTTAAAATGTTGTATATATCCTTTCTTCCGAATAGATAATCAAAACGAAAGGAAAATTGCTGTGCTGAGGGAAGGCAAGACAAGGCAAAGAACAGCAATTCAGTAATACAGTAAGACTAAACTATCCGCAAAGACAGCTTGTTTGATACCCACCTATTACCTATCTAGTCACAATGAAAATAAAGAATTGAGCAAAATTATCTGTCTAAAATCATTATCTAGTATCCCCAGGTATGTATTCCCAGGTATATATGTATGTACAAGTATGTACGGAGTATGTAAGATCTTACAATATGTATTATGAAAATCGCAGTGGGAGAATATCCACTACTGGAATTGTCATCCAATAATCACCCCTTCTCCACACAGACAACTCCATAACCCTACCAAAATGCACATGAGTCTGAACCAGAAATGCTGTTTTATGGTAGATAATGTATCCAGCAGATATGCGAGATGGTGATTGAAGGATTAGGAGAATGCGCAACGGAATTCACAAGACACAATAATAATCTCGTCCACAGCATAAAACCGCACCGTCACGAAAACCTTTTCTATTCCTCACCTCCTCTCCCCTATATAAATTTCTGATATCAAGACTTCCTAGACTTCTTTCAAAATGATATGATATGATGTTATCATGCTAGATACTGGGTTCCGAATTGGGATTGGATATATTATACCAAGCCCCTCCTGTTGTCCGCACCACCCCGACCGGAATAAAATATGGCAATCGGCGAAAGAGAATGGTGTATTCTTATATCGTGCTTGGATGCCGTTATCGAAGTCTTGTCAGTGCAGCTATCAGTCTCTCAGTAAGCCTATCGTATGTCCCATATACTATCACACTATATAGGTGAGTCCGACTATCAAAGTACACGTCCTGTCTTGTCTTTATTTTATCGGAAGTTCGCAATCAATTAACTATTAAATCTACCTAGCTACGCCATTCTCCCGCGCATTTTCCCCATCCGCCATTCCCCCATGAAAAAGAAATAAAGAATGCTATCTTCTCATTTCCCCGATGGTGTGCGTTGCAGATGCACGATATGCGGTATGCAGTATAAACGCATACGGAAATTCCTGCATGAATAATTCGTGGGCGCCTTTTAGAGCGATGCGGGTTCAAAAACTATGCCTGCAGCTGTAGAAAAATGATGGGACGGCAACCCCAGCTCTCGGAGCAAAGTTGCGAACGCGTCGTGCAGCTCCTGTTGTCGTATCACCTAATGCACCATAGGGACTTACGGATGAATGAGGTGGAGTGGATGGTTACACTCGTACTTGATAAAACCTCATCATCCTACACATTACTTTGTTAGAAACGTAACCTTTTCGTTCTATCCAAACCTGGAATGAAAGCAAAAATCTTGAGGAGAATTGACTGCTCAGGTTAAGAGCTTCCTATAGATTCCGCATTTGTAGTATTTGTGATAGGAAATACCTCCGGTCATTTGTTGTCTTTTTCTTTTTTCGATAAAGTCATCTGCGAGAGTTTGCAGCTGGTTGGTTGGACAAGAGAGGGATGTCTTTGGATTCTCAGCCACGAAGCATGCTTTTAATCATAAATCACATTGTTCAATTTGTCTCAGAAGAAGAGGCAGGTATTATAAATACTTCCAAAAGGTTGTCAATATTGTTCAAAAAGCAATTATCAATGCTTATTCATGCGTTCCGTTCTCGGTATTGAAAACAAAAATGATAGATTATATTTTCCGACTTTAACCTACATATTTGAGACCTACCTACGGCTTCTCGCATGAAACCAGAATGGCTTTTCGGTCGGTTCATCATATAAAGTTTTCGGATTGTTCCCAATATCTACCATACATTGAGATTGTGTCAATTCCGCTCCCAAGCGGTTGAAAGCGTCGAGGGGGGAATTGCAAGCACCACTGCAAACACCCGTTGTAGAAGGAGCGGTGTGGGGGAAACCATGGGGAACATCAAGATATCTTTGCTTTTTCTTCTGCATTCCCCCCAATCTCCCCTCTTCGCTTTCGCTTCATTCCAGTATCGAAAAAGTTCGCTTGAAGAAGCAAAGCAATACAACATATCCTCCCACGCTTTCATAGGATACTAGGGTATATGAGAAGTAGTCCATCTTTATGCACCGAAATTCTTGTACTCATCACGTGTGTTATATTTCCGCTGAAAGTACCCGAAGGTCTCACAATCTCGGAGCAGGACTTCGGGTCTTGTTACTCGAGATCCGAGAACTCGGGAGAAGCCAGGTAAAATTGTCGAGATCTCGGTTGTTGGTAGGGCAAGAGAAGCACTCGAGACTTTGCCTTATCATTTCGTGCTATGTGAGCCATTTTTAATGATGTGGTGTATTGAAGTCTCTTTTCCTTTTCGTCAAGTCTCACGTACCTTTCTGCGTTGTTTGTGAGGAGAACTTGAGCCGCGCTGCATGTCAACGGTCAGCCTCGCGTGGTACATGCTTTGTTTTCCCTTAAGCCTTGAATGATCTAGCCTAAAATCATGGCTTGACTCCCGCTGCAGATCTAGAGACTATGGCTTGAAGTGTACATGCAATCTTATTAAATTACTTCTTTTTAGCGCATCGCGTGACTTTGACCTGTGGTCTCACACATTTTTGCTTCTTTCTAGCCTTGCGTTTCAGCCCTAAGCACCCAGAACACTCTCCGGTGAAGAAATTCGTTGGGGAATTAGACAATCCCGTCTCTAGCATATATGCCGAGCCGATACAGGGCAATGACACTTGTCTCATCTGAGGCTTCCAGCCACTTTTCCGAACCGAGACAATTGCAGCACACACATTCCGCATTCGTCATCTAAATGTCAAGGCATGACTCAAAGCCCTGCTTTGGCCGTATTCCGATTGGTACTTATCCATATGACCCCCCTTGTCCATTATTGTCATCTTCACGCCCGCTTGAGGAAATGAGTAGAATGTAGGATTTTATGCTTTAATTAAATGGCTAAAGTACAGCAAATAATATTTAGCAAAAGATTATGTTATAGCTAAAGCGCGATATCCGCTATAGCCTCATTCATATCCTCATTCACTGACGGGTATTCTGAGTTGCTACAACCACACTTCCGAATCTAGCTTGGCAATACTCCATGCAAAGATCTATCCTGAAATGGCAAGGAGAATTCATTCTCACCCCTTGCATTCTATTTTTATAGAAAAATACAGAATGCTATGTCAGATTTAGTAGTCTATGCAGTTTTTGCGGAGAACAGCGTGGTGATACAGTTGATCACGAAAACCCATAGGGTTGCCAGGCACCGTTTAGCAATGATGCCTCGGTGCTATAAACAACTAGACATTTTAGGATCAACGCACTGACTATAAACAATTTGATACAAAGTCTAGTATTATTAAAATCTAAATATTGTTGAAGAAATACTCAAAATATATACAAAATCCACGCTTAAAATATGCATACTAAACCACTGTTTGATGCATGACATTAGCCCTATAACTTTCCGACCTCTCCAGCAACTCCTCATGTGATCCCTGATCCACACATCTTCCCGCATCCACCAAGAAAATGATATCCGCCTTTCTAATCGTCCGTAAACGATGAGCAATAGCAATAACCGTGATTCCCCTCGCGGCCTTCTCAAGTCCATCTTGCAAGAGCTTTTCCGACTCCGCATCTAAAGCACTAGTTGATTCGTCTAGAATCAACAACTTAGGCTTTCGAACGAGCGCGCGAGCGATCGATAATCTTTGTTTCTGTCCTCCTGAGAATTGGTTACCGTTGGTTCCGCAGAGAGTCTGGTATCCATCTGGTAAGGCTGCGATAGTGTCATGGATATTGGCGAGTTTACATGCGGCGATGATCTCGTCCATGCTTACTTCATGACCGGGTCTAGCTCCAAATCCAATGTTGAACTCCACAGTTCCTTCAAAGAGCACGCTTTCTTGTGGTACTAGAGCGATAGAATCGCGGAAGGCGACATCTCGGTGCTTCGTCACGTCAACGCCGTCAATAATGATGGATCCAGTTTGTGGTGTGTATAATCGTTCGACCAATGAAATGATCGTCGATTTACCAGCACCGGATGGACCAACAAGAGCACAAAATTTTCCGGGCTGAATATCAATGTTCATGCCGTTTAATACTTGCATATCTGGTCTAGCAGGATAGGAGAAGTGGATATCCCGTAGTTGTACACTGGAGGCTCCGGAGGATGAAATTGGGGGTTTCGTTTCGGCCGTGGCCTCGATATCAGTAGATGGTAGATCCTCCACATGTCCTTGCATCTTATCCGATCCAATTTCAATGAGACTCAAGATTCTTGCCATGGCCGCCCGAGCATTGGAAAGTTCTGGTGCGAGAGCGAACATTTGACTCCAGAGTAATGCGCTGACAAGGAGGGAGAATACGACAATAAGGAATTGTGTTTGTGTGTAGTTGCCCGCTAGAATTTGTTTGGCACCCCACCAATATGCTAGTGCATTCACAAGATTTCCAAGGAAATAGGTTGTCGCCTGCCAAAGACTTGCTAGGAGACTAACTTTGAAAGTCTCCGTGCGAGGCCCTTTCAAAGATCTTCGGTAAGTCGCTAGTGTCTCTTCCTCAAGCGAAAGAGACGCGATGATCTTGATGGAGGTAATGGCTTCGACACCAATGTCGACTGACTGAGTATAAGCATTTTCGTGTCGATCCTCAAATTGACCAAGTACTCGAAGTTCCATCAGTCCAGCTCCAAGTAAGAGTGGTACTAGAGCCAAGCAGACAAGTGCTATTCTCCAGGCTATGATGTGAGTCAAAACAATTGCTGCGATGAGATTCACGGAAATGGAGAATAATGTGCCAATGACCGATCCGCTCAAACCAGCCAAAGCGTTACCATCCCTGGTAATATATGAGAGGAGTACAGCTGGTGTTCGGCCGTCAGATTGATGCCATTGAAGATCTTGTTCGAACAATGATCGGAATGACAAGACTCTCACCGTAAAAACAATTTTCTCGGAGATCCAGCCGAATCCTGCCCAACTGACCAAATTACCGAAGAACTCAATAATCGCAAGGATGAAGAATAAAAGTCCGTAGAAGTTTCCTCGGGTATCAATATAATTGGCGCTCTTGCAAGGATTCAGACTTCCAACTGTATTTCCGAAAATGACGGCTTCGCCAGAGAAAGCTCCGCCAACAACAACGGCGCCAACAAGGGAGATAAATATCATAAGCAAGTGTGGTCGCAATGCTGGAGCATAGCCCTTCATTAAAGCCCATAAAGATTTGTTCGGAGTTTCAGGTTCTTGTTCTTCCTCCGGCGAATCAGCGACGGCTTCTTCCTTTGCTGAGAATTCGGGTTTTCCCGCATCCCCAAGGGGGGCGCTTCTCAGGCTGCTCTTCTCAACATCGCCGTCGGTAACTGAAGTTGCTACAGATTTACTAACACTATCTATGCTAGCTCTTTCATTTTTTCCGGATGCAGATCCAAGGCCTTGCAATTTGACTAGATCAGCGTATGCTCCATTCTTAGCCATCAATACGGAGTGGCTTCCTTGTTCCACGATATGACCTTTGTGCATCACGATGATATTATCCGCGTTGGTGATTGTGGACAGACGATGCGCAATAGTGATCATAGTTCTACCACTAGCAATCTTGTTGATGGCCTGTTGAATACGTTGTTCACTTCTTGAGTCCAAAGAGGCTGTTGCTTCGTCCAAAATAAGAACAGCGGGATCCTTAACAAGTGCTCTAGCAAGAGCCACTCTTTGCTTCTGTCCACCACTTATCAAGCGTCCACTAGATCCGACGGTAGTTCCGTATCCATGTTGCAAGGCAGTAATGAAGGAATCTGCATCTGCAAGCTCTGCGGCTTTTCGAACTAACTTGGCTATTTCGACGATTTCCGGAGCTCGTGATTCTGCAGCAGTCATGAGATCTTTACCCTCTCTGACCTCATTTGCTAGATTTGAAAGTTCTGAACTGTTAAGTGCTGTCTTCAAATGCGCATGATTTGCATGGCTCGAGTTTATCAAGCCGTGTGCGATATTTTCCAAGAGTGAACGGTCGAGGAGAGATGGTTCCTGTTGTACCAAGCTAAGGTAACCTCTCAAATCACGGGCATTAACCTCGCGAATATCCTGGCCGTCGAAGAGAATTTGGCCATGCGTAGGGTCATACAATCTTGTGACCAGACCAGCGACAGTCGACTTTCCACTTCCCGAAAGCCCTATGATGGCCGTGCTCTTATTAGCAGGGATGGAAAAAGTAATATTATCCAGAACTGTAATCTCAGGCCTGGAAGGATAGGTGAATGAAACGTTCTTGAACTCGAAGCCTCCCTCTGCCTGTGGAAGTCGAATACCTGAATCGGTGGTGCCATCGATCAGTGGTTGTCGATCTATATCTACACGTAGCTTTTTGTACGAGGCGACAGCTGCTATGAACAGATGGAGGAAAGGCGCAACTTGACTCAAAAGCAAGGTAGCTGTTATCGTGTTAGTGTAACTCCTGCAGGCAAATTCAAGTCTTACTAACCCTCGACCAGGATAAAGATAACTGTAAAAGTAGCACCAACAGTGACGCCTGCAGTGTTGTTGCGCACAGAATTTGCGATACTTTTACTTCCTTGCCAAAATGCTAATCCGTTGGCGGAATAAGCAATGAAATACAAGAATCCGGACTGTATACCAATCGCCGTTGCTTTTTTCAAGCCTTCAGACCTCGAAGCTTTAAGTGCAGTAGAGAATTTGTTCTCCAATCGAGAATTTCCACCAAAAGCCTGCACCACAACGATGTTAGAAAGCGCTTCCGAAGCAATCGATGCGGCGGTAGCTGCATGGTCTGACATGAGTCCAGAGTATTTTTCGATATAATAAGTGCCAATAAACGACATCAGGAAATAGGCCGGAATCAACGACAGTAACATTGCTGCAAGCTTCCAGTCTTTGATGAAGGCTACAATATAAGCCGTAACGAAAAAGGAGAGACTGGAGAGGACTATTCCCACTTTCTCCGAAGTGCCGGAGCGAATTGTCTGAACATCGTTATTTAATCGCGAGGCGACTTCTCCAGGAGGCAAATCATCGAAATATGATGGTTCCTGTCGAAGCAAATTCTGCAAATAACGTTCGCGCAGTCTCTGGGCCAATCGCGCGCCATGAAGACTCCAGCATGAAAGATGCGCATAGATGAGAACGAATTGGGCAATGGCTAGGTATACGATGATGGCGATTCTGCTGTTGATTCCACTTTGATCTTCGCTGTCTGAAGACCCAGAAGACTCACTACATGTGGCTGCGTTGAAATCGTCGAGGAGCTGACCAAATAGGACTCCGATTAGTGGGAAGGGAACACCAGCTGCGATGGAACATATCACACCCAGCAATAGCGTGCCTTTATCAGCGGCAGATGGGCTACCGGCCAAAAGTAGGCGAGGGAAGGCAGAAATTTTCTCGGCCATGGTGAAGTGGTTTGCTGGAGTGGAGGAAAAATCTTTCAATCAGTATGTGTACATCCCTTTCGAACTACCTATTATAGAACTTGTCTTGTCTTGTCGTTGGATAAGAAACAATGCTAAGAAGAAGAATACTCCCACTATGAAACTTAGCCCGACATCGGTCTAGACATAGTGATTCATCATAGCAAGATTGACTGCAACCTACACATGTACTTGTACCTTCAAAACTAGTCAAACTTTTCACGATTAGATTTTTTAATTTTTCCATTTTACCGGGGCCAGACACAGACAAGGAACTCGAAAACTGATGCATTTCCATTTTCCTTGCTTGGCAATTCTGCGGTGACTCGAGTGGATGTTGAGAATTCCACTTGTTCTCTAAGAATTGACATACCTATGGATCCTAGCCAAAAAAAAGTCAAAATTTTTATCAGATTATCGGATCATCAGATTAGATAATAATTGGGTAGTGAGTGGGGTTCCACTAGCGTCTATCTAGTAGAAGTTCACTAAAATATACCACTAATAGAGATCCACTACTGAGCTAGTTGGAGTTGGATTAGCCGTGGATTCTGATAACTTCCTAGTAAGGTTACGTACGGAGAATGCACCTAGTATAGTAGGTCATACAAGGGAGTACATAATGATCCACCTAGTGACCCATGGACTTACGTTTACTTGTTATGTAAATTTTTGAAGTTGTTGCATGTGAATAAGGTGGTGGATGTACAGAGGTAAGTCTTACCATTTCCGGGTAGAATTCGTCCTGAAAGTTATGGATGAATGCATTTATGCTCCCGGGCATCCTTCTTTGTGAGGTTATGTTTGATAGAAAGTTAAAATTAATCGGTTAATTTTCTAGCTACTGGCTTCTAATAGGCACGGTGCGGTGAGGAAAGAAAGGTATGATTGCGTTGTTATGTACGTCATAAAGTAACTGTGATGCTCGAAAATGTAGTCGGTATCATAAGAGGAAAATGAGCGGATGTGAGGTTGCAATTGAGTTGAAGGGCCAAATCACGTTAGTATTCTCGCTGCTTCACATAATAGCATAATCCTTCGTGAGGAAGCACCTTGAAATCACTGCTCTCATAAAAAAATCTCGCTTCCCATATATCCCATGTATTTACAAAATTCAAATATATACCAATCCATTTCAATCAATGCAACTCACTATACCCAACCCAAAAATTAAAACCTTTGACCATCAAGCAACAATCCTGGCCGATTAGTCGCCAATTCCTGAATAGCAGCAGCCAACTCATCAAGAACCGTATCCACAAAGACCGAATCCCTTTCACTTCCTACCACCCCAACATGCATTTGTCCTTCCTTAACGAACGTGACGGCCTTGAAAGGGGTAGCCGCATCTCCGTGCGGATTGAGAATATCCACCTTGCATTCCCCTCCTGCAAAAGGCATGGTGTCGAAATCATCCCAGTCCTGATGATGAACAATGGAGTCGAAGAATTGCGCCTCCGAGTCAGATGACCACTGAGTGCACTGCTTGGAGATTTTATCGAAGCCGAGGAAATCATAGGCAGCAGATTCAGCACTTTGCTTTTGGACAAATCTTAAGAGATCCATGGCTGTCCATTGGGGCTCGAATGAGACCCGAGTTGGTGTGAATTGATAACATGGACCGACAACATTCTCCGCACCAGCTAGGTCAATGTTTCGTCCTGAAGTAATGCTACCGAATATCACATCTGGCTTCTGGAGGCGACGTGCTAGCACTAATGCCCATGCTGCAGTAAGCAAGTTTGCCGTGGTAATCTCTTCGGGACGTTGAGAGACATCGACTGATTTTGCCTGGAAGATTGCTTTGTCTGTACGTTGTGCTGATCTTCCATTCAAAACGGATAAAGACGAACCATTGAGGAGATTGCGCCAGTAATTAATGGCGGTAGTTTGGGTATTCTTGTTGCAAATTCGTGTCATGTATGACGAGAAAGGTTCAAAATCGACGACCCTTTCTCCTTTGTAGAGAACTTCCAAATCTCGGAGGAGTATGGGCAAGGAAACACCATCATACAGGGCGTGAGACAATCCTAGAACGAGGCATTCTTTACCGTTGCTGCCTTCGGCATGTAGTATTCTAAGGAAAGAGGATCCAAGCTCAAAGCCCGATTGAATGTCCGTTGTGCAGAGTTCCTTAGCATATTGCTCAATGTCCTTGTCAGCACATAGCGTAGTAATATCAGAAGTATCTAGCTCATCAATGACCACTTGAAAGAAGTTTGATTCGTGTTTAATAAAAACGGTGCGTAAGATTTCATGAGTCTCGACGAGCGCTTTGCATGCACGGAATAGTTGTTGTCGATCGATTCTTTCGTCAAGGTACAGCATAGTGTATTGTATGGAGGTGCGTAGTGATTGGATAGTTCCTCTAATATCCAGAGCTTGAGAGTCGGTCACCGGAGATACGTCTCGAATAGTCCAACTTTGGTTTGCAAGCTTCGGCTGGACAACATCGGACAAGAATGACTTGATGTCTGAACTGTTCAGTGTCGAGAATGGCTTGTAAGGCTGAACCTTATTCATGGATACTTGGTCCACTTTTAGTACTTTGGCAGCATCACCAAGACGCATGTGTTGAAAGATATCAGCCACTGTTAGGCCATGGCCTTGCATACGAAGACTTGACACCAGTTTCATCGCCATGACAGAGTCGCCACCAAGACGGAAAAAGTTGTCATCAACATCAATTTTCTCTGACGGGATTCTAAGAATATTGGCCCACGCAGCCTGGAGAATGCTTTCCGAAGGCGTCAGATTCTGTTTCGTAGAGTTGTTTGACCAGACCTCTTTGAATCCTTGACGAACCTCGGAGAGTACGGTTCGGGGAATTTTTGAGGCTAGCTGATTTAGTAAATTATGATCAACGTCCTTCATGTCAGAAGGCATTTTGTCAATTACGATATACGCAAATGGCATCATGTATGATGGAAGAGAATCTTGTATGAATTTGTCGAATTTTTTGAGTGCTAGAGCAAGATCCAAGGGGATCTTGGTACAGATGACCGCCTTGAAACTTTGTAAATTCGAGGCATCGCAAATTATGTCGTGCTCTGATGACAAGATCTCAACATTTTCATCAGAAGGCTGTTGTTCTACCAAGACCAACAGCTCTTGCTTTGAGCTTTGTTGAGAATCATCTTGTAATGATTGATATACTGCCGCAGCGGCACGCACTTTTTGTGGAAGGTATTTGGCCAAGTGAGTTTCGAGTTCTGTGATATCTATCGCATGTCCCTGAACCGGCATAACATTCTCCTTTCGACCAACAAATACTAAGCTTTTGTCTTCTAGCAGTCGAACCATATCGCCTGTGGGTTCCACTATGCCAGTTCGACCGCCGTATGTAGAGCTTCCAGCAACTAGCCAGGATGGGGATGCAACGGTCTCCTCTGAAAAGAAAGCCCCTTCAAGCCAGAGCTCACCAATACAGCCAATAGGTGACAGTAGAGATGGGTTCCGTGGATCACATACCCAGGAAACTACCGCTGGAGGATAAATTGATCCTTGTTTGATGCTTGCATCTGCTCGAATCCTTTTGGATGACTTATCTAGGGACAATGGAGGAGTTTGGTTCCGTTGCCAGATTTGGTCTAATTCCGCCTCGGGAAGACATGATACCTCCTCGATCTTTCTAGAAAGATCTTTGGTTAATTGTGAATAAGCCATTCTCAATTGCTCAAGCATTCGTTCCATTTGCGAGACCTCGATCAGGCTGCTATCAAAATTTGCGCAGATCCTGAACCCATTTTTACGTATTCCACAAGCCAACATTAGCGGATAAGGGTTGAAATGAAGTGATTCAAGTTCAACATCCCCCGACTCAAATCCAAGATCACTACCCACGTATTCTGGCTCCGAATTGATAACCAACCCTGTTCCAGCTTCGCAAGCATGCTGAGCATCCTGGCTGACTTTTCTAATATTCTGCATCCCCATATGCTGATATGGTATGCGTGCCAACATACTTTGTTGCACACTCTGTAAATAGGCCTCAATAGAACATGATCGGCTGACATTTATGCGAACAGGTACTGTTGCAATCAATGGACCAACAATACTTTCGACGCCCTTCAACGAGATATCTCGACCTGCGAGAGTCTCGCCAAATACCACATCGTCGCTTCCTGTGTATTGCGAAGCCACGAGTGCCCATGCACCACGAATCAACGTTGCCATTGTGAATGGTGACTTGGTGCTCCTCTCGAGGGTTATGGTGATCTCAAGGTTTGCATCTGGAGTTGGCAAGTAGTCTCTAGAAGGTAAACGTGGAAATTGTGGTCCAACGGCATCTTCCAATTCACGTCGCCAAAAGTCTTGCATGGCGACTTCATCAATATCACGCACATATTTGACGAAGTCACTCATGTATGCCTGCATCCCGACCTTTTGACCTTGCAAAATATTGCTAACAGCTTTCAACAATAACGGTTCTGACCATCCATCGTAAACTACGTGATGAATAGTCCAGACCATGTATCTGTTCTCGTCGTCTGGCTGATTGACAATAGCATATCGAGCTAAGCTGTTTCCCAGATCCATTCTCTCTTTGCGATCACTTTCGAGATATTGCTCCAGATTATCTGAATTTCTCCAGGAGATGCCTTCTTTGAGGATAACTTGCTGAAGGCCAGGCTCTTGAAGTTGAGCTACCCGAGTCCGAAGAATAGGAATTGCCGCAACGACATTCTCCCATGCTCTCTTCCAGACATCGAGGTCGATATGTGATGGAATACATGTGACTCTCTGAGCAACGTATACCTCGGTTGACTTGAGCGCAAATGTGAACAACGACTCCTGCGTAGGTGTACAAGGATAGATGTTCTCGATGGCTGCCTGGTTTGTTCCACAAATCTGTGATGCTTCGAGACAAGCACTTTCGGCGGGTTGAGAAATCATTGAGAATGCAGGTGTCTCCGTCTCTGATTGTGAGTTGTAAATGTGTACGACTTCAGCCATCGCTGAGAGCGTGGGATGATTAAAAGTATTGATGACACTGAGTTCGAGGCCTTCATCTCTACAAACGGTTACGAGTTTCATTGCCGCCAAAGAGTCTCCGCCTAATGCAAAGAAATTGTCGTCGAGTCGAATGGATTCTGCATCGAGCTTCAATATCTGACCCCAAGCCTGTCGCAAACGTTTCTCGAGGTCGGCCAACTCCCGAGAATTGTTGTTGTTACGGGCTGTTTCTTCATTCACTTCCCTCAAGTCCACGGTCGCACCAAATTGCCGAAGTCGTTTCCGATCAATCTTGCTTGAGATCAAAACGGGAATGTAGTTGACTGGTATATACGCGGTTGGTACCATGTATCGCGGTAAAACCTTGGTCAATTCTGTGCTGGCTTTTGACAGCTGTTGACTCAGCTCTTCAGGAAGCTGAATTGATGTTATATCAGTATTCTCTTGTCCCTTCTTTTGCTGTAGCCCGATAAATGCAACTAGCGTAGGTTGCCCTCCAAGCCCCTGGGGCACAATCACCTCGGCAATCACGCTGAATTCTGAAGGCAACCTGGCCATAAGCTGACTTTCAATCTCACCAAGTTCGACACGCTGTCCACGCAATTTGACTTGTGTATCTTTCCTTCCAACGAACAAAATACCTCCAGAACCGTCAGGATCATATTTTCCGAGATCCCCAGTCTTGTACAGCCGTCCTTGACGACCAGGATATCCATTGTGACCTGCAGTCAGCCACGAAGGATCTTTGATGAAAGATGCTGCAGTTTTTACAGGGTCGTTCAAGTAGCCTTGTCCTACAATTGGCCCTTCGACAAGCAATTCACCTACAGCGCCAACTGGCATCAGCTGTTCATGGTCGTCGGGGTTGGTAATCCATATAGCAGCTCCGTTTCCTTCTCCAATAGAGATATAATTCCTACCAGTAGCAGTGTCGCTATTTATCGTACATCCAATGGTACATTCGCAAGGGCCGTAGCCTATAATGATTCTGGTGTCCTGACCCCAATTGGTAACATCTCTAACTGACGACGCTTCTCCCCCAAGTCCCAAACCGCTAAGCGATTTTATGACATCGGAGTCCAGAATTCGAGCAACTGATGGGGTTAAGCCTGCATAATTGACTCGCATTTTCCGCATCACTCCATTTATGTCGTTTAGTCGATCCTCATCCGAGGGGATACAGAGGCATCCACCATTTCCAACAGTCAATAGCATGCTGTCAATGCTTACATCGAAAGCGTAAGCTGCAAAATCAAGAACTCTGGAGTCTTCCGTATAGCCCAACTGCTTTGGCTCGAGGAATCGCGCTGCTTGTATATGTCTCATGAGAAAGCATGACTCCTTTTGGGGTACCTGTGCTGCCAGAAGTGAATATTATGTACATTAGGCGGATGGCGGTACAGCTTCTAACTGTGGGCTAATTGGTGAATTAGAAAGATGTGTGATGTATCTCCTTCCCGACTATCACCTTCCATTTGGAACGGTCGACTCTGAAAAGTCCAATTGATTGCGAGACGTAACTATTACTTTTGCGTTTACTTGTTCCGCCATATTTTGAAGGCGGGCAAGAGGAAGCGTTGGGTCAGTCATCAACAAAGTTGCCCCAACTTTCATCACCGCAAGCACGGCTACTATTGTCCATCTTGATTTCTCAAAACAGACAGGTAAGACATCATGTAACTTGACACCCATTTCTCTCAAAGAGAATGCTACGAAAGTGGAATATTGATCGATTTGAGCGTATGTCAAAGTACCATCCCAGGAATCGATTGCTACTTTTTCAGGTAACATTTTAGCTCGTTCAGAAATTATGTCGTGCATACAAGAGCTGTAGGTTGGAGGAAGTTGGTGATTCCATCGCCATATCTCGTTCAAATCACGTGTGGTAGGGCGAACACAGTCCTGAATAGTAGTATCAGGATTTGAAATGCACAGTTTGATGGTGTCGACGAGTGTCTCGACGAAGTGTGTAATCGTAAATTCTAACATGGTCTCCGTGTACCATACGGGTCGGATTTCCAGAAGGTCATTGACAAAACGTATTTCGAGGTGGAGAATACCCTTTGCTCAACATCGTCAGCAATGTGATAACATACATGGATCGTTTGCTCACTTCATCTTTCGCCTCTTCAGACGTTTGTGATAAAGAGCTGGTGCTCAAGAGAAGCGAGACAGAATTGGAAATGGCGGCATCCTGACTCGATGCAACTTTCGAGATATGAAATGAAATTTCCGAAGTAGCTTGTCCGACAGTATTCTGTAATTCTGTCGTTACTTCGTCTAGCGAGAGACGCCCTTTCACGGGTTCAAGCTCAAAATTATCGTCTCTACTTTTGTAAGCCCAATCATAAGATATCTTGCTACCTTCTTCTCGGGTTCGTAACAGCACGATAAGCCAAGATAAAAGCAAAATTTCCTCTCTCATGCCCGTCGGCGTTACAGCATGATCAGAGGAAAGACTGTTCACGTTGAAAGATCTATAGCCCTCACCATCAGGCTGACCTGACAGCAAATCAACAAACCCATTTTCAGTTGAGTGTTGACTTTGGACATCTTCGACATGTACAGAACTCATCCCGTCGACAGTCAAGATATTAAAGCTAATTTAAGGTCCTGGCGATGTTCTGAGATTGGGAGATGGAGTTGAATCTCGGCCATGCATTCTATTCAGTACAGATCTGCACTGCTACGATTGGATTGAGATGGTATCTGTGATTCGAATAATTGGATAAAGTTGTGATACCATGGTTTCTCCATTCGAGTGAGTAGGATTGCAAAGCCACTACTCTATACCGAGCTATTACGGCATATACGTAATGCAAACTTTGAGCATAAAACGAAAACCGAGATCGGCCATAACTCATCTCAAATTGGACATAACAGATCTGACTAGGTGCAATGATTCAAAAGCCTTGCACTTCTTTGATTGGTATGTTTTGATCCATGTCATCTGATAAGATGAAATGTCACTTTTTCTTAGCGGTTTCCACTAGTGGATAATCCAGGACTAGATTTTCACCTTGCCGATCTCATCTGATCTGATAAGATAAATCCGAGGTTAAATCCACTATGTACGAACTAGATCAATGACGCGGCGATGCCAAGCTAAACCTGGTCGTTCTCCAATTACCATACAAGGATGTTTTTATGTATATTTTTCGACTATTGGGGTTATAAAATTTTATCAGATTGATCTTTCTCCATACCATCTGATAAGATAAAAATAAGGTACTCCGTATATACTTCTAAACACTAACAAAGTCCGGATCATTTATTCCTCACTCCCTGCTAGCATTGGACCGGACTGATTTCAGAGCCAAATAAAGTCAAGATTGATTAGATTTTTTCACCCATGTCATCTGATAAGATAATAATTACATACTTTCTCCACCATCCCTCCTTGGCTTCCCCACCACCGAAATTTTCTTTACCACACGGAAAATAAATGGCTGCTCGTAAGTCGTAACAGCTCTATACGACACCATTTCTCCTTCCTGAAAGAGATAGCGTTGCAAAATTGTTAATTGCCGTCACGGCCACGCCCTCTCACCAGTCACAACTTTGAATTTACCCACTTCGGCGGTCGTTTGTCCACATACGCCTGAATACCTTCGGCAAAATTAGGACTTTTAACCAGGCGGGGATACCATTCATCAGCCAGAGTAGAAACGGTATCCTCTACACTACCAGCTTCCCAGCCCAATCTAATACCCATACGACCGATAATTAACGCATCTGGACTATTCTTGCACATTTCTTGAGCAACTTGAATCGCAACATCGACAACATCGGTACCAGAGTCTGCTATCCGAGTGACGAGTCCCCAATCACTCAACGTCTTGGCACTTACGTTTCTACCAGTCAATACCAGGTCCGAGGTGCGCTGCAAGCCAAGTGTGCGAACTAGCCGTGGTAGACACCCTGCCACAGGGACTATCCCACGCTTCGCTTCGGGCAGAGAAAACACGGCCGTGGAGGCAGCGATTACGACATCGCAATTTGTTATCATTTCAAACCCTCCTCCCATGCATATGCCATTGACTGCAGCAATAATCGGCTTTTTGCCACTTCGACGTGGAAGTCCTGCAAGGCCTGGTGCAGACATGTTATTGACAACCCCTGCTCTGTTCATCTCGTTCCATTCTGTTCTTGATTAGTTCTCGTGTAATCCTCAAGGATATTTTGATACTGAATAATGAACGAATAGTGGAATCTTCTAACCTTGCAGATCGGCCCCAGTGCAAAATGCTCTCCCCACGCCTGTGATAATGCCGACCCATAAGCTTTCGTCTTGATCAAAAAGCTCCCATATTTCTTGGATTTCCCGACTTGTAGCTTGATCAATGCAATTGAGCTTCTCAGGTCTATTCAATGTGACCTGAAGGATTCGCTCTTCTGGAAAAGAGACATTGAAATATCGAAAATTTAAGGGTCTTGATCTGAGAGACATGTTTAAGTAGATCCGCGGAATATAAGTCGTCGCTGTCACCAGCCACGAAGATACACACAGAGGCAGAAAGGACAATACTGTGACTATTCTACCAGCTTCCCTCCATCAACTTTATAACATTTTGTTACTCAGCACATGTTGCTATTCAATCGGTATACGTAGGATGGATGGTGCATTCCTAATTTCTTGTTTAGTCATTTCCTAGTTTGTGGTCCTAGAAATCTCCCCCTCGCTTCAGCATCCCTGAAACTTCATTTGAAGCACAACTACTCAAGTACCTAGTAGTCCGCAATTGCGGTGTCGAAATGACCGCGCGGAAAAAGGTACATATACACTATAACGTACAGCCCTGCAGCTAATCTGCTCGGTCCGAGTAGCTCCTTTCATTTGGTTGGAAGTGGGGTAAGTATGAGGTAAACCAGCATCGTTGCATTTTTCTTTTTCCCAGAGTAGAATCCATGAAAAATCTAGAGTCTTTCTTTTAGGTTCCTAGCTAGATATTCCGTAGAGTTTAAGAAGTTAGAAATTTTGCCTTTTGTTAATCCTTTTGAGCGGTGTCAAATTATCCTTGTTAAAACAACATACTACCTAGGCAATTGATCCTCCTGTATATAGACGATATTGTATTCTTCGGCGTGCATTTTACATTCAAATCTCCTTGATAAGCCGCCGTGAAAGTCTCGTACCTTTGAATTCCTAAGAAACTTCAAATAATTAAAATTGGAAGAATGGGACCATACAAATACCCTCTGGTGAAAATACCACATCCTTTCCTGACAACATATCGTGTAAACACTGTTGCCGAAACAACACCAGCCAGACATACTTTGACATTGGATAGTCAACAACCCACAGCTGGAAAACCTCTACCTCAACCATTACACTCCGATTCTCTCTCATGGCTTGATCTGGTATCCAGATCCGAAGCTGAATGCCCGCCTCCATCTGATAACACCGCTTGGGCAAGAGCGTGTCGAAGCCCGCAAACCACTTTTCAATGGACGGGATCCAATGCGCCTGCTTTGGGCCAAATCTGGAATTTAGTCCACGCAATATACCTAGCTCATCCCACTTTGGAGTATTTCCGACTGACTCTGCTTGGATCTGAGAAGGAGGTCATTCGGAGCGAGTTATTATCTACTGGTTTAGGAATTGACCATCCAAAACCATGGCGATTTTCAAAGGCGGCAACAAGCGCAGCACCAACGGAGGATTTATTAATTCTTCGAGGTGCATTCTGGCAAGGAGCAGCCTCACCATTAGGTCCTCGTCCCATCTGGGTGATTGGAGATGGCACAGATGGTCCCATTCGAGAATCTCTAGCCCAATATCCCGTTATGCCTGAAAACCACCAACTTACCATGAAATTTCCCGAAGAAGCTGTCTATACTCACCATCCGATACGTCGTCCTAAACCACATCCAGGATCCATTTGCTACAGTCGTTATATTCCCGAATTGGACGAGCATTTCTCTCTCGAAGTGGTTGATTGGCAAGATGATGCTCATTTGAAACTCTTCAACACGTGGCAAAATGATCCACGTGTTGCTAAGGGTTGGAATGAAACGGGAACTTTGGACCAGCATCGTGAGTATCTACGCAAGTTACATTTTGACCCTCACGTGCTGTGTCTGTTTGGGCGCTTTAACGAGACTCGATTCTCCTATTTTGAGCTCTATTGGGCGAAAGTAAGTTACCATCTCTATTTATTATTCTCCTTCTCTAATCTTCGTTGAAACTGACATTTTCCCTTCAGGAGGATCACTATGGCGCACACTACAACGCCGGAGATTACGATCGTGGACGCCACTCACTCGTTGGGGACGCCTCATTCCGCGGTCCACAGCGAGTAAACGCCTGGTACTCGAGTTGTATCCATTATGTATTCCTAGACGATCCGCGAACTGCAAATGCAGTTGGAGAGCCAAAAGCCACAGGCGCCATTATTTTATCTTATGAGAATGCACAAGGTCTTACCATTGGGAAGTATGTTGATCTGGGACATAAACGATCTGTTCATTCAATTTGTAGTCGTGAAAAATGGTTTCAGCTATGTCCTCTATTTTGGGATGGAAGAAACCAGCCGTTGGAATCTGCGGATCGAGCTGCTTGGAATGCGAAGTTGTGAGATTGGGTTAGCTTGGATGTGCTGTTTGAGATGATCGGGATGCATATGATTGTGTATATATTTAATTGTTCAGGATGGGGCAGAGCGAACTTCATTGTGTATTTATTCGTGATGGCTATGCAAGATATATTTTGATAATGAAAATAGCCTTTGACAGAAATGAATAAGTTTATGGCCAGAGTGATTAACTTGCTTGATTGAAGCTCTTAGACAGGCGATTAGTCACAACCTCATAACTACAAGCATGCGAACTTCAAGTGGTATTTCAAAGGATTCTACTTTCGACTGCACAGCATGTCAACCAAATCCACATTTCTATGTCATCCTATGTGAAAGTGATAAACAAGTAGCCAGCTTGGTTCGGCAATAGTGTCGGATGCCAACACTCTCTCAAATAACATCTCCCCTTAAAACATCAACATAACAATTCTTTCTTGCAATCAGTTCCCCTATTATCAATTTTACATCCACAACTAATTTCACGAGAGAATGTATTTGATTTTATAATTCTAAGTGGTTAGAACCCGGTGAAAAATCTGGGCCATCATGACAAAAGCAGATGAGATGTGTATTGCATCAAAAATACCCTCAGCATCACCTTGTACGTAATTAAACGTCAGAAAACCCAAGAGATCCCTAATCCCAGATCCAAATCTCAAGACGAATACGCATGCGATTTACATAGCACGCTCCAAACAACCGATCCCTACGTACTGTCTCAATGACTCCAAACCCAAAAGCTTCCATCATCAACGACATGTTCTTAAATTGCAACAGGAGAGACAATCCCAAAATGCCAGCTTATTCTCTACAATACCAAAACTCCAACTGCAATCGCAAGTGCCAATTTCACAAGATTCTTCTATATATCACAAAAGTTAGTCCCAATCCACTTCCACCCGCTCCAAATAACAGGAAGGACAAATGAGAAGAACAACGTTAACATACCATCTTATCCACTCCTTTCCCAGCCTCACTACTCGCATCCTGAAGCTTCGCCGTCGCAGTAGGTGTCCCAATAGGCGTCCCGGTGACACCCACCACGGCACTCCCTACCGTCCCACTCACAGGCAAATTTGCACTTCCCCCCAGTAACCCAGTATTTCCCACCGGACCCGCAGCCTGTACACTTTGCTGTTCACTCTCACTCTCACTCGTACTCGTACTCATACTCGTAGTGCTACCCCTGACCGTAGAAGTCACCAGACTCGAAGCACCTACGACGGTCCCATTCACAATCCCATTAACACGCGTCTCACAATTTGCGTCCGAATCACAGGTTGTGCTGACTTGGGAGATACTAGAGCTTCCGCGACCGTTGGCGAAAGAGCTGAAGGATGAGGATGAGGATGAGGAGAATGAAGATGAGGATGATTGGCCGTTGGATGATCCTGTTGAGGGAGCGAGCGATTCTGGGTCCGGCATAGATGGGACATTGATGTTCAGGGAGGGGAAGTCAATGGATTGGGCATTGGCGAGGAGAGCGATGAGCGGGATTAGAAGGAAGTGGTGGGATTGCATGGCTGTGGTTATAATCGACTGAGTGTTTTCTGAATATAGACAGAATGGGAATGTAATGGCTGACTAGAGTACGCTATTTTGATGTCGTATAGTTCAAAAAGACTGTATGAAATGAGCGACTGAATGAATGAAGAGAGATGGGATTTTTCCATTGGGGGTTAATCTGGTTGAAATTATGGCACAGGGGCAAAATTCCGGTAAACAGAGAGAACTTTTGCTCTGTGGAATGTATAAGTGACAACAGCATTCCTGGCGAGAGTTCATCCGAGGATGATAACCGAATTCGCCAGGAACATGATCATCCGCTGGTTACATCATCACATGCCTGCACTTCGGTGAAGGTTGCCAGAATGAGAAAATAAAACATTCATATTAACTTTTTATTATTTTAAACCAGATTTGAGTGAGGAATTTATATGATTATGTCAAACGACGAATCGCTTTAACAGTTATGCTACGTAAGTATACATTGACATCTTCCAACTCAACCTCAAACAAATCGCCAGCTTTTACATCTCCAATATCACGAGTTTCAGATCCTACTAATCTTGCATAGGCATCAAAGAAGTCCAATGTACCCCAAGTGCTATCAGACCTAGCCTGACTAACAGTAAATCGGAAGGTGGGAGGAAGGGCAGCCTCTTTAAACCGCCATGCGCGGACTAAGAAATGACATAGCCAATGTCTAATCGAATTCCTGTTGCCTTGTTTGATCATCCTTTCGCGAGCATCAAGATGTGTTATGATGCGGTCAAGCTCGACTTTTGAGAAAGGAAGGAAGTCTTCTTTGGTGTTACCTCTGAGATCATGCCCTAGACGTGCTTCTTCTCGAAGTGTTGCCTGGACTTGCCAGTGGAGTAATAAATCTCCATATCGACGTAGAGGGCTTGTACATTTAGCCATCATTTCAACGCCGACAGCTATGTGCGGGCCCGGTATGGTGGATGGAAGTATTGAGCCAAGTAGCTGAAAATATTGTACAGCAATACTTGCTGGAGGATAGCCATTTTCGTCCAAGGATGGTATTACGACCTCCTTGTAGAAATCCAGTGGATCTCTTTTGCTTACGTTGCGAGCAGTGATACGATAAGGGATTGGAACACCTCTTTCGTGGCACCATTGCGCTGCAACTTCAGCAGCGATTAGCATAAGTGGTGCAACTGCGTCTATTCTCGATCCTGGATTGAATTGTTCTTTCTGTAACTGGATCGTTGCCCCTGTGGGTGAGACTGACACATCCATTTGAGCAGAGTTCATGGAGACACCGCCCTTGGCTACACGTTGCTTGAGCCGAGCATCGCCAATTTTATGTAGTATTCGGAGGTCGTCTTTGTGCTCGTGAGAAAGCTGACTGCTCTGAAGCATGTTCCTCTTCTCCGAAACGGGGGCAATGGGCAAGCCAACGGTGGTGGTAGTAGTACTTGTTTTAGAACTTTGAGAATTGCCACCAGAAATGACTTCTTGAACCACCTGGGGCGTCATAAATTTTACATCTAGAATGGTGCGCGGAGATATGTGTGTCTCCAATATATCACCATTCAAATTCATCTTTGCGCTAAATGTTAAAGACGGACGGCTCGTGTCGAGACTGAGGTTATCTTGCACGAAATCGGACGGCAATAGGAAATGAACTTCACTGGGCGAGTAAATCGTTTCGGTGCGATTTGCGATTTCATCCGCAACCTCACCCTTTGCTTCTAATCGTGACGCAGGATCCGCTGCATGAACATGAACCCAATACTCGCCTGGTGTTCCAGTGCGCTCGATGGACACTCCATCATCAACTTCATGAGCACCTGCAGCATCAATACAGTAACAGTAGATGGAGTCTTCGAAGGCGACATGCTGTCAACTGAGGTAAAACAGTCTTTCCGGGGAACAATGTGATAGCCGTGGTTGTGAACGCGAAGATCAAAGGCTACTCGATTTGCTGTAGGACTGATCTCACCAATTTCTTGCAAAAAAGTCCACGCGGTGCTTTGATCCAATTGTAAGTTCTTGTATCGTTCCATGAATCGAAGAAGGGCTGAACCCGCTGCATTGATTGTAGAATTGCGATCAATGGTCTGGAAAGCCGCCCATGATTTTATAAATTCTGTATATGGTGATGGAGCAACTTTCCGTCGAATGTTATTATTATCCTCCGATGCAGCTAGCGTTTTAATAGTACCATGAGTTGTGAGCTGACGTGATTTGCGACTCTCGTCTACAGCTCCCTGACAATCTTTCACCCATTTCAGTAGAGAGCTTTTTTGAAACTTAAAGTTCGTGGCTGGAGCCTTTTGATACTTGCGAACCTCCTCGACCACATTTATAATATTCTTTACCTCTATTTTGGAGCTAATTTCGTACTGCCCGCCGGTTCTAGTTGCGCCTCTCAATTGTGGCCGAAAGCCAATCCCATCGCGCAAAAGGGACCGATGTAGAGCATACAATGCAGGGTAAGAATGCGTACCATCCTCGGTTCTCGGAATGTTTCGTGGAATAATTTCATTAGCTAGCTCGACCAGCGTAGCGTACCGAAAAGATTTATCTTTAGCAACAAGACTGTGAGCATGATCAAGCACGGAAAAAGTTCTTTGATAAATCGCTTCAGATTCAGCCCAGAACCCAAGCATTTGATCCACTATAGGCTTGGTCACTTCCCTAGGAATTTGTGGTCCAAGTTTGGGAATATTTGAAGTATCCAATTGTTCAATTTCTGGCGATGGTAGAAATGGTCGAATTATGTCCAGTTCATCGTTCCTAATGAAGCCTGGCACATAAAAGTGTGTGGATTTCAAAGAGCCCTTCATTAAAATACCAGACATTGTATAAAATTCTGCCAAATTATCGACGTCGCGTACATATATCGCAAGTTCCTGTCTCTGCCCTTTTCCACTAATCCCTCATGTAGTCCTGCTACATATGCTGAGAACGACAGAGTGGGTAGACACACATAACTTCGACGAGATCACCAGGAATTAGGAATCCCCGCCTGCTTCCAACATCGACCCAAATCATCAAACCCAACATTATGAATATCATCATCCACCACGTCCTCTTCGTCGTCAATTTCGAACTTGGTGTCTTGGATTCGAGAGCTAGAATTTTCCATGGTACCAGGTAAAGCATTGTCATTGATTGTTACAGGAACATATTGACTGGCATTTTCTGCTTCCCACGCTCTTAGCCGCTCTCTAATCGGCACCAACTCTTCCTTTTGTGTGGGCAAAACATCAGACGAAGTTTGAAGTTGGTCATTTTGCGTGCCTGTTTCGGCTCGTCGCTAGGAAATAGGTGAGTGGAGTAGAATATACAGAAGGGAAAGTTCTACGCACTACATAGCTGGTGCTGAATGACTTCGCATCTCGCCTTAATACTGTCTGTTTTGACCTTAATTGACCAACTGTATTCGAGCCTTGTGGGAGTTGACGCCTTCCAAGTGTTGCTCCGGAATGAAGGTTTGCAAGGCAGCTCCAGCATACGAATGATTGTACATTCCGTCTTGGAAGTCGGGAATTCCTTAACATGGCGTCTACACACTATGGCAATGGCGTGTAGATTTTGGCAACATGAAGATAATCCATCGGCAAAATTTCTCCATTTGATTGCGATAACGTTTTATTACACGATATTATCGCGTTCGCACGTGAAGTGATTAAAATATGGCCCAAGCGTCCTCCGAGAGTATAGTATTTATTTTCTACTCCACGATCAAATCTTTCTTTCTTTTGGTATCATACCCACATTCATGTAGACATTGGACTTTCAGAGCTTTCATATCAGGTAAGATCTATTCTCATATGTCATATTATCCGACACAATCCATAGCATTACAATACCTACGCTTTGTATGATGAACAAACTTTAGCATGTATTACCTGAAGATTTATCGTTTCGACGAGATTTCACTGTGGTCTACACCAAGATCTCTGACTACTATTCATAATCTCTGCATATTCGTCTTTTGATCTTATCATGACCATATAACTGATGAATCCTCTCAACAGGCATTTTCAAATCATGTCTAACTCCGAAGAAGGACAATTCACCATTCTTTATTTTGCTACAGCTAGCTCGTACACGTCGAAGGATTCCGAGGCTTTTCCTGCACCTCTACCTCTTTCGCGATTATTTGAGACTTTAGAGGATCGCTACAATGGAATAAGAGATCAGGTGTTACACAGTTGTCTGGTGACTATCAACTTCGAGTATGTTGATATCCCAGTGGGAATCTCTGATAGTCCTGAAATAATTATCAAAGATGGGGATGAGGTTGCAATCATTCCACCAGTGAGCTCTGGATAAGGTAGTCAGATTTGGGAGCCATCCGTGATCTACGATATCATTTATGTTCCGTTCTAAACCTCCGAAGTCTATTTATTAGCATGTTATATTTGATTTTTGTGTTCTCTATAAATGCCCTTAATATAATTCGCATTTGTTCTTGAATTCTTGATTGTTTCTGCTTATCATGATGGTACCGGAAAGGAACCTCAATTACATTGTGATCATAGCAACTTAAAAGGATCGAATGGGCGAGACGTTGGAGAAAATAGCTGTCGGCTAACGGCCCTGTCATATCCAACATACCTCCTTCGAATATTTAGGACTCATGTGGTCCTCCTACACTACTCGCGTAAGGCTAGATATGTGGCCAGCTATTGGAGAAGCTCACATTCAAATATTTATGGCTTACGAAACGTCTGGATTTTTCTCGCGAAGCCACAAATTGAGGTGCTCTATGGGTTCGGTACCAGGCGTAGCAACTTGGAAGCCCGCGACTAGGAGGAGGTAAGTGGGCAGTGCGAGGACAGCCGGGAGTGGATGTGAGTGTTTGCGAGGGCAAGTTTTGGGGGAAATGTTCTATATGAGGTGAGGCTCTGATCTGATTTAAAATAGTGGAATAATAAAGAGGGGAAGAATTGGGAGGGGTATTGGACAGAAAAACCAAAGAGATTTTCGGGGGATTTTTTTGCAGGGGTGGGAGGAGGTGGGCGTGCTGTAGTTAAGAATCCAAGTACATCTTGGAGACCTCCTAGTTGTGCTAGAAGGGTTAGAAAGGGACGTGACGGGACTTAGAAGCTGGTAAAACACACCAAACAACTTGAGGTGAACAGCGACCGGGTTAATATTTGGATCATGTATTCATAGCCTCCACAATCGATTTGCTGAAGATGGTTTGAATCAAACATGACCTAATAATGGGCGAGATTCTGGGGAAGGATTTTCTTGAACCACTACTGAGTGCTTCCTTCTCCAAAGCTTTCTCGGATATCGCCCCCACACCTCAAACCACCCTCGATTGCTCTCCCCGTTCCCCATACACTTCATTATGAGGATGACGAGCCCCATTGCCAAAAGCGTTCCATAAATCGATCCCAAAAACGTCAAAAACGTGATCCTGAACAACGCATTAGTCTCGAGGCAAAAGGCGTGGAATCAGCTAAATTTACGTGGAAACATGACAACCGAAAGGCCTAGCTCGTAACTCCCATCTTTCAGACCAAAGAGGGCAAATATCACTGTTAAGGATAGGAGCGAGGATTTGCATTGGAGTTACGTTTGGGACGCAAGTAGATGATACAGGACACCACGAGCAAGGACCTATAGACAAACAGTCCCAACAGTCTTGATGACCCCAGCATTTGTATAGCAAATCATCGGAGGATTCGTTCTCTACGTATTTGCTTGATATGTTTTTGTTCATGACGGGATGAATGTATATTTTGGTGGCTTGAAAATAATCGGATTCACTACTCTGTAGTCTGTGAGTTACCCCACTACTCGGAAGACACAAGGGTTTCTGACAAAGCCAAGGTCAGAAATATTAGACGACTGTATTGAAAGATCTCATATATCAGAAATGTATAGAATGATACAATCTGGTTAGCTGTTTCTCGAGAGGCCGAGGTGTCGAGTTCTTAAGTAAATAAAGTAGGAAAGAAAAGGTCTAGGTGGATGATGATAGGAGCGTGAGCTGCATGTGTCTGGCACTGTCTGCATTATTTGTGTCCCAATGCGTATAACTTTGCAGCGAACATAACATTGATTTTACAGTTTGGAAGGACTAATAACATTCCAGATTTCAATATTTAAAACTAATTTGAATTTTTATAGTTCATTCGTTGTCGTAAGTACCTATGCTTAATAAATTGAGGTGTATATGATCTAAAGTCTAATCTAAAGCAATCCTGTCAAGTACGACTATTTGCACTACGATTGTTTATCTAGTACGGAGTAGGTAGTTGTATTACAAATTGTCAATCGTGACATAGAAAATCAAATATGGTTTGTATGAGTAGCTTTTATCATTCTCATTGATTAATATATGGTGAATAGAAGTATTTACTATTTATCTACCTTCTACACACACATCTTATGTTATCAAAAAGTGGTATGACAAAACAAATTGTCACTTCCTCATCTACTAGCGCCAAATTTACATCAACGGATCTTTTTCATCGCATCCACGGCATCACAACTCTCCGATCGGACAGTCGGCACGAAATCAACAAATCTATGATCTAAATGGAAAATAATCCTGTAAACTTGGGTCAAATTGATCCTCGACTTCGAGATGAATCTAACACAAATTCATTTACGCAATCTCAACAGCATCAACAGCCACAACCGCAACACGACATTCACAATCTAAACACTCAAATTCCTGCGAGCACACCTCAATTATCTGGTCCGTCATCAACAGAGCTCTCACAGCTACAGCAATACCATCAACCTATTCACGATGGAGTCCAACCTCAAATGTACATGCCTCAAACCCCGCAGTCCACAGGTCGTACGCCGGACGATGGGTCAATACTCGCAGACGCGTCGGTCGATCCGAAGCGATCAAGAGCTTGTGAAGCTTGTCGAGGATTGAAAGTCAAATGCGAACCTGATATGAACAATTTCGATGGTCCCTGCAAACGATGCGCCAAAGCTAGTCGCCAATGTATTGTTACTGTACCAAGTCGAAAGAGACAAAAGAAAGCAGATAGCAGAGTTGCTGAATTAGAGAAGAAAATTGATGCATTGACAGCTACATTGCAAGCAACGAAATCGGCATCTCTACCAACCACACATGGAGCCGAAATTGGTCTTGAGGATCATGGCCAGCATATTCCACAGAGGCAAAACCCATATGAGCAAGTCACAAATGGGGGATTTGGATCCCCTTTCCCCGGTCATCCCGAATCAAGGTTGAACCAGCCGGATTGGTCCAACTATCCTAAAGCTTCCCCATCCGAGAACCAAACATTATCTGCACCCCCAATGGTGATGGCCGGGCAGAAGAGAAAACACGTCGAGAGTCGAGATGGCACGCCGGCTGACTCTTTCATGACTGCCGGTTTGGGGCAGAAAACTCCCGACCTTAATCCACACCAAGCACTTTGGCATGCCACCCAAAAACAAACCCCATCCCATGAGTATGCGGATGTGGTGGATCGAGGTTTGGTAACAGCTGATGTTGCCACCAAAATGTTCGATTGCTATGTTGAAAGAATGGTCCATCATATGCCTGCTGTTGTCTTTCCTGCAGGTACCACTGCTGCAGAAATTCGCAAGACGAAGCCAATATTATTCTTAGCTATCCTCAGTGCCAGCTCAGGCACAAATTACCCATCACTGCAGAAACAGCTAACGAAGGAATTGATGAGTATCTATGCAGATCGCATCATTTGTAGTGGCGAGAAGACATTAGAGCTCATACAAGCTCTTCTCATTAGCACCCTCTGGTATTGGCCACCGGAACATTTCGAGGAGCTAAAATTCTACCAGCTTATCCACATTGCCGCAGTTATGGCAATTGATATTGGAATGGGTAAGAAGGGAAAGGGTGGTAGGACTGATAAAATGAAAAGTGCAGGATTGTGGAGAGACCATCCGTGGCGAGGAACACCATATCCCGATCCGGAGACCATCGAGGCAAGACGTACTTGGCTGGGCTGCTACTTTCTATGTTGCAATGCTGCTATGGGCTTACGCCGACAAAACATCATTGGTTGGACCTCATTTATGGCGGAATCTGTTGACATACTGGAGAACTCCCCGGAAGCAGCACCTACAGATAGAATCTTAACCCAGTGGGTTCGTAGCCAGCGGATTGCAGAGGAAGTTGGAATATCATTTTCAATGGACGAACCAGGTGCAAACATCAGTATCGCCGACCCAAAGGTGCAGTATGCTCTCAAAGGTTTCGAACAAGAGCTTGATAAATGGAGCAGTTCGATACCTCCTGATATTCAAACACGTAAGTGGCAAATTATACACTAACTGGACAATAAATACTGACAGAGTCATTCAGCATCCTTAAAATTGACTGAACATGTAATCAATCTTTACATGCATGAAGTGGCTATGCACGTCGATCACAACGTCGAGGAGTTCAAGCCACCCTTTACTGAAGAGACGTTACATGGTGGTTCAGAAACCACAGATGTCTTAACTTCAGCTCATATTGCTGCTCTCTCCTGCTGCCTAACATCCATCGACGGTATCTTTGAGACTTTTCTGCAGTTTGATGTTGAAGTTATTCGATGTCTTCCCATTGCACATTTCGTTAGAGTGGCTTATGCTGTTGTGGTACTTATCAAGATGTATTTCGCGGCGGCCAATCCTAACGGTGAGTTGGGGAAAGTTTTCATCAAGGACAACATGAAGGTAGAGCATTATCTCGATGGTTTAGTCGAGGTCTTCCGTGCCTCTGCCGCAGATGAGAGATCTCGACCAGCGGCAAAATTCTTGATGGTCCTCATGATGTTGAAAACCTGGTTCCATCGTCAGCGAGAGGGCAAATCAACTCCTGTACACAACACAGAACTCCCTGATCCTCCAAAACCTACGGGTGATACTTCTGGGGAAGGCACAAACGAGACAGATCAAAATGCTGCTCGACAAATGGGATCACAACGCAACGGGCAACCGAGCTATAGCCCTGGTCCTGCGAATACCCCGCTGCAGCTTCTTAGCGAAGTCGCGACGGGCAATTCTGGTGGTCCCCGTCCTGAAAATCAAAATCAGAATCAAAATCAATTTGCGGTTCAGCAAAACGACTGGCAACACAACAACAACAGCAGCAGCAACAACAGCAACCATATCCCAACTACGATCCATCTCTAAACCCCATGAACGCCCAAATACTACAAGGCTACGGAGATATATCAGGAAACATCGACCCATCTCTCGGAATGGATCTTGGTTTCGCCATGGGCGAGGGATTCGAGCAGGCAATGGGTATCACGTTTGGAGTCGGCGATATCGGTAATTACTTTGGCGAAGACGTCTTTGGTCAGTTCATGGGAGGCAACGTGCAGGGATTTGATGCGGGAATGTAGCCTTTGAATTGCTAAACATCCACTCTTTTGATAAGCACTTCCTTCTCTCGGGGGTTTTTGGTTTCTCATAGTGGGACGCTCTCACTGTCTTTTGTACTTATTTATTATTCATGCCAAGATATAAAAACAAAATAAGCATTTCTCGACTTCCGGGTAGCTGGGTAGTCTATTTGATGAGTACGAGGTAGCTTTAACGTGAAGGAATGAGGAAAAAAGAGAGAAGAAAACGGGAGAGCGATATTATTATCATCATCATCATCACAAATAGTCATAATTCGCATATGATTCATTACACTTCCTCGCATCGTTTATCTACCTAGGTGATATTCATAAAGTCCCACGATACCTAAGATCTACCTACCATAGTCACATCTGAACATCTTATATGGATATATATTCCATAAAGAAAGAATGTGAGATTACTTTCTCTCTCCTTCACCTCTATCTACATCTACTATACTAGGTAGATATTTACACCTGTATAATATAATAAACGAAACGGGTCTTGATACTGTACTATCTGTACCAGTATTGGTATACCCTAGCCCTATGCCTATCCATATCCATATCCCCTATCCATACCATCCTTCTATAAACACCATGCCCTCCCAATATTAAAAAAAAGTCGTTTCGTCAATACAATGAATACCATCCATGTTAGATAGATTTTTAGTTATGCATAGCTAATTATGCATGCTAGATGATAATACGATAGATATCTCTTGAAATAAATATCCTAACACCTTGTAGGAGAGAGAAAATTTGTATCTCTCGAATGTCTCATGGGTAATATGAGTAAAGCTATCACCCTGATACCCCTTTTCTTCCTTTTCTTTCCTATCATATCAAAATCTTGGACTCCATCTTAGATCTCAGTATTGAATCCGCTCAACAGCTTTGCTAAGAATCTCCACAGAAAGAAAAAAATCGCGCCTGAAAATCTCTTTCAATATCCATACTCATCATGCTGATGCATCGGACATCTTCCTGGGTGCTTCTCAAACCATTTCCTTATACAACTTAAATGGAACCTACAAAAGCATTCCAGACGTCCCATTTCGACACCTGGTTCGTATTCTTCCAAACATATTTGGCATTCGGCATCGTCTTGGCAATCTTTCTCCGTGGCAACATATGGAAATACTCCTGTGCGCCGAGGTTGAGAGGGACCGCTCGATGGAGTTGATACAAGAGGATGAGGTAAAGCTGATGTGGAAGAGGCAGAGACGCGAGAGGAGCTCGATTGTGCGGATGTTTGAGTGATGGGTAGCGCCGGACGTGTAGTTGATGGGATTGGTGGAGTGGGTGTTGAACTCGGAGTACCGGTAGAAAGTCTAGATGTGGCGCGATTAATACAAGAAATTATATGTTCAGATCGAAGGGTTTCGGAGTTAGCGAGAGATGAAGAAGGCAGTTCATGGTGACAAATGGGGCATTCATCTTCCTCTTGTATTTGAGGTGGTCGCGGCAGAGGACGAGAACGTAAGTCTCCGCCTGACACGACATATCGCCTGCCTGCATTTGGTACAGGGGCGTTCGGCGGGCTTTGAACACTAGGAGAAGGGCCTCGAACATTTCTCAGGAAGGTAAACTGCGATAAAGCTTTAGCAACTACATCTTGTTTCATGGCCGATTGACGACTTACCATATCTTCAGTTGTATCTCGCCCCGTTCCAGTAACTGTTGAGCTTCTCGAACGTGTGTTTTGTCCGGAGCTCAAAGCTGCTCGCTCCCTGTACCAATTCTGAAATTCTTCTGCTGTTCTAGGATTAGGATTCATCCCAGCCGGCGAGTACCTACTGCTATACTCACGGACAGTATGTGATCGATGATCCGCAAGTCGAAATCTAGGTTCCGCTGGTAGGCTTCCGGGTATGGATGTAGTAGGAACGATAGAACTTTGTGTTCGGCCGTGATAGCCAAGGTTGTGTCGAGGCTCCGGAACAGAGCCGGTTTGATTAGTTTGAGGAGGAGCTATATTAGGATCCGGTACACAAGGGTTACACAGGCGAACTCTATCTCCTCCACCAAACTCTAAAGTATTCGTGCGTCCTTCACCCTGTGGATCGTGAAGGCGATTATAAGCGACAGAATTGTATGGAGCGGGATGATCTGGAGGTTGGACAATGTACTGATAGGGAATTGTGATACGGTGCGGGGAACAAGAGTTGCAGACCACACGACCGCATTTTCTAAACAAATTAATATGGTGAATCAGAACGGGCCTAGCCAATGTAGTAAGAGTTTAATTCACATACCGACAGTGATGCTTCCTGTTTAGCCAGCCAAACCAAGTATGGCAAATAGGACATTGAGTAACCTCCGAATCCGGCTGCCACCTGGGAACTATGACCTCACTCCGTATAGGTTCTCGATCTCGCGTCTGCCGTTGTGTAACACCTGAGAAGGACCGGGATATAGTGGGTGTGCCCTCATCATCTGAAGATGAACTGGCAGGATTAGCTGAGCTTCTTGTCGGCTGCTCCGCGAGAGAATTTGTGGAGGATGATGTACGTCTGCTCAGGAAAGATTGAGTTGAGGGTCGCCTCGATGATGATGATTGATATGAAGGTCTGCGATCAAACCTAGATGACGCTGTGTTTCGCCGAGAAGAGCTAGCCGAGCTTGGAACTCTATCCAGCGTAGTTGACATGTCTGCTTGATAACCAACGGTGGAAATACTGTGACCTAAGCTGTCTTCCCTTACAGGAGCTTTTCCACGACTCGAGTTTTGTCTTTGTCTAACACTGCGAACAGAAGCCCCTTCACTGGAATTAGAACCATCACTTCCTCGACCCATTTGAACGGTTGCCTGGTCATCCATAGCTGGTTCTGCTGGTTCTGCTGGTTCTATATCTCCTTCTATTTCGGTCTGTGGGCTGCTCCTTAAGTTCACTCGTGATGCAGTTCCGGCCTCAGATTCCTCGCCCGGCTCGACCATTACCTGACTATTGAAGTTATCTTCGGAAGAAGAGGGGCCCACAAATCCTAACATGTGCGAGTCCTCGCCCGAATCACTACCTTCCGTATAGAAGTGAGAACGCGGGAAACGACTGGGACTCTTGATTGGTTGACTCCCTGATGTGGGAGGAGCGGAGGAATTGGAACGGCCCCCTACAGAAGGATCCCACTGCTCATCCATCTTCGCCGGACCTTGACAAAGCTGTTCTTCAGGGCGAGTTAAGGCGGCAGTGCGGAAAGTAGTTTTATATTAGCCCGGGATCGTATATACCTTCAGATATAGTATTATTTGTGAATATATGTGTCGTTAAAATTGCGGATTCCAAGACCGTAGCGAAAAGTAGGAGAACGGGAGTAATGTCCGATGCAATTAGACCTTCGCATGAACTCCTCCTAACTCCATCCACAAAGACCGATATTCGCTATGCAGGTAGGAAGAATGGCAGAATGTCGTTGTCTCAAACTTCAAGTAATCCTCGAGATCGAAGCGGGGAGAGTTGTATTTCATGAGACCTAATATTCATCGTATTAACAATCCCATTCTCCTACAAACACCCAGTACATGCGAATTATGAAAACCGAATACACTCACTATAAATCTACCAAGTACCTATCCATCGACCTGCCGGACCTGATACTTTCAACACCAATCTCGAAATTACGCCGCACATATGACCAACAAAGGATGAGGATCCTGTCGACGGTGACAAGCAAGCCCACGACACTCTCCTTCGTCTTCTTGTCTATTCCCTCTCCGAATCCCTTGGTCAATATACCGGATGTTTCTGAATGTCGTCGCGTAGGACGAATAAACCGTTTGAATTTGCAATAAAACTGTTGATCAACTCGCGCAACTAAAGTATCGCACTGTTATACTAAAGATGAGAGTGTTGTGGTCACTAGGTATTGTTATCGCGATAAGAGCAGAGAAGCTAACCTATCGGCTCTTCCCATAAGCTTTGAAGGAGCAGGGAATAAATATCCTTGGCTTCGTGGTGGTGGTTACAAAGGTAATTAATATTGATCAATATCACGATATGGTTGTGGGAAATTTTGGAAAACGGAAAGGTTATTTGTTCCAAATGCTGGAAAGAAATTGCAGCCGATTATTCCGTAGTTTCAATATGGCGAAAATTATTCATTTACAAAACAAATCAATTCTTCACAAATCCTCCTCTTCTCACACACACTTGCCTGCCAATCAGCCGTTCTACATGCTCGTCGGTGGATCAGCAGATACATGTTAGACATCAAAGTTCCCAAGTGTTGCTTGACTACAAATCACTAATCATCTCAGGGCCTGGGGCGAGGTTCACCAGCGTATGTTGCTACTCTGTATGCCATGCAGACAGAAAGTACTAAGTGACAAGCACAAATTACACAACGTTCAAGATTGGATAAAGGAATATTTATCTGAATTTTGGTATTAAACTGTGGTAATCGCAATCATTGTGCTAAAAACTTTAAAATAGTTTTCCTCATCTAGTCTGTATGGTACTAACTCATCGTATTAAGAAGCCATGCCAAACCATCAAACCGTAATAATTCATGCGGCATGGTGGATCATATAAACAGGAGATTCACTGAGGCCATCGCTCAATGCAAGCAGATCAATAAACCCCTTAATGCTCCAACAGTCTCAAGGATCCTTGAACCACAACATTCTCCAAGATGGATCCGGGAGGAATATCGATAGTTTGCCCCTCAGTTGCTACAATGATAACGGTACCCTTGAGGGTAACACCTCTGCCAAGGTTAACAGCACCAGTGATGGTCAAGTGATCAAGCTCGAGGATTCTTGGAATGCTGCTGATACGCTTCTGGAAGTCAGAAACCTTCTTGAAATCGTTACCGAGCTTGATCAAAGGAGCTGGACCGAAACGGCTGGGGTCAATTTGGAGTTGACCGTGCTTCAATGAGTATAAGTCCGACTTGACAAGCATCAAGTCAGAGCAGGTCTTGACTGGCAAGAAACGTCTACGGGGCACATTGACACCATGGGCGTTGTGGAAATGACGGATGGCAGCTCCGACGGCAGTTTCGAGCTGAACGATTGAGACATCAGACTCGCCCTTCTTGTCAGCTGGGATGGATTTGTTGTTTGGGATGATTTCCATCTCGAGCTCGTTGTTCTCGACAATGCGCTTGACAGCTTGCAAGTTCAACCAGATGTTGTTGGTGTTGAAGTACTTGAATTTCTTGATAGATTTGAACTCGTTGGTATGCTCTTTTGGTACTTGAGCAATTTCGAGGAGACGGACAGAACCTTCATAATCGATGATGGTACCACCCTTAACATCGGCCTTGGTCTTGTCAGTCAACTCCATGATGTACTCAGCCTTGGTCTCAACCATGTGCTGCAAGATGCGAAGATCGACAACAGCACCCAAGTTGTCAACGTTGGAAAGGAAAACAATCTCAACACCTCGCTTGATGAGAGTGTCAAGGATGCCAGAGTTGTAGAGAGACTCGAAAACATCTCCGTGTCCTGGTGGGTACCAGTCAGAAATTGGTGAGTCGAAAGACTTTGGTGCAGGAAGGAGCGAGTCCTTCAAGATTCTTGGGTATCGAGATTGGTTGAATGTTAGAATGTCAATGTTGTGTCCCTCATATTTCTTGATAATGCTTGAGGTATCATCATCAGTGTTGAATGAGTTCATCAACACGAAAGGAACATTAACGTTGTATGTGCGGTTAAGGTATTCGATTTGTCGGACGGAAAGATCGAGGAAGGACATGCCATCACGGACCTCAATAACTGATTTGGGACCAACACAACCCATGGAAGTACCAAGACCACCATTAAGCTTGAGGACAGCCAATTTGTTAAGGAATCCAACAGACTCGGAGTTTGCAAGCTCATTGTAATCGACGACTTGGTTCTGGGCGGGTGGGGCAATACGGTCCCAGTCACTGTTGTTTCGTTAGACAAACTATGCCCGTTGACGCGGAGGGGCTGATACTCACAGCTGGTTTCCCTTTGCCTTGTCATTTAAGTATCTGCGGAAAAGAGCGAAGAAGTTGTCCATCTCAGTCTCGAAGAGCTATAAAGCGTTAGATATATGCTATTCATTTGCGGAGGAGTACTCGGGATATACCTTCTTCTCTTCGGGGTCTGAGACGGTGTCTGCCAGGCTGTTGAGAGCATTTCGCATCTGACTGGCAGCTACAGATGTTGAGGTGTTTTCGAAAGCCTGGTTATTGCTTGTTAGCCTATCTGAAATTGGAGATTCATAGGAGGTTTATTGGAATCTTGTTCCCTTGGTACGGAAGAGAAGGAAAAGGCAGGATGTAGTTCGGCAGGTGGTGGGGTTCACATCGAACTTTGAATCGTATTGTATGTTGACCTCCGGACTGTGATGATGTAGCACTTTTGCTCCTTCTGAGCTAGTTGCAACATGCACAGGTAAATACAAACTCCATCTTTAAGTCATTTGAAGATTCAGTAAGTTTGGTCATCCACTAGATGGTACAAAGCTCGTCTCCTGCCATTGTGTTTCATAAGAGCAAGACTCGTATCGAGTATGGCGTCTTGCCCGTTGGTATTGGTTTGTTTACACCAGAAGATTCTCTCTTCTGCCACTTTGAAGGGTGAAGGATTCGGGTCCTCATAGATAATCCATGACCGAGAAGACGGTGAAAGTTGACATTTCATGAAAGGACAGCACATACCATGTGTGATTGTGTCTTGCCATGGTGCTTGCGGGCGAATTCGCCGTTATCGTTTGGAGATAAGCTCGATGGCTTGAGGTGGGAGGGGAGAGCGCTTTTCAAAGCTTGTGCCATTTTGTATTATGATTTTGATGATATTCGAAGATTCGTAAAAAGAAGTAAATGGATGGGTATGTTGAGGAAGACAAGTTGAAGCTTTCTATGAAAGGAAGGAGATGCTTTGTTAGCCGACATGATCAACACGGTGAATTTAATTGACATAACAGGGAAATGTGGTATGAAGGTGTGCCCCGCCAATGCCAAGAAATGACAATTTGACCACTTACTCCAAATGCAGAGAAGGTATTTACACGCAATAAACACACGAAAACGTAGAATGAAGAGGGAGAATATCAAATGAAAGAAACAACTTGTGGGAATGGTTTGCTGTCCCCTTTATATATGTGTTTAGCTAGCAGTGTTGGTAGTAAACAAAACCATCTCCTAACTAAAATGGTTCCTTGCTGGTTCTTTTTAGCTTCGAAATTATGGACCGAAATAATTATGATCGGGGAAAGGTTGAGGGGCTGGGCTTGCGCCTTGTGGTTAGTTTTGGCTAATCAGAAGAGCGGCTTTGTACTAGGATTAATCGCTATTTTCATCTCATTCGTCCTCCCGATGAAATGTTGTTACATCTGGCACCCAAAGAATCCACGGTTTTGCATGAAATTCATGTTGTGGCAAGAAAACCCATGAAATTCAACAGTTACAGATCATCTAGAATTACATGTGTTACTGATGCTATTGGTGTTACTCTAACTTCTCCCCGGTTTTTCGTCGTGGTACATTCTCTTTGGACGTTCTCTTTGGACATTATCTTCAGACATTCTGTCGGGCTCTCTTCTCTACAGAAAGCAATTTCACTCGCAAAGCTTCACAATTTCACAAAAGTTTGGTAGCAAATTTCCATATATAGTCTTACAACATCTAACTCTTAGGTAGGGAAACTGGTTCCGGCCAATTTTAGAATATTTATCGCGGTCAGATATCTCCACCATCCATCGATCTAAGACTGAACTATCATTTTACTATGGAGACTTCAGCTATTGTATCCACATTAGCTTCATCTACGGGTCTTCCATTCTCTTGGTCGAAGAGAAAAAGGGGTTCTAAACGCAGCTATTTCAACCAACTTCAAAAAGTTACAATTTTTTCGAGAGTTTAACCTGTGCCATGAGCCGCAGATACTATTTAAAAAAGGCTGAAAAGGCACACTTTACACAGCAGCTTTACCCTGTCCGGTACATTAGGAAGCCACATATCAGTAATAGCCCGTTTTAGCTTCCGTTCCATTTTCTCAAGAATACGAATCATCAAAATCATTTGATGTAGCACTTTTCAAGCAGTGCTACCTAACATCTCAAATACAATTTGGGCATTCCTTTATCCTTCTTGCCACATTCAAGGAAGCAACGACAAGCTTTAGCTTCCATACAATTTCCACGTGTGGTTCTCAATGTCAATATCATTTGCGTGTCACAAAACCTTGTTTAGGAACCCCGCTGACGCCCAGGAATGAGCGATTCTAAGTATTGAACATCTCAACGTTTCTTCATGTAGAAACATGTTTGTCTACCGACATACAGAAGTATATATATTCACCAAACAGGCAAAGCCTAACGCAATATTACGCAATGATAAGCTGAGGTAGCATTAATACACGTGATATTAAAATATCACAAGTTGGTCACAATATTGGGTTCTTGATAAAAAGGTTTTGTTGCATATCGCATTTCAGGATGAGACATGCATAAGTATCCATCGAATCAACAGATGAGACGAAGTCGTGCATGAAGTAGCTTCATCACGTGGGGCTACCTTTTTATTTCAAATATTGATCCTTTTGCTTCTGGCCAATGCCAACTTGGAGGTCGAGATTTTAAGACCTTAACAAGATCTCAATACCAAGCTTACCTTCATACGAGGGGAACCTATCTTTAAGACGAAATCGTTTTTAAAGTAATTCAACTAATCGACATGCCCCGGACCGATTGTCCGGAGGTCCAATATCGGTTGAGACATTGAGGACGTGTTCTTTTCCATGTTTGATATAACCAGACGTCCCAGATGTCCCAGCACAACACATACAACTTTCCAGCACATCGCATACAATTTCCCCCACAGCCGGCCCCATCAGAGCATACCGTCTCTAAAAACTCACATACAAGAACTCAGACTAGGCCCGTTTCAGAAGAGGGTCGACAGTGTTCGGAGTTTTCCAAATTCCTCATTGAATTCGTGAGATTTCAGATATTTTATAGGTCAGTTGATATCGGAATATCATATATTCCGACATGAGATTGAGAAAATGTCGGAAATTTGAAAATTCCGAGCCCTCCCATTGACCTCGATCTTCCTATTAAAATGGCTTAGTGTGAGTTCTTCTGGTGAGTATCACCACGACGTTGTTCCATATCTTCGGTCCACGACCATAATATAGGAGATCCGGTACACTCTTCTGACCGCTGTTTTTAATACCGTTAGAAACAACAATACGGCACGGTAACGACCAATGTGCTAACATCCCCGAAGTATCCCTCCATGATCCATCGTATACGGCAAGGCGACTCACCGTCATTAAGCTTTTCCAGAACGACCCACTTATGTACTTCTGTACCCCTATGATGACACAGAATCACAACGTCTTCTAGAAAAGAAGACATTCTAGATACTGTAGTTACAAGCTCGTTAATCATCCCTATGAGAACAACCTAGTCACGACATCTCCTAAAGGTCTGGAAAAGAATACATCCATCCGGGTACGAACTCCTCGACAACCCCTATCCAGCATCGAAAGAAGGCAAGCTACTAGTATTTAACGAGTGTATCCGTCCGTATACACACATATATAAATCCACTTGTAATCCCTAAACCAAATCAGAACAACTCCATTCTATCATCCCACCCCATCCCCTTACCATAAGTACTCATTCTCCAATATACTTCCCAACTTCCATCCTCCAATCTTCTAAATCCCCCCTCCACCCAATAAATAGGTATCAAGTCTACATACACATTGCAAAATACACCACCAATACCTACCTACGTACCTACCATCAGGTGAACCTATAAATCAGATAAACTAAAACATCATCATCCGAGACAATCCTACAAATCCCCAACACCGCAACGAACTTCTCATGTGTGACTTCTATCATTCTCCATATACATCTATCTCACCTAGTTGTTCTCACTCAGTCGTGTCCCCTCACACGCAATAGCCCATCGTATCAAAACTACTCTTCAATGCAGGTTTTAACATGTTTTTGTATTTGATCTGATCTGATCTGATCTGATTTATTTCTTCCCTCATGCAAGTAACCAGTCATGGATGTCTGTAGGTAAATACAGATACCAGCACCAGTATCAGTGCCAGTGCCATCATTTGTCCATTCTAGCCCATCCCATCCTATTCCGTACCCATCCATCCAGCCATCCCAATCCAAATCAAGCAGATTGAGTACATTGAGCATCAACATCATAATCGACGAACCCAGCCAGCAATTGTGAATTTATAGCGATAAAATACAACTTGCGATCCAGATCCATGAGTCTCCGGTATGATAGACATATCAAAAATATAACCATACATACTCATACTTTCCATCGATTCGCCTCTTAAAACTTATCATCCATGCATGCGTATCCATTCATGAGCACAGTAATTTTTTCATAAAAACCGTTCATGTTTGATGTCGCATGGTCAAGTTCGTAGTCGCTATGCCGCCGAGCCTGTCGAATCGAGCTCTGTTCCTTTCCATCTCAAGTGCCATGCCATTATCACTGTCGTATCATTTCATTACGTATCGTAAAAAGTAGTTTCTAAGAGATCGGGTCCCTTCCTCGTTTTCCATCCATTTATCCTTCCATTGACTCTCAGTGCTAAAAGTGTATTCTCCCGGTGAAATACAGCACCACGACCACGGCAGCAGCCACGATAATAGCCACCAAGAATGTGACTCCAATACAGATGAAGCGACATCGACGTTTCTCCTTATACTGCTGATCTAGCCAATCTTCACCTCCGCTATTTCCACACAGTATCGTCAGCAAATCTCCTAGTTTCCCTTCTTCCGTGTCCATATACTCGTTTCATCACTTCCAATACCTATCCATTCCTCCATCCCATCCACCATCTCCACAGTCCCCACCAGATAGCCCAGAACAAAAAGAACAAATAACCACCTACCCATAAGGATCCTTCCTCCTCCCCACACTCTCACTAGCATACCCACTTTCCAACTCCTTTAAATCCACCTCCGACATATGTACCGCCGTCGAGAACCTTTTCCAGAACATTGGATCTCTCACCAAACCCATGCTACTAGATTGCATCGATATGGGTCTTTGCGAGACCTCTTGTTTCAATGGTGAGGGACGATGCTCCCTCACTCCGAAATTGCGTGGTTTGCCTCCCATTTTGTAATGCTAGATGGAAACCTAGTATAAGGTCGTAGACCGAGGAGGTTCGATGAGGCGGTGAGCTGGCGAGGAGTATATTTTGATCAAACCAGGAAGTTCTAGAAAGTAGACTTTTATGCGATCGTTTATAGATCGATAGGATGGTATTCTGATTCCGAGGGTCGTCTGTCTTTTTGTATTGACGGGAAGGAGTTATATAGAGTATAATGAGTGAGGTTGGAGACTAGTAGTCCGGCCAAATCCAAATATTCAAAGCCACACAAAGGAATGAGTAGTGAGCCTTCTCTGAATATTTCAAAGATCAAGAGAGTGTAATTGATTCAAGCTCCGATTCAAGGGGATCTAAAATCTCGAGAAATTCAACGACGGTAGGACAAAAGAGTGAAGGGTTTAGAAAGCTTCAGCTTTCAATTTGACATGCAGATATCTGTAAATAGACAATGAACAAAAGACAAGACGAAACAAAACAAAACAACATCTAGAATGAAATCGAAGTTGTTTGTTTGTAAGAAGAAATCAATCACCGTCCCATAATACTTAATTCACCATTATTAAAAAGTTACAGGCCTTTCTCATACTCACCGTTCGAACAGGAAGGAACCCTGAATGTGAATAATCTACAGGTGAAGAAAGGTGCAGACATCAATGCTTGGACAAATAAAGAATTACAAGTTGCTGCTTTTATCACCATCATCCATTTCTCACAGCACAATAATCTTTGATCCCACATGAAACATAGAGATAGCAACCAAGCAACAAAAGCAGCACTCAACACCGTTAAAAATCAAAGTCCAGGCCATAAACCATTATCGTAGATTACAGGCGTAGGAAATTAGAGCGGAGTCATCCCGATCAAAATGGCCCGATGAAATCCAATAGAATCGCACTTAGAACCTCAAATCCACCAATGATATCACCCGAGAAATATATTGATGATGAAGGTGTGACGTGACACCAAAAATCAATAAACCTCAAACCGATTTTTTTATTGTTATTAATGTGCATGGGATTATCCCGTAAATTCAGGAGAACATAGTGGACGGTGGATGCTGAATAGGTAGCTTCAAGCTAGCGGGAAGAGCTTGAAGCCTTGAAGAAAGAAAGGGGCGTTTCTTAGGCCATCTGCATTGTCCAAGCGCCTAATGAATCATTGGAATGGCCTAGGAGTTGGCACTAATATAGGGGAGGTACAGCGACATGCGTAGCACACATCACTGCTGAACACACTAAAGCTCACCCTAAAGCACTGTAAACAAATAAACAGAATTCTTCCAACAACACCATCGCCATTTACCCCCACACATCCAATTTACCCATCCTATCCTATTCCACCACCCTGCCGTTACCGCTTACTACCTTGTCACCATAATACATAAGCACCATACCATCCATACCGGCCCATAAAATCGGCTCTCACCGGCTCCCTAGCAGCATCTCCACCCGCCAAGCCCGTAACATCAAGCTCCCACCCCCGAGAACATGGGTAGCATAACCCCCATCCCGTACCGGCAACCCAATAACCCACCCACACAGCAAACAACCCAATATCCAAACTACCTACAAAACCTCTCCGCCAAAGACATCAGCATAATCAGCACCCCAGACATCCACTACCAAATCCTCTCATGGGCCTCAGTGCGGCAAATAATTTCAGACAACCGACTCGATCTCTTCCAACGCAAACCCTCCGATCTACGACGATACCTAGAATATTGCTATCACATCAAACAGAAATATGGCTCGATTATGCGCTACATGCTGGATGTGAAATTACGATGGAAAGAAACGGAATTGAGAGCGCAAGATGCGCCTTTTTGTAATGAAGATGATTTGAAAGTGTTAATGAATGATTGGCCCTATGGCATCGATGAGAAAATCGTCCATCTGGTTGTGTGGACGAAGTTCGCTCTGGAAGATGATCCTGAAACGGGTGATACGAGGGATGATGTGAAGAGGGAGATTGATCGATGGGTGGATGTCGTTTTTGGGAAGAAGTGTGGGGGCGAGAAAGTAAGTTACTCTGTTCTGCACTTGCATGTAAGATTCTTGTGTATCATCTTGACTTGTCATGCCGAATGCCTTGCGTTGACTGATTTGCATGGGGAATCACATTGACATTGGAAGGAGAGCTAATGAGAGATTTTGTATGCAGGTGATCTGGTTTAGGAATTGGAGAAGCTTGAAGTCGATTCATTCGGTGGAGCATTTTCACGTTATGCTCTATGATCCGGAGTCTAATTTTGTGAGAGAAGTGACCAAGGGAGGTATTACCAGTCAGGAAGCAATGTAGCAAGCCAGACGAGGGAATAAGTGATGGGGAAAGTTTGTGGTGATAATTTGATGCGATTATTCATCAATAGCGTTCAGCCAAGAAGGTTATAGAAATGTTAGACGACAAACAAGAAGTAGACAGATAGAATGCTGCAAGAAGTAAGCCAAGGTCTTATCGTAGCCAAATATAGTTTAATTTGTACTTTTAAAATTTGAACCTATTCACAGTTTGCTGCCATCAAACATCCTCTTTTTTGCCGTGGCCATGACTGTCATGTCCTTCCCTGCTTTCCCATACTATCAGAAATGCCGCAACCAGAAGCTCAGGTATGATTTTCCTAACACTTATCATCCAAACGCCATAAAATACCGACTTTACCATACGCCCACATGCGAACTATGCATTACACCCTCCGAAAGTCTTGTGCTAAGCATACTCTCTTGGGATTCCCAAACCCTCTTCCCTCTGCAGCCTATATGACTCTTCTTGCTCCTTTCTCTCGCGAATCTCGTCCTCAACATCTTGTTTCCATGCTCCCAAATCGGGTGGGATTCGCTGACTTTGTACGCTCGGTGCGTGTTCAACAAAACGCAGCTGTTCGTGAATGCTCGACACAATTTCATTAATCTTCTTCTCTGAATTGTGATTCCTTCGGCTTTGGGTTTGACCCTTGGCACTTAGCAACTCGGTCAGGTCTGGATATAGGGATTGATCTCGGAAATGATTGCGGTAAGGGGTGTGCAATGGGATTTCCTCATGTAACTTTGCACCTATGGCAATACTGGTTTCATTTGTCCAAGCACGCGCAACATTCCGGGGTGTGTAACCGCCTCCACCTACAAGCATAAGAGGTATACCTAAACTCTTGACATACTCAACACAAGCGCCGTGGCCCTGGACAAGAATGTTGAATGTCCCGATGCGATCCCCTGCGAGTGAATCGGCTCCACATTGAAGGACTATGGCACTTGGGCGGAACTTTTCGGTACATTTCGAGATGACTTGTTTGAATACCCTTAAATACTGGTCGTCATCGATGCCATCATTCAATGGGACGTTAACGGCGTGGTGAGCGCCTTGGTTGTTTTCATTTTTGGGGCCGGTATCATCTAAACCGCCAGATCCAGGGAAGAAATTTTGTGGGTCATATTTGTGAAATGAAACTGTCATGACTCGACCTGTTGACCAAAAGGCTTCTTCTACACCATCCCCATGGTGAACATCTATATCGATATACAAAACCCTCGGAACTTTTCTTAAAAGTTGGAGTATGGCAAGAACAATGTCGTTCACATAACAGAATCCTGAAGCTTCGGCCTTTTTGGCATGATGTAAACCTCCAGACCAGTTTATGGCAATATCTGATGTCCCGTCGCACAGGCTCCGAGCAGCATCAATCGATGCACCCGAGTACATAGAGCAGTAATTGAAGAGCCCATCAAAAACAGGACAGTCATAACTACCAAGGTTGTATGGTTTATTCTCATCATCGTCCGGTAGACCTACCTTAGCAGTCTTTATGTATTCGAGATATTCGTGAGTATGAAAATCCTCTAGTTCCGCCTGGGTTGCTTTTCGTGAAACATAAGTATCCATAGCAACGTGCATACCGTATGCCATAATCAATCCTTTTGCTAGAGTCAAACGCCACGGTTTCATGGGATGACTTCTGCCGAAATGATGTTTCTCGACCATAGGATTTATGTGAAACGAAACATTATATCCCGTCGGCCTAACGATCCCATTCTTTATAATTTCCTTTTTGACTTCCGTAAGGTATTTGAGGTTATCACAGTCATCTGGTTCTCGTAGTGGAACGCCCCATTCCTGAACAATAGCGTCCATCGTAAGATTTATTGAAGGGCCGTGAGCGTTGATTTGAGATTTCAGATCGCAATTGTCGTGTGAGTCGACACAATGAAGATCAGCGAGCAAGCGGGCGGTTGTGGCTTTAACGTGTCGTGCAAATTCCAGAGAATACGTTCTACGTCTAGATGTGAATTAGCAGATATTAAGAGGGTGAGAAAGATGTGGTTCGCTGGTAGTTCTTAATGGACATATGGCGTACATTTTCTCTGGGGCTACCTAAGGGAAAAAAGGCCTATCCGTGCATCTGCTGTTCAGCTAAGCATCTGCTTGAAAGGTAAATGTGATCTATGTTGGTTGTGTAGCTTGGCGACAGACAGTGTATAGAACTCGAGCTATGCACCCGCGGCGAAATATGCCCTTTCCTCTCCCCTCTGGCGAGAATCACAATACTGCGGTTCCTTTTGCGAATGGAAGACTGAAAATGGAGTTATAGAATCTGAACTATCTCCTCTAATAAATATTGTAATGTTGTTCTCGTTCCAGTAATTGTATATCGAGAATAAAAAATAATGACAGAAATTTAGACAATGTTTTCATTAATAAAGATGGAAGATAATTCTACATTGAGTTCGAGGCTCGATGACCATTGAGGGTTCCTGCAGAAGATTGGACCAGTCCATGCTTAGTAATTAGTTTCAGCCTTAAAACAAGCATAAGGTACTTGTACTAGATAGTAGATACACTAGGTTGATTGTGGCGATGAGAGGTAAAAAGGCCTAATCCTGGACTGGTGCAGTACTCCCCACTCTTTAACATTTCCCCTCCTCGGCTCTCTTTCTTTAATCGTCCCGACTCCCAACCCACGAGCCCCAAACAATCATATCATCCCACCTGTATGTACTCTGTATGCATCTCGTATGCATTCGTGGTGTTCACTTATAAAGCACAAAGCCCAATATTCGAGCGTTGACTCGCTCCCTTCCGCTCCCTGCCCCTCGAATTATTTGTAAAATAAGAAAAATTCCCAATTTTTTCCTAATCGATTGGGGCAAGAGCGCTGGAGCCACCCCCTTCACTAACTTTATACTGTCCAGATAGATTATTGATAAATTTTTAATCTATCAATATTTCTAACATATTACAAGGTAAGCAAGCTGTCGCAACTTCAGTTTTGCATGCGCAATCATCCCTATCAAAGGCTTCATATTTCCATGATACCTACAACTTCCTAGTCGTCTTTTGCTCTTGCTTCTTCTTTGGATATCGTATCTTGCCTCCTTACATAATACGTTTGCTGCGGGATTCCCGTCAACGTTAATAACAATGCCCAGAGACGATCTTTCCATCGATTTTGTCCCCAAACACAGACACAATATGCCACAGATCGAGCACTTAGATACAGCGGGAGTCCTCGATGATTGGATCAATCGTGTCGCCAATTTACCCCACGAAATTGCCTTTAAGCAAGATGAGATAGGAGAAAAGGACAAAGCAGTGCAAGAATGCCTGACTGTCATCGCGAAGCACGACGGCGCTCTCCAAAAATGGACCAAGTCAAACGGGGCAAACCAACCAAATCCAAAGGAGCCAGCCTTGAAAAAGATAATTTTGGAAAATTATGAAAGAGCAGAGCGCCTTCAAGATGAGAAAATTAAGCTATCCAAAGAGTTAGAAGCGCTTGTTGAGGGGCACGTTCGACGACTCGATTTACAAATTAAAGGATTACAAGAGAGAGGAGAGTTTCCACACGATCCAGATCTGCCTTCCCTACTACGACCACAACCGATTGATCGAGTCCGGGACGCGCATGGCTCCACGAGACCATTGGGTGAACTTATAAACTCGGCCACCTCTTCTCATGTACGCCACCCGAGCAATTCTAGAATATCCATCAGTGTCAATCAATTGAACGGCGCAACAGCATCTTCCGCTCCAGCAACGCCAGCCGCCACCTTACTTTTACAAAGACAAGCTAGGGAATCATCCCTTGGTGCGATCAATAAGCGACCAAGACTTACTGGAGGGCTGGGTACTTTGCCAGCCGCTTCTAGCGGGCTTGCTCGTCATTCATCTATGACTCCCGGTACTCCCCGTGGGGGTACACCATCTGCCGTACGTGGTGGCAGTGCTGGACCAAGAAATATGCAGAAGAAGAAAGTTGCCCCACAGGGCAGCAGACAGAGTGGTGCTCCACGCAAAGGCAAACCTGGAAAGTCTGGCCTTAGCAGGCTAAAGCGTGGACATAAGAACTCGCCGTCTTCTGCAAATGATAGTGAGCTTAGTGATGCAGAATCTGGCTCTGTTGAGGAAGAAGAGGCTGCGGGACGTCAAAACAAGGATGCTGATGGAGACGATGATATGGTTGATGTTGATGATGAAGAGGGTGGAGACGATAAGAAATACTGCATTTGTCACAATATCAGCTATGGAGACATGGTGGCTTGTGACAACGAAGATTGTCCGTATGAATGGTTTCATTGGTCTTGTGTTGGCGTCAAGAGTGACCCCTTGGGCACTTGGATATGTCCAGTATGTACTCCTAAAATGCCTAAAAAGGCTTAAAGGTTTAAAGGATTGTTTGGTGGGAGGCGTTCCGGATCATCAATGTGGATTTACGGCGCAAAAATTAGATACAGATTATCTACTGGTAAGGCTACGGATGAGGGGCGTTTGTAGGTAGCTGCTAGCTAGAGGTAGCTTGGTTACTCTGAGACTCGTGACTTGCTAAAGATACACTTCAGCTAGACTAATATCAATAATATTACTCGTGATGATTAAATTGATCAGCTCTATACTATAGTTGGGTCCATCTATTAAATGTTTATCTAAATATCCACATCGGATGGAAAATAATGAAATAATATATTCATCGTCGTCCTCTCTTTACTTACAAATTTCCTACACCGCCTCCAATATTCTGCCCATACCCCGCCAACGACAAACACAGCCCCTCCTTTCTTCCCCTAATTCCAAAGATGTGTTTCCATGTTACAACTCCATATGTAGCGTACGTTTCCTCCTTCAATCAATCTTGAAGTTAATTAAAAGTTTATAATGGAGTCCCAGTAAGTTACTTTCAGTGTTTCTCTGTTTCCATCCTGAACAACAAATATAGCAAACACCACAATAATCAGTCATAACATTGATATTCTCTTCGTTTTTTCCTTGCATGGTTCACATTAGTCTCTATCATTTTCCAATGCAACTTACTACCTACCTTCTGTATCTACTAACATTCTATCTGTTTAAGAGCCGATCCCAGTGATCCCCTTGCAATTTCCAGTGAAGTAAGCTCCAAAAATCTACCTGCTGCTCAAAAATGAATACTAACAAGAGTAGGATTATCTATTCGATTTAGATATGCCTTGTGATTTAATGTCTGAATGGGACATCCAACAAGCTCGTGAACAGCCTATCGCTGTCATTGGGGTCAAAGATGTTCAATTATCTGCCCCTGTTGGAGCCAGCGCATGGGGATGGAACGGAGTCATGGCTGAATGTCCAATCCAACCAATTCTCGTATCAGTGTCAGTTGCTCTGCGACGAAATTTCAAAACGGCATCTGAAGATGATGACCTTACGGAAGATACTATCCATTATGGTCGTCTTAGATCTGCAATCCTCGAGGCTGTTCACAGATATAACACAAAGTTCAAACCAGACAATGCAGCGGAACTCTCTATCAAGAATGTTGTAACACATCTTATCAGTGCTCTTACGGTCAGGCATCACTTGACAATAGGCAAAAAGGTCAATTGGTCTTCTGTTAAAGTTATGCTTCCAAAGTCATCTTTACATGGTGCTGGGACCAGTCTCACAATGCAAACTATTTACAGGGAAGAAATGCCGGAAGATCAGGATCCGGGTTCCCCGGAGAGTTTTGGCGTTATAGGACGTAGCGTTAGCCTTCGGATTCATGATCTTACAGTCCCAACCCTGATAGGCATGCTGGAAAAAGAGCGCCTCAGGAAACAGAATGTCATTGTGAATGTTGAGATGGACCGGTGGCTTTGGAATGGAGATTCACATTGGGATATGGAGCAGATAATCGTGAAGGTAACTACTAGCCAGGCGCATATATTACTCTGTCTTTCTCACCATGTGTACTAACTTCACTTTGATAATTCTAGGCGATGGAAGAATCGTCGTTCCAGACTCTAGAAGCACTTGCAGAGCACATAGGCAAGCTTCTCATCAGATACGTTCTGATTCCTAAAATAATTGGGGTAGTCAGCACAGCAAGTTCCGAAGCTGCCAATACGTGGGACAGTCTCAGTGATGACTACAAAAAGGTTCCATGGGAGGAAACGAATGTTGGAGATTTCCGTTCAATCGTTAAGATCAAATTGGAAAAGCCGGGTATATACATGGATACTATACCAGGCGTTGAAATGTCCATGGACTTCCAGCCACAACCTAACTCGCCATATTTTGATTTGTGGGAAAATTACAAGAAGTTGAAAACACCCGAACGCTCTTACAACGGTACACTCAAGGACTGGATTGCGGAGAATTACCCCGAAGAGCCACTGGCATACCGTAAGCGAAAATTAGAAGCCTCCGAAACCGAGCTCGCAAAGTCCAGAAAGATTACCGAAGAAATCAATTCCCATCCATCGTCTTCCGATCCTACAACATCCTGAAAGTTGTGAAAGAGGATCAAAAGTGGTTTTTCCCAACATAAAATCCTCAGAGATCCAACTCCCCTATCTAGGATTAGCGAGCGTTGAAATGGATGAGAGTGCATGGCTATCAACACTGGTATTTCTTGGGATGAGAAAACCAATTTTTAGGATACCTTAGATCGCATCTCCATGTATGTTTTGACCTTGATCTACTTTACGTGCAAGGCTACGGAAATCTATGCCAGATATCCTGCGCGTGCTTAGATTAGCGTGGTAGTTGCACAATATTGGATCACATATAAACAGCTTATTCATCAGCCATGCGGCAGGTTTTCTTGTGACTATTGATTGTGTAATTTTTCTTACTATTGTGATTTATGAATTAATATCGAGTTATGAGGAAGTGCGAGGTAAGGATGGTTCAATATTGGTTTGAGGGAGCTTAGATAGATCCTAATTCCACCAAGGTTAAACTTTATGGAAACGTTCTTCCATGTGTATGTATTCAAATTATTATTTCTACCAATGTATACCTAGTAATGGCTAATTAACAATATCGATAATCTCGCTGGTAAACTCCTGGGATATGACGTATGCGAATCCTTGTGTGAATCTGTATGTAAGTCTGTCTGTCTGTCTGTCTGTCTGTATGTCTGTCTGTGTATAGCATTACCCAATCCCAACACTCTCGCTTGCAAACAAGAAATGATACGCAATCCAAGTAAACTCCATTCCATGCATCGATACCACAAATAATCCAAACAGAGAAGCCACACATCGTCAGAAAAATCAAAATAAAATATAACCTATAATCTTTCTGGGCTCTGAGCACCAGGCATCATTACCTCGGTTGCCTGTTCGGCTTCAATTTCCAACCCATCTCTCTTGATCGTATATGCTTTCCATGCTACAAATACACAAAGGATAATTCCTACTACCAATGCTGAGCCCATTAGCATCGCGTTGATGGGGACTGGATTCCCGTTGAAAACTTTGTGGAGTAATGCGTCTAATCCGCTCTGACTAAAATTGAGTAGGCCCGCTAAACAGATGATCAAACCGTATACCGTGCCAAAAGTGCGGAATCCGAAGACCTTTGCTGAATAATCGGATACGGCGGTATAGTAGAACGGACGGTAGAGGACGAAAAGACAAATATTGGAATATGCGGCCCAGTAAAAGGGAAGCATGCCAAGGACGCCAATGGTGGTAGCGATGGTCACGAGGGAGGCGAGCACAAATGGGGTACTCATGTTGTCGAGAAATACACCGATGAAGGGAATGGAGAGGACACCTCCTAATGGGAGAGCCAGGTCAAAGAAGGTGTTGACTTCAACGGCTTTGTCGTAGGAATGAAGGAGGTACTCGTATTGTGGGCGGATGGTGGCGACGAAGAAATTAATTCGCGTCATTTGGATAACGGTAAATAGTGTGATAAGGACGAACCATGGAGATAAGATTTGTTGTACGACAGTCTTGCCATGTAACACTCCATACACCCCAGAGATTTTGTTCTTGCGTTCTTCCTGTTTGACTTGCTTACTGCCCGGTTTGGTGCCCAAAAGTTCGGTTATTTCTGAAACGACCGATTCACGACGCTGGCGACGCTCTTCGCGAAGGAGAGCCGTGGTTTCGTCCATCTGATCATCGAATACATCGTCGTCCTCGACTTGTTGAACCATTTCGCCTACGGTCTTGTACGATTGCGAAGGCATGACAAATATTTGTGCGACAAGGATAAAAGCCGGAACGAATAGGTAAATGAGAAAGAATTGTTTGATATGGAAAGTGCCATCACTCCATTGGTATATAATCCGATATGCAAGGAAAAGTGCACTAGAGGTGTCGAATGCACCTTTAAACTCGTTAGGAAGATTCAAAAATAAAGGCAAGATGGACATTACTTACCGGTCAACAGAGCCAAGATCAAGCCGGAATGTTTGGGAAAGGTATTCGAAAGCTGGTAGGAGGTGATCAAGAAGAACGCCCCTCCAAGGGCCAACAACAAATATCCAGGAATGAAGCCATCGAAAGGCAATTCCCCAGCAAAAGCAAAAAGCACAGTACCGATCGCCAAAAAAATGCTTCCTATTATACCGGCGACTCTAGGGCCATAATTATCCAGAATAGAACCAATTGGCAAAGCTGCAACGTTTGTGCCAACCGCAGCGACAGTGAACATCAAGTTCAAACGAATCTCTTGCTCAAAACAAGTTCGTACTCGTTCTTTCAATTCATCTTCCGTACAATATTCTCGATATACTCCTTCGCGGATAAGGACGGGTTTGAGGGCTGCGTAACCGAAGACGATACCGGCGGCGAGGAGGCAATAAACTACTGCAATTGCAACCTGTACTATAGTTAAGAATCCAATTAGTATTTTGTCGCACAATAGTTCTGGGACCTCAGATGAGATGAGATATCCAAATAACCCACGCGAACGGTAAGGATCTATTTAAACACATCCTCGCCACAAAAAGACACACTTACACATTCGCTTCCCTTTTGAGACCTCAAACGCCGCCACCGTTTCTATCTCCTCCACAACATGTTGCTGCTGCTCGATTTCATCCCCCCAATTTCCAGGCAAGGGACTAAAGCTCAATTTCCTGCGCTGGGTTGCGGCGGGCGATCTACCTCTTTCCGGCGATAGAGATTCGAAAGAAGTAACTCTTTGGGAAAGCGACATAACTGATCCTACCTTGTTCCCAGTCGATAATGTGCCCGCACACGACTTATAAAGGAAGAAAGGCGGTGGCGTTGTGAAACCTCGTGGTCAAATTCGCTGAATATATAATAGGAGGATGGAGTTGCGGGGTAGAAATCTTTTATATAATGGAAATTGGAATTGTGGCAGGGGATAGCTCGAAAATCAGCTATGGCGTCAGAGATTTAATTCCTCCGTTAATATCAAGGCACAACTAAACTTTCCCAATTGGAACGAAGAGAACAACCCTTTGCAATTGAATTGTATCGACTGTGGGAAAGGAAGGAGCAGTGCCACGAAAAGCAATATAGATATATATACAAATTGATTTACAGCAAAAGTTTTATATCCAGGGACAAATCTCGTTTGCAACCAACCAGGTATTTGCAGCTTCAATTGTTCGGTGGTTGGTAGAGAGGAGTTAAAGCTTGGGTCGATTAAATTTATATGCTTCTAACCCTGCACTTGCATATGCTAAGGGCTACTTTACTGCATTAGCAGATTAGACCGTGGTCTACGGAGTGTAAATTTTCTCGGCGAGAATTTGAATGATGAGATTTCTTTTAATGGGACTTCATCGGACTGCTCCGAGGATTTCAAGGTAAAAAATGAAATCAACTGTGCCAGAGATAAAAACCGGTGGTGAGAAAGAGAGTCGCAGCGGAGACAGGCGAGCAAAGTGCCAAATTATATCTGGGCGTGAAATGTTTATTTGATTTTGATTTTTCTTTCACATAACATGCTGAGCAAATCTTTTCGCATCATTGAAAGGCAAGTAAGTATCAATTTGACTACCTTTTCTATGGATCGCTTCTCCATCTCCTCCCAATTATTGTCAATTCAATTGTCCACTCCACTCCATCCAATCGTACATCCCTCATTCATTTCCCCAAGTGCCTCAGAATTTTTGGCACTTACGCAGATGAGGAAATGTCGCAATATTAAGTACGATAGCTGCAGTCAAAGGAGATTCGTTTAATTGTCGGGAATAACGCGCATCAATGAGCACCGGAACCCACTATGGTATCTTCATCCCCTAGAAACTAAAAGAAAAAAAAATTGTCACTCGCAGGATTTTGACCACTGCCACCTCTCCAAACCACACAGAAAGGACGATTTCGCTCCCTGGGCTCACTAGAAAATGTACCAGCCCTCCTAAACCGCCCGCAAATATCATCTGTTGTATCCGATCAAGAAGTATGTGTGCCAACTGGTGTGATATCTCTGCTGGTTCGACCAGTTTCTTTCTTGCTGAGCAGACTTCTTCCGAAACCTGAACGAGTCCTTGGACTTTCCGACCCATTTTCGGTAGAGCTCATGATAAAATTAGATTTTACTGTGATTTGACCTGCTCCGCAGCGTATTTGCTTCTCTTGCATTGTGCCAGTTTCATCGACCACCAGAACTCCCTCCCCGAGATCATCGTCCGAGCCGAAAGTGTTGTGTGCCTTGACTGAGACTTGGAAGGTCGCATCTGCGGAAGTGGTGCATTTGAAGCTTTCTTTCTTCTCATTGAAGATCACGGTACCATTAGGTGATTTGATATGATCAGTCTTGTGGATGACTTTAGACTTGGAACCAAGCGTTTTAACATAAACCATAACGCTTGAAGAAGGTGGAAATCCGGTTGCAGACACAATTGTGAAGTTTGCAATACCCATAGGACCGCCACCGGGAGAACCAAACATACCAGAGTGCCCCGAGGCCGCTCCGAAGGACTTTGTTCGTCCATGATGCGGCTCTGGAGGAGTGGCTGGAGGCATAATCTCTGGAATTGATGGCCCTGAGCCTTGAAGAGTACTTCCACGCCTTGAACCCGCAGTACCATTCGTCACGGAAACATCACTCTCCAACTCGGAATTAATGCTGCCACCGTAAACTTCTTCTTCGTCCTTCTTCTTGCTTTTGAAGCCATGTCGAATGAACGACGCTCCTTTGCCAACACCATGCGCCGCGAAGCCAACACCCATACCAACACCATGTGCGGCAAAGCCAACACCTTTGATGGGAGCTCCTGCGACTCCAGTGACGATTTTGCCTGGTGTGGCAAATGTACCAGAAAATGTCGAGCTTCCTTGCCTCGACCTGGTCACGTAATCTGGGCGGAAGAGCAAGCGTAGACGGATGGACCCTGATTTGCCTTCCAAAGTCAAGTTCATTTCCTTTGCCTTGAATGGTTCCAAAAGGTTCAGGTTAATTTCAGCCTTGCCAAGGAAGTCGGCCTTGTCACCGAAGTCCCAATCCATTACATTAACAATAAAATGCGCCGCAGTCCTTGAGGGTACATCGAGCTCAAAGAATTCATTCCACGCTGGCTGTAAAGTCTTCTTCTGAACTTTAGTCTTGAATACTGAGTTGCCATTGAATTCAAACTTGCAATATGGATCAGAGTATCCATTGCGGTCCGCAGATGGAAGATCAGTAGCATCCAGAACATCTACTCGAAGTTTACCCATATTGTTGATACTCTCGCTCGGGTCCAGTTCCATCTTGACAGGGATATACTTAAGTGAGACCTTGATATTACTAGTATGGCCTTCTTCGTCTCGAAGCTTGAGTCTACCAGAAGTATTAGTGGTTGTCTAATTTTAGGGGCCAGGAAGACAAAAAGAATGTCAATAGAGTTTACACTTACATGGTGGGATTATTGAGGCATTGTTTCAAAGTAGCTAGTGTCTCTCCACTCAAACGGGCAATAGTTGGGTCTTTCTTCTCATCTCCCTTGCTCTGCTTTTCTCGGAGGCGTATGGTGATCTTGGAGAAGTCGAGTTCACGGACAAAACAATCGCCAATCTCATCCAGTGTCATTTTCTTCGATTTTATGGTGGAGGATGAATATGACGGGAAAGCCATATCATCAACGACAACTTCGACATGAACGTGGCTTCGGGTCAGCTCGCAATCAATAATCTTGAAGATAATGAGACCAGATTCGTATTTGAGTAATTCTTCGGGCGTGAGATGAATCTTTGGAAGCTGCTTTTCTTTCGGGGTTTCTTCTTGCTCTTGTGCACCCTCAGCGAGCTTTGCAGCCATTGCTGACTCGCTTGAAGACCGGCTAGGCTTTTCTGAGCCATCCCCATTCTCTACACCATCCTTTGTGCCGTTTTCCATACCAGTTATGCGACCTCTCTGAGAAGAATTTTTGGCGGCCGCCTCCTCTTTAGCTGCTTCCTCATCTTCGGGATCTGCGATATTCAAACATGGGTAGAATGCTACAGTATAATTGAGTATTCCTTTCGGGTGTCCTTTCCCGTGCACGCGCAGTCCACTGGCCTGTGGAGTTTTTTCATCATGTACGACGTATTCTCCGTTTTCAAGCTGTTGAATATAGTCGGAGGCTAGCACTTCAACAGATCCCAAGGTACGATCACTGTTGATGGTCTCTTGATCCATAACCTCCAAAGTCAACTTCTCCCTAACACTGTGGACGGGCACATATACAACTTCGTCGAAATCTGGGTTGAGATTATTCTGGAATGTAACTGTTCGAGCCTTCTCTATTCCAGATAAGAGAACCCTGACGTAAGGATCGGATTTACCGAGGGTTTCGAGATTTCGGAGATCCCGCGCATTCTTAAAATGAAATCTCATGACACCAATAGGTGTGACATAACCGCCAGTGCCTGCGCCCACACCTTGAAGTGCGATTGGCTTCCATTGAAGCGTCAACTTAGCTCTACCAGTATTCGCTCCAGCAAGTGTGTACCACTCTTGGCCCTTCTCCATTAAGTTCAGCATGTCGTTGAGCTTGATCTGATATGTACCAAGAATAGGATCACTGCCAAGTTCTCGCTCATCCTTAATGACAAGGCCGAAAGTAGCAGTCTTCCTATCGGTGATGAGAAGCTCCTTAGATCCATTATCCCAGATAGGATTGTTCGTCCTCTTTAATTTCCGTGTAACATGAATCTCCTTATTGTTTAGTAAAAGTACAGCATAAGGGCTGAGCTGACCAATAAGACTCTTGGTACCATCAAGATCTTTAGCTTGTTCGACACAGAAACGAGCAATACCTGTATTAGACTCAGGAGGTGGCTCAGTAGTACCATCTGGAAGAGTGCGCCCTTCCAGAACGGGAAAGAATCGTAAATCGGCAGATAGTAAACCGCGTGGCTTGCCGTTTGCCATTACTTCAAGCTGTTCGTTCTCATATTCTGTGACCTCTTGCACCCGTTCCAATGGGAAAGTGGCAGTACCGAGTTCTTTATCCTTTCGATATTCATTGTAATCAAATATAGCCATAGTGAGACTCTCGGTAAAAGAAGTAAGGATCACGTATTTCGTTTCACCCCATTTAGGATTTGCGCTTTCCTTAACGATCTTGGTTTGTGCTAGAGGAGCGCCGTGGTTGATTGACAGGACAGTATAAGGATCAGGCGTACCAGCAAACTTGTCGGGATTCTTGAGGCCCTGAGCTCCGTGGAGAGTGACAGCCAGTACACCGATAGCCTGATCAACAGCAGACCCAGACAACATTTTTGCAACTTCAATTGGGAATACATTTGGCGCATACATTATGGGCCCAATATTCGCATGAATCTGCTCCAAAATGAAAGTCTCAAGACCAGGAATGAAATTAATGTCAAAACCAAGAGTTTCACCTCCAAGAGGTTTACATACATAGTCGATTGCTTTTGAGAAGTCAGCCCAAAAAGTCCCACAAAGATTAATGAAATATAGACAATTGATATCTTAAATTGCCCAAAAATAAATGTGGATTGCTTTGTGTTGAGATAAGATGTGAGGTGTTGCAAGCTTGCCGCCAATATGCTATATAGATCGCGAGCTCTCATGCGAGGAAATGAAAGGGAAAATGAAAGTAATACTCACTAGGTTTCTCCAGGAATGATATTTCGATCTTCTCTACGTGAGGAAACGGAATCTGAAGCTTGATCTTAACTCGCATGAGACCTGAGAAAGCCATGTCCTCCACGATAACATCTAAACCCTTACTGATCATTGCCTTTCCAATCCTGATTTCAAGGACAACTTTTGGGTTGACCTTATTCTTGATTTGGCGAGCAGTCATGTCTGCATGATCATTTGGCGTGAAACTGAACTTCCAATCCATAAGTACTATATCGTCCTCTGCCTTGGGGTATGTCTTGACGTGTTCCAGTCGAGGTGGCTTGGTGCCTAAAGTAAAAGTCTTCATGCGAAGACTGTCCAAGAACGCTGGGGTTGCTGTACTTAATACTTGGTCAACAGAATTAATAACTGTCTCGGCCAATACTGGTTGGAAGATTGGCCAAAACTTGACCATGAAGCTGTTCATCCATTCTAGACTCTCTGTATCAGTTTCCAGTTTATTTTTGGCAAGCTCCCTATTGATATCATCCCGAAAGTTGCGTCTTACTCGACGTATCGATGTCCTGTAGTATGTCCCGCAAATGGCCATGATAATAAATACCCAACTGAGACCTCCACCTAGCGTGGCCACGAACCATGAAGATAGGCATGCAAATATAATGACAGCGGTATTTTGATACCAATCTATGGCAGATTAGCAAAAGCACCCAAGTAGAAGACAGACTATCGAATTACCTCCATAAAATTTATCTTCAATTTTGCCTTCTATCCAGGTTTGGTGATCCAAAAGACTTTCACCTTCCATAAGATCGCCAGATTCTCCAGAGCCAAATCTTGGAGCCCAGCCAGCTCTCTCAATCCAACGGGCATCTTCATCTTCATCGACATATCCGTTTGCTACTGGCTGGTCTGATTGTTTGCTTTCTTTTACAGGAGGTGCAAGAGCTCCAGCAGTAGAGGGGGGCGGTAGGTCGTAAGCTGCTGGCGCACCATCGTCCATATCTGTCGCGATTGCGACACCTTTTGACTTGCGTTCGTGGTGAAACCCTTCTGGTACATGCTGCACAGATTTCTATATTAGTAAAATGCGCAAGGACTGGGAAGAATATAACCTACAGCCCTAGCTTGTGCTGCCTTCTCCTCTGGACTCGCATCTGGGTCGAAATGGAAAGCTGGAACGCCTGCTTTCTTACCCTCATTGACAATCTTTGCTTCCGCATCTGCTGCTGTTACCGAGCTATCAGGATTTTGTGCTGCTTCCACGGCACCCTGTGTTTTGAGCTCCCCCTCCAATCCCCTCGTTGTCGACATATTTGCTGTGGTTGTGCTGTCCCAGAACAATTAAGCTTGCCGACTTCTAAAGGTCACTCAGAAAGTGCTGGCCTCAACCTTACAACGACGATGTGCCGTTTGAAAAAGTAATTGGCGAAATAAGAGAAGAGAAGCTCTTATTTGCGAGTGTTGACTTAGACTGATTTGACGGGCAGGGGAAGTGGGCTGAGCTATGAAATAATGGCGGGAGGGCTAGAAGGTATAAGCTTCGGGAGACTGAGATAGGTAATTGAGTTCAGTTAAATGGGCCAATCCGAGCCACCTAATGAATTGGGTAATTTAGTGGTAGTTGGACGAGCGATGGACCATGAACCAACGCTTAAAATGGCATCTGTTGTACTATGAGAATATTTTGGAAAGAGGTTGAGATGTTAAAGTGTAGAAGGAATCGGTAGCTAAATCTCTCTGTACCATTAAGATGACAGACAAAGGCCGAAAAAGGTTTTAAAAAGAGTCGAGTGAGTGCCCTGCACAGTGCACAGTAGAGGAGATATTCACAATCAATCCTTGGTTTTGGATTTCTTGTTTGTTTCCTGATAACCGTATGAATGAATGGTGGAACGTGGTGGTTCCTTGTTATTAAGGAACATTGTAATTTTGGGTTGTTTTCAGTCATCAAAATATGAATGTTTCTTTTTCTAATAAGTAATTATTATCTAGGGACCTACCCTACCTAGTAAAGTACTGCGGAGTAAAAGTAAGTGCTCCTCACTTCATTATCCATGGATTTGTACTATTGACTACATGAGGCAAGATCTCAACATCATATCATACTACTTTGCAATCCTTGTGTGCATCAACTCACAACCAGCCCGCCACCAGCACCAGGTATTACGTTGCTTGATGTATGGTGGAGGTGGCATCTTCCTCCTCTGGTCGCTAAAGAACTAGAGAATTTCAGCAGGACAGGGGATATGAAATGGTATAAATGGGGCCGATAGGGTACCCAAGGTTGTTTTATCATCATTCGAATGTCCCATCCAATCTGGTACAGCTTAGAACGATCCAGTATGGTAGGAAATTGAAAATGAAATAAAATAAAATAAAAGATTGCATTGCGGATACCTAGTAGTCAATTAAGAATCACCGATCAGCCGAATTGGAGTTGGAGCATATTTCTGTCCTCGTTGATGTGTACGGAGTATCCGAAGGATACTGTACTAATAAGGTCGCGAGATAAAACCCTTTTCATAAATTAAATATGTGATGAATGTTAGAAACATCTTTCCCCTCCCACTCCCTCTTGTTACCTTGGTGTCCCTGTTACACATTGCCTGTGTGCATAATCTCCGTAAGCTGTGCAGACTGGATATAGTAAGACCGCCGATGGGATAGCTGCAAAGTTGGTCCTGCTGCAGATGCTCGGAAGACAGTGGCATCTGTAAACTTGAAAAAATCGGGGTTGTTAGCTAGTGAACGAGTTGTCGGTGTTGGCGAAGTATTGAAATAACGTGTGGCTGGAGAAGCGTGGCATGTACTGAAGTGAGCTGGCGGGGTTAGATATGGAGATTATGTGTTGAATGGACAGTAATACACAATCTCTCAAATACCTGCACAGTACCAGTACCTACCTAGGTAGATTCTCTCGGATGAATTGAATCTTCTTAGATGAAGTTGAGTCTGTCATAGAGGTTGGAACTTTCCGACGAACTGGATCTTTATGAAGTTGATTCTTTCAATCAATTTGGATCTTTGAGATCAAGAGACAGATACTTCTCTATAGCTTCCCGTTACTGGTAAACTGATGCACGTCGTCTGCAGCGGCAGGTCTTATTGCTGTTCATCGTTGGCAATCTCTTCTGAATGTATTAAGTTCAACGTTGGAGGGAAAGGGAGAAGACGCCATTTTGTAGAAGAGCTTTGAAATGACATCTGGAAATGTTGATACCGGAATTTGCATACTCCGATATAAAGTTGGAAAGCAGAATCGGTATATTGGAGATGCCGAATGCTACTCCATTATTATAGATCTTTTCTCGAAATGTATTTAGTATAAGCTCTTATCAGTAAGTTTACATGGTATCTAGCCTCGCATAGGAAGACTATCAAATTCATTTGGTTGAGTTTCGTTGATAAACATACCTTGTATATACGAAGTGTAATCAGCATCCAGCATCTACCTAGTAATTAATTCCTTCACCTGCATTGTGCATTGAAAGCATGTATGAAATTCATCCAATTGAGCTTCGCCAATGCACGAAATATCCGACAAAGCTTGTGAGAAGTTAACAAGTAGGTAGCTCTAGGTAGGTAGGTAATTGGCCTTCACCCAATGCCTTACAACATCCATACCTATTATATATCTACTGGTAATGAATGCTCTTGGCTGGTTGGCTTCAATGTGAACGGATCTTTCAATATCCCGCCGTGCGTTTGTTTTCCGTTGACACATAACGATCATCTCTCCTTTGTTCGCCTTGTCCCCACCCCCGTTGAGGCTCATTCATTCTTCGGGAACTTTGATACATGTCGCAGGGCCTTTACACTTTTATTCATACGAAGTACACCGATTAAATGAAAAAACAGAGTTTCCTGAAACACTCTTTAAGTAAGGATCCACGACGCCCTTGCTGTTGCAGCGATATTTTGGCTCTCAACTTTCTTGGCTGTGCCTCATTTCGCGGCAATTTTGTTTGTAGGATACCCTATCTTTCTTAATTATACTGACCAGATCAACAACCCTGAAGGCTTGGACGCGCAAGTGAATACTGTCAAATTTATTCCATTGCAATAGCAATTGCAATTGCATTTATTAATCCTCATTTTCAATTCACAATTCATCATTTTATTAATATTCCTTGATTCATTCGTTTGCAGTTGGACAAATACATTATTTGCTGCTCGCTGTTACTTGTCGTGTGCGTGATTCCAATCTTGAACCGTTTAGTAGATCATTGTCAATGGGAAGATGGAGGCAACGGATAGGAAAGAGCTTGAACACAAGCAGCTCAAAGGACGATTGATGGGGAAGTTATTTGGCAAGGAAAAGAAACCATCTTCGGCAGAGGAGGTATCCGACTTTCTTCATGGACCTATCGATAAGGCGTACACGGCATCTTCTACTGAAGTCTCGAATACCCCTCCTCGACCTCCTGTCCTCGACCGCATTGATACATCCACTGCACGACGATGGCCCACGGCGGCGGAAGTGAATAATGCTAGACGGAATCGATCTGCGAGTCCGAAACGGAGCAGGAAAGGGTTGGCCGTAAGGTTTGCAGAAGCACAACCAGAAGTAATTGGCGAAGGAGGGGATGAATGTGCTTCGCCAACAGTGGAGATTGCAGAAGCTCTGCGGAGTCGAGCCGCAACGATTCCTCAGCAGAAACACAACCGCTCACAAGTGCCTGCTGATAAACTTGGAGATTCTGATATGTTTAGGCCAGGACCTTTACGACGTATGCAGACAGGCTTCTCAACAATAGCCGATGATGACTCCGCGTCAGACATTGAACCTGCCCAGCCTTACAGAAACCAAAGGGATGAGACGAGCTATAATGGTAATGCAAAAACTGGGTCACGCAGCTCGTTCAATGGCAAGGCGGAAGCGGCGATGCGTGCATCGGAGGGCAAAGCATTGGTAAGGGCGGTCTCGGGACATTTTAGTGAACGAGATCTCGCGCTGGCAGCTTTGACAGCAAATGAGAATTCTCCCCCAGCGGAAACTCATCAACTGAACACAATGAAGAATACACAATTAGCCACCTCACCAGGATTGCCGACGAATTCATTTGGGAGACCTGACACGCCCAGCGATAGTGGGAAGTCAAATCCCCCTGTCGCCGAGGAGAGTCCTTTATCACTTTTAAGGAGTTTCGTTACAAACAACGCTAGTGCGCTGGGAAGTCCCCCTCCCCAATCACGAGCCCCAACATTTAATCTGAAGGATGCGGCAATGGCTGTAGGAGATGATGCCCTTGACGATTTTGCCAGGCGTACATCACATCTGTTCGCGTTATTTAGACTTTCAGCCGAATCACTGAAACCACTCACATCGTGCTCATTAGAAGAGCTTGTCAGAGGTGGGTTGTGGTGGTTTCTCAAAGGACGATCCGAGCTGGAGACTAGCATTAGAGATCGGTCAACGACTCCGGAAGCAAAGCAGAACAATGCAATGGCTCGTCAGCAAGCGTATACAAATTTGGCCAAGGCATATTGGCTGATGGAAAAGATTGCTCCCAAATGTCCGGAGATGACCAATCAAAGGAATGCAGATACACCGCATAACATCATTGATGCCTTGGAATCACGTCAAGCAATATTATCGGGGTTAAAAAAGTTAACAATGGTAAGTGTCAATAAACATGGTGTGAGCTAATTTTGCTGATAAGGGAAATGCAGTCTATGAAGCGTAACAACATTCTTCCGCCACTGGATGAGGACGCACCATTGCATCAAGGTAATGATAGCCAAATATGGACGAGGGATGAGGGTGACCGATCATTGCTATCACTACAGCGGCCCAATACAACGTTGACCCTATCTGGAGCTCTTCCACTAGGTGACTCAGGCACGAGTTTTACATATGGACGTCACTTTGTGGATGTCTATCTATTAGAGGAAGCAGCTTCACAGCATTATCGTTGCCCTTGTGTTCTATCTATTGTTCGAGCAAGTCATGAAGAAGATTTGAGTTTCGTAATTACCAACCAAAGTGGCACCTTAAAGCTCATCATTCAGCACGACAAAACCCGCGGCCCCACGTGGAATGATGTGTCTTGGGTACAAAAGAACAACTCCCTCAACGTTAAGCTTCCAAGAGGCTTTGAGCTTCAGGTTAATTGTACGCAACAGGACTTTAGGAGTCTCAGGGGCTCTTATGACTTCCAAAACAGCGTTAGGCAAAGTCTGGCCCGACTCGACGACGAGGACAGTGTCTTTGAAATGACCATCAAAGCTTTTCAATGCTTTGGCCAAGAAAAGCAAGCACAGTCATTCCCAGCCGAAGCCGTGCCAAACTGCGAAGTGAGGTTATTTGAGAAAAGCATTGTCGAAAAAGCAGCTACAGGTCCCAGGAAAATGCATAGGGGATTTCGACTTGCTGTTATGACCGGAAAGATGACGAAAAATCTACGGGGTATTGATCAAGATATCTCACCTACGATACCCATTCAATTTAGCCTTCTGCGAGGTGACAATGGTTACCCGGCACTTCTGTTGAAGATTGATGGTGGAAATTCTAGGTCCTCTATGGTCTTGACATTTGAAGAGGCAGATCAGAGAGCTAGATTGCACGCGTTGCTCACCGGCGGAGTGATAGGACGTGAGGAGACTGTCTATGGTGAAGCTCCCATTCGATCGTTTATCATTGAGGAACCAGGAGGCTTGGCACCGCGTCTCGGGGGTTTGGAATGGCAAAGTGTCCGGATAATCAACGAAGATGCCATTGACATTCAAAACACCAAGACCGTTCTTTCGGAACACCTACGAGTCATTATGGATTTCAAAACAGGTACAATCACAGATCGATTCAATATTGGACCTGGAGAGTTGAAACTTCGACTTGATTTACACTCGACCAACGAGTTGAAGATATTGAGACAACCTCAGCACGACATGACTATAATGGCGACTCAAGCACAAGCAGCCAATCAGCCTCCGAAGGAATTCGCTGAAGTTCTGGGAACGATTGCGAGAGCTGAAACGACCCGCACTTATGTATTTCCCAGCTTAAGAGAGCTTCATCTTTTTCAAGCAGCATTGACAGGATTTAATGTTGTTTTTGATGGCAGGGCATCATCCTTCAGCATTTCGAGACGAAGAATGGTTGTACCTATTTATAAAAAATGGGATGCTGCCATAACTAGACTGCAATTGGTTCAAAAAGAAAAAGTCATACAACTACTTGCCTTTTTTGAAAATTTCAGTCACGGGGACTGTATGGGCTTCACTTTGAAATCTACGGATACGTTTGAGACCTCAAGCAAGAGTGGAAAGTTTTCCTTACGCATTGTTGATGCGAAGTTTTCTATGCCAAAGCCTCGTGGTGACGGACAAGCAGCTTTGGATAGTGGTTTCGTCAATTTAGATGTAAGTCTTTTCTTATTTTTCTTTTTCATAAAGTACCAACATTATTGTACCATCACGAACATCAATAGACTAATATCCCTCAGATGCCTGATTACCCCGGCGAGCATGATGATATCACAATAATATTTGAAACAGAAGCAGGTATGTGCGATCTTTTATTCCCGTTAAATTTACCCAAGCCACAACCTAAACCCGGTTTTGCGGCTTCCTGGTAAAACTGTTGTTTATCTGGTTCAATCGACCAATGACATAAGGACGCATTGCTATTCAATATCACTTCGTTGCTTGCTAACACTTCTATTCAGAACGCGATGCATTTACTAAATCATTACCGGCACCTGTAAAGGTAGCTTCACGAATTGGATCAGTGAGGAGATAAAAGCAAGCTTTTAGACATATGAGGATTTTTGCGATAAAGAGCACATGATATAAGGATGCAAGGCGCACGGCGCATAAATGGAATTCGAATATTAGCATGGCATTACGGAAGGATATCCATCATTGCGCTGGAGTTCTTTTTTGTGGGGTTTCCTGGCATCATTGTCATAAAATCGACATTTATGTGGAGACCCCCGTCTTATTTTTTGGGGACTATGGGTACTATAAATCATCCAGTGTGGCCTTGGATTGGTTCTAGTCTTTAGACTTTAGACTACTTCTAACCATGGTCTCTGATGGTTCTCACAAGCGAACGGATGTGTACAGGTACAGCCTCCACGACTTTTACTACGCTTTACCTGCATTAGCGGTAGGGCTTGGTATGCCCCGATGTGTCAATAGTCAACATTTGGAGGCTTGTATTTATAGAAGGGGTTCAACGGAACACACTGGCCAACTGAACGTCTAACTCTAATTTTAGATGATATACTAGATATATAAACTCGGTAGTAAGAATTTATACTGAGTCTCTTTTGAAGTAGAATAATTATAGAAATATAAATATTTATCATAGAATAATTTAATATTCAACAAGTTATTGTCACGATTCGAAAGGTTATGTAAGCCGATTACCTTGGTGGCCGACCCACATACCTGTGATTAGTATAAATGGCCTCTTTGGGGTTATCGATCGATCTTTCAATCGCTAATTATAGATTCTGAGGAATAATTGAACCCTGGTTTTCCAGTACTCGTGCGGCCGAAAAGTACAGAACCCCTTTCTAAACAGGACCTTTTTTGATTGAAAGGGGTATAGATCTCATATATCTATACTCAATATAGCAAGGTAGTGAGTTAGATTGCATTGCATAAATATGGGTTTAAGCGAGCATTTTACTCATGATTTCCTGGAATTTTCTGAAAGTCCCTAAAAATAAAGTGGAATGAATGAGAGTAATGAATTTTATTGGCCGAATTAGAGTTTTCCCCGCAAATTCAGGCCCGTTTAGGAAAGAGTTCTGTACTTTCTGGCCGCACGAGTATTTTATGGCAATTGCGTCACAGAAACCCCTGCATCCGTCAATGTTTATATCCAGTGAAAAACTACATCCATTCAACTCAAGTAATTTTGTTTTATTGATTGAAATCACTTAATCTAGTGCAGAACGAGAATAATACTGAAGCACAATCGACATGCATATTTCTCCTAGATACACTTCTAAAGTAAAGACTCTGCCATCATAGCTTCAAAAAAACGTTCCTCATCAATCTTGGACATTAAAACCTAGCAACACGAATGCTGCCGCTGTATTCACCCCTCCACCAATACTGAGGCCTGGTGCTAAAAGCACTAATAATAACTGGACTCGATATTGACCTTAGACTCCGCCAACCCTCAGACCTATAGTAGTGGAAAGGCGATTGCGTTTAACTTCAATAGTTCCATCGGTATTGGACCCTAGTGCTAGAAGTACTCGATTGATAGTTGCATTCGTCATACGGCTAAGGACAGCAGGTGTCTCAGGAAACTCTGGAATATTTTCGGAAGTGCTTGCATTGACCAGAGGAAAAAGTCTGTCAAGGTGGGCTACTGTTGAATTTTGTGCTCGAGATGCAGAATTTTGGTTTCTAATATTGAGAGTTGTAGATTAGTATACATAATAAGAAAGAAAAGAACAACAGCTAGGAAGAAGAGAACTTACAAAGCATTAATCCTTGTCTCTAAGCTATTAAATATCTGGTCAATCCTTTGCCACCTATCTTCCATATGCGTTTGCATCCCGTCCATTTGTGTCTGCACCCCGTTCACTTGTATCTGTATTCCACTTATTTGTATCTGCATTTCGCCCATTTGTATCTGCATCCCATTCACTTGTATCTGCATCCAGTCCATTTGTATCTCCATCTATGTCTGCATTTGGTCCATCTGTGTCTGCATCTGTGCTTGTTGGTTTTGTATTCCATCAAGCCGTTCAATTACGCTTGCGAGATTGAGAGCATCAGCTTCTTGATTGAATGCAGGAATATTTCTAAATTTAGGGCGTTCTTCGGAGACTGCGCCGAATGCTTGTGATAGTTGATTGGAGTTGGGGCCTTTCATTATAGGCTGGATAAGATACAAATTAGCAAGTCAAATACACATGATAAGGACCACCGACATAAGGCAAAAAGTATACATACCTAAGAAGAGGCTCGTATTTGATGATACTAACAACACTGATAGATATTGTTGATGGTACTGTAATGAAGAATATTATGAGAAAGAATTGTAAGAACACTGATGGTGCTGTTCGAGAAATTTATAGAGAGAATGTGTAATATTTGTTTATGGATTTGGCAATCTATGTTGGTGAGACAATCTATATATGTTATTTGGGAGAGACAATCTTGGCGGGAAGACAAGTGAATACCAGTGATAAAGCCTTAACCCATAATTACCAACCAGACGAAACCTTAGGCAGCCGCTGCCTCCAGTACAGTACCGTTACAATAATATATTTGAAAATTTCAATATTTTAATTATTAAAAATCTTTATTTTTATTTACGCTTATCACTTTTTTAAATATATCTCCAATATTTTAGCCTCACTCAAATATATCCAAATATATATTAGACTCAATATTTTATTAAGTCTAAGATTTCTAATACTTCTGAAAATCGATCCGAACGGACCCTGATATCTCGTTCCATAACTTTCACCAACCACAGTCCGAAAAATAGTATATTTACTGACACCATATCAGTAAATTACTGATATCATGCTTCTATAGGGTATTCTATCCGATCAATAATTAGATGTGATCAATAAAGAAAGCCTTTATTTTGGGAAAGAAAAGAGACTGGTCAGAAAAGAAAAAGCCTAGGTATAACCCAGAACATTTAGTTTGTGAATTGTGGATACCCGCAATTACGAGATCTCATTCACGTCCAACTCCTCCATACTCCTCCAGTTTCTACAGCCAACTAACAAATCTCTATCGTTTTCTTTCAACATTATTTTTGTAACAATTTCCATTTATTGATCTATTGATTTAAGCAGTGACTTCATTGGTTTTGCCATATCAAACATTTACCAGCCTCAATAGCACTTGCCAACAAAATACACGTTAGGCGTTTCAGAAGGAACCAGGCATCACACAGTGATTTTGGATTTTTGATCAAGCTAAATCTGGGTGATTTATTTCCCAATAGGCACTCTCGCTCATTTGTGACGGCGACCACATCATCATGGCTTTCTGAATTATTAAAGCAAATCACCATTTCGTATGCATAAGGCTCAATTAAAGTTCGTCGCTGAGTACGGTCAGTCGTGCTACCAATGCCAGGAAATTCGAAATACGAAGCTCAGGTCATTCCGGATCCCTATGCTGACCATGATCGAACGAGTCGTTCGCATACCACAATCATAATGTCTGCGGACTGCCGGGAACTAGAGATGGAGGCGGAGCGATTTAAGGGCGAACTGTACTTGCATCGATCCTATCAATCGCCTGGAGCTTCTGTTGAACAGAAAACGAATGCATCCCGCCCTCGTTCTAGAACTTCCACAAAATTTTCTTCCGCTGTCTGGGGAATGCTCGTTGTGTTGATCTCAACCTTCTGGGTCACTCCTGTGTCTGCTGTGTTTATAGAGTTCTCGAACTGCTTGGAGGAGAGCTACCAGGGTAACACTCCTTATCAGTTACAGTTTGTTCCCTACTTCCTATGGGCAGTATTCAATACCACCGATTCAACTCATAACCTCGCGCTCCAAGTATTTGGTGATGTCAAAGGGTCTGGTCCGGGGCCATCAATATCGATCCCACCTTTATCCAACGACACAGCGTACTGGCAAAGTAACTCATCCGACACCTACAATGGCAAGATTGCAGACGAGCCAGATCCCGCATCTCAGAAGCTTACAACGCTCTCTAATAAGGTCACCGTGCTAACCTATGAGCCTTTCAATGAATATGTAGATTTCTGTCAGCAGCTAGTCAATGGCACATGTCCCCTAGGCCCTTCTTTCAATGCTTCAAGGTAAGCTATGGCTCAAGATCTTGTATGATGGTCAAATAATTAATATGCTCTAGGTGGAATCCATTCACTTTTCCTTCTTTCGGGTTCAGGAACAACTTCTACTCCTCATATGCTTTCACCTCATTCAGTGCAACAATGGTCATTAAGAATGGCGATACTGCTGCTACTTCTATTGGATGCATATCAGCTGACATTACGCCTGACATCGGAAGCAGTTTAGCTGCGGTTGTGAAGTATGTCCCTATGGTCGTGCTCGTGTGTGTCGGGTTCGCAACTGCTTTTGCAGGCATATACAGCCCCTGGGGTACGAATGATATATTTCGATGGACGACAAATTATGGCCGAGATGCTGACCTTCTCCGTTTGGTCACCCCTGGTTTTGGCGACTGCTTACAATATATCCAATTTGTTGTTCTTACCGGAGGATTGACACTTAACTACCCTGGTTTTTATCAACCTATCGTTAGTAAAGTTGCTTGGTCTTCCTTGATGTTTAACGAGAGCTTCGTCAGCAACACCTACAAAGAGGGCTTGGTAGACGGTATATACGTAGTGAACGGAACTTACGGTCTCGATCGGATGCGACAACTTATTGGAATGGGAGAAGCCGACGATGTCTGGGCCGGCATGGCTGTCTGGCTTTTGTCTATCATTGGGGTGGTTCTCGTACTTGTCCAAATCGGTTTCGCGATGCGGTGGATGCGGCGACTACTTATGGGTACGCAAGAAGAGGATTTGAGGAAGAAAAATATGCCATTTTCGGTTGGAAATGTGATTCGGATTGTCTTTAACTATTTCTTACTTCCCGTCGTTGCTCTTTCTATGTTTCAACTAGTCGAGGCTTCCAGCTCACCAGCCTATACGACCGGTCTGGCTTTAGTTATGCTAATCGTGATTGTCGTTTTTGCTATCTATTTGTTGTACCTCATTGCAACGGCAAGACCGAAATCTTACCTGTTCGATGATCTTCCCACGGTGCTTACCTACGGAGCATTATACAACACATATTCGGACAATGCGGCACCTTTCGCCCTCGTACCAGTACTCCTGACCTTGCTTCGCGGTATCTCGATTGGAGCTGTTCAACCTTCGGGCATTGCCCAGCTCGTTCTACTTGCTATTTGCGAGGTCATCACGATATTGACATTACATGCCTTTCGCCCCTTTCATTCTCCAACATCAATGAATGCCTACCACACATTCTTCGCCGCTGTACGCTTTTCAACCATTTTGTTAATGATAGCATTCGCTCCTTCACTTGGTATTACTGAAGGGCCAAAGGGATGGGTTGGCTATGCGATTCTCCTAATGCATGCTATTGTACTCATCCTTGGCTTTCTGCTGAATGCTATCCAGACAATTGTTGAAGTTGCAGCCAGGCTTGCCGGGGCCGGAGGCGATGAGAGCGGAGCAGCTAGAGGTGGTCTTTCCAAGGTATTCGGTATGCGGCAATTGTCTAGAAGATTACCTCGTCGGGACGCCACATCACGTCAAAGTCAACTGTCAAGCGCCGCTATGCTCTCTGAGCAAGACAGAAAATCATATCTAAATGAAGGAGGCAGGCTTCGCAGTCAGTCTGCCGGCAGTGCTGGTATTTTGCTCAACAGGCAGAGTGCAAATCTCGATAGTATGGCTGTAGACGCCTTTGGTGCCATGCCCGCGCATCATGTCAGCAGCGGTGCGCCGAGCTCTTATACTCCAACAACACCAGGAGAGGCAAGCACGTTTTCATTTTTGCCATCGGCTGCAGCGCCGAGCGGTCGAGGACGCAATAAAGGCCCCATACTTGGCCTGGACACAACCGATGCAGCTGATCCCTACTATCGCCCTCCCAGATTCCGCCGACCGACGGCAGATGCTTATTCTCCAGGGGCGAGGAGTCGAGGTTCGTGGGCTAGTGGCGATTGGACCAATAGACGTTGGAGTCAGCATGAATCCCCACCCGCCGATCCTGATGCCATTGAGCCATTTGAGGGTCCTTCAATTTCCGGACGTAACAGCCCGTCTCAACAGCAAGCGTTAGATGGGGCACCACTAGAGCTTAACCGATCGAAAGCTGATTACACTACAAGAGAAGTGGACTTCTACTACGGAGTTCGTGGACCCGCGTTAAACGCCGAAGCACCTAGTCGAAGAATAAAGACTGGTCCAACAGATCCCACAGGAATCCCTGCCTCTGCGGCGGGTTGGTTCAAGAGCCTCTTCAAAGGCAAAACGAAAGAAAAAGGTAAAGGCTTCGAGGTAGTGCGGAGCTCCAGGATGCCGCCAGGAATGAGCAACGCAAGGAACGCACCTGGCGACGAGTCACCGCCCGAGGGGATTCCAGTCGCTACAGGAGCGATTCGACATGGTCCTATTGACTCTGACTCTGATGACGGACACGAGCGAGTTGGCTCATCAGGAAAAATTGGCCCATCGCACCTTGACGGGGCCGATGCCGACGATGGTGAATTAGTCAGCCCTATAGTATCGGATGATGGACGAAGTTACCATGATTATGAGGACGAGTTTGAAATGACTAGGATTTCCGATCTTCCTCCCTCGTTGCAAGGGCTGAAAATCCCCGAAGGCGGTATGGAATTGCCTAGTAGATTTCCTTCCAAAGCTAGCTCAAGAGTACCCCATGGTTCACGAGCCGGCGACCCGATACCAAACATGCCTTTAAGCTCGCCGGTCCGAACACCTACAGTTCCGCGAAAGAGTTCCCGCCGAAAGTCACAGAACACAAGTGTGGATTTAAGCCTTCCAGGTAGTAGAGGTCACACACCTCAAAACTCCCTCACTTCACGACTTCCATTTGAGAGGTCGAATTCCGATAAGCGACATTCCGACGCATCTGCCAAATCCAGCATAGCACCGAACGATGGATATGGGCATTCTCGAAACACTTCGTTTGGTAATTTTACAGAGGCGTATGGGAATGATCGGCCAACAAGTGTAGGATATGTTTCTCAGCATCACATTCATACCATCAATCCGCCGGAGAACAACCCACAATACCTCGGCAGCTCCGCTGAACTGGTAGATGGACGAATTAGTGGAGGATCATCTATTGATCATCCTCAATGATAGAAAGCACTTTACAGACGTTTCACTTTTTTTCACTTTACTAATATGCATTTGATCGTCATATGAACGAATTTCCTTGGTCAGAAAAGTCTCGTGGAGTTTACAGCTTGTATGTATTGTAGAAAGGACCGGAGTAGCATGGCGACGGAGGATAGCGATGGAAATTCATGGTTGGCAGGATAGCTGATCGTTTGGAACGGATTGGGGAAGGAGAAGGAGGGATCCCCCTAAAATCAGAAGACATATAATTCACGTAGCTGTCTATACATTACCTTATGTTCGCGGTCCTTGTAATAATAGGCACAATAGAGGAGAGGGATGGGCCGACGAAAGGTAGATTTGTGTGTTAGGGGAGGCGGCTTTGGTGAAAAAGGGAAAGGAACGGCTGGGAAAGAAAGGCAACAATTTTCTAGGGATTGGATTGAGCCGAATCAGATGGTGGATTTCGGAGATAGAAATACGGATAGGAATATGGGATATGGGATATGGGATATGGGATATGGGATATGGATAAAATTAATATATTTTGGCTTGTAGTTTATGCTTTGAATGGATGAATTTTGATAGCTGTGGAAAATCGAGGGTGAGATATCTAAGATGGACGGGTTGAAGTATTTCGATATTTAGATATCTATCCCCGAGATCTGGAACGCTAGATGGTTTCTCGATATTGGATACTCCGTAGAGTGATGTTGGATTTCTGTAGTAGGCGAGGGAGGTGTGGTGGCGGTGCGATTGCATTGGTGAAATCAATTAGGTTAAAGATGGTAGGTATCATATTATCATCTAGGTCGTTTGGACACCCAGATACTTGTATACCGTATATCGTATAAGTTGAACGAACTCGGTTCAGATATACGGAGTAATTCGTATTCGGTTCTAGGATTTCCCGCTTTTATAGAGTAGTGTTACGACGGGCTACACAACTACCAAAGGCACGTGATCACAAATGATCAGTAGTGATCATTAAGGATCACTAAGGATCACGATATAGGTGATCACTGGTGATCATGAAGGATCACCAGTAATCATAGAAGCATGAAGGACTATATAATCAAGATGGATTTCCTTTGTATAGAGCTTCGTGCTCAAGATCAATCATTTAGTATACTCTACTATTAGTTACGAATTGCATTATTGTCGTTACTTTAAGTCCCTGCTTGACGCCTAGTTATAAACCACCTCGAGAGCCTAGAGCACTTCCACGTGATCTAGACGGCAAACCTCGTAACAATAAACTTGGCAAGTTTTTGCACTAGTAAGCACCCGCCGTTAATTAACCCCGCAGGTGGTGTTGAGGTACTAATAATAAAGCATTGCACGTTTTTCATTTTCTTTCTGGGATGATTCTTCTGAGATGGAAGATGGGATTGGGGTCATTCGTATTATTGTATCATGAGGTTTGTGCTCTTGATAATGGTTATTAGTAATACCACACGAAATGGATGTTGCTGTACGGAGTAGATACTACTAGGCAGCAGACAGAAAATGTAATCACAGGTATCGATTGGTAATACTAACAGTGCTCTCTAGCTAGATAATACGTTGCTTATTGTTACCGTTTACAAAGGGGTAATAAGATAAGTAAGCTTTATGAAAGACAAGTAGAATACCTAGGCGAGTTTAGTTATAGACCGGAATCTGGAAAATTCGAGAGTTTCCGATGACGAAAGAGATTTTTACGTTGTAGGCAGCAAAGTACGGAGTATGGGCTTTGTGTTAGCTTTTCCAGCCGTCGCCACGCATTTTGCTAATGGGGGTTTAATATTTTATGTATGAATTGATAAAGTCCTGGGTGTATATATGTAATGATATGAGTACGTACTACCATATATCATTCTTATGTATAGTCACAGGCACAGGCGTCTCTCCCATCGCACCATTGAGTGATAACACTAACTATATCTAACCCCCTGCGACGTTGCGTTGCGTGGTTTCCCCTCCATTCAGCACATTTTTTTGTACTTCCTGCCGGTAACGAATCTTTTAAAGGTCCACCTTGTGTTTTTATCACACTTTTGATCGAGCCATTTACAACAACGACATACCTTGAAATTCTTCACACGTTTCCCGACCCAGCTTCCCCTTACAACTGCAAAGTGGTGGAGACCGAGATTTGTTCTTAATTTCCTGCCCCATTTCGGAGAAAAGCTCGATTTACATTCATTAAATCGCAAGGATGGTTAGCTTAGGGCATGTTCATCGTAGGCAGTCTGGTGCAAGTATGTTTTTCTCTCGTTGGAATGTGCTTTATCGATATGCTATTATTACTCCAGTCTGAAATACTCAAATTGGATAGACATCACTAATAACAACATGGGAATTCTAGGCAACCGGTCTTCCGTCGATGAATCGAAGACTTCCGATGCGGAGGATGAGACTACCGTCGTTGAGCCAGATCAGGGGAATGGTAGGAATCCCATAACATTTGAGAAGGGAGAGATCCTGCAAAGCTGACTCGGAATGAAATACAGTTCTCTCCCACATCATCTCACAGCTCCGTCCTGGAGCGGATTTGAGCCGCGTCGTTTTGCCTACCTTTATTCTCGAGCCAAGGAGTATGCTGGAAAGAATTACGAAGTGCGTAGATGCCGGGGCTTCGGAAGGAAAGGAAATATGAGAGGCAGGCATGCTGATGGTGTATAGCTTCATGGCCCATCCGGAAACTCTGCTTCCCATGGCAGAATTAGAAGATCCTTTGCAAAGATTTGTGTCGGTTGTGAAGTTCTACTTGAGTGGATGGCATATTAAACCTCCGTAAGGCTCAATACGCCCATTTGAGGGGAGCAGTTGTGCTAATGAGATTCTGCAGAGGGGTTAAGAAACCGCTCAATCCTATTCTCGGCGAAATTTATACTTGCTACTGGCAATTTCCAGACGGCACTAAGGGCTACTACATTTCTGAGCAGACCTCACATCACCCTCCCAAGTCGAGCTACTTTTACATGGCGCCCGAGCACAATATACGAATTGATGGATGCTTGAAGCCTCGAAGCAAATTCTTGGGCAATTCTGCGGCCAGTATGATGGAGGGCATTGCTATATTGAGGTTTTTGAATAGAGGAACTGGACCCAAGGGAGAACGATAGTAGGTCGTTACTGCGGAATGCAGGTCAAAGGGAATTTTTAGATACTGACTGGATGCTAGTATTCTGACCCAACCCAACATGTACGCTCGAGGCATCCTGTTCGGCAAGATGAAGTATGAGCTTGGCGATCATAGTTTTGTGCGCTGCCCGGAGCTCGGATTGAGTGCGGATATTGAATTCAAGACGAAGGGCTACTTTGGAGGAACATACAATGCTATTGGGGGTACGATTAAAAATGACAAGACAGGGGAAGTTCTCTATGAGCTCTCGGGTATGTGGAGTGGAGAGATGTTTATCAAAAATATCAAGGTATGGTTCTCTGCAATCTGTGTGACTTTGCAAATTACTAACTATACTCAGACGGGTAAGAAAGACCTTTTATTCGATGCTACGAGAGCGAGACCATCACCTCCGTTAGTAAGGCCTTTAGAAGAACAAGAAGATCGAGAATCGCAAAAGTTATGGTTCAAGACGGCAAAAGCGGTCAAGGAACGCAACCACGAAGTCGCGACAGATGAGAAGACATTCATTGAAGATATGCAGAGGGATGAGGCAGCCAAGAGAGTAGAAGATGGTGTTGAATGGACTCCAAGGTTGTTTAGACCAGTTAAAGGTGGTCCCGGCGGTTCCGAAGAAGGTGAAGAAGACTTGGATTGGATCTTGAATGCGAACATGTAAGTTGATAGAAGTCGTTCTTCATATATCGTACTAAAATTGGAAACAGTAATGGCGCCAGTCCACAAGAACAGGCGGAGCAAATCCTCGCGGTTTATCCAATCCTTCCAGGTCAGAAATCCACGGAGAAAAACCCTATTCCCCCACAGCATCACCAACATACAGAACAGGCCAACCCAATACCAGCACCGGTACCAGCGGCAACAACTCCAGTCTCACTATTGCCTCAGGAGAAGGACAAGGAGAATCTCATTGATCTAGGAAGTGACTCGCCAGCCACATCTCACTATCAACATGTACCAGCTGATCTCCACGCAGCCCAGACGCAAAATAACGGACAGCAACAAAAGGATCTCGAGCGTACCCTCCAATCTACTAGTACAGTACAAGGCCAAAACCAGAGCCCGTTAATTGACTTTCACGACGACCTAAGGAAAGATTTACCAACAGCTACTGACACCCAAGGGACCGCAGCCTCCACGCTGTATCGACAGGACACGGACACTCATAGCATTGATGAGTTTGTAGATGCTGAGGGATGATTTGGATAAGGAGGATGAGAGGGAGCATCAGATCGATCTGGGCCCGAGCCAATCCGAAGTTTTAATGAAAGTACTTGGCGCACCCTAAGCTAACCAGTCCCATGTTACCTCCTCTCCTACCGGATTTTTCTTTTCCTTCCATGGTCGAAAGGAGCAGGGCGGGGAATTACACAGGCGCTTGCGTTTTCCAATTTTTGAAGCTCAGATACACTATTAGATTGGGCCGGCGGGCGTTGACCACTACCTATGTTATATATGTTGAGATTTTGTTCGGTCTGCGGCAAGATGGCTTACTTGGGGAATGGATGAATGAATCAATTCATGACATGGAATGCATTGATTGCATGGATGGGTAAACGCCAAATTAATGAAATATACACAATTCTCTTACTCAACATGGATCGGACTTCACGTAAACAGATACATATGCTTTTGATATTTTTTTTATTTGCACTTTTATCAAGTTTTGATGCGGTGATTATACATGAGCAGCTTCCTGCTGCCTTTCTTGCCTATGCTTTTGTTATGGTGATGTTCCCAACTTGTTGATATGAATAGATGACCATAAACGCCTGATATGACTATAACTTCATTGAAACCCCATTTACTCGCCCTACTCACGCAACGAATTCCCCTGCATATGATGCTGAATCTTCGTTGGATTAGTCCATTAATTGGCCCCTTGCCAATTTCAGATATGTACCGAAATCTAGCGCATACCCACTATGCACTGGAAACATTGGCATAATGTGTACTTCAGTTTGTCTGTAGAATCGTGGGAGAAACACCGAGATAAAGATCGGACACATCGACTATCCGTTGCGTATTTGAGAGGGTATCCTCCAACCTAATCGCTCCTCAGTGAGCATTGCCAACCTATCCCAAACTCTCACTTTGCCCATCCACCTCATCCCTCCAAATAAACATTCCATCATCTCCAGCTCCACATCATGCATATCTCTTCCTTGTAGGCTCGGGACTCGGACTCCTCGTCACGCTCCTCTCGTCTCTTCCCCTCATCCTCAACCACTTCTTCGTACTCAACTCCAGCTCGCGGTCCAACTCATCGCTTGGATTCTTGCGATGGATAAAATTACAAAAGCCGCCTCGTACGCACCCTTCGCCACTATTGAGCCGACAACATGCTTCGCGGAAATCGGTGACAGGGGAGAGCTCGCAGTAGATGGGCCGGGCGGCGTACCAGCGCGAATTGAGGGCGTCGCATGCTTTTTGCGCGGAGTCTTCGTATTTGAAGCGCGCGTAGACGTTGCCGATTAAATCTAGAAGGAAAGTGTTAGCTTTTTCTCTTTTTCTATGTTTCTGGATAAATGAAGAATGGGAAGGGAAAGAGACATACGATCATTGTTATTATCACACACGACGACCTCCTCAATCTCTCCAAACTTGCACATCTCGCACCAGAAATCCTCGTAGAAGGCATCGAAGTGATTCTGTAGCTGCGAAGCATTCATCTTATTCTTGGGATCGTAGGCAGGGTTCTGGTAGAGGTTGGGGAGGAGGATGGTCTGCGAGTATGAGGGCTTGACGTGTTTACGGGAACAGCGGTCGCCGTGGCGACAGGCACCAATTTTGTAGTAGAAGGAACAATTTACTTTGTCGGCTTCTGTACCGAAGATGGAGGCGAGGTAGTTGGCCATTTTGGATTTGGTGGGTGGCTGAAGATGTGAGGTTTAATCGGACTGAAAGCTGTAGCTGTCGACACGGTTCAAGTTTGAACGTTTGTTTGTCTATGTGTGTATGTAGCGATTAGCGTTTTTGAGAGGAAAAACTATCTTGAGATTTGATAATATACTCCTGATGTGCGAACGGTAGAGTAGACAATCGTGAGTATGTGTCGATAGCAAATTGTCTGTATAAGATGAGGCGCTTTATGATAATCGCGACAAGAAAGTTCCAAAAATCTAGGACAAGTCCGAGCTTCTTACCTAGCGTGCTTTTTTGTAGCTTTGGTGGATGACTAATCAAAAGTTCGCATGCATTCTCGAATTGGATTGTGGATTTCTAATCAAACTTCTAAACTTACTTCACTACGATATCAATCTCGTGGTCACATGTCTACCTCATGGTTTTGAGTATTTGCTGGGTTGTATGGGCCTCACTTGGTGCTCACAATGCTGTCAAAAATTTCGCTTGACCAGAGATATATACGCAGCACTAGGTAGAACCTCTGTATATAACCTCAAGCTAGACGTTGATGCTCGGTGATGGCTACTGTACTGGAAAGAGCAAAGAGCCCACTAAGTCGCGTGAATGGATAGGTGCTCCCTTCCCAATGGATAGGTTGTTAGTAAGTGTCTCCCACCTACCTGGGTTAATAGAATATATTTCTCAAAGTTTTTTCCAGCTTTGGTGTTGTCAATCTCGCTTGTCGAGTTTATCTCGTTGCAGTACAGAACCACCACCGGACTTTTTATATCAAATAGCAGATATGTTCAATTCTGTGCTGGGTAGTTCCAATTGAAGTACTATGACATATCCTGCAATAATTTCAATAACCGTCCTCAAGTTCTAAAATTGCAAACACTGTTTCAACTGTTCCACCGATCTTGTCCCATGTTCAGACTGCCCTTAAGCAACATTCCTGTTACATAATTTGCCAAATGCTGCAGCAGCCTTGTTGAATGCATTCTTCTTCTCGGATGTCGTGATCACAGTTTTCTGCTCCCCATCCTTTTCATACCGTTCGAAGCTATACAGTTCGTCGTGAAGTTGAAGCTCCGATAGAGCGATGTTGTCCTTGTCTGCTTCTTCCCCGATGCATTGGACAACTCTTAGCTCATTGGATTGTAAGCGACCGATGCCCTGCTCAAAACGGATTTTTACCGCAACAATATTTCCTGCTGATCCTCCTTCACTCCAACTGACCATTAAATCTCCTTTGCTCTCCGGGAAAGCCCATGGATGAGCAAACATATGGGCAGTGTATGCAAACTTCTGTACATGGCCTAAAGGATATGCCTTCATCAGTTGGACAATCTCGAAAGGGCCCCAAGGATTGATAGCTCGTCCAAACATTAGCTTGCTATCACCTGTCCGGGTACAGCCAACGAAGCCAAATCTGTATGGTGAATCCTCTCCAAACAACTTTGTGTTAAATATTTGACCATGTAAATAGTTCTTCAAAATTGGACAGGAGAAGAAATGGTTTTTAACCCAACCTCTTCCACCACCCCAGTACTCCCAGCAAGCTCTTGCCTTTGCAAGCTCTAAAGGTACGCGACCTAGTACTACGTCATATTCTTCGTTGTGATCGCCACCTTTGTGTCCGTAGGCGTATAAATATTTTCCGTCGGAAAGGACTGAGAAAGTTCCAAGTCGAGGCTCACTGGGCTATCATTGTCTTGGTAAGTTTCGCTTTGTAGAGAGTTGATTGACCTACATAAAACAATATACGCTCACTCCAGCCAGCCATCTCACGCTTAGCTACAATAGTCGTCGGATTGGCACGGTAATCAACCTCCACAGAGGCTATACCAACCGCTACGAGGAAGGTTGAGCCATCCTTTCTGATGCTTCGATATTCAAAAAAGGTCCATCCATATGCTGCGGCGCCGGTGATAAGATACCAAGCAATCCCACCAGTGGCCCAAAATACCTTATTGTCGTTTTTCTTGTCAAGTTCGTCCTCGAAGCGTTTAAACAAACTTGGAATTTGTCTCTCGCTGATTTCAACGTTAATTGATCCTGGTGGCGCCAAGTATCTTGACATGACGGGATTGGTGGGATTGGTGAGAAATGAGAGCGTAGAATCAGTTTTTCCTAGAAACTGACCTGCTGCATTGTGGCAGAATGTGTTGTTAAATTGGAATAGCACATGTCCGTTTGGCAATGCACTCGATCTTCCTCCCATTCTCGGATAGGAGTTTCCGCTCTCTTAAGTAATGTTAGGAATTTATTAGAATGTGAGTTTGTTTACACTTCCTGGGTTGACTTACCGTCGTATAAATGACCTAGTGGGACAACATGCTTGATGATTGGTGGCCAAGCAACGTATTTCTGAATGTCTGGAATTTCTCTCTGTATTATTGAAGCCATTTTAATAGAAGCAATAAGCAACAGTTTATCCTTTCATAATGTTACCTTTGTAGTGAGCTGTTTCCAATGGCTGGTTGTGGGAGAGTCGGGATTGTAGTGAAAGCGAAAGTTTGGCTTCCAACAGCGCCTTCCATGTTTGACTGATTTAAAGATGAATCGCAGAAAGATTAACCCAGATGGTAGTAAAAACTTAGGCAGCTGACTACTTATGCTCACAGGTTTTCTCCAAAGTACCTGATCTCGTTCTTAAAACTCAAAAGGAATTCTTTCTTGCCATTTTATCTTTGTAGAACGAACTCATAACTGAGTATGCTTTCACAAAGTTGGTCCTGCTATACCACCAAAAGAATTATCGGTCATACACTCAAATCTTGAAAGACATCTTATTAAAGGGATACCTGGGAGAAGTACAGATAATTCAAGTCAGGAGATATACCTGGACCCAAGCGATGTATTCACTGTCTGAATCCAAGCCAAGATGAAATCAGTCCAAGATCAGATACATTCAATTGGTTGCTTTTGTTCGGATACAGACAGCAGCACCAATAAACCAAAAAGAAAAGCTCCCAATAATCCAAGTATTTTAGGATGTATGGACATGATTGCTGAGATAAAACCGAAACTGACTTCAACTTCTTGCAAGAATAGGCAACCGTTTGGAATATAATATTCCAACGATTTATTGCATGATTTTCTGAAAAGAGAGCAGCTTCTAGATCAGATACGTATCTTCCAATTAATGTTTCGCTTCTTCTAATTATTAATGAGGTATGTATGACAAGCAAGTGAATGTTGCGCTTCTCCTTCCATCCTAGCAATGGTCATTACATTATTCTCATCCGAGCCGAATACCAAGAAGACTGTGATATTATTAGCTGAGAGTAAAGCCCAAAAGCGGGCCTTGAGTACATGCAAAATATGGACCATAAATGTGGACGAAGAGAAGCGCGACAAGAAGGAATGAAAATAGGTATGAAGGAAAGCTAACATAATATCGAGGGTGGGAGTGTACAAAAATCATGTTCGAATGCCCGAGAAGACGATGGTAGGCTTTGGCAAAAGAACAGTACATTTACTACCATATAGTTCTTCCCATATTTCTCACCTATCATTATCGATCCTGAAAATCCCATTGAACAACACCTGAGTAAAATATCATGCCATTGCATCTGCATTAGACTTCTTAAAAGACAACGATTTTGCAATCAGAAAAGACATCCAGATATAGGTACCCGTTCATTTCGTGATATTCATCCTAAGTACGAACCAATCCGAGAAATTTCGAAACTCTCTTCAAACGGAGTAGGTAGATGTATCAGAGTACATCTGAAGATAACAAATTTCCATGATGTTCTGTAATTAATATCAAGCATATTGTGACTATATTGCGGTTTCTTAGATATAAGAAAAGGCAACATGAATCTAGCTAAAGGGTCCTCTCTTCCTTGGCCAATTTGCAAGTTTCTGAAGTCGCTCCATAGTGTTCGTCTTTGCGAATTACATGAAAATAGTAAGCTAGTAAAACATCATTTATATTCCTAGCAGGAATCAATCAATGCGTATATGTGTCATCTGAGACTGAACTGGAACTTATGGTATTCTTGGATGTTTTACTGCTTAAAATCTACAAATATGCATCTATTTACTCTAGCTTTAAAGTCTCGAATTGCTTTATAGTCTCCTCAAAACCACGCTGTTCAGTTTCAAGATCTGCGAGCTTCTTCCTCTCTATTTCTTGCAACTCTTTGCTAACTTTCTCCTGGTATGCGGGATCATCAAGAATCTTTCTCTGTCTCTCAACACCTGCGCGAGTCTTCTCTAGCTTTTTAGCTGCCTTTTGGATCTCGCCATCAATGTCTACGCGGCCTTTGACATGCAAGAAGACAGCGGCAGCGGAGGACACGGAGAATACTACACAACCTGCTGGGCGAGCATCGGTTGAGGAAAGTACTTCCAAAGACGATACACCTTTACCGGACAAAGACTTTATAGACTGAACTTGAGATGTGACTGTGGAGTGGGAGGTAGTATCGTAGGCTTGAACGAACACTAGAGCAACATATTAGTATGGATCCTTTTGTTATAGCCTGCCGATATTGACTTACCTTTTCCTTCATCTTTAAGCGAGTATTCAGACATCAAAGATCGAATACCCTTGGATACACCCAGAACAAGCTCATAAGCTGCTTCAGATGCAGGATCATCTAAGCCTGCTTCATAGACTGGGTATTTTGCAAGAACGATAGACGGGGTCTTGTCTTCTGGACGTCGAGGAAGTCGTTGCCAGAGCTCTTCAGTCAAGAAAGGCATGTAAGGATGAATCATGGTCAAAGCACCTTCAAGAGCAGTGTACAAAGTGTCAGTAGCAGATCTCTTCTCCTCTTCGGTGCCGTCTTGAAGAATTGCTTTAGAGTTTTCAATGTATACATCGCACAACTGGTTGTACCAATATTGGTAAACAGCAGTTGTTGAACGCATGAATTCACGCTCTTCGAGATTTTGGTTGATTTCTTTCGCGGCCATTGTCATCTTGTGCAAGATCCAGCGCTCAGACAAAGACTCCCTGCCTGTGAGCTTTGCAGTCTTTTGCGGAACGAAGTCGGCAGGCAATTTGCCAACCACGTATTTTGTCGCTTGATAGATCTTGTTGCAGAACTTTCGGTATCCGTGAATGACCTTGATGTCGAATGCAATATCTCCCCCACCAGTCGTGTAGGACACCAACGCAAATCGCAAAGCATCAGTACCGCATTCTGGAATTCCATCAGGGAAAGCGGTTTTCTGATACTTCTTCGCCTTCTCAACTTCTGCAGGGGCAAGGTTACCGATCAAAAGCTTGGCATGTAAATCCTCAAGACCGATACCTTGGATTACATCTTGAGGATCAATGACGTTGCCTAATGATTTCGACATCTTTCTACCATCAGAGTCTCGAACCAAAGAATGGCAGTATACTTCTGTGAACGGCACTTTGCCAGTCATCTTGATACCAAACATAATCATTCGAGCAACCCAGAAGAACAAAATATCCCAGCCAGTCTCGAGTACTGATGTTGGGTAAAGTTTTTCGAAATCGTTTGTCTTTTTTGGCCAACCCATAGTAGCAAAAGGCCAGAGACCAGATGAGAACCAGGTATCCAAGACATCCTCGTCTCTCTTGAGTGTGAAAGTCTTACCCGAAAGGGCCTTCTTGGCCTTAGCTTCTGCTTCCTCTTGTGTTCTGCCGGCGAACCACCGATCACCATTACCCTCATCATTCTCATCACCTTCGATTTGAGCAAAGTACATAGGTGCTTGATGGCCCCACCACAGTTGCCTGGATAAGCACCAATCGTTTATATTTTCCATCCATCGAAGATAACTCTTCTCGGCTGATTCGGGCTTGATCTTGATCTCGCCAGACTTCACAACCTTGATAGCCTCATCCGCCATTTCTCTCATCTTCATCCACCACTGCGGCTTCAACATTGGCTCAATCACATCCTTCGATTTTTCACATAGCGGGACAGTCATCGGATTGTCTTTCTTATCAACGTATAGACCAGCCTTCTTTAGATCTTCCTGGATAGTGTAACGAACATCGAAACGCCTTTGCCCGGCGTAAGGGCCTGCATTGTCGTTCATCTTACCATCATCGGTCAAGATGTTGATGAACTCAAGGTTGTGGCGTTGACCAAGAGCAAAATCATTCGGGTCGTGAGCTGGGGTAATCTTGACAGCACCGGTACCAAAGTCCTTTTCAACATAGGTATCGGCAACGATTGGCATTAGTCGTCCTTCAATGAAAGGATGAATGGCATTCTTTCCAACAAGATGTGTGTAACGGGCGTCGTCAGGATGGACTGCAATACCAGTATCACCTAACATGGTTTCAACACGAGTTGTAGCAACCTCAATCTTTTCCTCGGATCCCTCGATTTGGTACTGGAAGTGAACGATGACTCCAAATTCCACTTTCTTATCGTATCCTGGCACATCAAGGAGTGTGCGGCCCGCAAGTTCTTTGTTAGTCACCTCGAGATTCGAGAGAGAAGTATTAAGTTTTGTGCACCAGTTCACGAGCCTGTTGGCTCTATAAATGATGCCCTCCTCGTGCAGTGTTACAAATGTTTCTGTAACAGCGGCTGAGAAATTCTCGTTCATCGTGAAAGCTTCACGAGTCCAATCGAAAGGATCCACCCATCCTACGGAGAACGGCGTTGATCTTTTTGTGGTATTCATCCTTCCAGTCCCAGACAGTCTCAACGAACTTAGGTCTTCCAAGATCATGACGAGTCTTTTGCTCGCGGCGCCACAACATATTCTCAACAACGCTCTGAGTGGAAATGCCGGCGTGGTCACATCCTGGAAGCCAGAGTGTTGTCTTGCCATGCATACGGTTCCAACGAATGAGTAAATCTTGCAAAGCGTTGGGAAGAGCATGACCCATATGTAAATTTCCGGTAACGTTGGGCGGTGGCTCGACGATTACAAAAGATCCTTCTGGTTTGACTTCTCCATCTGCTGTGAATTCTGGTTTGAAAAAGCCTTCTTTCTCCCACCATGAGTACCAAGCAGATTCAACAGCGATTGGATTATATGCCTTGTATTGAGGGTCGTCAAAAGATTTTATAACTGTACAAACCAATTAGCCTTTTAATTGAACGTCGCTCCACAATTTGATTGCCATACTCTTTTTTTCCCCTTCCGGAGTATCCTCGACGTATTTTGGCAATACTTCCTCAGCAGCCTTCTTTTCGGCTTTGGCTTTCTTCTCCTTATTCTTGCTTGATGCAGCTGAAGCAGCATTTGCCTGTTGGGCTTGCTTTTTTTGATCAAACTTAGCTTGTTTCTCTGCCTTCTTGCGCTCTCTCTCAACTGAGCAGCAGAAAATTAGCTTGTAGGACTCTTTTGCACATAGACGGAACTCATACGCTCTTTCTCGCTTTTCACTTTCTTTTCCCCTTCACCAGCTACAGGAGCCGCGTTTTGTCCTGGCACATGTGAACCGGTTGCGCTGAATTCTGCTGCATTTACAAGTGCAACTTTAGTTTCCTTTGAGACAGCAGGTGGCTGCCCTGTGACTGGACCGGTCTCTTCCCCAACTGCCATTCAGTTCTAGTCAGCTGTAGATCCGGAAAATCTATAATGTTGCAGTCCTTACTTGGATTGTACGACGCAGCGTTGGTAGCCATTCTGATAGTGGGAGTAGGATTTAAGATACTTCTGTAAGGCGACCTGCGCACACAGAGCGCCCTGAACAAAGGTCGAGACGTCTTGAAAGCGTCTTTGGGTAAAATTGAGAAGAATCAAACAAAGTTGTAGATTACTCTGGGAATTGTTTTGACAGTTTCTACATCCAAATTAAAATGTGACTCGAACTTGGGTGCCACCCCTCTTGTGGCTTGTGACTGGGCGGGACCTCACCAGCCACACAAGGCTGACTAACTTTCAAAAGCTCAACTTCAATCGATCGATCACCTCTCGTCAGTTTGTTTTTTCTTAATATTCGAGCTATGAATATCTATAATACTTAATATTCATTAAGATCCCTAATGAGGTCGTCAATTTTGGCATGAGACAGTCAAGAATTTTCCTAGTAAAACATTTCTTTCTTTCAGGTAGTACTTGATCAGTTTGGTGGCCATTCATTCATTAGCCCCAAAGCTAGAGTGCTTTATCTTATAAATCTCTCAATTGATGTCTCCGCTGTGGAAGAGTATATATATACAAGATGACAATCAATGCATTGTCGGCATCAACAATTCACCTCTTAGGTTCTTCTCAGGTTCTTACCACACCTGCATCTCTCATTAAAGAGCTCATTGACAATGCCCTTGATGCCAAAGCTACGTGTATTGATATTCTTATTTCTCAAAATACCATTGATAAGATAGAAGTCCGCGATAATGGAGATGGTATTCAGCTCGATGATCTCGATGCGTTGGGGAGGCGGGGTCACACTTCTAAGTTGAGAACCTTCACGGAGCTCAGGAATCTAGGTGGCAGAAGTCTGGGATTCCGAGGGGAGGCACTGGCATCTGCTTGCCAACTTGGAGATGTTTCAATAACTACAAAGACGGATGGCCAGCCAGTTGGAACGCGTGTAAAATTGAAGGCTATGGGTGGAATTCAATCACAATCTCGAACTTCCCATCCTATTGGAACAACAGTCTGTGTAATGAACTTCATGTCGAAGTTACCTGTTAGGAAACAAACAGCCTTGAAAGAAGCACCAAAGACGATTGGTAAAATTCAAGAGCTGGTAAAGAGGTATGCTCTAGCACGAGTTTCAATCAAGCTTACCTTCAAAATTGTAAAGGGTTCCAAGGGTGCATGGTCTTACGCACCTCGTCCACATGGTGGTATCAAAGATTCAGTGTCTCTTATTATTGGCCGAGACGCTGCCTTGCAATGCTCTGAAACGTCAATGCTATTTTCTGATTTGCCTGACCACGAGGGCTTGAATGTTCTTGCTGGTGTTGGTACTGCAAACGAGGTGGCAGCTTCTCATTTTTGCCTTAAAGCTTTCCTCCCCCGAAATGATGCAGACCTAAATAAGTTAGGAAAGGGACAATATTTATCAGTTGATTCCAGGCCAGTAGCATCTGAGAGGGGGACCATGAAGAAGATCATAACCATTTTTAAGAAATATGTCCGAAGTGCGTTAACGGCGGAGTCTTCTTCAGAGAAAATCAAGAATCCCTTTATACGTCTCAACATTGTCTGCCCTGAAGCAAGTTATGATCCCAATGTTGAACCAGCTAAGGATGACATCATTTTCGAGAACGAGAAGCTTGTGCTGGAAGCGGCAGAGAAGATGTTCAAGAATTTTTATGGAGAGTGCGACACGGTCATATCTAGACTAGCAAAGAACAGCATTGAGACTGATTCCGCTGGATTTGATATCCTTCTTGCCCGAAGCACTCGGCAGGATTTCCCAACACCATCAGCTATTGTCGGCGCACCATTGACACTCAAAGACACTCATTTCGTCACTAGCTCCAATTCAAACATTATGTCCAATGTTGGCCCCGTTATTACTAACGATGCCTCCAGCATAGCAGAGTCCGAGAACAGTGAGGTGTCCGAGGAATCAAGCGCCCTTGGGATGAATCGAAAATGGGGATGTGACATGTCTCAGGACTACACAGAATACACAGATGGTTTCTGTCATCAAGCTTCTGTTAATCATATGCAGAAGCAATATGGCTTGAATAGCAATGGGCAGCCTGTTTCCACGGATTTGAATCCTTGGGTCATTGCTAAAATGACCGCTCCAATCCAAGATGAAACTGCCACACGTTCGAGCAATATCAACACAAATTCAAGCTCGAATATATTGCTGAATTCGATTGAGGACGATTCTCTTCAAGTCATGTCACCACAGCGTGTTACTGCTGCTGCTGCTCCATCTCCGCAAATCCGACGCATTGACAAACCCAACGCCAGCCTAGCAGATATTTTACAGTCGCACTCCAACTTTAGGCGCCATGTCCATGAAAGCCGTATGCAATCTGCTGATTTTACAGATTCGATGACCGAGAATGATTTGCCCGTAAGGAACCACAGGCATAGTCACCTAAATAGTAACGGGTTCACTACGGCAACGAAGTTTGTTGAAACATCTTTGATGTCGCCGCCAAATACGTCTCCAAATATGCAGCAGCAGAAGAAAACAAGAGGCGAAGGATTAAACAAGCCCTTTATATCTCCTTTCCGAACACCGAACTCTAGTGGTGTTTCTGTTGGCCTTGTCCAAACACAGCTAAAACTTCCTTATCAGCCTTTTATCGTACAAGGAGAGGCATGTGACCCGCCTACTACCGCCGCGATTTCAGATCCGGAAACACAGCAGACGAACCCTGAGTTGGATTGGGCTATGGACTTCGAACACAGAAAAGAGGACGCTATCCGCCGCCGAAGAGATGAACTTCAAGCTATGCGAGATACATTTCGGCAGCCATCCGCTATGGACCAAGCCTCTTCCCGACAATCTCCTCACAAGAATCGTTACAATGCTGCTTTGGCCAGCCTTGAAAGACCCACAGAGAATTTAGAAGAGTTTTCTCCCGAGACGAACAGTAGCGGAGTGAAGACCTCCCTTCCAGATAGCGATCCTCGGGGCTATTTTATGAAGAGACAAAGATCCTTTTCTGTTCTATCTAGCATCACAGGAGGCCCTCGGAAGTTGAAGCGGGCTCAAATTTTACGCCTTCCCCTAGAATCGATACCTGCAGACTTAGAAATTCATAGAATTGTCCAAATTGTCCCTAGTGGTATTCAGAGTATCTCAAATCTTGTCATGGAGACATCAAAGCAGGACACTTATGTTTGCCAGGGAGTACAAGCCATCGGCCTTGAGATGACGGCTACAGATAGGGAGGCTGTAGGAAAGCAATTGTATCAAGTGGTTGAGGCATGGATGAATTCAGGACGAGGAGAGAAGTGTGATGTCGAGTTTGTATTTGGTGGGCTGGATTCGCTTCATGGTGCTTGATTGTGTTGTAAGGATATGGATTAGGTGGCAAGGTAGTATATATGGCTTACACATGGCGTTTTGCTGATTTGATACCCATTTGCTTTCCTAGCGGTTGTGTTCTAATATAGATTATCAGAGGCTTTTGTTGCTGGCGCATTTAGTAAGATATTTTAATGTATTCTATATATAGAACGAGATCGCTGCTGCTTGATTGCAATAACGATTTAATACACACATCGAGTCCTAATGGAAAGTGACATGTTCTAATTTTCATATACTCTCTAACATTCTATTTTTCGTCTGCCAATGCCTTGAAGGCTTGCAACAAATCATCTCTTAAATCTTCCCATCCCTCAATTCCCACACTGACTCGCAACAATTTCCGATCAATAGTCGCATCCGACATTGCCCTCCACTCAATCAAACTCTCCACACCACCCAAACTTGTCGCATGATGAAATAATTCCAGCTTACTTGGCAATTTCTTCGCAAACGCCTCTTCTTTCAAAATGATAGAAAACACAGGACCAAACCCATTTGGCATCTGCTTCAATAACCACCCATCCTTAATATCCTCTTCTTGCAAACTCGCATGCACAATCTTAAGCACGATTTTCCTCACCACCTCTGTTTCCGCATCATTAGATTTCAAAGCATCGTCTAACCAAGAAACAATCTTTTGCGCCGAAGCCGATTGTTGCTTGACGCGGATTTCTAAAGTTCGAACGCTGCGGATCCCAAGCCATCCTTCCATGGATCCCATCACATTCCCTAGGATAGACCGCTCTTCTTCTAAAGCATGAAACCAACCTTTTTCAATATGTTTGGGGTTCACGGCGAGAATACCACATAGCATATCGGAATGTCCGCCTACATATTTGGTGCCGCTATGCATGATGATATCCGCGCCCCAGAGAAAAGGATCTTGAAGTGGCGGCGGACCAAATGTAGCATCAACTGTCAAAAAAGCACCGCGCGAATGAGCCTTTTCGGCAAAAGCAGCGAGGTTATAGGCGGTTCCTTGGGGATTCAATGGTGTTTCCACGTGGATGATGTCGCCTGGTTGCAGATCCTCGGCAGGGCAATCCAATGGGATTTTTTGGAGTCCGGTGAGCTTTTTGTGGATATCAATGACGCCATGACAGCCATGATATCCTTCACCAATAGAAATGCGTTTTGGGTTGAGGTAAACTAAGAGTGCGTGGAAGGCGGAAAGACCAGATGCGTAGGTTAGAGTGGGGCCTTTGAAGATACTGCTGAGGATTGCTTCGAAGCGTGTGGTATTTGGTGCAGTATGTCTGGAATAGACATGGCTGTCCTGAGGTGCATGTGGCTATAGAGTGGCATCAGTATCATCCGATGGATAAGTATGATAAGTATGAAAAACATGAACTTGAGAAGAGATGAATCATGTGACTGAATCGAATGCGGGGTACTCACATCCAGATCACTCAATGCAACGAGATCATCTGGGTTATTGCTGTAGCGGAAAGTAGTCGATACGTGGAGAGGTGGTGCGACATCTGGACCTTTGTTGAGGAAATCATCTGCGTGGATGGTTTGGGAAGAAAGTGATAATGAGGAGAGTCCGTGATCGGGAGTGTGATCTTTAAGATCTTGTTGACCATTGAGACCAGGTTGAGAGGTTGCCATTTTTGCACTTGTACGTAGTAGATGAATCCAAAAGCTTTATTGTAGGGGAAGCAATATGATTATGAATTGTGGTGGTCGAGCGAGTATTTATACATAAATATGGATGAATTTGTTATCGGATTTCTTAGTGTCAACTTGACGGGATTAAAAAAAACTGGATCTTTCCAATGAATGATTTATGATTTCAAAACTGTGGTATATTCCATCATCAATTTTAAAGTACATCCAATGATTAAGTCTAAAATCGAATATATGAAGGGAACATCCCACGTATTGGCAAACAATTGTATATGTTTGTGAACTTAACAAAGTCAGAAGGGCGTAACACGCCCTTCGCGGAGACACAATCAAATCTCCACAAGTCAATGCTCCCGCTCCATGTCGCTAAGGTTAAAGTGCCCCCTTTCGACCTAGATCCTATGCCGTATAGATAGTCAGGAACGATGAATCTATAGGACACCAGAAAGTAATGGAAAACTTTGCCATACAACTTTTTAACGATGTGGCTATGTGGTCATGAAATACAACAGCCGGTATGATGAAAGCATGATTTCTCGCACCGGGATGGTTTCAATCATAGTTCTATTGGTAAACAACTGTTCTTTTTTACCATTGAGCTTTTGACGGGTATCGTGGTATATTAGTAGGTAGCATTATACTTCCTGTCTTGTGTTGGAGCGACACTATGAAGACTACAAGCTTTGCGTACTGAGGCTTCTAAAATAATAAAATTATGGAGACGGCGTTAGACCCGCCCGCTAGTTGCCGACATGATTTTACAAACAACTTAAACTCCAATCTCAACACACACAATTTGCACATGCAAGTAACACATCAGAAATCTAAAGCCTCAGCACCATTTAATATCAAAATATGAGACCATTTGCAACATTATTTGCAGTGTTGGGTTCGTTCCATAGTAGTTATGTTGGCCTGGTTCTATTTCCGTACAATCTACTTCGCCACATCGGTTTGTTGGTTTTGACCACAAGGCCAGGTCAAAGAGGACAACAACTTTCTACAAGGCTGTATCATACTACTCGCGCGGTTATGACGATACGATCAAGGAAGTACACACGATATCTCCACGATAAGGAAGGCAGATGACTTGAAAAGTAACTCAGTGAAGTCATATCCATATATTATGGAGATCACCAGCTGGCTTGACTTTTGGTCTAATTCTCTCTTTCAGCGAATGTCTTATCAATTACTAAATGTTCAAAAACCAACATGGTCCTTGGATGGCCTTCAATAAATGCTCTACCACCCACAGTTGGGTCGACAGATGGAAGGAATGGCCATGATCATGCATTTCCACACTGTGTTTGCGTGGCCCGGTTTCTTTTGCCTCAGACCTATGCTCGATGCTCAAGTGAGTCAGTCAACTGCGCCACTATACAAAGCTGTACATTAATTAGCTCTCTCTCGAGTCTAAATTGAACATGAGCCCTAGTTGTTCTATATACTCTCGAATCTTATTCCCCAGCTTCGATCTTATATCTATTTCTTGGTCGCCAAGTAATCCTAGTACATTTCTTTTGTCACGATGCCTTCTGAAGATGCAACACACAAGTCACCAAGAATCCACGACATAGACACATCATCTGCTGCCGGTGTCTCTGGTCCGTTTTGGGATGCATCCGATCGTTGCTTCTGGCTGATGAACAATCGTCAAATTTACACCCATCCTGAAAACTATAGCGGAAGTTCTGCTTGTGCAACTATCGCCTCCGCTAATCCAGATTCTGCTTACCCGTCCGGCTGGTCTAGGGGTCAACGTACACGTTCGTTATCAGGTTCCGATACTTCACCAAATTCAGCATCACATGAATCCAAACGCATTCGTCCAGATTCTTTGGGCGGTGTACCTGTAAAGAGTACAGGTTCCAAACAGTATTCGCGACGGGGCACCCCAGAACAACAGCGCAAATTTCCACAATATGACTTGTCCAATCTTCCACCTCCCCCCCCTTTCCCTCCTCAACGATCTCATTCAGTTCGCTTTTCCCCGGAAATATCTTACTCTGATGACCATGTGAGAAACCGTAACCCAGGAGCATCCCAACCCAGCTTCCCTCAACGTTCCCAATCTGTCCGAATCTCTAACGAGCGTGAGCAAATCTTCACTCGCTCTAGCAGTCAATCGCCTTCTACCTCTTCATATTCCCACCACAAACCCCTCCCTACTCGTACCCACTCAACCTCATCCTCACCTACACCCTCAACCTCAACCTCAAACTCCAACCCCATACCAACTTCAGCACTAAAACACACCACAACAAACACCACAACCTACAGCACTCTCCCCCCAAGCACGCGCTACACACCCCCCCGCTACCTCCACGACCTCGAACACGAAGACGAAGATTTCTCCTCCTCTGCCTCTGCCTCCTCCATCTCCTCCATCTACTCCTACAACAAATCCCCCACCTCCCATCACTCCCCCCTATCCACCCGCTCCCGCCACGAATCCCAACGCCTCCGCACCCACCACCGCCACATCGAATACGACTACGACACCGAAAACGAAATATCCCCAGCACAGAAAGAAAAGAAACTCCGAAGATCTGGATCGGGATCCGGACAGAAAAATACGAGTACGGGTAAGCGTGCGCGTACAAAAGAGGAACAGAAGAAACATGAGAAAACTTTAAAGAGTATTGGGGAGACGGGGAGGGGAGATATGGGACGAGCGGCTTTTATGACTGCGTTGCCTTTTGTGTGTCTTTTGGCAAAGATGGCGGCTTGATGTTTTTATTTAATTTTTTTTAGGTGTGCATTGTGTTGCTAACGCTCTTTTATGTGCCTCTTTTTTTTTTGGTTGGGTGTTTGGATTTGGTTCTGTGAGGGTAGGGTTTCTAAGGAATGGAAATGGGAATTGGAATAGTTTGTGTGGGAATGTTTGTTTGTTTTGTTAGGAGTTTGCGAGTGATGAAAATGGGGTTTTAGTTTGGATGTTTTTATACACCTGCCTATTGTGCAGCAATCACTCTTTCAGGAATTCACGGGAACAATAGCAGATAAACACATATATATGTTAAGAAAATTTAGAATTATATTTATTTCATAGAATCCTTATAAATCAAGTGATCCGTCCCAGATGTGCTCTACCTTTGCTATGTATCGAATCTATGTAACTAATGTAAGATCCGCGAGGAAAATAATCAAGAAAAACCAAGTGAGCCTCCAGCATCATACTTTTTGTGCATATCTTCCATCCTTTCATCCTTCCATCCCCCCCCCCCCCCCAAAAAACGCCTTGTTCTCGATTAAGAATCCAAATGTAACTCCTCTCATCAATATTTAATAAATTCATCACATGTCTTACATTACCATGCATTTCGCAGAATGCTTTTTCTGTTGCAGCTGCACCTCTGTATTACATACTACTGTCGCCGGTGAAGTAGCGGGTCGCGAATCCGATGTTACATCTGTCCAGCCTGCACTACTTGCTGCATCACTTTTGTGCTTAGCTTTCTTCGTCGTCATGCTCTTTCTCCAGCCTTTTCGTTTAGCATTCTTGACGTTTTGTGCTGCACTTCGCTCTGCTCTGCTCGGTTGCCTGGTGATAGGTATTGGTGGTATGTTGTAGGGTGGGCTGCCGCTGGTCGAAGTTGCGCTGTGAATGGTCTCGAGACGTTGCATCGATGGGCGTAAAATATTTGGCGATGCAGAGTATCTTTGCGAGCCAGGATTGATGCGTTGAGGAGAATCATGTCTGGAAGGAGGATGAAGAGCCGTATTCGGACGCAGAAGACTCGATTTATCAGCGGAAGCTGGTGCATGACTTGGCGAGGTAGAAGGGCGACTTGATTGCTCGGGAGCGGCATGGGGAGGTTTTTGGGACTTGTAGCTAAAATTTTGTAGTGGTATGGAATCTCGAGGATTTGAGCCGGAACGACGTCGAGATGGATCTTTCAAACTAGCCGGACGCCCACTGCGACTATTAAAACGTGCCAAAAGATCAGCACTAGGTAGCACTAGTCCGGAGACTGCTGGAGCGCTATCCACAGGGACATCCATTGGCGCAGAATCGGATCTCCTCCGAATCGGGAAATGTTCGTCGGTAGAATCCTCGAGATTGACGGGGTTAGAAGTAGAATCTTCCATCCGCGGGAATGTTGAGCTTTGTTGCACAAACGCTATTTCGGAGGGCTCCTGTGCAAGTATTTGGGGTTCCGTCACTGTAGAATGCAGTTGTAAAGGAGGAGAGTCGTCTCTTTGTTCTTCAGCTAAAACGGTTGTAGGTCTACTGTTTTGCATGATGGAGACCTGATCATCCACCGTTGTCGTTTCCCAATCTAACAAACGCCTGTCAAGAGTTACATCCATAGGTTGAGGAATAGGAGAGACAGGTGATTGTAAAGTGGCTCTCATAGCAGAATTGGAGGTCAAGTCCGTCGTGTTACTGTCATCATTGTTGAGCGCCTCAGAACCTCGAGGGGTCCTATGAGATGAAGATCTTGCGAGGGTTGGCTGTGGAGTGCCGATTGGGGAAACATCATAAAGACTATTGAAGTCAGGTGTTGTAGGACGCTCATCAAAGTTTGCGCTTGAGGGACTTGTCATGGGTCGAGCAACTTCATCGTCTCCGGGATTAGTTGTAGAAGGTGCAGTTGTTGTATCGCTGAGCGATCGCCGAAAGGGATATCTCTGCTCACGTAGAGCTTCAGAAAGAGGTCGCTGAAGCACCGGAGCATCTAATCCTGGAAAATCAAGGACTGTGGCCCGTTGGATATTTGCTCTCTGCAGAGATCTTGCATGATCCGCAAGGATAGATCTCTGAATATGTTCTGGAAGTGGAGGGACCGGATCTTTTTGATAAGGAGGTGGTGGTGGCTCCCAATTGTCTGCATCACTTTCATGTGGATACTCTTCACGGCCATCGGCTCGGCGATATTCGATATGTTCTTGTATCATTGAACGAGGATGTAGTCTTCTGTTGACCGCAGCAGCGGTGGCAGCGCGGCGTAGAGTCGTACCCGAGCGAGGTGCCGCATTTGCGTAAGGATCGTCAAAAGCTTCTTGATCGTCATCAATAGAAGCCGTCTCTGCTGGGTCGGACATGTTTTCTAGGTGATTCGTTTGTCTAGGCAAAGGAGGAAGGGGGATGTTAGCGCCCAAATTATGTGGTGCTGGGATTGGCGGTGGTTCCGAATGTGGCGTTGTGGTAGTTGAACGAGCAAGACTGGCATGATAACTTCTCCGCTGCGCCACTGTTCTTCTTCTGACAATAGCTACCTCGGTGTCCAGGTCTCTGTGTTCCTCCTCAAGAATTTCCGGATCTTCTCGTTGACCCACTTCTATGGTTGTTGTGGTTTTTCTACCATTATTTGGGCCACATACGAAATCCAATATACAAATACGGCCGCCATCTACCGGGCTCATGCTATCATCCTCATCTGCGATGCATTGACGCTTTACTCCTGGTGCAACAGCTACAAGTCTTTCACCTGGTAGCTTTTTTGATTCTTCTTGGACCCAGCTTAAGGCACTCACTCCATCTAAAGTGGTTATATGATAACCCTCAACGAATGTATTGCGAGATTTATCACAGAGGAGTTGCCATTGTGGGATACGAATATTGCTATGGTCCAGCGATCTGTTTACAGAACGTAGCGATGGGGCGCTATTCCGACGTCCAATTTGACTTAGAGGTGTCCCCGGTGCGGTTTCCGCATTACTATTCGAACTCACAATGGCAGGAGTAGGATCCAAATTCTCCGGAATCCCCCAAAGCCAGATGCTGCCTCGACTATAACCTACTGCTGCCAAATCTCCAGACTTATTTGCTGCGGCTTTTGATGCGGGCGGTTCCCCGTTGGGACCCACGAAATGAACTTTACCGTTTCGTAGATCGTCCATCCTAACAGCGCGAAATGTTTCAAAAACCCGATCATAAGTGAAAGTCCAACTTGTTTCATCATCATGGGGACTAGGTAGTATGACCGCATGACTACAGTCTCGACTGCCATTAGGAAAGAGAATTGACGTTGTCCAAAGGGCGCTAACGCTGTCTTCAGGGGAGAGGCTCCCGGGGTCATAATATGGCGCGGTCAAGACGACGGTACTGGGATTCCTAGATTGTAGTGTGGTGCCCAACAGCAAATCCGAATCATGAGAAAATGTCAAAGAGTCGACGCCATAGGCCTTTACAGCGCGACTTGTACCGATTTCACGCAGAGAGGTCAGTTCTACCCCAGAGCTAAGGACAGCAGGTTAGCAGCACTTAATTGAGGAAGAAGAAGTATGACATAAGAAAGCTGATCAGAAGTATCTGATATAGACTGTAAAAAAGAAACGGTGTAGAACGAGTCGCAAATGAAATTCACTTACTCATAAGCTGCTGCAAGAACCTGTCCCGTCGGTGAGAGAGCGATGGTCCTTGGTGTATGGTCCAGTGCCACGGAGCGGATGTGCTTTGGCGGCCGCGCAGTCAAGTCGTAAAGGTTCACCTGAAGATCGTTCGATAATACAGCAAGCATAGACCCATCATCTGTAATTGTGGTAGCAGCTGGTCGTCGCAAGATTTTGAGTTCCCGTACGATATGAACCTCCGGAGCTGTGACATCTATAATATGAATTCGGGATGAATTATAGGCAAGGACTAAAACTCCGCGAGGAGAAATTGAAAAATGGCATGCTTCCCCTCCAGGCGCGCTAGACGAGCCTATCGAGGTGGAAACCAAGTTTATGACGGTCTCTTGAGGTCGCAAATATACTTCAAACAAATTGCGCTTAATCTCTCGCGCAAAAAGAGCCCGCAGATGTGGAAGACTATCCTCATCCTGCAAAGCTGGAATTGTATTATGTGCGGCCGAGTAGGAAGGGCATTGGGTGAGTTGGTGCGAATAAAGGTAGGCTTGCTGTGAGATGCCCCTCCATCTAGAATTCAGTAAGACAAGGGAAGCAAAGGTGTTGGCATTGGTAAGGAGCAAAATCCTGGAGTATGTGATTAGAAATTTTACATAAAATTACTATTTGTTGCGCTCACTGTATAATAATATCTTCGGGTAGCCTTTCAAATGCGGTTTTCTCCATTTTGGATGTCTCTGCCAATTGCTTCTCAGATCCCACAGAGGAGATTGAGTATATCGAGGCGCTTCTAGAGGACATTTTCGAGATAAAATCTCCTACTTTTGGTTCATTTGTGCTGGATTGAATTCATGTAGAGAGTTATAGAAGGATGAATCTGGCTCGCGGATCCGCAAAGCCGATTTCCCAAGATATGATGGTAATGGAGCTTTAATGTTTAACGCAAGATTGATAGGATGGAAAGGTTGGCCTGAAACATGGTGTAGCTCAGCCTCCAAGTTTATCTCCTCTTTCTGAGTGAAGTGAATAATATCAAATACAAGCGCTTTCACAAATAATGAAGTGGGTTGATAAATGTAAGCAACAAATCGTAGACGGAGAAAGAATGTCAAGCGCCGAGGGACCTCGCGATGATCGACCTCGCATCAGAATACTAGTAGAGGGGAGCGCTCTAGCTTCCAATAATAGCACAAATAAGAATTGGGGTAAACCAAGTATTAACGAAGTATTATTATTGTAAGTCTACATTCATTCTTACATGGTATGGAGGGGGCCGAGAAGTTTATATCTTTTGGGAGCTGAAGATATCTTGATTGAAATTGACATTGATTCATGAGGGTGCATTCACTCCTTATTAGTACCTGTCTGCAACCCCCTTAACAAACGTACCTAGTATGTCCTATGTCAAAGGATCAAATACGGGGTTGCCTACCTAGGAACATTATCACGGCAAATTGAAGGATCCCATCTCAAGCACACAGAGGAATCCTTTTTGGTCGGAGGAACGGATCGTTTTCTATTTCTATGATTGAGAAATGATGGCAAAAGTTGATGATACAAATTACTACATTACTACCAATTATCATATCTACTGTCCAATAGATTGCAGGTTGGGCATGATATCTAACAGTTGGTCAAGATATGGATAATTACCATCTAATGAACATGTTGTGCGCTATAGTATCGTGGAAGCTTTAAGGCTGGATAGAGACTATCAACGCTATTTAACCAAGAGTTCTAATAATGGAGAAAAGTATAGCTTTAGCTACCCAGTCAGTAGGTACGTACAGCTCTAGTTTGACAGTTTGCTTGTTAGTGGCTACTAGGTCCTCTGTAGCTGCCCGTATTTGTTTGTGACCAAGTCTTATCATTATGGTTCCACCTAATAAGTCTCACAAGCACAATTGAGGGGAGACTTCTAATCTAATATGTTACATAATACATTAGTAATTTGTATAGAAAACTTTCATCACTAGACTTGAGCTAAGCTTAGCAAATTTTAGCTTCGCAAGGCCTTGTGGGCCCTTTTCTTGCTTTCAAATCTTCACATCTCCTCATTCCACCTTCCACCTTCCATCTTTCCATTTCTTCTTATGCTCATGAACAACCGTTTCTTTTCGTTCTCTCCTTCTTTCTATACACCATGCCGTTGCAACAAGACTTTGATTATGAGGAGCTTACCAATATCTTAATTAACAACTTTAATATTCTAGCAGATGAAGTTCAACTTTTAAGTGACAGGAAGACTATTTTGGAGCACAAGCTGCGCTATTCACATTCTCAAGTAAGTTCAATATGATTTATTTTCAGTCACGCGCTCCTTATCCTTTTCATGATGTATACAAATAGCTCTAGAACAAAGTTGCTTGTTGCAAAGTAGCAATGCCGATAATCTACCAATTGTCTGAAATTTTTGACTCCATCCCTTATTTTTCTTGAAAAAGCTCGGCAGAACCAGGACTAACAGTCACCTTCATAGTATCAATCTTTAGCGGATAAATATGCACCCTCAGACCCTGAAATAGCCAGTACTTTAGCAAAGCTTCAACTTCCTCCAGATTCACAAATCACTATTCCTGATCGCGGGGGATTTGTTCCTTTGCCACTTCGTAAACAACCAACTTCAAAGCAACAAACTGCAGTTGCAATAAGGGACGGGAGAAGGGCAGCGCAGCGTCTTGCGGCTGTATCTGGAAAGTCTGCCGGATCTACAACTAGTAAAAGTATATCCGGTGGAAGTAGTAATATGAGATTATCCGCACGCCGAACCTCCTTATCAACTGTTCTCGAACAAGATTTTACTGTGCCTGGAAAGAAGAGTTCATTGTTGTGTCCATTTGTAACTATGCCTGACGGAACGAAACCCATGAAGAACCCAAATGCTCAGGATACCAGCACTGGTGAATCCGATCAACCTTTGACTCCCGTCGATACCCAAGACCCCACCCCCCACCACTCCTCAGATCCTATATGTGCGCAAATGTACGCCGAGACAATGTCATCTCAGCCCCCGTCAGCAACAGGCCCTGGAGCTCAATGTCCAATTCGTTATCTTAATCAACATTCACCTGAAGAGATAGCACGATACTTTGAAACACACAAACACGAAGTACCCCGCAGTCATGAGGTTTGCGTCAAGCGATACCAGCGAAACGAGGATGATGTGAGGATGATAGATGCGAAATATGGAAACCTAGTGAGCATGATTCAAGGCCTCGGCCAAAAGCATCAGCCAATGTTACCCACAAAGGAAGAGCAAGAAGCGTGCGAGGTCGAGCGTGCGTCCAACGAAAGAGTGGAAAACTGGGCAAATAACGTCAGCGTTGACGGGGATGAATCATTGCAGGAAACTAAATCTACTCCTGCAGACGACAGAGAGAGTCGTTTTGACAGGCCAATGAAAGAGGTCAGGGTTGGCGAATCTCCAAGCCGACCATGGGGCATTTCTGTTCCAATCTATGATCAACCGTCCGACCATAGACCTGTATCTCCACCACCAGCGCCTGTATCTGTTCCCTTGGACAGCTATTCAAAGCCTCCAGGAAAGTGTCCATTTGGACATACTGCGGAATCGAATGCGGAACCAAAATCAACACGAGAAGTGCCTACCACTCCAGCTGAAGCAGACAGGCCAGCAGCTTGTCCTTTTGGCCAAGGTCAAAAGGCTAAGGACGAAACCCCCTCCACGCACTACAACGCACCGCCTGTATTTCACGACCGGCCGGCCTTCATCCAACCCGAGCAACTTCAAAGGCATGGTAATGGACCTAAGATGGTTTTTACAGGGCCGGTATTCATAGGATATCCGATTGAGCAAGCAATGGCGTTTATGAGGCAGTATCAGGCACAGAATACAGAATGAATGATTAAATGATGTAACGAGGAGACATTTACAACGACTGATTTTGGGATTTACCTTTTAGCGATGGAGTTTTAGCGTTGCATATGAAATGAATGTAAATGACGTTCTTTTACGGGGGTACAAATATGTTTTCTGCACAACAAACAGATTCTTGACCAAGAAAGGCAGCTCGGCAGGCAGGCAGGCATACTAAGTAGTTCAAGAACTTAATAGCGAACAATCGCAATACCACGAATCAAATTATCAGAAGAAACGACCCAAGAATGCTACAAGCAAATATGTTCATTGAATCTTAGATGTTGAGGTCATGAAGTGTCTTTTATCCCCTTTTCCCTTCTAAGTCGATATCTCCCCAATGCGAAGAAGATATGCATAAACCATGTACCTTTTAATCATTGCCCCCCTTATCCCAAACGCCAAAAATGTGGTGACACCATCAAATCCGAACCAAACCCAGCGCGTATCCAGCATACATGTCATACAACATACACCTTCAAGATTTTCAAACCGCCAAAAACCTTACACCAAATCTAAGTTCTAGTCATCTTTCCCCTCCCCCCAATATCCGCCTCTTCATCTAAATCTCCACTCGCGAAAACATTCGCCTCGTCCTCATCTACAAAATCCGTGTACCTTGCTGGTTCATCGGTGTTGTCCCACAAGGATATATCATCGTCGTTCATCAGCGCTGCATCATCATTGTTGGCATCGCTGTATTCTGCTGCTACTCTTCTTCCGGGTGCCACGTCGCCATTCGCGGCTTCGAGCTCCTCTATTTCGAGCTCTTTCGCGCGCGCCATGGTGCGTTGGTAGATTATATAGCCGACTGTGGCACCCAGCCCGCCTCCAATGACTATACTGGCATAGTTGATCATTTTGGTTGAAGTGTCCATTCCTTCATTGCCGGCGAGTGAGCCCAAGCGACTGCCGATGAAGACGTGGATGAAAAGTTTGGGGGTTACTAAAGCAGTAGCAAGAGCGTAGTTGAGAGGATGTACGGTAGGAAATGTGGCGACGGCAGCATTTGAGAGGGAGTATGGGAGTGGACAGAGACGGATCATGCATAGGATTTTGATACCGTCGTGTTTGAGCGTGAGGGCTAGGGCTTCGAAACGTTTATCTTTGCCTACGAGGCGATGTACGTAGGTTGACAGGATGGTTCGAGAAGCTAGGAATGAACAGGTTGAGCCTGCTACTGTTGAGGTCGCCACAATAGCCCAGCCTTTGGGGACTCCATAGACGAAACCAGCAATGGTAATTGTAGAGGAGTAGCCTATGAGGGGTGGAAATGCGGCAACGAATGTCATGGCCCATAGAATCATCCATCCTCCTGGCAGATCCCGCCATCGTTCTGCGAATGGGGCAAGACTAGCAAAGATTTGATGTTGATAGACCAGGAAGAGGGCGACCAGGACAATGTTTAAAATTGCTGCTACAATGGCAAGACATTTTTGTAAAGTAGAAAGGTTCTGCCATGCTGTAATGCACTTTCGTTGTAATTTATCTGCCTTGCGGAGAATTTGATCTTTGAAGGATGTAGTGGGCTGGCTGGAGTATGGCGAGGCGGAATTGTATGCTCGTCGGACACCGGAGGATATACGTCTTGACCATGGTGGTCTTTCTGCATGTTGAATTGGAGAGGAGGGCGGAGATTCGAGCGGACTAATAGGTAGAGCTAATGCTCTCGCCGTCGAGCTGTAATCGGCCGGCATTGTAAGAATGGTGCGATGTGTGCTTGTAATGTAAGAAACCGAAACCGTAGATTGTTAACCAGGACTCGATTTCTATCGCGCACAATCGGAAGATTTAGGTAGTGAAAAAGGAGCTACAGTATCGTGATAAGATGCATTGATGATGTTGTCAAAGTGAGGTTGTTGATCTAGTAAATGGTTTCTACCTAGGATGTCCTTTCCAGCGCATTAGGGCTGTGCTGGTGTGATTCTGAAACGGAGAAAACGGGAATACCTCACTACTACTCTATTACTGTTGTAGCTTGGTAATCAAAAGATGAATGAAAGAGTGAACATATGAACTTTCCACAATTATACAGACATGTCGAGGGGATATTGATTGGAAGGATTGAGATTAAAATCAAGTGGTATTTGTATTTCAGACGTTCATCCTACAGTAACCTGTAATGTGCCTCCAACGTGAACGCCGCACTCTTGCTTCTACGTCACTTTTGTCTCCGGAAATAGAGATGTCACATGATGAATTGATATATCACGTATTAGATATATACCTGGCCATCAATTTAACAATATGTCGAAACAATGGCAAGAGATTGTAGAGAGGGAATGTGTACCAGATATTCTTACGTTATCCATGGACTGCACATCTATACTGTAGATACCTGATAGTCAGTCAACAGTGAGCAAGCCTGGAAGTGTAACCTTAGATGGTGAAACTGCAGTCCAGCTCAATTCCACTGCAGCTTGCATTTGTCTGTCGTATTGCGTAAAATCAACTGCAAAAATAGATCATCTGGTGTCATACTCCGTACATACTCGAGGATTACCTAGGTAGTACTTTACTGTTCCCATTGTGTTTGACAAAGGAAAGCAAAAATGGATAAATATTGTGAGATGTTATACATAGGTATATATATATACACTACCTAGATATATACTCGAGTACCTAGCTGATGGTGGGTGTATTTCCCTTTCATCACCACGCAACCCTACACACACCTACCCTAGGTACCTACCTGCACATACTGCGTATACTTAGTACGTACCTAGTAGAATATGGTAATTCTTTTCCCGTGCTGCTCTGTTCTTTCTTTTCCTTACTCACCGCCTGCATTGTTGGCCTTCAATCAGCACATAATAACCAATAGATATACTAGGTACTTGCATGTTCCTCCTATCCCGTCCTCTACCCTCTACAGAACATACAAATCATCCAAATCACCACGATACATTTTACGGAGTGCACTTGCTTAGCTCAATTCTTGCTGTACAAATCGAATGGCCCCAGCATTCCAACCAATCATATCACGCAGCCTCTAAAAATTTAAAAGGAAACCCCGACCCCGATAGGCCAGCCTCAATCACCTTATGGGGGAGCTAGAGTTGCTGTCCGAACATTCCAACCCCACGAACTTAGCTGTTGAACACAATTTCGAAATAATCCCCTTTCTTTCTCTCGCTGCCCTTCCAAATAAATTCAATGTTATGACTGGAACGATATACTCACCGAGTATTCATCTGACAATGTAAGAGCCTGGTGCCTTTGTTGTGACGAGCCTTTGCTAGGGATTACCGCATTACCTTGCCTTATTACTTCTTTCGAGGTGTCTTTCCCCCGATCGTATCAATCGCGAACTCCGGTCTCACCTACCTTGCCTTTCTTAAAATCCCCCCTCAACAACTATCCTTTTAAACTTTCACACCTTCATTTTTTACTTCTACTTTCTGCGAAAAACATACTGTCTACAGTAATACAATATTCTCATCCGATCCTTGCTCAAGAACCTTTGGCGAAAATGGTGGCCGACGATACTTACGAGATCTGCCTACCCATCCTCGAAGATGTCACCCTCGAGGATGAAGACAAGACGGATAAATTGGAGGAGCTCCTCAAGAAAGAAACTACCATGACAGGGACAGTGCTGGAGAATGCCGTTTTAGATGTATTATGGCGATATCGCGAAAGCGCCGCGAATGCTAACTCACCACCGGCAATGCGACATACGGTCCTTCGTCGACCATCTCCCGCTCCATGGCAGATTCCACGTGTTGGAACACCAGTATCTTCATCCCCACGTCTTGGAGTCAGCCCTCTCGCTCCCCATGGGTTTATGCCACAATCCTTCTCTCGAACCAAGTCTATCCAGGGTTCTCCTTTCACCTCACCGCGACCCTCCCCACGACTCGCGTTTTCCAGCCCTGCGATCCCCCATAGTCCAAACTTAAACGCATACGAGTTTCCGACCGATACTAGCCCTACGCAGGACATATATGGAGACTATGGAAGTGAAAATGTAGACTGGCTTGTGAATGATGATGCTGTTAGCATTACATCATCGTCCGTCGGAGGAAGCGGACTTAACGCTGCTGCTGCTGAATATATCTCGCCGCAACAAAATGATATGAGCTCCCATGAAATGTTAAGGTCAATTTTTGGTCCTTCTAAATCGGTTGAAGAAATCGAAGCTGCCCTTGCTTTACACGGATACGATTTGAGCGCTACCATTGCTGCGTTTATGGATAGTCAATCGGCTGATGCTACAGTTCAAGCAGAAGGAGATGGCACAAAAGCTATCTTGATTGGTAAGTCTATGGCAGCAGACGTGCCTCGACCAAACACTCCAGCCGGTCAGCAACGAAGTGGTGTTGTCTGTCGATTTTGGTTATCGACCGGGCAATGTCTACGTGCGGATTGCAGATTTAGTCATGATTTGAGTAACCACATTTGCAAGTAAGTTTCCCTGCATTCTAATAAATTTACATTCCCTCATCCTTTTACAGGTATTGGGTCATGGGCAATTGCCTTGCGGGAGATACTTGTATCTTCAGCCACGATCCCTCATCATTTATGAGCAGACTCTCTCTCGAAGGGGGCAGCACACCCCCAACTCAAAATGCGCAACCCAGTTTTCAATTCCAGGATTATAATGCTTTCCCATCTCTACAACCAATGCAAGAGCAGTGGCCAAATTCTTATTCATCGGCGAATGCCTTCAGCAACTATCAGCAAGGTGGCTTTACTCCGCCACCTGGCTTCAAAAGTCTACAAGGCTATAATAGTGATGGGAGTCAGCGGTCTCGACCAAGTAGTCGAGCGAGAGATGGCCCCACAGCTCCAGCTCTGGATGATACAGAGGCCTTTCCATCATTGGGTGCTGTGGCTGCAAAGGGTAAAAAGCACCATGGGAAGCGAGGAGGTCATGGGCACAACCACAAAGAAAATAGCAGCCCAAGCTCTCTTGCCGATGTGGTAAAGCTGTCGCCTTCACCGGGCCCTGGTATGATGCAGGACAAGAAGAAAATCGGTAGAAACGGCAGCTCTAATAGTGTCCGCAATGGCGAGAACAGCGCTGCTGCGCAAGCTATTTCACCTCCTCAACATATTCCTTGGTTAGAAACCGGAGACAGAGCCAATAAAGCATATCTTAAAGCCAGACAAGATGCAATTAAGCATGGTGGTTTGAGGAACAAATTCCTACAAAGGTTAGTCCATATATTACGCTATAGAAAAAATATTAACAGTATCCAGTGCCGCCCAAGCTTGGAACCGTAATGATGCCCGTGCTGCAAAAGCACTTAGTCTTCGTGGTCAAAGTGAGAATGATCTCATGAGAAAAGCACATCGAGAGGCTGCTCGTGAGCTCTACGAAGAACGTAACAAGAGCAACTCCCCAAATGCAGAGCTTTACGTTGATTTGCATGGTCTTCACCCCGAAGAAGCTGTCGAGTATCTAGAACGTGTTCTACTAGATAACAGCAGGGAATCAAGACCAGTATATGCCATTACAGGCACTGGTCACCATAGCAAGAACGGCAAAGACAAGGTTGGTAAAGCCATTCGTACATTTTTGAACGAATGGAGATACGCATACCGCGAGTTTTCAGTGCCCGGTGACAGAAATAACGTAGGTGGCATTTTGGGCATTGATGCTAGATCTTATGACAAGACACTATCCAGAGAAAGCAATGGAGCAGATGGTGCAAAGGAAGAGATTGATATTTTGAGTCAAGGCCATGAGATCGGTGGCGGGAAAATCAAACTTCTAGTGCGAAACCAAGATCGAAATCAAGATGTTCCAAAGGGGCCCAGTGGTAAGGGCCGATGACCTAGAAATAAAGAATAAATAAATTATTAAACAATCTGAACTATCTATCTGCTCTAGATTTTTGCCTCAGCTTTCTCTTCCTTTATCTTCTTTCTAGCATCGATGATTTCTGCGGCTGTCACATCCTTTTTACCTGATATCTTCTCTTCAAGATGACCCATACTCTGTAGTTTTGCAATGAGGTCGTCATCACCAAAATGTGAGTTATGCTGCTCTATGGATTAGTTTCGAATGATATCACATGTAGTTAAAAAAACCTACCTCAAATTCTGGCTCTTCCTCATATGCAATTCTAGCCGCATCTAAATGTTTCCAGTTAGTCGTGTATGTTTAGTCTACCATTGTACGTCACAAAAATTCTCCACTCACCAACTAAAATTCTCGCTGTCATCCCCCAAACTTTATATCGTGTTAATCCCTGCTCCTCTTGGTCATCCAGCTCCTCCGCAATAGCAGCCTGCCCCCCTTCTCTAACTTTTGGCTTCGATACTTTTTGGTTCGTGATCGGTACATAGAAATTATGCATACGCCACTGTGTATCATGCCATTCATGCCAAGCTCCACTATACCAATCATTTTTCTTCCCAGGCAACAAAGATTCATCTTCTTTCCTGACTTCATCTTCGACACGCAAAAAATTGTGAAACGGAGCGGAAAATACCGCCGCTACTTCCCGCGCATCAAGTCTAGGAATCATATCCTCCTCCACACTAGCACCTTTCCCACCCGTATCATCAGCATGCAAAAACGCAACACAAGGACGCACAGCCAAAGTCGTCCGCGCTAAACTGGATGGTAATTGACATAAATGTTCAATCTTAAACGGAGGCGGAATCTTATGATCATATCTCGGAAGACCAATTTCCTCACTAGCTTCTCGACGCGCAATCTCAAACGGCGTCTCGGAGAGGGAATCGGCTTTTCCGCCTGGAAAAGCGGCTTGGCCGGAGAAATTCCGGAGCGTGTTCGATCGCATGGTTAGTACGACTCGGAGGTCTCCTCGGCGGTCGGCGAATAGCAGGACGAGTACTGCGGCTCGTCGACTCGTGGGGAGTGCATTCCATATTGTGTCGAAGGGGGGTGCTTTGTACGCGCGTAGTCGTGCTAATGCCGTCTTTGGGATATATATGTGTTAATCCGGTTTTGTGGGTTTGGTGTGTGTGTGTCACGCGCGTCGGGGGTGTGGTGGAATGTGATGGTACTTACGAGAGAGGCTGTGGAGAGCGGCGCCATGCTACTTGCATCGAAGTATTGTGCTTCGAGCTCGCGGATGCTCTGTTGGAGCTCGGATACTTCTTTCTCGTCTATTTGGATTGGGGTTTCGGGGCGTGTTTGCGAATCGTGGATTTCTTCGTTCATGCTCTACTGGGAAGTTTGTAGTCGGATTTTCTGTGACTGTGACTGTGACTGGGCTGATTACTGTGATTAGTAGGTATAGGTATGTATTTTAGTAGATATCCGCAGCCGAGGTCTACAGTCGAGGGAATGGAATGAAGTCATGGAGATAATGTGGGGTATTTATTGCATAAAGAACGTATAAATATGGCATAAATTAAATAAATAATCCCAGATGTTGTCAATCTACAGGGTTCCCCACAGTTTGTTGGTATAAACATTCTGGCTACTTTTTCATACACTGGTCCTTTTGCGTAAATACTCCTTTGATCAGCAATTTCAGTACAACATATTTGGTGCGATATGCACGAAATATGATGCAATGTTTGAGCTAGAAGCTATGAGCTTCCACTGGTATATATTTCAGATTACACCATCACCTTCTAGTCTTTGAGAGGAATACTAGTGTACATATTTATTTGATCAATGTAGCTTTGGTTATACATAAGATCTCGTTCATTTGATCATATAAACAAGGATAAGTTGAAGTTTTTGCTATATCTTAATGTTGAATTTAGAAACTTATATTCGTCGATGCAATGCTCAACATCACTTTGTAGGTCTCATCTTGTTATCGAATATTTGCAAAGTAATTAGATAAAAATTCGTTCAAGAGATATCATTCATGCTAGCTGAGATTTTGTTCGTTGCTTCGGGGTATTCGAAATGTGATTATGATATACATCTTGAGACTACTGATTAGAAATATCTCATTTAGATCCAATAAGGGGAGATTGGGGAGGGGGCTGGAAAAGAGTTGGTGATTTTTGGGGGGCGCGGGGAGTTTTATTCGTTTGGGAATTTGGAGGGGGAAGTTTGGAGGGATATGAAATGTGAAATGATTGAGGGGGGGACTTGTTATACCTGAGAAGGTGATATTATTGGGTGGGTCTATGAGGTGGTGAGTGGTTTAGGGGTTGTGGATGTTGGGATGGGATGGGATGGGATGGGATGTGGAGGTGTGTATTTTGGGGTCTTCTTTTGTTAGTTTCTACCTGGTAGTATTCAGTGTTTATAATTACTCCAACGGTTTTGAAGTATTCGGGAACTTGAGTCTTATGATGCTAGCAGCTGTTAGCAATACATGTTTTCATTCTCTCTGCAGCATAGCAACACTATCCCCCCCCTCATCTCCTTTACATTTCGCTAAATTCTCATCATTGCGCATGCATTTCTAAACTAATATTGTGTCGGTTTAAACAAAATCTCCCAATATCCCTCAGCCATTCGCCTATTCCATTAATATCACCCATCCTCTATAACTTTACCATCTCATCCCATCTCGTCTCATCTCATCGCATCAAACCCAGCCCCTCAATCCCATCTCATTTATTCTAAACATATCTACAAAAACCTCATTCTCTGCCACATACGACCATAGACTGAAGAGAATTGGGCATCCCGTCCGCTCTGCCATACACAAGCTTCAGATCGGTGGATTAGTAGTTGGGTGGGTGACCACCAGCGAATCCCCACTGCCGTATGTTTCTTCCCTTCCTTTTGAAGGTTTGGGTGTTCTATTGGGGAGGATGATGATAAAGCGAGAGGGAGTATATTGGAGGGCGACGGGGGAAGTGGAGGGTATGAATTGGAGTGAGGGAGTATGTACCGTTTTTATGATGGGAGAGAAGTGTAAATAGAGGGTGAGTATATTTGAGAAGATATTCAGGTGTTATATCAGTTGGTTTTTTTGTTACGGAAAAGGTAGGATCTTTTATTATAGTATATTTCGAGTTTTGTGTAGGTTTGTGTAATATCTATCTAGCACGAGACCCGTACTATATATATAGTTGAAGAATATTCGACATACAAAAAGGAAATATTGGGAGAATAAATTGAAGTGTATTGAATGCTATATAAATGTATTGTAAGAGTTCAAGAGGTCTATCATCGAAACTGGCAGGCTCATATGTACATCGACGAGAAGCGAGGGGTAATCTGTATGTAACACAAATTTCCTAAGCGATTTGCTAGTTAAGCCTCAATTTTAGATGCCTTTCTTCTTTCGGTGATCTTGATTCGTTCATGTTGAGTACACAAACTGTTCCTTCCTACTACTGTTGTTCCAAGCTCCCGATTATGGAGGCGCAAAAGGCAAGTGGTAGATTTAGTCTATACTTGAGGAAGATCTTCTAGTAAACGGAGCTAAATTATATATAATCTAAGAGAGCTAATGCTACTTTTAATTCAGTAGATTAGGCCGCACAAGTCCCTGGATAAATATGACTTGAGCGGCTTGATATTCGTATAGTCCGTATTACAAAATAGTATTGATGCTAGTGCAAGACAGCGACCAATATTTCAACAGTCATGCACGTGATAACAATCTACCGAGGAATCGGGCGGAATTTTGGCGTGTGGGGAAGCAAGCTTAAGCCGAACCTGGTCGGCCCTTCATCAAGGGCTTCAATGTTTTGAAATTCCTCCACCACATCGACGAATTCTTCAGTACCTCTACCACCAACATGTCCGCCTTAAGAATTTTGGTACCCGTAAAGAGGGTTATCGACTATGCCGTTCGTAATACCTTCAATCTCAAAACCAACTTCAATCCCTTGATTCCTTCTATGCGCAAGAAGAGAGTACAAACTAACCCAAACACCACAGGTCAAACCCCGCGTCAACAAAGCCCAAACGGCCGTCGAGACCAATGGCGTTAAACACAGCATGAACCCATTCGACGAGCTCTCAATTGAAGAATCCGTACGAATCCGCGAGAAGAAAACTGCACCAGGTGGCGTGGAAGAAATCGTTGCATTTTCCGCCGGACCAACAAAATCGCAAGATATTTTGCGCACAGCCATGGCTATGGGCGCCGACCGCAGTTTACTAGTTGAGATAAAGGATGGGGAAGAACTGGAACCATTGGGAGTGGCGAAGCTTTTACAAAAGGTTGTGGAGAAGGAGAAGAGCAATTTGGTGTTTTTGGGGAAACAGAGTATTGATGACGATGCGGGGCAGACGGGACAGATGTTAGCGGGGTTGTTGGGATGGAGTCAGGCGACACAGGCGAGTAAGGTGGAGTTTAAGGAAGGGGATATAGTGGAGGTCACGAAGGAGGTGGATGGAGGAACGGATGTTGTTAGGGCCAAATTGCCCATGGTTATTACGACGGATTTGAGATTGAATGAACCGAGATATGCGAGCTTGCAGAGTATCATGAAAGCAAAGAAGAAGAAGTTAGAGAAATCTACTTTAGGTGATTGGGGCGTGGATGGCGCTAGAAGGTTAAAGACCTTGAAGGTTATCGGTAGGTTGACGTCTTTTACTCTGGGAATTTTGGCCTATTCATGGAGGATATATCGAAAAGTACTGACCAAATGAATATAGAACCACCGCCAAGACAAGGAGGCGGTAAAGTCGACGATGTAGATGGAATGATCTCCAAACTGAAGGAATTGGGCGCAATATAAATGGATACCAAACGGCCATAAACGAAGGTTGTGTATATGTACGAATTAGAGGATAAGACAAGGAACAACATTAAGTTTTGGACGTGAGTGAAAAATGGGTATGATCCGTCATGCCTACATAGCTTTCCAATAGATATATGGTGAGAAATAGATCCATGGTCTAAATCTGGTTGATTCTTGAGAGAGCGCCGTGTTAGCAATACTCTTTAACTTGATTATCTCTTCAATATTTACTGTCCACATCTTTTGCGAGTTCCAAGTCCACATTGAACTAACCGGACCACTCGGTTCAAGAGTGCGGATGCCAGATGGACAGTCTAACGCGGAGTGTAACTCTGTTTTAACTGATTTAACTTTCTCATCACGTCAACCACCGTTGGAATATTGGATTTTAAGTTTATACGTCAATTTTAGACATTATTCAGCTCAATCTACAAGGTCAGTTATGACCAAATTCATTCACATGCATGCGCTCATAATGTAGTCTAATATGTAATGCTTTAAGCGACATATATCTCCGCAATAATCACACCATCTTTAATGAATGAATGAGCGAAAATTAGTTACCTGACAGATAATGGCAGGTAGTCATGCAGAAAATATCCTGCCTCTATAGATTCATTCTACTCTGCATTTAATCTGATGCTACTCAGTAGCGCAGACGCCTTGGAGAAGTATAACGGTAAGTATACCAGAGATACTAGTCAGTAATAGTGATCAGTATATCTATCACCGATCAGCACAGTAACCTTATGTCGGATTATGATTTATAAGATTCCATTCCATTGACGCGTTACCCGAAAAAAGTACATACCGAGTAGTTACGTACATATTCAAATTCCATTTCACCGGTACTAGATATTAATAGTAATGAATTCTCCACTTATGACCACCCTGCCTAGTAATTATAAGGCTACCTACCGGTAATTATTTAATATTGTTCAGCCCATCCCCCTCCTGAATTCGAACTACATAGAACACACATAACCAAAACTCCGCTCCGTGCCCTAGTTCCTATCTTCAACTTCCTATCTCCATATGGCATGGCACATCGAGTAAACAGTACATATCCACGCAACACGCTTACTAAGTTACAATATACCGCTCGACTCCACCGCAGTGCATCAAGCGTCCGTCACATCCAAATTCCAATTCCCAAACCCCCAGTACAGTAACATCGCCACGCCTTAGCTTAACACCTAATTCGCAATCATCCAATCGCAATTGCCGCATGGCCCAATCGTTTAGTGACCCATCCCATCAGCAACTTCGCTTAACAAACTTAATCAGCTACATTAGCTCTAACTTCTAACCTCCTCAGCACCTCACCTAACCTAACTTCGCTAACCTCAACTCACTAACGTAACTAAAATCACAACCTCCAAACCCCATTCTCACTATCCTCATCATCCTCGCAGTAAACAAGCAAGACCCCTGAAAATAACGGCACGCATAATCAACAATTATGAATTAACGAAACATGTTAAAAATTCTTTTAGAGTTGAGTTGAGATAAGGTAAAGTAAAGTAAGGTTAAATAAAAATCCCATCAATATCAAATTTTGATTTTCTGACACTTTTATATCCGAGGTCCCTCACTGTGTACATATGTATGGGGGTGGAAATTAAGAAATTAAGATATTAAGCGAATGAGTGTCAATTATGTATGTATGTACTACAAGTACCTAGGTAGGTAAAATGACTGAAATTGATGAGTGCATGAAGTAAAAGAGGAAAGAGAGAAAGCTCTTGGCTGGGAATCTCGGAGGAGATGGGGATACGATGAGTAATTTTATTGTGGGTGAAGCTTGTAGGGACCGGGGTGGGATGATCGTCCGTATGGAGAAATAGGGGGGGAGTGTAGGGTAGGGTTACTAGGGTAGGGTTTGGGATTCGGGAAGATTGAGTATGTACTGTACTGTACTGCGTGCATAGAAGAAGAAGGGAAGGAAATATGAAGGCAGGGGTTATTTGGATATGGTACCTAATCAATCATAAGGATGTGTGGTTAATGTGTGCATGTATTTTTTGCTTCCGATCAGAGACAACATTCGAAATATGAAACATTGTCATTCAAGCCAGTATCAACTAAAATCGGTCACAGCCCAAAACGACCATCTCCCGTCTTCAAAAAACCTTGATAAGCAACGCCGCAACTTTATACTCGAGTGTTTTCGCACGTGTTAGACAGGTGTTACCATATGAAATAACCCTGTTCAGCCTTGGAAGCCAGTCATAGCGAACCTTGACGTCCAAGCTAGAAGTCTCACAATGGCTTCTAGCTTGCCTCTTATCTTTCCTTGCAACTTTTTACTTCATCATAGAAAGAAGCCTCGCAGAAATGCGGGTTTTTTGGTATACATGCATAAACTTCCTTTCTCCACGTCTGTGATATTTGACCTTCTTACCATTCACCTCACGCTGGATCTTGGATATTACATATCTTGAATTATTTTTGGACCATCGCCATCGCGTAATTGAGCTCAGCGGATGCGCTCGACATTTCTTTCGAGGCTAGGATGATATACGAACATCGATACGTGGATGAATGAGACGGAAGATCAATTTTAAGCAGGATATTGCATAGTCAAAACGAACGCGAAGAAAGCCCGAAAATACAAAATGCATTCTTTGGTGGTGGAATCTGCGATTTGGTATTCGTTTGTGATAATAATTGTGGTTCTCAGATAGTATGTATTATCACAAATTCACAATAGAATGGATTGTATTGCAATGTGAAGTCGATACCATCTTCACGCGCCGAAGGAGTGGTGTCCCATGAGAATAAGACTAACAGCAATTCCTACTCAGTATTTCAAGATGGGTACAACTCGGATCGATCAAGAATTATCAGCTCCAAGATTATCTCATGTTCGCTGTGTTTGTAAGTGATGTCTATCCCAAATTAGCATTCCCTTTTACCACGCACGTAATCGATTGGACCTTGGTTTCAGCTTCCTTATCATCCACAGTTTGCAGAATCTGACACACACCATAGCTCTTCTATACCACGCTGGTTGTATCCACGAATATTGTATACGATTTCGACACAAATCTCATACTGCCATCTGATATTCCCAAGGTGCGTTTTAATCGGCCAATTTTCCAATGCGGAGAACTGATAGAAGTTCAATAGCTCACTCCTGACTCTATTGCGTCGCGTATAAAAGGAAGCAAACTCGTGCTTGTGGTGGAACAGTCGATGATCATGACCATCTGGGGCGGCAAAGCTTGCTTATTGTGCATGTATTTGAAGATGATGTATGCGGCCCTTGGCAGTATGCAATAACAATATTGACCTAAGAAACAGGGAAGGTATCAAACCTCACAATCTCATTGTGAAATTAGTAGCCGTGTACGTGGGTGCAAGCTTGGTAGTCATGGAAATTCTCTATTTTGGGGTGTGGTGTCGACCATTCTCAAACTATTGGGCAGTTCCTACTCCAAATGGTTGGTTCAAAGACTTTGTCCTTGAAAGATGATATACTGATGCGAAGGACAGACCAATGCTCAGCAGCAACTCATCACCTGATTGTTAATGCGACGTTTAACATCAGTTCAGATCTCATGATGTTGTTTATACCCATGCCGCTAGTTATCAAAGCACAACTCCCCACATTGAAGTTCGTTTTTTTGCCTTGTCAGGTCTCTCCTGGAATCGTTTGAGCAACGTACTGATTGTAAAACAGGAAAGTTCTTCTGATAAGCGTCTTCTCTCTAGGCATATTCGCTATTAGTTCTGCCGCGGCTAATAAATATTATTCGTTCGCGAATCCCTTTGGAATAATGTGGACATATGTAAGTGAAGCTTTTGGTTAGATCTTGCTTAGTACTAACATCAGTGAATGAAGTGGTACATAAGAGAAGCATCAACTGTGATGATCATTACCAACATGCCGATGTGTTGGCCATTAGCAAGAAAATTATTCGGCTTGAGATCGTGGTCGGGATCCATAGAACGTACGAAATCGAAAAGCAAGACGTCACCGAAGAAATACTTGAGCACTATTCTGACTGGCTCTAAATTTGGGAACAAAAAAGAAAACTCAGCATATAGAAGTGAGAGTAGAGAGGGGATATTTGATGTAAATGCAGGTGTCTCGGGAAGATCAATAGGGTAAGTTCTTTTAACCTTTACTCTCAGCTCAGATGCCAACGGCTTCTAGTCTGAGATGTAGTAGAAAATAGACAACTGACTATTAATGATAGGCTAGAAATATGGGAAAGCAGAGAAGTGAGTGTACGCAATGAGGAACCAAATTCCAAACAAGGGCGGATCAACAATACGACAACTGTCACCGTATCAAGATCGATGGACAGTTTGAGTGAGCACTCGAAGAGCAATATGGGATCAGAGAGTCGAGAATATATAGGCCATGCAGTATGATTGCAATTGCTGTATCGTGCTGTGCTAATAGGTTAAAATAAGAATTTTGATGAATATAAGATTTTGATAGATTTGAAATCATATATTTCCGTCTTTTTCGCATGCATTGATTGAAAGTTGTGGTGGTGAGATGTGAGATGTGAGATGTGAGATGTCAGATGTCAGATGTCTTTAGTTGGTTAGAAGCCTCAATCATAAGGCTACAATATTCAGCGTGGCACGGGCCGCTGGTTCCATTCTTTCATGTTCATTTAACAGGGATTTGACGTGACCCTGACGCGTTTTGATTCCAGACTTTGATAAATGTTTGCAGGTATAATTTCTCATTTTGCGACAGTTTAAAGAAAGAAAAGTCCATCTCAACAAGAATACAATTACATGAACCCTATTTTCTTCCTCGATTTCAATATTCATCAACTTTTATTTATTTTTTCAGCAATGCGCAATTGTTCAATTGATTTTCACACCATCTACAATGACTGATTGGAATAAGTTAAAGGTCGTTGACCTGAAAGCAGAGTTGAAGAAACGAGGTCTGCCGCAGACCGGTCTCAAGCCTGCTCTAGTTGCTCGACTTACATCTGCAGAGAATGAAGATGGTTCGGAAAGTGATATGACTCTTCACGATGATGCAACCAAAATAAATCAAGAATCTGCAACATCCCCAGATACAATTTCACCCACACAAACATCATCTTTTGAGATTGGTCCGGAAATGACAATTGAAAATGCAGAGGAACCACAAGCGAACCCCATCCCAGAGAGTAACGAAGTTCAACCATCACCTCTTGAAGTCACAATAGATCATCAAACGGAACCCGTCCTTGAGTCCGCCGTCGCATCTAAGGAAGAGGCGATTCAATCGACCCCAGTTTCAGAGAGTGCGCAGCCTTCTTCAAATGACGCAGTAGAGCAAGTTGAAATTCGACCTTCACAACCTATAGATACAACCGAATCCTCTCTGCCTCCTTCTAAAGCTACATCTCAGCAACCCGAACAACCCGAGGGTGATCGCTCCGCTGAGCTTCCCGTTGAACCACGAGAGGCGATCGAGGACCGACAGAAGAGAAAACGCAGATCACAAAGTCCAGCTCCAAGTTCTACAGATATTTTTCGAAAACGAGCTCGACCAAGTGACTCTATTGAAGAGGTTGCGACTTCAAAGGAGGATGCGGAATGGGTGGAGAAACACAATGCGGTCGATACAGGTGAAGTCAACGCTAAATCAAAGGAGGTGACAATGGGTTATGACGGACCTACGGTTATTGATGACTCTAAAGAAGAAGTAGTAGTTGAGCAGCCGGTTTCAAATACGAATGAGCAAGAAGCCGAAAAAATGGATATTGATGTCGAAAAAACTCGACCAAATGCTGAGGCTGCGGCGACATCACCGGGACTTTCACGCCCACGCGATTCAAGATTCAAAAATCTATTCTCTTCCCCACAAAAGGCGAATGAAGATACAGAAATGGTACGTTATTCACAAGAGCCTGTGGAAGACGAATCATCATACAATCCAATTACTCCCGCAATTCATCCAGCTACTTCAGCTCTTTATATTCGTAACTTTGTCCGACCACTTCAAGAGCCTCGACTTCATGATTACCTTACCACTCTTGCTACGCCGCCTGGTAGCGAACCAGATCCAGATGTGATTTTACATTTCCACATCGATCGCGTTCGAACACACGCGCTCGTTCAATTCAAAACCCTCTCTGCCGCAGCTAGAGTACGCAGCGTAATGCATGATCGTGTCTGGCCCGATGAACCAAATCGTAAAGCATTGTGGGTGGATTTTATACCAGACGAAAAAGTCAAGGAATGGATTGATCAAGAACAAGCGTCCGGGCCTGGACGAAATATACAAAAGTGGGAGGTAGTCTACGAGGAAATTGAAAATGACGGAGATCGTCAAGTTACTGCTGTGTTGCAGGAATCTACAGGGGAATCTCAAACGATGTCTGCGAGAAAGCAATCAATTCCGGTCTCTGTACCGACGGGACCGTCAAGGGGTATTGAAGGAGCACCATCTGGACCTAGAAGCTTCGTTGGTTCAAGAACTGCACCAACGCGAAATTTGTCGGAGCTTTTCAAATCTACTACGACACAACCGACGCTGTATTGGCAACCAGCATCGGAGGATTTGGTCACTAGACGATTAGATGCAATTGCAGATATCACTACCAAAGACATTGAACGCCATACTGGACCAGATATCAATAGATATACATTTGAGGATGGAGATAGATTTGTTGATCGTGGAAAAGAGATATTTCCAGGCATCAGACCTCCACCAGCCCATCGAGGACAAGGAAATCAGCGTCCAGGGCGGTATTCAGGTAGGGGTGGTGGGGGTGGTGGATATGGAAGTAGGGGAGGTGATAGAGGCTATGATAGAGGCGTCGACAGAGTATATGACAGCTACAGAGGACCACCTCGAAATCGAGATAGGCGTCGCTGAGAAATAAAGAGGAAAGCAGGATCTTAATATGCAAGTTCTTCTATACATAAGCAGAAGATTTGGTGAAAGATCAAAGGGTAATTAACGTCGGTTGAGTTGTAAGATGATTTGATTGTAGTGATAGAAGATATATGAAGCAAGTCTCAAAATGATTAGTTGGGTACTTAGAGATGATCCCATGGCTGTAATAGTACTCGAGTACATATATTCAAGTATTTCCCATCTGGTACACAGGTGTTCACGAATCTTTCCGAAAAGGGAAGGAATCAATTTGATAATTCGCATGACCTGATGGGCTGTGCAACAATGTCATTTTCTCCCCACCAGCCACATAGCGGGGATTTGATTTTCTCTCTTTCAGCCCCTGATTTTCTTTACAGAGAGAGTTGAGAGCTGATCAGCAGTAAGATGGGTCATGCTATATGCATCAAAGATAAAGCTTTGCAAATTTTCTCGGGCTGCATAGAGTGTGTCATTGTATCTTTTTGCGCAATCGGATAGATGATCAATTCATTTATGACATTGCTTTTCATTGAGGGGAAAGATGATTGGTTTCACCTCATGGTCTTATTGAGGGGAAAGGAGGAAGCACAACAGATATTTTGTTGTTCATGATCAATAAATTACCTACTAATTGATATTCATGCAAGCTATTAATGACAACTTGGAAGCTGCTTTTACCATCCACGTTGCTGGATCTACGCCCTATGAGTGACGAAATCCACTCTAGATGGGAAGGGAGATAAGATGTGTGTGATAATTGAAATTTATAATTTCATTAATCAGATTTTTAAGAGGTGTGAGAAATTAATTGTGTTTTAAGGAAGTTTTAATACCATTCATTGGCTCTTTTGCTGCTTTTTAACTTTAATTACCTATTTGAATATCATCATTAGTCCCCCTGGCCGTCATCGGCTTTCGTTTTTTCCTTCCAAGCTTCACTTCCATCATCATTCGCTTAGCTTTTTCTTTTGGTGAGGAATCATACAGAATTGACCAATCAAATAACTCCAACACAATATTAGCTTTACCTGAAAGAACAAAGCGGCATTCAACCCTTTCCTACTTGAATCTTTTTTCTCTTGTACCATGATACCTTCAAAGTTCACTCTGTCACACCAAAATATACTCCACAATTTTTACTTCCCACTTCAATAAACTGCTCCCAAACAATTACAACTCAGTTCTTCAAAACTTCCTCATCTATTGATCTATCAAAATCGAATAGAAAAGTCGCGCGTATGAGTGGTCGCTCGTCAGTTTTTACATCCCAGGTATGCTGTCTTCCTTTGTCTATCTTGATGAGTCAAATCTCAAAATATCCTCAATTCCTGTCTTTGGTCTGAAAGTTGGAGTCAAATCCTTCACTATTGTTCCAGAAGGAGGGATGACTCTTCATCAAGCAAACATCTGTAGCAATTGCATCTAGAGCCGTTTCACTAACATGTTCTCGTAGGATTATATCTCAGGTTCGCACACAACCCTATTCATGACCTTCATGCCCCTCCTACGATTCCTTTGCACCACCCAAATTCTAATACTCTTGTTATAGATCACATCTGGAAAGCTTCAGTTAACTGAAAAAGCTTTCTTCAACCTACCGCCTACTAAATTTTATCAATTCAAATACACACAATCATGTTCTCTCGATTTGTAAAGCCCGCAGCTTTTAAGCCAACAGGCTATGGTATCCAAAGGATTGCACAACAAACTCGATTCTTAGCTACAGTTGAAGGAAGTGCTGGTCGTGCCATGCCATATACCCGTCCTCGTGCTACCCCCATCTCTCATGATCGAGCTACATTCACAATTAGGGTACGTTTTGTTGGTTGGTGTATGGAGAAAGATTTGGGCTAAATTTATGATAGGATGGCCCGGTCTTCCATGGCAAATCTTTTGGTGCCAAGTCCAATATTTCTGGTGAAGCCGTTTTCACCACTTCCCTTGTTGGTTACCCCGAATCCATGACCGATCCTTCTTATCGTGGACAAATTCTTGTTTTCACTCAACCTTTGATCGGAAACTATGGTGTTCCATCATCTGCTAGGGATGAGCATGGGCTCTTGAAATACTTTGAGTCACCAAACATTCAGTGTGTTGGTGTGGTCGTTGCAGATTATGCTGAGAAGTATAGTCATTGGACTGCCGTGGAAAGTTTGAGTGATTGGTGTGCTCGTGAGGGTGTCCCAGCTATTTCTGGTGTTGATACCAGAGCTATCGTCACCTACTTGAGAGAGGAAGGTTCTTCTTTGGCTCGAATCACCATTGGTGAAGAATATGATGCCGATCAAGATGAGGCTTTCGTTGATCCTGAACAAATTAACTTGGTCAAGAAAGTTAGCACCAAGGCTCCATTCCATGTTAGCTCTGCCCATGGAGACATGCATGTTGCAGTCATCGATTGTGGTGTTAAGGAGAATATCTTGAGAAGTTTGGTCAGCCGTGGGGCAAGCGTCACTGTCTTCCCTTACGATTTCCCAATTCACAAGGTCGCCCATCATTTTGATGGTGTTTTCATCTCTAACGGACCTGGTGACCCAACTCATTGTCAAGAGACTGTTTACCACTTGGCTAGATTGATGGAGTCTTCTCAGCTTCCAGTCTTTGGTATTTGTCTTGGACATCAATTGCTTGCTCTTGCAGCTGGTGCCCGTACCATTAAACTCAAGTACGGAAACCGTGCCCACAACATTCCAGCTCTTGATTTGACCACTGGTCAATGCCACATCACCAGTCAAAATCACGGTTATGCTGTTGATATGACCACTCTTCCATCCGAATTCAAAGAATATTTTGTCAATTTGAATGATGGATCCAACGAAGGTAATATTGTTGAAGTCGGCTGTTGTACTCTTAACTAACGTACCATAGGAATGATTCACAAGACCCGTCCAATCTTCTCCACACAATTCCATCCTGAGGCTAAAGGAGGACCAATGGATTCTTCATACCTCTTCGATATGTACATTGAGAATGTTCAACGTTACAAGAAGAACCAAGCTGTCTACCCAGCTGGCAAGGACAATAGACCAAATCCTCTTCTCGTAGATATTCTGTCGAAGGAGCGTGTCGGTGTTGCTCCAGCTCAACAAGCTGTTGCTGCCGCCGCTTAAGCTTAGGCCTAGGAGGAAACGTGATTATTGGGATTTTACGGAGTGTGGGATCTGGGATTGTTTTTCAATGGCGTCATTAGTTTTTTGAAACTTGACAGGATTCTCTTGGAAGGTCATATACATAGTGATATCAAGTTACTCAAATGAAATTGAGCTTATTTACAAGTTGATATATAACACAACCTGGTGTTTCAAAATATATATTATTGTGAATACAAATAAAAGTATGTCATTCTCAAATTTATTCTCTGTGATTGATTGTTTCAATATGTCTCTGAATTCCTTGTTCTTTTCTACAAAACCTTTTTTTTAAAAAAAAAATTCTACTGATTTTCAATCCTCAAGTCGAGCGAGAAAAAACGAAATTTCATATAAATAAACACTTTTCTTTCATTTTATTTTCTGTATATTTATACATCTACAAGTAATAACATATATATATATATATATATATAACCAAAAATAAAAATTAACATTAAAAATATACTGTACACAAACACAAAGCCGCACACAGTATCAACACCAACATCTCATTCAAAAACATACGAAATCCCCCAGTTTCAGTTCATTTGATACTACTCATATACATCTCATTCTATCTTTTCCATGCATACATACATATAAGTATATATATATGTAGACATACATCACTCAAATTACAAAAGAGCAATAAGTCCCATCACCACGGCGATGAAAGAGAGGGAAATACTAGAGCGGCTAGCAGAACCCGTGACGATCATACTAGGGGTAGCGGTTTGGGGGCTACCTGCTGGGGAAGTGTGGGTGGTGGGAGGGACGGAGGATTGAGGGGTGGATTTGCTGGAGCTGGAGCTGGATTTGGAAGAGATGCTTGAGGTGGATGTTGAAGAGGATGTGGAGAGGGAGACGGTTCCGCTGGCGTAGTAGCCGGATGTGCTGTTTGAGGAGCCGGAGGGGTAGAGGGGCGTGGCGGTGGGGATGATTTGGCCTGGGATGATGAGGGTGGAGGTGGAGCCGCCTTGGCCTGGGATTATGATGGTGGATGAGGGGACGGAGGCTGGGATGGCGTTGGTGGATGAGGGGCCTGGAATGATGGCTGTTGATGAGGCACCTGGAATGATGACAGATGATGGGGCACCTGGGATGATGACAGATGATGAGGCACCTGGGATGACAACAGTTGATGAGGAACCTGAGACTGGAATGACGCCAGTGGATGATGCACCTGGAATGATAACAGATGATGAAGCACCTGGAATGATAACAGATGATGAAGCACCTGGGATGACAACAGTTGATGAAGCACCTGGGATGATAACAGTCGAAGAACCAACTGAAATGCCCTGAGCGGAGGAAGAGGAAACCGAAACAACTTGGCCTGGAATTCCAGAAGAAACAGAGACTGCAGGGGAACCTGGGTAACCAGGAGCAGATGATGGCGAGCCAAGACCTGCGGTTTCAGTGACGGTAATGATAGAGGCAGGTTGTGTCTACAAATGATTAATTCAAATTCTTAAAAAGCTAGAAGGGAAAAACTTACAACAGTGATCAAAGAAGGAGAAGCGGAAATGGTAATGACGGATGGTTGAGCGCATTCTGAAGAACCTGCACTTCCTGATGGAATACCAACGGAGCTTAATGGCGAAGAAGATCCAACGGCTGGTGGAGGAGTGCTTTGACCTTGGGCAGAGCTGGCTGATTGAGAACCAATAGAAGCAAGGGGAATGACAGTTACAGTGCTGTAAACCTGTGTTCCACTGGCAGTTGGGGCAGTCAAACTAGCAACGAGGGATGGAGATTGGCTACCAGAGTTTCCTGAACCAGAGCCGGGCTGTGTGGACGAGGCTGGTGAGGAAGCGATTGGAGAGGAAGCAGCTGGTGAGGAAGCGGCTGGTGAGGAAGCGGCTGGTGAGGAAGCGGTTGGGACACCTTGAGTAGAAACCACAGAAGCAGCTGGAGAAGAACCAGTCACTCCGGAATCCTGAGAAGTAGATGATTGAGATGGAGATGGTGCAGAAGATGGTGCAGAAGCTGGGGCACTACCTTGTGGAACGATAACTGAGCCGCTTGCAATTGGGGAAGAAGTTCCTTGACTTGGAATGGCAATAGTCTTCGTAATGTAACGTGTCGAGGAGAGGGAAATGGTTGAATATCTAGTGGTTGTCTCCAAACTAGTAACTCCTTGGCTGGTCTTGGTCAAAGTAAGCGATGAGACTGTGACGTATGATTCAACTGAGACAGTTGAATAGATTTGTGTCGAAAGACCTTGAGAAACAGCAGGTGTTGGGGCGATTGGGGTTGGGGTGATAGTACTCGTGGAAAGAAGAGTCGAGGTACTATAAACAGTGGACAAGCTGGTGGTTGTCTCAAGGCTGGTAGTACCTTGGCTGGTGTGAGTGAGAGTTACTGGGCAGACTGTAGTATAAGAGTCAACGATGACGGTTGTAACGATAGTTTCAGATGATTGAGCTGGAGGAGAGACAACTGGGCCAGTAACTGAAGGGCTTCCAGATTGAGTAACGCTGATACCACTAAGATCTGAAGTTGCGGAAGGGTAAATTGTGGTGGTGCGTGTACCGATAGCGGTCGAAGTGGTGAAGACGGTAGAGATACTGGATGAAGTTACAACACTGGTAGATCCTCCGTTGGTTTGAGTCAAAGTAACTGGGCAGATTGTTGTGTATTGATCGACGATAACTGTTGTGTAGACGGTCTCAGATGTAGATGCAGCCAGGGAAGAAATAATTGGGCCAGGAACTTGAACAGTGCTAGTGGCAACCTTGGTCGTAGTGCTGTAGACAGTAGAAATGGTCGAGGTAGTCAAGACACTGGTAGTTCCTCCATTAGTTTGAGTCATGGTAACAGGGCAAACTGTTGTGTATTGATCGACAACAACTGTTGTGTAGACAGTCTCAGATGATGATGGGGAAGACCCTCCAGTAACGCTAATACCACTGAGATCAGAAGTACCTGATGGAGACGCTCCTGATGGGGACGATCCTGAAGGAACCGTGGTAATAGTGCTTGTACCAACCACAGTCGAAGTGGTGTAAACAGTCGAAGTAGTAGAAGAGGTCAAAAGACTGGTTACTCCTCCACTAGTCTGAGTCATGGTGACAGGGCAAACTGTAGTGTATGAGTCAACGATAACAGTGGTGTAAACAGTTTCGGATGAAGTGAGAGCTGGAGAGGAAGATGGCGCAGATCCTCCGGTAACGCTGATACCACTGAGATCAGAAGCGCTAGATGGGCTTGGGACATTGGCTGATCCGGATGGGAATGAACCGTTTCCAGAAGCTGAGGCACTTGGGAATGAACCGTTTCCAGAAGCTGATGCACTTGGGAATGAGCCATTTCCAGAAGCTGAGGCAATTGGGAATGAACCAGTTCCAACGGAAGATGGGGAAGCACCGCTCGACGAAACAACTGGCAAAGAACCAGTGGCAGAAACCCCGCTGGACCCTGAAGCATCTGTTGAAGAAACAGATGGAGCTGAGGCGCTTGGAGATGAACCACTTCCGACAGATACAGATGGCAATGAACCACTTCCAGAACCAGATGGGGAAGAACCTGCTGGGCTGGAAGCACTTGGCGATGAACCACTTCCAGAGCCAGATGGGGAAGAACCTGCTGGGCCCGAAGCACTTGGAGATGAACCAGTTCCGGCAGATGCAGATGGGAATGAACCGTTTCCTGACACCGAGGCACTTGGCGAAGAGCCAGATGGGAGAACCGAGATACCACTGAGATCTCCAGCGCTAGTTTGAGCTGGGGTAGAAGCGGATACTGGGCAAGCAGTTTGACCCGAGAGAAGAGGGCCTGATGAAACACATGGTAAAGAGGCAGCAGCAGTGCCTGATGGAGATGAACCACTTCCTAAGGCTGAGGCTGATGCAACTGGCAATGAACCACTTCCAGAAACAGATGGCAATGAACCACTTCCAGAAACAGATGGCAATGAACCACTTCCAGAAACAGATGGCAATGAACCACTTCCAGAAACAGATGGGAGCGAACCACTTCCAGAAACAGATGGGAGCGAACCACTGCCAGAAACAGATGGGAGCGAACCACTTCCAGAAACAGATGGGAGCGAACTACTGCCAGAAACAGATGGGAGCGAACCACTGCCAGAAACAGATGGGAACGAACCACTGCCAGAAACAGATGGGAACGAACCACTGCCAGAAACAGATGGGAACGAACCACTGCCAGAAACCGAGGCACTAGGAGAAGAACCAGATGGGAAAACCGAAATACCACTAAGATCACCAGCGCTACTTTGAGCAGGAATAGAAGCAGTCAAACTTCCCGAGCCAACTGGAAGGGACGAAGGAGAAGAACCCAAGAGTTCAGTCGACAAGGCTGAAGAGATGGAAGCCAAGTTAGTGGTTTGGAAACCAGGACCGACAGGAGTCACAGAGATAGCAGCTGAAGTTGGGACGTCAAAAGTAGAGGTGCTTGCTGTGGCAATGGGTGTAAGGGTGACTGTGGCTGGGATGACAGATGGTTGAACTTTGATGGTGGCCTTGGGGGTCAATGATGGCAAGACTGAAGGAGTTTGTCCGGCCTCGGAAACTGGGCAGACGGTGGTGTAATCGACGACTGTTTGGGTAATAACTGCAACAGATGCAAGGGTTGCTGGACAATGAAGAACGTTTGCGGCACAGCTGGTGATGGTTGTAACTTGGGTAGCGTAAACAGTAGAAGTAGTCAATGAAGCTCCGTCCGTGATTGTGCTAGGCAAAGATCCCTTAGATGAAGCAGTTGGGATAGTGCCATTGGAGTAGTGTCTAGACGAAGATGGGCTTGAACCAGTAATAGAAGCTTTGATACCACCTGCTGAGATTGAGCCTGATTCAATGCCAGATAACGATCCTGAAGCTCCACCACCAATAGAAGCGGATCCAGTAATTGCAGCACCCAAAGCAATGGTTGTTGTTGGTCTTGCAGCGCAAATTGGTGCAAGAGTAGCAACATTCAAAGTAATGAATGCAGTTGGGGCAACGCTGAAGGAGGCAAAGTCAAGGTTTGCGACGGCAGAAGCATATGCACCAACGTTAACATTGCATTCAGCTGTGATGGAAAGAGAGCAATCAGCAGTGCTGCCAATTTGGGCAATGTATTGAAGCATATCGGCATATACACCAAGCTCAAAGCTGTATCCCATTCCCAAAAGAGAGATGGTAGTACCAGCCTCAATTCTTACGCGAATAGAAGCTTGGAATTTAGCTTCACCAGCAAGCACGACGATTGGAAGGTCGTTCATGATGGCTCCGGCAAAATCATGGTTTTTGATGGCACCGGCCAAGAGATCAACAGTAAGGGAAGCACCCTCTGGGAAAGAGAATTCGAAACCAGCAGAAAGGTCGACCTCTGCATCAACGGAGATGATCAAGTCGAGGAACAGATTCAAACCAACGGAAACAGTATCGAGGAGAGAAACGTTAGCAACGAGACCAGCTTCGAAAATGTTGAGAGTATAGGTAGCGGCTTCAGCGGCGAAGACATCAAGTTCGATATGTCCTCCAACCTCCTCCAAAGAGATCAAACATTCCAAGCTTGCGGCCTCGAGAATGGTTTCGAAAGGATGTTCTATGAATTCGAGAGCCTCTTCGATAATGCTGTCGGAAATCTGGGCGACTGTGTTTGTGACGACGGCGCTACCCCATGTTCGGCAATCAACACACTTGATTTGAACTCCTGTTGCACTTCCGAAGCTGATTCCGATATCAGCACCAAGACCTTGGTCAAGGATACCGAAGACATCCAATGAGGCGTTGACTCCACTATAAATTTATTAGCAAATGAATAAAGTACGTTAATTCTTGGTGATCCTTACGTATCTAACAGAACCTCATTCTGCTTTGAGCAACCAATGTCATGACTGCAGATTAAGTTTGAAAGTGTTCTGGCATTGACACCGCCATGTAAATCGGCAGAGATACCATTGTGAGAATCGATACGATCAGCATATTTTTCAGGTGCGTAAGCTGGAGGGTATGCTACTACGCTTGTAGCAAGGACTGCCCCAACGAGGGCCGTCCCTAGAGACGATGAAAACATAACTGATAGACTAATATAATAATGAATAAAAATGAATGTGTTTAAAATGAGAGATTAAGGAAAAAAGAGTGTAATAGGCCTAAAAAGGACCTTTCGTAAAGAGAGTGGGAAAGAATGCAAAGCAGGCTTGAGAAAGAAATAATGTTTGGGGAGAAGAACATCTTTTAAAGATGATGAAGATATTGTTCTCAACCCATGAAAAGTTTGGTTAGTATTCAACCTCCTGTCCATCATTGCAAATGAGGAAAGAAGATCTACTTTCCGAAATGAAGGTGTCTTTCCATCCTGTATACCCTGTCGTGTGCTTGACTAAAAGAATGTCTTCTCCATATTTTATTGTAAAATATGGGGTACCTTCGGACAAAGGTTCCAGACAGTCTAGCGACTTGCTCTCATAGGCTTCGTCTGATCGAGACTTGAGATGAAAATGAGGCCATTGTGGATAATGATATATAATACGATTGTACCAAAACACTCGATGCAATTGGACACAACCTTGTGACGAAGCTTGAAGGAACCAGGGGGGATAGACATTGTGAAACTTTAGACCCAGTAAAAGACAATAATTAGATGATCAATGGCCAAGCACGTGCCTCCCACTTATTGGAAATGAATGACCATAGATAGAAATACTTGACGTTGTACAGCATAAAGGGTGTACAAAAGCGTATAAAGATGTATAGAGGTGTATATAGTGTATAAAGCTGCTAGTGGGTCCATACATCCACTTGAGTATACAATCAGTATTTTGTGTTTCAGATCAAAGATCCAGACTTCACTAAGTAGAAAAACAACATCTAGCGTTCCCAATAGCTTACGAACCCCCCTTCCAGAAGACCAAATGCCGAGGAAGCGCATGAAAGGAATATCGTAGCTGCAGGTCCCTGAAAAGCGCGATGGTGTCCTTGTAGATATGTTTGAGATTGATGGGAAGTTCGGAAAAGGATGAACTTTATATGTTTTGTTATGCATCGGTGGACAAGACCAGGAATACTAAGTTCGTGAGCATGTGACCAATTAATACTTTTCATCAATTTACATCCCCATCGATGAGTTTGGTGATGAAAAAGTCTAAGAATAGATACGAAGTTCCAATTCGCCACTTCCCCTGGATTCAAATTAAGACTGTCCCGACTTCCCGTTGTCGTTTAGTTCGTACTTGAGATCTGCGGCTTTTCTTTCCGTTCATGACTAAAAGAAGGCTATGGCGCGCTAGTTCATTAGTGTACAATAAGCGAGATTGACGCCAGGTAACGTGAGGCTACCTTGCAAGTTCTAGGTTATTCTCAGCCTCGCATTGACGCAGTGTGGTCATGATGATCATGATAGTTCTAGCTTTTATCAACGATCTACCTTCACCAAGCATCAGCACCGATCAATAAGTGTACTAGAACAACAAAAGCGGACATAGTGGAGCGTGTTGAGGGCACTTGCTTTCTCAAAATTCCACATTTCAATCTCCCCTATCGCCCAACAATACACAATCCAGCCCAATATGTCGCTCTCCTCCTACCTTGCCAAAAACTACCTGACCGCCTCGACTCCATCTTCTTCCTCCTCTAGCACAACCAAAAAGCGCAAACGCAAGACCGTCCCCCAAACTGGTCTCATAATAGCCGACGACGATGCACCAGGCTGGTCGAATCCCCGCGAACAAGCTTCTGACAACGAAACCCCCATAATCTCCAACCACGGCGGCAGTTCCGAATTTCGCAAATCAAAAAAGTCATCATGGAAAACCGTTGGTGTGCCAGCTCTCCAACCACAAAATGAAGATAATGCAGAAGCAGACCGCATTATCCAAGAAGCCGCTGCTGAGAATTCCGCCGCCTTACATGTAGACGAAGAACCTACAATTGAGGAATCGCGGGGCGGACTCCAAACACGCGATGAAGCCGCCGCAGAATCCACAAGACGAAAACGCAACGAAGCCGCACAATGGGCGCGAGAATCACAGGGCGGATCTAGCAAAAGCAAAAACAAAGACAAGGTAGAAGAAACCGTGTATCGGGACGCCACAGGTCGAAGAATAGATATAAGTATGCGACGCTCCGAAGCGAAAAAAGAAATGGATGAAAAAGCGCGTAAAGAGCTCGAAGGAAAAGAAGCTCAAAAAGGAGATATACAACTTCTCGCGCAAGCAAAACGAAGAGAAGAATTAGATGAAGCGAGGTTTATGACGGTAGCGCGAGGCGTGGATGATATACAGATGAATGAGGAATTGAAGGAAGTAGAGCGGTGGAATGATCCCGCGATGCAGTTTTTAAGTAAAGAGAAGAAGGGAAAGAGTAGTTCGGGAAAACCATTGTATAAAGGTGCGGCGGCGCCGAATAGATATGGGATTCGGCCTGGACATCGGTGGGATGGGGTGGATAGGGGGAATGGGTGGGAGGCGGAGAGGTTCAAGGGGGAGAATAGGAGGGTGAGGAATAGGGAGTTGGATTTTCAGTGGCAGATGGATACTTAGGGTTGATATTCATTTATTTATTTACTTACTTGGTAGGTATCTAGTAGGTATTCATGATTTTGATTAAGCGATGATGAAGATGACAGTCAAATGATTCATATATTTCCATATCCATATCCATCCTTCCTTCCTTTCCATTCATTGCCTATGGAATTAAGACCTAACTAGGCAGTTGTACTGAAGAAAGAAAGAAAGAAAAATCAAACCACCTAATAGGTATGAAAGAATGGTATCTGAAAACCTCAAGAAATCTATACACACACAAACTTTCCTCCTTCCCATTGGTATCGCTATCAACCACACGCAACAACATATCATGCTCTTGATACCTACTGAAAGATGTTTGTTTTCTTTTCTTTCCTTTGCTTTCTTCCTTCCCATTCCAATGAATGAATGAATGAATGAATGAATGAATGAATGTATCATGCTTTATACCAAATTCGTTTCGTTTACGTTACGTAGATGTTTGTTTACCCATCCGACGAGTAATTTCTCTCATCATATCACCAAAAACCCTTCTGGTAAGGTATTAAATGATCCAGGTCGTCCAGCTCATCCATCCATCCATAGCAAATTCCCTCCACGATTATAATTGCATTGCAACCATCGAAACCCTGTGATAACCACCATTCTTCGCATATGCCAAGTTACCCTACTTTTTAAACCTTTGGTCGCAAAAGTTTATCCGCTCCATATTTAGAGTTCGTCTTAATCATTGCCATAAATTCTTTTTTAGTGGTTTGTCCATCAGAATCACCGACTCTACCACGGAAATGACCAAGCAATTGACCAATGGAGATACCCGCCGAAGGTAAAGCAGCAATAATTTCTTTAGGTGTAATAGGTCCGGAACTAGATGATCCTGCATGTTCTATAGTAGAATTATTAGTACTCTCCAGAAATAGATGCAAATTAAAATCCTTACCAGTTCCTTGAGCAGGACTTCCAGCACGGCTACTGCTAGATTTACCTGGGGCTGGACTAGCCGGTCTTGAAGCTGTTGGTGATCCTCCCATACGAAGGGTAATCTTTTTCTTCTTTCCACCTGCTCCATCTGACATTTCACCTCCTGTAGCTTCTCCATCGCTTGTTGCCCCTTGAGGGTTTGGTGGTGAAGAGCTGATTCGTGAAAGTTCGGATGCATTTACGGACATCTTGACGATAGAAGATTTTCTCTGAGGTTGACCTGGAACGGGTTGTAAGTATGGTATTGGAGAAATTGGCCTTGAAGCTAGAATTGGAATAGATATACCTGTAGGTTGTGATGAGCCAACGTGCTTCTTCTTATGCTTCTTTCTAGATGATTCATTTCCAGAGGATTCTGACAAATTAGGAGATCCTGCTCTTTTGAGACTTTTAGTCTTCTTCAAAGGATCAGTGTGCTTGGGTCGACCGGAAGGTGTATTGTTTCCCTTCGATGAGGTTCCGGGAGTCTTTGCTTCAGCCTTTAACTTGGCTTTAGCCTCTTCATCTTTCTTCTTGTCGATTTCCTTTTGCTTCTCTTCATCGGAGGTATCATCCTCGCTCTTTGGGCTGTTAGTAAATAGACAAATAGATTCGCAAAATACATACATCTGAAGAAGCATATGGATTACTAGAATCACTATCATAAATGAAATTCTTCTCGCGCTTAGTCAAAGCCTTACGGACACCCTTTCCTAACTTTTTCTGTGCCTCTAATTCTTGCTCCTCTTTCATGAAGTCTTTCTCCACAGCCTCTTCATCTGCTTCTCCGAATAAGTTTGCTCCTCTCTGATCTTGCTTAATTCTTTCTTGAGCGTCTTTTGTATCTTCATCCCTATCTGGCTCAACTGTGGGAAGCTCATCATCATCCTGGAATAAGTCATCAGCATCGAAATCAAGTTCATCAATGTCTCTCGTTTCATTCCTGCTAGATCCTCTGAAGCTTTGACTCTCAGCCTTGACAGTATACAGCCTATTCAGTCCTTGAATATTTTCTTGGGTTGCACGTTGGGCCTCATTTTTCTCTTGCGTCTTCATGGCCCATCTAGATTCCTTGGTCTTCTTACTCAACAATGCTTCGGCTTCATCGATTGTGAGAGTGTTAAACTTGTTCTTTGAGGTAAACTTGTACCATTTTTCAACCGGAATCATCCTGAAAGAACTTCCCTCTGTAAAAAACATAACATTGACTTCCGACAAAGCACTCTCATAATTACCGACCCAAGTATTCTTATTATCAGCATCTTCTAGGTGCCAAGGTAAAGCTTCCTCGTATCTGAGATCAGACTCTTTTTTCTGTTCTGCTGTCTTATCAAGTCGATGTACCTGGGTAGTCTTTTCATTTCGAAAAGCTTGAGCTTTTTTAGCAGCTGATGCATTAGCATTGTTGCTGGTAGGAGCAATCTGCGCACGATCGGCAGCCTTTTGTGCTTCCTTCTCTGCCTTCAATATTTCTTGTCTTTCTCTCTCCTTGGAGTCGACCACATCCTCCATTACTGTGTCTTCGTCCTTGAATGCCTTACCAGGTGGTGGTTGTCGAGGATCTCTGCGATGAAGGGAGATTGGTCGCGTGAACTCGTCCTGATTTGTTGGGTCAACCTCTTTCTTTCCAGCAAATCTCATGGCATGGTATCGTAATCCATCGCGCAACGCCCTCCTGGTAGTGAAGAGTGGGAAATCTGTAACTTCTCCCTTGGGAGGATGTGTCCAACCACCATATGTTTGTCTAGGCGCAACGTTGCCATTGATAGGAACTGGGCCTCTAGGACCTGGTGCGCGTGGTCCGGAAAAGTTGTTTAAAGATGTAGGCCCGTTGGGCCTAGCTGGTGTCAAGCCGTTCAAGTTCGCGCCGGGAGGTTTAGAAGGTACATTTGGTCGGCGGACGGGTTTCTTTCGTGGTCTCAGAGGATCGGCAGCCTTGGGTTTACGTGTAAACTGTGGTGCGCCGCCGCTGTTGGGAGTGGGAGTAGGAGTTCGTCCATTCGACATGCCAGATGGGGAGGCAGACATCCTGAATGGTTACTCTGGAAATCTCGAAATTCTGAGTGTTCAAAGATCGGTCCACGAAGAAGAATAGGAAACTGATGTAGAATTTTCCAGAACCGAAAGATCCAATATGATTCTTCTCCTATGGGACAAGCTTGAGGAGCTATGGTTGCCTTGGAAGGAACCTCAATGATTTATATTCGGTCGCAGAAGCTGAAAAGAACTTGTATCTCTAATATCAAAAATTGTACTCATGTGCTTCTATGTTGTCGCAAGATAATTTGGGATAGATTGGGCTTGATGGAGATTTCTTCCTTCTCTGTGGTAGTTTGATTGTTCTTTGTTATAATAAATTTGCTCTGTAGGTTGACTTTGATATGTTTCTTCCATCCAAGATACAATCGGTGCAATGACAGGCAGTCAGGCCGAGCTAGTCCCAAAGTGGTATAATGAATCCAAGATCGGCAACCCATGCAAGTTTTACCGTAACATTTATCTGTACAAGGGTCTCCAGCGCTGAAATCTTAAATTTGAATTTATGAATGGAGGACTGAGGATGCACAGCCGTAGTGGGTAAGAGGTTGAAGAAATTATTAATAAGCCTTCGAGATGGAGGGTAAGGTGCCTTAAATACTAGGCTATGAACTACCCCACCCTGGTAACAAGACAAGCTCCCAAATACCAAAGCTTCATGGTATTGTCTGCATCCATCCATATTCAATTTGGAAGGCTGAGATTTTAGGGATTGGGGTTTGGAGAATTCTAGGGTTGGGGAACCTTTTAACAAACACAACCTTCTCTTTGAAATATCTACTGCCCACATCCATCTCTGGATCTTATATTGATCACCACCAACGATTATATTCCGATCGCTCATTTGATCCAATATTGGTTTGCTTCTTCTTGGTAATTAGATCAGTTCAATATTATCATTCTATCCTAAAGAGAATGGAAGAGATAATAATCTAGATCTCTACCAATCCACCAATTCATCAGTCCAAACAGATCAGAGACTGAATTTACAGCGCAGCAAACAACAGCATATTCAATACCAACCAACCATCAATCTCTCTTTCATGGTTAGTTAGGTATCAATGATAGTGCATCTATTTATCTCTTCATCCACTAGGTAGTCATCTATTTGCGAAACACATCCAAGATACTGGAACAGGAAACGCACCGTCCACATTCCATCACATGACCAAGCTCCACTGATACTCATCACTTCTCAAGATACCTCCAACCCTCGGGCTGTGGTTACTGTCAGGAGACATCCCAAAAGGCTCTGCGAATCATATCAATCTTTGGTATAGATTTGGTGATTGATTTCTGTAGTTTCTAAAAACTTCCAGGTTATCATCCTAAATTTACAAGCATGTTTCCAGCAGGGAACGAGCCAAGTGAGCACCTGCCTGGAGGAGGTTTGGGTGGTATTGGTAATGGACTTGAAGATCGTCTTCGAGGTCTCATTCTCAATAATGCCAATGTCATCACGAAAAATGAAATCATCAATATGCATCCACCTCCGGCAAACAATACGGCTAATCTCCATCTCCCGCCGCATATGCTCACAGCTAGCCCGTCAGAGCAACAGGAATATCTCTCCAACATGGCTTCCAAGGCTGCCGAGTCATTACAAACCGTTCCCGCCAACACTGCTCCATTGTCCCCACAACCTGGAAAGAAGAGGATGAATTCAAGCTCAAAGACGGGCAGATGAATGCTCAGCTTTCAATTCCAATTGACTCGAGTCAGCAAGAACAGCAGCATCGTCAGCAACAGGCCCATCATCCGAAATTACACACCTCATCGGCACAGCGGCACCAACACCATCTACTCCTCACATATATACATCACAGGATACCAAGATTCAGCCATGCACAGCAGCACAGCTTCCCGCATCTGGCATCAGACGCACACGTCCCCCTATACCCCTCAGATGGCATATCAAAATTATTCTAGGTCAGGTGGGTTTTCAAATCAAGGAAGTCCCAACCTTCAATTTCAGAAGCCCATCTACCCCCAGCAACATCAGCAACATTTTTGGCAAGATATGAATCAAGCAAGTCCCGGTAGCAATTCGTTCTCTCCAAGACCTCCACACAATCGCCAATTATACCAGCCAGGTCCCTCAAATTCTGGTGGTCAAGGATGGAGAAGTTTTGGAGCGAATACTGAAGAAATGACTGGTCAAAGCGCATTTTTGGACAAATTGGCTGGAGAGTGCGTCCCAAAAGTGGCGATTGACATTAACGAGGCAAATAAGAAAGAGGAATTCCGGGCTCACATTGAAAAGATTTGCAAAGCGGCAATTGCTGAACATGAGCGAGAAGAGCGTGGTAACAAAGAATTTGATGCTGCGACTGTCGAGCTGAAATGTTACGGAAGTTTGAGCTCCGGCTTTGCAACCAAAGGTTCTGATATGGATCTTGCACTTCTTACACCCTTCTCGAATCCATCTGCGGAGTTGTCGGAGTCTCAAATACCACGACTATTGGAGAAGAAGTTGCTGAGTTTGGGATACGGCGCACGACTACTCACTCGAACAAGAGTTCCTATCATCAAGCTTTGCGAGAAACCGCTCCCAAAATTAATGGCTGATCTTCTAGAGGAGCGTAAAAAATGGGATAGTGGCTTGGGTGAAGGTCAAGATGATGATCCAGACGTAAAGCACTTGGAAATTCTTACCACAAAGTCTCCGGGATCAACCCAAGTAGGTGTAGACTCGAAAAAAGCCTTGGCTAAAACCACGAGTAATCCTAGCAGTCTAGTTAATTCAGGTAACACGGGAAACACAAATCTAACTGAGAAGAAAGGTATTACTTTGAAGCAAAAAGACCACCAGAATCTCATTGACTACCACATTTGTGCAAAGCGTGCTTTGAGAAAAAATGGTGGACGCGATTTATCTTTAAATTCTACTGAACTCAGTATCCAGGAAGCGAAGATTCTTAATGAAGTTTGTCGAGCTTTTATACTTGGATTGCATTCTGAAGACTTATCCAATCGGCTATCTAATTATCCATCTGTCTCTCCATTGTTTGATCCTTCCATTCCTTTTGTCCAGCGATCTTTAAATGGAATTTGCACACAGATTGAAGGGGAGAGGCTAGCCATGGCATGGGAGAAGCGTACATTAATGGAAGCAACCGATAAACAAGAGTCGGAAGCTCTCGCCGCTCTCGAGGCATGGAAAATTTTGCAGAACAAAACAGGGCCACTCACTGAGTCTGAAATCTACAACAAACAACTTCACAACGCTTCTGAACGCCTGAAAAGGATTCATTCTTTACGCCTTCTGTATCTCGAGCAATTGATGTTTGAGAGTCCACAACAATACCTTGGGAGAGTGGAAAGACTCAAAGAAGATCTTGAGGGCAAGGGATTGCCTCAAAACCTCATCCGGCCACGCAACTTAACGGAAGAAGAGGTTGTGGCGCGGTTTGTTAAGCATTATATTGATGGCATTCACGATGTTCATATTCGAGAAGCTTTGCAATGTATGGAGGAAATAACGACATTGAAAGATGTAGCTCGCCGACATCAGATTTTGCAACTTGCCAAAGATTATGAACATGCCCTTGAAGCTGATCTCTATGACGAGATTTCCATTCACAATGTTGAACGATACATCTCGGTTTTGCGAGACCTAGCTAGTAGACAATTTTCTGTTGATTCTTCACAAGCGGAACTGGTAGCCATCATCCGTACTCTTCCTGATCCGACTCTAATATCACTGAATAAGCCGCGGGATCGATACAAGGATCATCTTGAGTTTCCTAAGGACAAGGTCGGCATTCAATGTGATATCAATTTCTCAAATCATTTGGCCTTGCATAACACATTACTTCTCAGGCTGTACTCTCTATGTGATACAAGAGTCAAGATGGTGGTACTTTTTGTGAAACACTGGGCAAAGACTCGTGGAATTAATACTCCATATCGAGGCACTCTTGGAAGTTACGGCTATGTACTGATGGTTTTGCACTACCTGATAAATGTTGCCAAACCCCCAGTCTTGCCCAATCTTCAACACATCAACAAAGAGCCGCCTGTACATCTCTCTCCTGGCGAGAAAGAAGCTCAAACTACTTGTGATGGTCAAGATGTGAGATTTTGGAGAGATGAAGCAGAAATCAGATCTTTGGCTGAGCGTGATATTTTAACACAAAACCATGACTCGGTAGGGTTGTTACTTCGAGGATTCTTTGAATACTTTGCACAGAGTGGGCTGATGACGACGGTTCAAGGAGTCAGAGGATTTGATTGGGGTCGTGAAGTTTTGAGTTTACGTTCAAACTATGGAATTCTTAGCAAACAGGAAAAAGGATGGGTCGGTGCCAGAACAGTCGTTGAAACTACACAAATAGCAGCTCCTCCAACTCCAGCAAGTCCCAGAGCTGTTGAAGGGAATACTACCAATTCAACCACGGCGACGGAACCTAATGAGGCTCCCAAGACTGTGGAAGAAACCAAGGAGGTCCGTCACCGATATCTTTTGGCAATCGAAGATCCATTCGAGATAGAGCACAATATTGCACGTACTGTGACTCATAATGGAATTGTGTCCATTCGAGATGAATTCAGACGTGCATGGGGTATAATCAGAACTCTCGGAACAAGATTCCAATCCAAAGATGGACTTTTAGATCCAATACCTGACCCTAGCGATTCCCAAGCTGAATTGGAAATCCTACTGAATTCGATTCACGGACGGAAAAACAATGGAGTTGGAAAAGTCTAAAGTTCTATGGGATTATGGCTTTCTCAAGCTATCGCAAATGGAGGATAGAAGAACGGAAAAACTGGAGCACTTGGCGTCGTTATGGAAGAAAAGCACGATTTTACGAATTAAAAGAGATGAGGTTAGCTCATGCTAGCGCACCAAACTTGTACCTATGCATGATTGTTGGTGATTCTTGATGTTCTTTCAGCTGAATTTGAATGACTTTCACTCACGTGAAGAATCCAAGTGGATTTAGGCCCTTGCATTTTCCAGGATACGTTGCATTTGTAATTATTGATTTTGTACTTCCCCGCACATTGAAAGCTACCAAATTTCCCAATGAGTTTTGGACAATACGAATTGTGGAAATAACACACAATCATGTTTCCTGTGTCATGGACGGAGTATGCTTACTCGCGTACAAAGCGGGAGGTTTACGCCATGAGCGCCGCATAAAGTTTGGAGATTTCTCATCTGGGGAAATTTCCCCACGAATATGAAAATTTCCCCCACAATTGCAGGGTAATTTCTCCATTTTTACTCCAGGATCACGCCAGGATTGAACCCAAGCTAATGAGAAACGTGCATGTCTATTGGAGCGCCACGTCTAGATAGATGAAAATAACAAAGGGGATTGGTGCATTTATTATTTCAATCATTTCCGTGTGGTGGTAAGACCCTGGTGTCGGTGAGAAAAGATCCTACGGCGCAGCACTCCATGTTATAGTTGTCGAAATCCCATGGGGAAATATTTAGTACATGTACATTTCAAACCCTTGATCAACGTTACACTTGATTGTCGGTTGTATCTTGCATCTTTTTATACCTTTGTACCTGCTTTTTCCATATCACTAGCAGAGGAAGTCAGTTAATTGATTGAGGATAACCTCGATTCAATTGTTTCCTTCACCTCATCACAAAAGGTTTCAATCGGTATTGTCGATAGGAAATCTATAAACAAAACACAAGATGTTTAACACCACCAATAAGAGATGGTACAATTGGTTAGTATCATCCCATCATCATCAGATTTCAACTCTCGAAGTAAAGTCTGATTTCTCTTTAGGTACATATCTATGGTGGCAGCAGCATGCATGGTATTATACGGTTATGATGCATCTGTTTTCAACGCATGTCAAAATTCTAAACATTGGGTTGCATACTTCAATAAACCAGTGAGCAGCATAATCATTCTCGTCGCCAAAAGACAAATGCTAATATGAATCAGAGTACATATAAAATCGGTCTCGTAAACACATCTTACAACATCGGTGGCATCGTGTCAGGATTCTTCTTCGGTGGACCAATCGTACGTGAACTATCTCTCAAACATTATTCCACAAGCCTCTTTAGATGCTAATAACACTCTAGGCTGATCGACTCGGACGAAGATGGGGAATGGGAATCGGTTGTTTGTTAACTATCATTGCGACTTTCGTGCAGTGTTTCGCTCCGAGAGGAGATCTTAATGCTTTTATTGGTGGTCGTGTTATTATTGGTTTGGGACAAGGAATTGCTCTGAGTTCGTATTGTCCTGTTATGAAATGTTTTTGATGTGTGGTTCTGATATTTGTTTAGCTGCTGGTCCGGTTTATATTGGTGAACTTGCACCGCCAGAGATTCGCGGTAAGATCATGGGATTCTGGCAATTGTTCTACTCAGTCGGTTCGTTCATCGCCTACTGGATTGCCTTCGCCACCGGAAAACACACTGTCGCCCTCGGAGATTGGGATTGGAAAACAATTGTCATTTTCCAAATGTTGGTTCCAATCATCATCTGTATTCTTCTTCCCTTCATCCCAGAAACCCCTCGTTGGTACATTCGAAACGGAAACATTGAAGGGGCCCGTAATTCCCTCCTCCTCGTCCGCGACACCGAACAAGAAGTCGAAGATGAACTTCTCCAAATTAGAGAAGCGCTTGAATATGAAAAGGAACAAACGTCTACTAGTTCCTACAAAGCATTATGGATGGATAAATCCGTTCGAAGGAGAATGTGGATTGCTTTTATCATCAACGGAGGTCAACAACTCACCGGTCAAGGAAGTCTTAATAGTTATTCTTCGGCGATCTATAAGGGTATCTACAAAGATGCTGAAACTATCAATCTCATCAACGCTATCAACGGTACCTGCGGTATTCTCTTCACTCTCAACGCGGTCTGGACCGTGGATCGCTACGGACGTAAATTCCTCTTCATCGTCGGCGGTTTCGGTATGGCTCTTTGCATGATCGCTTTTGCTTCAGTGGGTATAGCGACACCCAACGAGTATTATCTTAACGGCACGACGAGAACTCTTACGAAAGATCAACCAGTTGGTATCGCTCTTACGTTCTTGTTGTTTTTGTTCATCTTCTTTTATAAACCTACTTGGGGAGCAACAACTTGGATTTGGACGTCGGAAATTTTTAGTATGAATGTTAGGGCTCAGGCAGTGGGTATGTGCAGTCAGTGGCAGAATGTGTCGAATTTGATTTTTAATCAATTCTTCCCTGTTTTCTTGGCAAAGTGTAGTTTGTAGGTGTTCCCCTTCCTATCTCCTCATCCCACTCTCCTTCACGTCGCACCTAACTAACATCTCACTCCACAGCTACACATTCTACTTCTTCGGCGGCCTCAACTGTCTCCTCGCTCTCTTCGTCATCTTCGTCGTCCCCGAAACCCGAAACATCATGCTCGAGGAAATGGACGTCCTTTTCGGTGGCGTGAATCATGTAGAGAAAGGAGGTGCACGTCTAGGACTCGAGGATTCACATCACGCGAATGCGAATGTGCATGTGCAGCATGTAGAGAGTTTGGCGGCTAAGGGTGAGGGTGAGGGGATTAGAGAGGTGGGGGTTGAGAATGTGGTTTTGGGTGAGAAGGTTTAGGGTTTGGATGTTTGGGATGAGAACTGGGTTTGGGGCAGGGAGGGTGGGTTGGTACTTGGGTCGGAACTTGGGGCTGGGTTGGGTGGTTTGGACTCATGGGTTATGGTTTGGATATCGGGTTTGATATCTAGTGAATGATACCTCTCTATATATACGCACATTTATACACATACAAGGGAAATAGAAATCCTAGTTCTGATTATTATAATTCTTTTCTCTATATCTGTGTATGATCAATATTATAAACTCTTAAAATATCTATTTATTTATAAACTATAATTATTCCATTTTAAAAAAGTTAAACCAAAAATTAAAATTCGGAGATTAAAAGCTTCAAAATGTATAAACGTGTAAAATTACATTATCTTCTAATTCTATCCTATCTAAGCATAACTGTCTGTATGAGGGAGGTATTTAGTTAATTTTTACAAATTCCAATTTATCTCGGTATCAAAAAGTATTCATTCTATTCAAAAAAAATATTATTCTTCTTCTATACTCTTATGAAAATCCATATCAAGAACATTTCATTTTCAAACTATCAACAAATACTACAACACCATCCAAATCAATCCCTCCCATCTCAATAACTACACTACAAATCCGCCAACTCTAAACACAATTGATGCCCAATAAACTCTTATCCACATTCGTACAAGTCCACGTCGCCTTCTTCTTGCTCGGTGTTGTGATATTGATATTTTGGGCTGAGATGTTTATACAGGACTATATGAACTACATGTTAGTCATTTCTTACAGTGAGATAAATGAAGCGTAGAAGAAAAGATAGAGAATACATGCAGAGTTTTAACTGTTATGATATTCGATGTAAAGAATAGAAAGATACTTACACTAGCACTACTACATACCAAAGTACCAACTTTAGGATCATGTTTTGAACTAGCGACGCCGACGAAATTCTTGAATACGACATCTTGGATGATCATTTTTGTCTGTTATGATGGTTAGTTAATGGTTCTTTAGTCTCATGTGAGGGACGAGGATATGGTAAGAGCGAAGTACTTACAGGGTAGGCGTTGCAATTTGCGGTCGTTTGCATGTAGCAAGAAGTGAGTTCAATGGAGTCTATAGAATTGGCAATCAGTAAAGATGCTTCCCTCGACGAAACTAGAAGAATACTTACAATCGTCATTAACAACCGTCATTCCATCATATGTAATATTCTTCACCACCCCACCACCTCCACCTGCGCCATAAGGTAAGCTTCCATCTTTATTTGGCACAGCACCTGCCCAGACTTTGATTCTTGCTGCATCGCTAGCATTACTTAGTGTATTGTTGTAAACGTAAATATCTTCGACGATATCGGTAACTCCGACATATTGCCCTAAACTTCCCACAGATATACCATGCGAACCAGTACAGGCTAGGTTTTGGATAAGAATGGAACTGCTGTTGGGTTTGAATGATACACAATCATCCGTGTTGAGAATAGTCGAGTTTTGGATTGTAATATGGGAAGAGAGGTAGGTATCCCATCCATCTGTCAGGGAGTTGGCAGTTAGTACTCAATCTCTAGCTTGAATAGGGAGAATAACTCACCAGAATTCTTCACCGGATGTGAATTACTTGTCACCGCCTTCAAATCCATCCCACTAATCAAAACATCCTGACTACCCGTAATAAAATTAAACCAATTTGGCGGACTCTTCATCTTCAAGTCGCTCATACTTGCCCCATTAACTCCATTCATAACAAACAAGATTGGCCGTCCAAGAGAACTATCTTTTGCAAATGCATCCCACCAAGGTTGACCATTACCATCAATAGTTCCTCCTCCATACCAGTTTATATCATTTCCTCCCCATTGCCAAAAAGCACTACTATTTTGGAAAACATATTTGAAACTGCTGGCTGTCCAGTAGGTTATGTTGGAAGAGAATTGGATGGTACCTGAGATGTCGAAGTCGATGGATTGGAGGGATTGAATGTCTAGGGCCGTGGAGATTGTGTAAAGGGTTTCATTTAATTGGACAATTCCGCCGTGGTTGCAGGATTTTATGGCGGCTAGTAAGGCGGGAGAATCATCACGTCCGGAACCTAAGGATGGAACATGACAAGTGCGATTTCGAGGAGCGGAGAGGGCGGTAGTAGTCAAGTGAGGTTTGGAAGGTTGTAGAGGAGAGATTATGATTTCTGGACGTGAAAGAATTGAGGATGTAGTTTCAGCACTGGAAGAAAGATTGGGGAAGGTGGATAATAGAAATATAGAGAGAAGACTGTAGGAATAGGAATTGAGATGCATTTTTGCGTCCGTTCACTTGTCGTAGATATGAGGAGTGTGAATAAAGTACACTGAAAATGGGAGAATAAGTACTACTAGATATCTTTCAAAGTTCTAAAGTACATACATCTCCTAGACATGATCCGGGAAATGGACATGTGCATTTCGGATTCTAACTCCACCGAAAGACGAGTTATGACATCTACAGCTGCCACTACCGTAATAGACGAAGATTGGCAAAGCATATATAGGCTAAAATCGAAAAAAAACATTGCTTTTAGAAATATCCTTCCATTTCACTTGAAAGTTGAGGGGCCACATTGTAACCCAATCAAGTAGTAGATGTATGTAAGTATCAAGCGAGCAGTAATCACAGTATTGATGGTATTCTTGGTGAATATCTAGCTAACAACAATTGCAAAAAGTAACAAATAATTATAAGATGGATAAAGATTTCCTTGAAAGAAGATGGAACCTAATGCACACTTTAGCTACATCCTGCGAGCCCCTCCTCCCCTCCCCCGCTAGCTTAATGTGGGGAGAATTAGTATCCACCAATGATATTGATCTCCATTCAATACATCCCCTCCATGCGGCCGCATGCAAAGTACAGTGGGTGGCACCTGAAGTTATTCACAACTAATCACAAACAAAAACATACACTTCCGGCTAAGAAAAAAAAGCTATTTTCGTGGCTCAAAATTCAAGCCTCATGAATAAATGAATGACCTTGAATATTCACAAATCCCAAGCTCATCATGACTAAACCAGACACCTACACAAATCCCATTCTCCCAGGCAATCATCCCGACCCGTCCATCATTCGCTCTGGCAAAAACTACTTCCTCATCACATCTTCCTTTGAATACTTCCCCGGAATCCCTATCTATCATAGCACGGATTTGATATCATGGAGACTCATATCGCATGCGCTAACTCGTCGATCCCAGCTTGATATTCGGACGCCTGAACCTGGAGGTGGGATATGGGCTCCTACTATTAGGGAACACAATGGATGGTTTTATATTACTGCTGCGTGCTTTGATAGGTATAGACCACAGGAGGATCAGAGGATTTGGCCTCGAGGATTTTATGTTAAATGTAAGGCTGAGGATGTTTTTGGTGGTGAGTGGAGTGAGCCGGTTTGGTTTGATGAAGTGGGCTTTGATCAGGACGTAAGTGATTTTTGGTTTCGTGATTTCATACTACGTCTAAGCACAAAACAATGAAAGAATTTGAGGCTCACAATAAGACCAGCTATTCTTTGACGATGATGGAGAAGTTTATCTATCAACCACCCGTCGCAAACATGAGCGTACCATTGGAGTATCTCTCAAGGACTTTGCTATTCACATCACCACTATTGATCTTTCAACAGGAGCTTCTACATCTGTACCCCAAGTAATTCGCTCCTCACCATCTGGAATTGCAGAAGGATCCCATATCTTCAAGCGGGGAAAGTTTTACTATCTCTTCACTGCAGAAGGAGGAACGGAGTCCGGTCATTGTGAATGGGTATCAAGATCTTCGAATGGTCCCTTAGGACCATGGGAAACAATAGATGCTCCATTGTGGAAAATTGGAGTTGAAGGTGATGAGGTGGTTAATACAGGTCATATCGATATTGTTGAGGATGAAAAAGGAAATTGGTGGGCAGTTATGCTTGCATGTCGGCCTATAAAGTTGGATGATGATCGATTCAAGACTTTTGCAAGCATGTCAGGCGATTATGAGAAAGTATCTGGTGGTTGGAAATCTTCTATTTTTGGTAAGTTTATGATAGAAGTCTTAAGGAGCACGATAACTAATGTGAAATCCAGGAAGAGAAACATTTCTTGTCCCTATGACCTGGGAAGATGACTGGCCCATTGTCAATGATGGCAAGAAGATTACTCTCCAAGGCAAAGGTCCAGGATTATATCAATTAAAACAACCCACTAAGTGGCGAGACGACTTTACAAGTCCAGAGCTACAACTTGGCTGGTATCGAAAGAGTAATCCTACCAAAAATTAACAGTGAGCCTAGGATATGAAAATCAGCTCATTTGCTAATCATTTAATCCTTTGTATAGACACACCCCAAAAACAAGATTTCCAATTAACAACCCATCCCTCTAGCCTCCGTCTACACGGCAATCCTTACACACTCACCAGTCCAGCCTGTCCAACTCTACTCCTCCGCAAACAAACAACTCGCACAGGAGTCTGGTCCACACGACTCACCTTCAACCCCACAACCCCCCAAATGGAAGCCGGCACCGTAGTATACTGGAACCATCTCACACACGCCAGCATCTCCATCCACGGGAACCAGTGGGCCGACTCCACCAAAAGAACCATCCACTTCCACCTCTTCATCAACGGTAAGGATAATTGGACGATTGTCGGACCACTACAAACAGATGATGATGTTATACTCTATATCTGGTGTAGAGATAATGGCTACATCTTCGGTTATAGATCCTGCGACGAAAAAGATGAAAAGGCTATTATATGGTTAGGAGAAACAACAGTTGATGAAATAACAAGCGATCCTTTGATCGGAGCCCCGTTTACAGGTATGATGCTCGGTGTGTATGCGACCGGAAATGGGGATTCAGGGACCGCACCGGCGGATTTTAAGTACGTGGAATTTGATGCCGAGATGGTACCTGATCCGATTATTGATAAAGGATTTACTTGTTGTGGATAATTATGATTTAGTGGTTGAGGTTTGAGGGTTAAGTAGGATGTTCAAGGTTTTTTGTCACGGGTTCATAACTCGTTCTGGTTTGCCTATATAAATGGATAGCTTCTACTTCCTACATCGTCGGTGTATCTTCTAGCACCTTCTTTCCTCCTTTGTAGAATATCATTATATTACCTAGAAGACCTATCTGCCACCATGATAATAATTATCAACAATAATATTTAAATATATTTCAGAGTTTTATAGGAAAATTTTTTTTAATATTATTAATAATGTTAAAAGGAATGACCTCACACAGGGAATAGTGGGAAGCTGATAGGGCAGAACTGAGGTAATATTGGTCTAGTAGGTTAATCTCTCTTCTAAGTTCTACGGAAGTGCGAAGCTCTCTTACAGAGAGCTTCTCAATCTAGTCCTAATAGGACTAGTGCCCTGTGCACGTGGTACGCAGGAACCATTCACTTTAACATTAAAGATAATAAATTCCTAGTCAAAATAGAAAATTCAGACAGAATAGGCAATATAACCGAGACTACAAAGATTATCTGAGTATCTTTCATTTTTTTAAATAGAATTAAAATGTTACGATGGTAACAGCTGACTTGTTTTCGTAAGTTTGGGCCATATGTAAATCTGTTACGATTCGCTCAATTTAATATGAGATTTCGGTCACCCTAAAAACTCATATACACGCATCATCAGAGCATACGAACAGGTATGCTGGATCACCTTGGATCATCAGTGATCCTGAGTGATCCAAGAATTACAAGGATCTATATATTCAGTATGAATTCCTTCTTGTAGAGCCTCGTGCTCAAGACCAATCATTTAGTATACTCTACTATTAGTTACGAATTGCATCATTGTCATTACTTAAGTCCCTGCTTGACGCCTAGTTATAAACCACCTCGAGAGCCTAGAGCACTTCCACGTGATCCAGACGGCAAACCTCGTAACATAAAAAGACGCTCGCCGGAAGTAAACTTTTCTGACTAAAAAAGCAAGCGGTGAGGAGATAGCGGCAGAAAAGTGGGCTTTCATTTTACCCCTCCAAAAATAATTTTGAAGAATTTCGTCACAGGCATCATCATTATTATCTATCACTCGAAAACCCGAAAGAACAATACAACATGCCGACTGAATTAGAAGAGGTAAAACCTCAGTTACTTTTATTACCATAACTGTTCTTACTAACTACTATCATAGCTTGTCGATTTCATATCCCATGGCAACACTCAAGTGCGAACGATCGGTATGTTCAGAATGTTCAAATCATCGCAAAACTTTTGACTGATTGCGTCACGATAGCTGTCGAGAATTTGATACCATATTCGTTGTCGCAGCCTTCAATATTCAAGACAAATGAGCTTTTGCCAGTAAAGGACCTGAAGTTACTGGTCCGCGACTACAAAGTACGACTGTAACCTCATAAAACATCTTCATCAGTGAAGGTTCGACTGACGCCTGCACAGCAAATAGCCAAAGATGCGATTACAATTCTTATAAACTTGTCGACAGACAAGGACGTTTTGGAATATCTTGCGAGTGATAAGGAATTTATCAATACATTACTGGGCAAATTAACAGTATGTCAGTCTCCTTAGTCTCCAACTCGACAATATCTAACAGCGCTTCTACTCCAGAACCCCAAGGAACCAAATGCAAACTTCATTGCTATGTTGCTGGCGAATCTTGCAAAATGGGACGACTTCAAGCAGATTATAACCCTCGAACGTCCTGCGCCGAAAGAATTAACTTCGAACAATCGCGCGATTGATCAATTGATGGATCTTTTCGTGAAGGGTGCAGATGGAACATACAATACAGAAGCCGACTATGACTACCTCGCATATTTATTTGCAGATCTAGCCAAGCACGAAGAAGGAAGGAAATACTTCCTAACAAAACAGGAATACGATGGAGTTGTACCTCTCACGAAAATGACGGTTTTCACCGAACATAAATCAGATATTCGTCGAAAAGGTGTTGCGTCGACGATAAAAAATGTTGCGTTCGAAATAGAATCACACCCCTTGTTCCTGTCAGAGGATGAGATCAATATATTACCATATTTACTGCTACCTATCATGGGAAGTGAGGAATTTGACGAGGAGGATACTATGGCAATGTTACCAGATCTACAATTATTACCACCAGATAAAGAGAGAGACAGCGATCCGACTATCATGCAAACCCATGTGGAAACATTGATGCTACTCACAACGACAAGAGAGGGGAGAGATATAATGAGGGAGATCAAGGTATACCCAATAATAAGGGAATTACATTTGAAGATTGATCATGATGAAATGAGAGAGGCTTGTGAGAGACTGGTACAGGTTTTGATGCGGGATGAAGAGGGGGAAGAGAAAGTAGACTCCGGCATGAAAACCTTGGCCAGAAGATCTGACAAGCCTTCTTCATCTCCAAAGCCATTCTCATCACAGTCAAATGGTGTTGCAGGAAGTTGGGCATCACAGGATGCAGAAGACCCTGCATCAGATTCGGACGATGATAAGATAGTAGAAGTATAAATCATCAAAAATATTGAATATAAAGAAACAGTTTCCTCATTTTTCATCCTCTCATGTCAATCATTTCGCATTCCATTCAAACTCTCCACTCCACGATATCTTCAGTTCCATCATTCAACCCCTCAACTCAAAGTAAATTTATTACTAACGCCCGTAAACGAACTAATCTTCCCCAAAGCATTCTTCGAATCCCCATTATATCTAATCCTATACGTCCCAGGCTTCGTCCGATCCGCGGTCCCCGTCTCCCAACTCACAACCACATTACTCGTCCCCGTCAACCCGTTCACCCTCGTCCACGTATACACCAAAGACCAATCCCAATCATCTCTAACCGTCGCCCACGTCCCATCACCCCCCAACTGTTCCACCGCCGTAAACGTACCCTCAAGTCTTAAATTATTCCGCGGATTCGCTCCCACAAACGTCGTGTTTACCACCGCGCCTATCTTATACGCTGACGCTGGTTGCACGGATACATTTCCGAAAGATCCACTATCGTATACTACACCCGTTATGAAACTTAAACTCGCATTGACGTTATTAGGGGGACTGGGTCCCGGGGCTGGTTGGCTGGTATTGGATGCTGAGAGGTAGCCGATGGCGGAGGTGGTCAGGTGGATATAGGCGTCTAGTTCGTGTTGGCCGAAGAGGGTCGATGCGCCTTCGTAGCGTTGGACGGTGTATTCTTCGGGTGTGGCGAGATAGTGCGCGTATGTGTTTGCTGGACCGCCGAGTACGACTTTGGGGGTTGTGGTAGTGATTTTGGAGGTGCTGGCGGCGGTGGAGATGGCGGATTTCCAGCGGCGGCCGGACATGGTTGTCGCTTCGGAGGGGGAGATGATGATTATTAGTTGGCCGACTCGGAGGAGTTGCATGTCGACTGTGGGTGGTGGTTAGTTGGGTGGGTTTTGGGGGATGGGAAAGGAAGAGCTTTGATTGGAAGAGTAAATGATGGGATGGAACGAGAATGGAGTGATATATAGAGGTGGATTGGGAGGGGATATGGTATGGGAGATGGATGTTGGTTGAGAAAAAATAAGGAACGACGTACCAATATTAGGAGTCCAAGCATAAGGAGAAGACATCTCACCAACATCTAGAAGGACGGGCTTTGGGTATTGGCAAGCAACCTAAGAGACATTAATACTAGTATCCTACAACAAACAAAACTATAGAATTAAAAACAACATACCTGTTGAGCGGTCGGCACCCTAAGAAGACCAGATACCAGACTCCAAAGAGGATCATTGGGTGCACCTGGATCATTCTGTGTGAAATCGAATACTCCCGGCCCATCAGTAGTACCAGCCGCAAACGAATATCCTAAAGCCGCAGGACAAGTTTGAGCAATCGATCCATTCGCAAGCGGGAAATCGTAGTACTGCATATCCTGAAAGAAGTGGAAAGATTTGACACTTCCATCCACGAGTGGTGTACCAACCGAATCCAACGAGTTCTATACAAATCAGCAATTTGCTTTCGACGAAAGGGAAAGATGACTTACGTAGAGAGCTTGAGCAGCGTCGTATTGTCTTTGACCGATAATGTAACAACTTGTAACTCCTAAATCTAAGGCTTGGAAAGCTGGACCTCGACCATGACATGTTTCGGATTTACCAGCACAGGTGCTGTTTTCTAATGTGCATTGTTGACCAGAGCCGTCGTCACACCAGGCGCCGAGAACGTTTGGTGAACTATCTCCAACGCTTGATTGGGAGAAACCGGCTACGAAACCTGGAGCAGCTTTGGGGTCGTTTAAGGCTGCTTTCTCGAATAGATAAGCTGCAACTCCTTTGTTGTCACCTGATTTATAATTAGAATGTGTTTTTGTCAGCAGGGTACATGGAGAACTAACCAGTGACATGTGTATTATTCTCCAACATGGAAGTACCATGGACACTGAACCATGTCAAGACACCAATGTTCAATCCATCCGAAGCTCGTTGGAATCGGAGCATACTCATTGTCTTATCAACATTATCTGGATATAGTGCCCTCTCCGCTGCAGGGTTGGCAAGATATGCATAGAGGCTGCGATTAATATTTGCATCCGTGATATTTGTATCGGCAGTACTTAAATATCCCGTAGTGAGCGACTCATGTGCTCTCTTAATTGAGAGAACGGCGCCGTCTACAATTGCTTGATAGCTTTGCTTATCAAAACCTAGTGAAGTTATTTGTGGTAAAAGATAGTTGTAGTATGCTCCAGGACCAGAATGCTGATGTGTTCCTGTGACGGCAATGTTATGTTGTCCGTAGATTGAATATGCTGAACCTAGGGCTGCTACACCTTCGAGTATTCCATATCTAATTGCAGTATCTCCAGATGCTGTGTCGAGAACCAGATAAATGAACCGGTTGGAAGGGTTGTTAACATCTCCGACAATGAAAGCTCTGGAGAAAATTCGTTGACGAAGTCCTGTTCCAACTTGGGGAAGACTGGCATAGCCCATAAAGTTTATTTCGACAACAGGACTATCGATGTCAGTAAAGCAAGTGTATTAGGAGATGTACTTAGGTCTTACCCCGTGATATCAGCCTTGCCGACCCCTATGAGGTACTGGTCACCTGTTGCTCGTGTTTCATGTTCATGTTCAGATGCCCAGTCGGAATTGATGTTGGGAGCCTCGTTGCTTGGCTGAACACCTCCGATATTTGAAAGTTTCACAACCAATGCGGTAAATGCAGTAAACAAAAAAAGTCCCGCGAATGCATAGAATATTGCACTTGCTAGAGACCTTCGGCGAGGAACCTCTGGTCGCTCATCTTCCACTTTTTCGTCCGCCAGGACTCCTGAGTATTCAAACCTCGACATGATCAATAACCAAGGAACGAAAGTACAATAAGAAAAGAAAGACAAGTAGAAAGATGGTAGCAGGAAGATAATAAATCACCCAGAAATAACATTCATTTTGGTGTGGCTCGCGTGGTTCAATCATGGTTACACTTGCCATCTTTTGACCTTGCATAAAATATCTGATTGAAGAAGATAACGGACATTTGTACCGATGAAGTAGTTTATCATAACAACATTTCAAGCATAATAGCATCGCTTGCACTTCATTGTAACGAGAGTATCGGTGATCAATTACTCCTTTGGTATCATCAGCCGATCACCCCCCCTGACAATCTTCTGCGCAACCTATAATCTTGTTTGAATCTGGGGAAGGATTGTGACAAAGTACTCAAGTCGCTTCTATGTATATAGATGCATGTCCAATAGATAATGCGGGGAATCAATACTTCAGGATTTAGCTCGGATCTTGTTGGAAAGGGAGCTAAAGGACCTATTTTGGAATTGCATACAGTTAGATATGGCAGGTCGTTGATTTAACCTCTAACCGACTGCAACTAGCTGCGAACATATTAACCCTCTCGGCATTTTCGTATTGCAATTTGCACATGATTGATAGATGCCGATATCTCTTGTCAAGGTACCCCTCATTTCAAACAAGAATGGGGGCGAGTTATCAGGCTGAAATGGTCGCGTATAACGAATTCGCATCACTCAGCTACACAACTATATATTTTTAGCGTAATAGAATTTAGTTGATAGGGTGTTGAAATAGACGTACTGTAAGTCTGTAACCCTACCGATGTGTGGAACCTTAAAAGTACTGGCACGAAGACAACGGCGAAATAATGAAAACGTGACATTCACATGAGCTTATTTCAAGTGAAACACCTGATTGCGGGCTATATCGAAATACGTTTTACCAGACTATTTGGAAGCATCTTTCATATTTCAATTTGAAGTGTTATCATATCTCATAGAAAGTCATCGTAGAGGCATAAGATAAGAATGAAATTGAGGTGAGAATAAACTTGAGGCGAGAGTAGAAATAGATATCTGAGCTGTGCGTATATAAAGCCTCGGTAAGATTTGGATCTCGTGACCTTCACTCTGTCTGTACATGAATTTAAGCATGCGCGATCTGGCGACGACCAGTCCAAACCGTTCTCTACCAATTAATCAGGAACTACAGGTCAACTCTTCCTCTCAAATATCTTGATTGAATATATACTTAGGCTTGGAAGTCTATGACTAGGTATGAGATGTTCTTCTCAAACGGAGAACTTTAGTGCAGCATAGCTTAATTTAGTACAGATCAAATAAGAGAGGTCAAGCCTTTGATAGCTCGAGATGGTCGCAAAGAATTGATCTTCCATCAAGTGATGGGCATCGGGAATAATACGACCAAGACTTTGATGTATCTTAAGAAAAGCCGAGAAAATGTGAAAGTGGAAACAATCGCATTTTCATGCTCCTGCTCGCACAATAATATGTTTGTTCTCCAATCATGGAACTTCAATAAAAAGCCAAAAATTTCATTGGCTCTTCTCTATCTGGACATGCGAAAGCATAAAAGTGCCACCCAGTTTTTAGACTTATAATAAAGGTCGATGAAAGGGATACGGAGAAGCTAGAGCTACCGACATTAATTGACAAACCTCCTCCAGAAAGCTCATGGCGGAAATGTACTCATGCCGATCATGCCACTGCATCGCAGTGTTCCGCAATTTCACGACACACATTGGAGAATCAGTTGGTCGACGAAGATTAATGATCGCCATTTTTGACATTGAAAACTGACCTCAGTTATCATACTGGTGTTGCTAAAGCAGCTTCGAAGGGGTAATTCTGCCAGCCATGGACCATCATTACATCTGATAATTTTGCATTTCGTCCTACATGATTGCAGTATCTTTCTTTTTTGAACGCTCATTTTGCTTTGTTTAATAAAAATCACTTCTACGGGATCAAGTCACTTTCGTTTGTGCCAGTGTTGAAACATGCTACGTCATTCATATTTCAACAAATCTTTTCTTAATATACGTTGTCTAGACTTTATTATTGTTTGAATTTGAGGAAAGAAGCAGTGAATTGCTCCTAGAACAATGCCTTTTTCAAAGGCCATCTTTTTCATTGATGTCCATATTGTTCTTCACTCTTCGCTTAACGAACAATACTAAGGGGAAGCACCACAATCAAGCTTCGACTCAAGGTCTTGTACCTCCGATTACTATCCAAGAGTGTAGAAATCTATAGTCGAAATTTTATTTAATAAATTGTCTTCTTGCTGTACAAATTTTCTCAATGTTTTCTAAATCATTCATTGCACACATAATTTTTTCAATGACAGTATTGAAGGGTAAAGGCTCGAAGAGCCACAAAAAACACGGCCATTCCACCTCGCGCATTCCTATTGCAGATGAAGATCAAGGCTCATCCATTGAACTGCAAAACGTCAACAATTGCCAAGCTGACGAAGAAATCAAATCATCTTTCAAATCTTTATTCACATTCACGATGAAGAAGCACACATTCAACATAGTCATATGTATTATTTTCGCAATTGTGAGCGGTGTTTTGAAACCGATATCAGCAATCTTCTATGGAAACATCTTTAGTGCTCTTACCCAATTTGGAAGCGGTAACATCACAGCACAAGAGACCTTACATCGAGTCTCGAAATGGTGCATAGCTATATCCGTACTTGGCGGCGCGGTATGGTTATTTGAGGGACTATTTCTGTGCTCGTGGATGATATTTGGAGAACTTCAAGCGAGAAGCGTCCGCGAGAAAATGTTTGCTGGCATGTTGGAGAAGGACTTGGAGTGGTTTGATTTACGTAAAGATGGTATCGGATCGTTATTGATTCGAATTGAAACGTAAATACATCAATTCTCGAACAAGGCAAACACTAATTTTGGGAATAGTCAAATTCGAGAGCTTCAATTATCTACATCTCAACCTCTTGGATTTCTTTTGTTCGAGACAGCAAGCGCCACTGCAGCGCTTGGGACCGCCTTCTATTACTCATGGAATCTAACGCTGGTAATTATAGCGACATTTCCTATCGCTGGTGGAATACTCTATCGCATCTCTAGGAAGATGGGCCCTGCCATCGAAGCACAGAAAAGAGAACTGTCGCAAGCATCGAAATTCACCAACACTGCCATCACAGCTATCGATACTGTCAAATCATTCAATGGGCAAGACCAGGAAGTATGGCAATATTTTCTGGCAATCAAAAGATCTACCGTTTATTACCTGATTCAAGCCAGGTCAAATGCAATTCAGTTTGGAATTACGAAGTTTGTCATGATAGTAATTTTTGTTCAAGGCTTTGGGTATGGTATTACTTTAGTCGACGATGGGCTTGATGCTGGAAAGGTTCTTACGACTTTCTATTCTTGTCTGACCGGGATGATGGCTATAGAAGTTGTTTTACCGCAATGGCTTGTCCTGGCAAAAGGAATGTCTGCGGGTGCCACTCTCAAGTCCATCATGAACCAAGTGTATAGAGGAGGGACTGCAAAACAAACAGAAGAATTAAAAGCACCGAGAGTTTGTAGTGGTGATATCGAAGTCAACGATGTGAGTTAAAGTAGGCACGATCAATTGTCCAAGCTAACCAAAGCAAGGTTACTTTTGCATATCCTTCGAATCGACAACAAAATGCCCTTACCCAAACGACTTTCTTCTTCCCCGCAGGAGAAACTACGTTTGTGGTTGGCAAAAGTGGTTCCGGCAAAAGTACATTGGGAAACTTGTTACTCAAATTCTATGAGCCTGATGATGGCAGTATCTCCATAGATGGCCATCGTATACAGGATCTCGACACTGATTGGCTGAGGCAAAATATCACGCTTGTTCTACAGCAAAGTGTCGTCTTCAACGAAACAGTTAGAAAGAACATAGAATTCGGCAAGGAAGGAGCAACTAACGAAGTCAATATCATGAATGCCTGTTCCGCAGCCAGTTTAGAGCAAGTAATTGCTGATCTTCCTGATGGTATTGATACTATGATCGGTTCGAAAGGGAGACAACTGAGTGGTGGGCAAAGACAGCGTGTCGCATTGGCTAGAGCCAGACTGCGCGATGCACCAATCTTAATTCTGGACGAAGGAACAAGCGCTCTTGATCTCACAAACAGACTCAAGATCATGGATAATATTCGAGAATGGCGGAAAGGGAAAACGACAATCATTGTGACTCATGACATCTCACAAATTTCAGACGATGACTATGTTTACGTTATGGAAGAAAGTAGGGTTGTCCAGGAAGGATACCGAAGAAAACTCTCTGCTAAAGCCAATGGTACCTTTGCAACCTTTTCGCTTCTTCCTGAACCGCCTTTGGAACAACCCATAGACTTTTCTGACATGAGGAGGAATTCGGACCCTGGAACACCAGTAACTGGGGGTTTTGAAGAATTTGTTCAAGAATTGACACCTCATTTGTCCACCATGTCTACACTATACGGTCCAAATGCGGGAAATCATCGCTCTTTGGATATGTCAAATAGGCGATTGTCTCTCGGATATGCTTCGATATCCTATATCAATGACTTGCGCTCAAAAGATACTTGGGGATCAAGAGTGGATAGACCGCGTTCAAGATTTGATGAATTTCAGAGACCTACCTCCAGGTTTCAAAATTTCGAAGTGCCGGGTAATACGTCGCCTATATATTCTGCGGCCCCGCCAAGATATCAAGAGTCGAGGTTCGACTCCATCTTAGAACATTCCACGGGGAAAGAGAAATTCAAAAGGCAATCCTCAATTCAACGACCTATTAGCTTAGCATCATGCAAGACGAATCGGGACTCTCAAATCACCACAATAGATTCTCTACTGGAATGTTCCGACGACTCCGCAGAAAATACCGACGAGCCTAAACCAAACGGAGAAACGAAACATATCAAACCTGATTCTTTGACCAAGATATTAAAGACTGTTTGGCCAATGCTAAATAAAAGGGAACGTGTAACCCTCTTGGGCGGATTTATCGCGGCATTCATTGTGGCGGCATCGACACCAGTATTCGCGATCCTATACACCAACCTTCTCAACACATTTTACCAAACGGAGAATCGGAGCTTAAACGCTCTAAAGTGGTCACTTTCTTTGGTCGGTGTTGCAATAACTGATGGTGTGGCACGCTTTTGCTCGCATTATGCCCTAGAGTGTGCCGGACAAGCCTGGGTGAGTGCTCTACGAGTAGAAGCATTGAAGAAGATTCTTGCTCAGCCAAAATCCTGGTTCGAAGAGCCCAGAAATACTCCAGGTCGGCTAAACGAAATTTTGGACAGGAATTCCGAGGAAATGCGCAACCTCGTCGGCCGCTTTGCTGGCATCGTTTTTACGGCACTTTTTATGCTATTGATTTCAATTATATGGGCGTTCGTGAATACTTGGAAACTTACATTAGTCTCTATGGCTTGTGGACCTGTTATATTCGCTGTCACCAAAACCTTCAATCGAGTGAGTGGAAAATGGGAAAACAAGTGCAACTACGCATCGGAAATGACCACCGGAATATTCTCGGAAACTTTCTCCAATATTAAAGTCGTACGGGCATTTACTTTGGAAACATATTTCCAATCCAAACAAACTAAATCTACCGAAGAGCTATATAAAGTTGGACTGATACGAGCGAATTATTCGGGATTGCTTTGGGGATTGACAGACGCAATGTCCTTCTTCATCACTGCCACCATCTTCTACTACGCCACTGTCCTCATCACCAAAAGGGAGATTAGTATTGCCACTGCACTCCAGACGGTTAATCTTTTACTCTTCGGTATTTCTAACAGTACCAACATGCTGGCCATGATACCACAAATCAATTCTTCTCGTGTTACAGCTACACAGATGCTCGAATTGGCTAATCTCGATTCATCTTCTTCTCATGAAAATAAAGGAACAGAACGACTTTCAACCATCTTTCCAATCAAATTTAACCGCCTCTCATTTACATATCCCGCTTGTCCCGAAACACAAACTTTATCATCTATTTCTCTGTCCATCGGCCCCAATTCAACAACCGCACTTGTCGGACCATCTGGCTCTGGAAAATCCACAATAGCTGCTATGCTAATTGGTCTCTATCCACCTGATGCTTCATTACCCCCGCCATTAACATTCAACCGTATTCCAGTCACGAATTGTCACATCCCATCTCTCCGAGCCTTCATCTCTCTCGTTCCACAAACACCAATTCTTTTTCCAGCCACTATTCTTCACAATATCATCTATGGTCTCCCAGAATCTTCCTCATGTGCTAATATTTCATCAGCTATTGCAGCTGCAAAAGACGCTGGGATCAATGAATTTATTATCTCGCTTCCTCAAAGTTATAACACGATAGTAGGGGATGGAGGACAGGAACTATCAGGTGGGCAAGCGCAGAGGATTGTAATAGCGAGGGCGCTGGTTAGAAAACCAAAGTTGTTGATTTTGGATGAAGCCACTAGTGGGCTGGATGGTGGTAGTGCAGAGGTGATAAGAGAGGCGGTGCAGAGATTAAAGAAGAGAGAAGGAATGACTACGGTGGTTGTTAGTCATACGGTTGGGATGATGAAGATAGCTAAACGTATTGTGGTTATGGAGGATGGAAAGATTGTTGAAAGTGGTGGTTTTGAGGAGTTGAAGAATAAGGTCGGTGGGAAGTTCGGGGCGTTGGTTGGTGATGAATCAGGGAACAATGTTATGGTTGAAGAAGATAATGATATCGGGGAGGGTAGCAGTAGCGTTCCTGGTGATGCTAATGTGGGGAGCGGACTTGGTATCAGTATCCCTGGATATGAGGATGTGGAGATTCAGAGAGAAAGGGATGTACCGGTTAGAAGTGGAAGAAGGAGAGATACGTGGCTGCGGCGACAAAAGCCTTGAGATGCTCGTCACTTACTATCGTTTACAGTCTCCACGAGCTTTTATATTTAGTCTTACATATTTTTGCTTATAACTTCATCACATTTTCTGCTAAAATGATTAAACGCGCATCTAGTGCATAAAATGCTCCATGGGACAATCTATTATAAATAAGAGGATTTAAACACAAATTGAATAAAGCAAATGCATGTACTTAACCATGCCGCCATTTAAATCTCTTGAACCAACTCAGTAGACCGGATATCGCGATACTACAACAGAGTAGCACTTAGAACACACGAATAGGAAAAGCTAATCCGCAATGTCCTTCACATAGAAACGAGAAATTCAAGGGCATGTATTCGCACAGGGATAGAAAAGCTGTACACTTCTAGACGTTCTTTCACCCAGAACTAGCTGTTATAGCGCAAACAACAAGTTTCTATTCCAAGCAAATTAAGATTTCCGGAACTGCTCAACTCGGTATTCCCTCCGCATCGCCAATAGGCGACGATGGCTGTTTGTAGTAAGGGTATTTTTCAGAGGTATATAACTACAAGTACTAGCTCTATTGCCTATTAGGTATACTGATCTAATGGTAGGATTAATAATATCCACTTTTATTATTTTTTTCTGGTGATCTATATAGAGATAATCTTCGATTCTTCAGACTTTATTGTTACGACGGCTTCTGGCCTCGTATCATATGACCATGTACGAAGTCATGTGATCCCTTCGATCCCTTCGACCCCTTTACCGAAGGGATCGAAGGGACTGAAGGAACAATAGGCATGAAGGTCTATATAATCAAGATGGATTTCCTTTGTATAGAGCTTTATGCTCAAGATCAATCATTTAGTATACTCTATTATTAGTTACAAATTGCATTATTGTCATTACTTTAAGTCCCTGTTTGACACTTAGTTATAAACTATCTCGAAAGCCTAGAGCACTTCCACATGATCTAGACGGCAAACCTCGTAACATGTGACGGAAAAGTCGTAAACGGAGTCAATTCAATTACTTAGAATCTAAAACTAAAGAACTAAGAAGATTCTAAGTAAGAAGGTCTTTATATACAGGGCTAGTGCACGTGAGCCACTAGTGGGATAACAACCGTCACGTAACATAACATTTATACAAGTTTTCAATTTATAATCTTTATAAACTTTATAAATAGTTTAAAATCTATTTCTATTTAATTTAAGAAATATAAATTCTATATCTTAATTTAATATTTAATATAATAATTTAAAATCTCTTATTTGCTGAAATTTTAAAAGTTATATTAAAGTGAATGGCTCCTGCGTAGCACGTGCACAGGGCATTGGGCACTAGTCCTATTAGGACTAGATTCAGAAGCTCTCTATAGGAGAGCTTCGCACTTCCATAGAGCTTAAATAATATATGATTTTGTGACCAAAAGGGTGTTTATAGACCAGCAATTGTATTTAACTTAGAATCTACAGGTGAAGAGCACCTGTAGATGGGGATAGCTACTCTATATATACACAAATGAATAGCCTAGCCGCAATGGCTAGGCAAAAAGAAGTCATATTTATTCCTCCAATGATCTTACTTTACCGATAACCATTGATACCTAGTACTTGTCCGGATCTGATCCTCAGGTCACCTAAATCGCATACTAATCTCGAGTAATCGTATCATGTGTGGACATGGTTTAATGTACCTGAGGTTTCTTATATAATAAAGTTGGGAGGGAAAGCAGGGATTTCCGTCACAGATTTATATTCAAGACCAATATAACCTCAGTTCTAACTCTATCAACTTCCTACTATTCTCTGTGTAAGGTCATTTCTGTTAATAAGTTATATAAATCTTATTTTTACTTTGTCTTAGTTAATTGATTTGATAATCTTTTATATCTGTTATAAAGAGTTTAAAATATAATAAAGTGTGACGGAAATCCCTGCTTTCCTCCCACCTTTATTATATAAGAAACCTCAGGTACATTAACCATGTCCACACATGATACGATTACTCAAGATTAGTATGCGATTTAGGTGACCTGAGGATCAGATCCGGACAAGTACTAGGTATCAATGGTTATCGGTAAAGTAAGATCATTGGAGGAATAAATATGACTTCTTTTTGCCTAGCCATTGCGGCTAGGCCATTCATTTGTGTGTATATAGAGTAGCTATCCCCATCTACAGGTGCTCTTCACCTGTAGATTCTAAGTTAAATACAATTGCTGGTCTATAAACACCCTTTTGGTCACATAAAGTAATTTGAAAATTAAAAAGAATTGAAATTTAAAAATTATGTTACGAGGTTTGCCGTCTAGATCATGTGGAAGTGCTCTAGGTTTTTGAGATAATTTATAATTAAACGTTAAGCAAAGATTTAAAGTAATGATAATAATGCAATTCATAATTAATAGTAGAGTATACTAAATGATTAATCTTCAGCACGAAGCTCTATACAAAGGAAATCCATCTTGATTATATAGTCCTTCATGCTTCTACGATTACTGGTGATCCTTCATGATCACCAGTGATCATCTATATCGTGATCCTTAGTGATCCTTAATGATCACCAGTGATCACGTGTCTTGGTAGTTGTGTAGCCCGTCGTAACAAAATTATAACTAAATAAAGATTTCTTTTATTAAGAAATTATTGATCTGATATAAAAAAAAATCAAATAAAAGAAATCAATAAATCAAATTTAAAATTAAGGTTTACGAAGACTTATTATGATTGGCCGGATATATAATAAGGGTAGTTTTCAAGGATATATAAATATAAGTAGTACCGGCTCTATTGTCTATTAGGGCATGCTGGTCTAATAGTAGTATTAATGATTCCACTTTTATCATATTTTCTCTACTTGAAGAACTCAACGCCGAGGTAATCTTCTATGAAGCGGCCCGTCCCGCATTTCCACGGCAACCTTAACTGCGATAAGGTTCTCAATTTAGAGTAGACTCTGCGAGATGACATATAGTGGGTGGTAGTTTCATGTGTTCCCGGTTTCAAAGCTCCTAGAATCCTCCTTTATTATTTAAAGATAGGGTTTTGATATCAGTACTAGCAGTCTACTTTGAGCAGCCAAATGACGTTGTGGGCAACAGTGTTGTCCTTGGTTTTGTCCTAGCCAAGATGCACATACGTCCATCATAAAGATCATAGTTTCGGAAATTAATTGGAGAAGACTTTCGCACTGTGGCTTGTGTACTTGAGGATTATGCCCAGAGAGTTAGAACATCGGCTATCCTCAAGTGCTCTGACTTTGGCAGCAAAGAATTTGAGAGCTTCGGTCACTGGTGGGTCGAGATATTATAAGGGTTGACACTGCCTGAAGAGCGGCTTGTGCATCACTTATCTATTTTAAATTTTAGTACACGGAGCAGCCACCCTGTAGATTCGTGCTGAGTCAGCGCACTATACAAGCTAGATTGCGAATGCCGGTAGAATTTTCACTAATTTTCAACTACTTACAATTAATTCTCCATCCCGTTGATATCTTCATGTTTGTACTCCAAGCCGATAGATAAACTTCAAGTGCTTCAACTAACATTCTTAACTCAATACACCGCAAAAGCATTACGGCTGTCAGAAGCCCAACCCCTGAAAATCCGAAAATCTCAACTTGCATTTAACCAAAGTGTTGAGATGTTACATTCAACATTTCTTAATTATCCACCATCTCATTACCTTATGACTTGAGGATCATAGTTGATTCTTGGCTCCGGGCCGTAATATATCACAAAAGATTGATTTTATGCATGTCTCTGCAGTGTTCCATACATACCTTCTCACCTGTGATTGTTTTCAAAACACCATGAGGTTCTTTTTGTTGTCGTGGTTGGATAGTGTTACATCGGAAAAAGATACTTTATCCGATGAACCCCACAACTTCCCATGCAGTCCATTGGACTCTAGGATCAGGAGAACATACGCCAATACTACAATAAGGTCTCACGTCTTTCGCACGTGTGGCTCAACAGTACATATTGAGGTTCATAAGACTCGGACTCTTAGTGAATCACTATACTATGGACTATCAAGTGACGATGTTAGTGGATAGAGGAGATGATCACCACCCTAGGGTGCAAGTACTTCGGCAGTTTTGAATGAGATCTTGATTATTTTAAATACAGGATGTTCTTGGCATGTTCTTCCTATGTGTATGAGTTGCACGGTCCCAGTGACTTCACTTCGAATCGCCTCTCTTTTAATATTCACAAATTCTAGTAGAGATTTTGAGTCGTACTGCATCATTGATTGCCACCGTCTAAACTCAAGTAATACGGAACACACTTTTCTATTATGAGAATAAGGTTATAAGTATATGATTGGATCAATGATTGAAGTGGATTGCCAACTTGAAAATTGTGAATCCACTTTGACGAATTCTCTTACTCGGAAATAGGAGATAATAAATATCCTGATTTCAGAAGGGTTTACTATGTCCAGATTGCCTGAGTTCAGACGGTATGATCTTCCCCGTGGAAGGATGTGGTCTCATATTCTTATTTCACTCATGCGCCAAAACAAATCTAGCCTTTCAAACATGCCCTATCTAGGCAACTACTACGGAATCCTATCCTTTCCGTCATAGAACCCTAGACTTTTTGGCTTCTATAAAGTCCCTCATAAGAGCCATTTAGTAATTCATTCTCTCAAGCTACCCATAGCGAATTCTCGAATCATGAATTTGGTATGGGCCTTTCCGCTTTTCATATTGGACTTCGTCCAAGCCCAAGCAGATTATTCACAATATGTGAATGTGTTGTAAGTATATTGAACCTTTCGATGTGATTAGTATCTAACAACATAAGTACTGGAACACAAAGTGGTGGTAATGATTTCCCTGGTGTCGCTCGACCTTGGGGAATGGTCAAACTTGGTCCGGATCTCCTTATCCAGGGCACAGATTCGTACTCTGGCTATCTTCCCAATGGGAATTTCTCTGGCTTCAGTCTGATGCATGAGCAAGGCACTGGAGGGGCACCAAAATATGGAACGGTTGCTCAACTACCTCTAGTAGGGACAATCACAAACCCTTTGTCAGGTATAACTGTCGGCAGAGCAGTCCCAGACCAAGGTTCTGTGGGCTACTATCGGGCCCAGACAAGTGACAACGTTGTCGTCGAGCTTGCTGCTACTTCACATGCTGGATTGTATCAATACACGTTCCCAACTACAAGCACTGCCAACAAAATCTTGATCGATGTGAGCCATGTGCTCCCTTCGTTCAGAGGTCAAGGTTTGGGTCAAGGGTATGACGGAGGCAGTTTCCAAATATTTCCAGATGGACATTATGAGGCATCGGGAGTATACAATAACGGATGGAATAGATCCCCTGATTGGACGATATATTCATGTAAGTGTTTAAGTATCGTACGATTCCTGATTCACACTGATGTATCAAGGCGGTTATTTTAACGTAACACCTTCGGCTTCAAATGTCTACACAAATACTGGTGCTGGTAGTGTTCTTCAGCCCAGTAAGTCTGCCACAGCAGCCAATCTGGATACTGCCGTTGGTGGACTTTATACCTTCAATACAACTGCAGTCGCCTCACGTGTTGGAATTTCTTGGATCTCCAAGGAAAAGGCATGTCAGAATGTCAACAATGAGATCCCACATGATACCATATTTTCAACTGTCGTGTCAGACACTAAGTCTGTCTGGAACAACCAAGTTCTATCAAGGATTACAACTACTTCTACCAATTCCACAAATCTTGGATTATTATATACCTCCATGTACTTCATGAATCTTCTTCCGACGAACCAAACAGGAGAAAATCCAAAATGGACTTCCACTGAACCATACTATCAAGATATATTCACTCTTTGGGATTTATTTCGTTGCAGTACAGCTCTTTTTCACGTTCTTCAACCAACAGCTTACGAGGAGTACATTCGTTCTTTGATTGATATCTGGCGTCATGATGGTTACATGCCAGATGCTCGATCTTCTAACTACAATGGTCGAACTCAAGGTGGTTCTAATGCAGACAATGTTCTAGCCGATGCCTATGTGAAAGGTGTAAGAGGACAAATTAATTGGAACGATGGCTACGCAGCCATGGTAAAAGATGCCGAAGTTCAACCAAACAACACAGTCCCGCCTGACCCAATGGCCCCTGATTCGTCAACAAAGGAAGGAAGAGGTGCATTACCCGACTGGAAAAAATATGGTTACATCACGCCTACATATAGTCGTGCCGGTTCTCGAGCCGTCGATTACGCATACAACGATTTCTCACTCTATCAGGTAGCTAGTGGATTGGGAAAAACAGACGACGCGGCGAAATATCTTGCTCGTTCGCGAAACTGGAGAAATCACTGGAATCACAATTTGACATCCATTGGGTATTCAGGGTTTGTGGTTCCTCGCACAGCGCCTAATTCTTCGACGCCTTTTGTGCCTGTGAATCCTTTACTCAATGATGGCTATTGGGGTGATCCATTTTATGAGGGAAGTTCGTGGCATTATTCTTGGGGTGATATTCATGATATGGATACTATTATTGAATACATGGGAGGAGATGCTACGTTCTATGATAGATTGGATACTATGTTCACAGTTGGAGCCAATCCCAATGATCCGCAAGGTATTATTTTCGATGGTACAAATGAGGTGTATGTCTTCCCATTTTCTTTATTCACTCATTTGGGCCACAAAAAAGAATCTTACCGAGAAACTAACACAACCCAGTACATTCAATGTCCCCTACCTCTACAACTTCATCAACAACCAATCCCGCTCAACCTATCAATCCCGTAAAGTAGCCAAAACTTACAATCTCTCTCCGTCTGGCCTCCCCGGTAACTCCGACGCAGGCGCCATGCAAACATGGCTCATATGGAACATACTCGGTCTCTACCCCATAACCGCAACCCCAAATTTCCTCATCACATCCCCCTGGTTCGAATCTACAACCATAGATCTCGGACCCAGTGACTCCGCACCATATGATCGGAAAAAGTTAACGATAACTAGCACCGGTGGTGATGGAAATGGGGATAATGATATTTATGTGCAGAGTTTGAAGGTTAATGGTGTGTTGTGGGATAAGAATTGGGTGACGTGGAGTGATGTTTTTGAGAATGGTGGTGTGATGGAGTTTGTGTTGGGGAGTGAGCCGAGTGATTGGGATGGGGATGGGGAGAGGGTGCCGAGTCCAGCGAGTGAGACGGCCGCGGGATGAAAAGGGTGGTTAGAGGGCGTTATTTAGGGAGGTTGCTTCTTCGATGGTTTGGATTTATATGTTAGGATGACCTTTGGTTACTGCCAACTAGACTGGCTTCGGCTTTTGATATGGGTGGGGTGGAATGGATACATATCTTTTTGTGATGGCTTTTTTCATCTAGATTTTTGGTTTAGATACTTTGATCAATTCTTACATTCGCTGATCACTAATTTTCGTTGGAGAGTTTAGTAATATGAACTTTGAATGGCTGATTTTTTCTTTGAAATTAGATTGGTGATTGTTGATGCGAAGGTATTCGAACTACAATTCAAGGAGATTGGAGCTGGTGAATGATGGAGGTCGAGGTTTACAGCCATTATGCTCTTCATATCCTACGTATATTCATATTAAGTGGTACAACCCGAGTCGCAGATATTGTCAACGAGAAAGCGTAATCTATAAATATCGAAGAAAATAAATGAAAGAAAAAAAAGGGTATTTAATACTGAAAAATTACACGCAATTACCTGAACCGTCTGTGGGAGACCCATGACCTGCAGCCTCCTAAGCATAACCTTTCTGACCAATATTTGATGATACTCGGTAGTTGTTCCCTCAAAAGTAGAATGATGAGTATATATATTTAATATTAAAGTGAAGATAGCAACATTGGCATGTTTTTTGGGAACAGAACTACCAAGTGAAGAAAGCTCGTCGTTTCTACCACGATCGATTACTACACCATCGTACGCCGCTTGTATAGCCGCTTGCGTATGATCCTTTCCAGGCCCCTTCCGTTCTACAGCAAAACCGGGTAATGTAGTCGCATTAGTGCCCTGTTTGATGACTGCAAATTTCCTCTTGCTGAGCGTGGTATGATCGGAAAGTGGCTAAATCATACCTCTCCAATAGATCAGGTTGTGCTGACGAGGGGCCGTTGTTGAGACCTATATTCGAAGGAATTAGGGCTCCGTGAAACATGAGAAGGCTTCATGATGTATAGGTCGAATATTTCTTCAAGGTAAAGAAAAGAGGGATTATACAGATTGTATTCCTGTCCAGCGATGCGTTTGCGGTTCAATTGATCTATGACCTGAAATGTATCATATTGAAGCTTCGGATCTGCAGTCTACCGCGTGCCCGCCTTGGCTTGACAGCATATGCGAGACATGGTTGCACAGATAAAAGATGCATAAAAATATCGTTGGACCTCAACTCATTGTTGTCCATCAGCTTCCTGAAAATTTACCCAATAATTATGGCGCAAAGATTTTTTTTCGAATCCTTTCAGTGGTCTACCATCGAGGCAAGTGATGATGACGACGAACTTATCAAATTTCACGTACGTTGTTTTGGTGCACATTTCCAAATCCAGTATCGATTACATGATCTATCTCTTTCACCATATCTTTTAAAACAATTTCAAGATTCCCTTACTCTTATGAAAATATGTGAACTTGGAGATAATCTAGATGCCGAAAGGGCCTTAGAGGAGATTCATCGTCTCAGACAACCATTCGAAGAGCTTATGATCAAATTAGCTCCAAATCCACCACCTTCATACGATTATTTATCCGATTATCTTTATTTACCGATTTTGATTCTCGAAGCTATAGCAACAACTCAAAGTAGCACTGCCGTTCAACCAAATTTCAAAGGCGAACTACCACGACAATCAAGAGTGCCTATCGGTCAACATATCTCGATTTGGGGACATTGGTTGAAGTCAGTGAAATCTTTGACTTCACAACAAATTCGACTTTTACCAACTTCATCAAATCTGGAAGAACATCCCTACCTTCGAGGTCCAACCAAAGTTATTGCTGACGATAATACGATATGCTATTATAAAGAGTTTCCTGCATGGTTATCACCTTTATCGACAGTCACTGAGGAAAAACCATGGATACACATACAAATTTCAGCTGCCATTAATGCGAAGAAGCTTCATTCTGATATACATGTCTGTCGCTTGCATAGTGTTATTATTGATGATGATCGCGAAGTATTGCAGCATTGGCCTCGTCCTTCGAAGGAGGATTTGTATAAAAAATGGGGAAGGGATGGTTGTTTTCAGGATTGGACGGATGAGCAATATGCAGATCCGAACTTTGATCTGAAGCGCTTAGTAGGCATGCTGGTCTACTATATTGACAACAAGGGCACACTCGAAGAAATAGCGCCTCAGTCTGACAACGAGCATCAATGTCGTTGGGCTACCGAGCTTGAAAGCATCGTTGGGGAATTGCATTCTGCGGGTTTGGTATGGGGCGATGCCAAGCCAAGTAATTTGTTGATTGATCAAAATGATCAATTATGGCTTATTGACTTGGAGGGTAGCTATACACCAGGCTGGGTTGATGAGAACAATAGGGAGAGTCAGAAAGGGGACTTGCAAGGGGTAGAGAGGATTAAGGAATGGTTGGCTAAATATGATAATAAGTCTACTCATTGTATTGGTTTTGGAAAGAATGAGTAAGCCTTTGTAAGGATAACAGCATTGGAAGTTTACATTTGCAAATGAAGTTCAAGTTTATCTTCACATATAATATTCCCGTGATAATTTATTTTAAGTGGTAAGTTTTGAGCGTCAAACAGATTCCGTATTGGATTGATCCCCCGATCCTTCAAGTAACCTCTCAATTTCATTTCATTTCATTTCATTCCGCCCCGCCTCATTTTGCAGTTAATCCCATTCCAATTCCATCCACTCCATCAGTGCCTAGAACACTAAAACCCCATTAGCTGATATTCGCTAGAATTCAAAGAAAACTTACACAATTTGGTAGAAAAGGATCTCCGTGTAGTTAAACCTCGCACTTGAAACAAGAAGCGTGACCACATGCACAAGTAAGCGTCCCAGTAGAAGTCACGCTGCTGCATGAACAGCACGTCCAATTATATAGTCTGAAAACCTTTGTACTACAAGTCGTTACGTGACAAAAGCCACGCACAAGCTGTGTAGCTATTTTAAGATTGCGACCGGAACATCGCTGCAGCATGCCGTTGATATAGACGGCGGCATCTGTAGCTGTTTGGCATTGTTCGGGTGTGGAAGGGATCCAACATGATCGACGAGCGGGATGTCCGCAAAATAATGTCCTTTTAAAAAGCTGACACATTGTGTATAACCGAGGTGATGAAGATATGAGAAGGATTTCGCAGTTTGAGGATTGTGGAGAGAGGTGTGAGGGTTCCAGGTTTCGGAAGATAAAATGTTTAAAATAAGGGAATGTAATTTCCATACAATATGAATAATCCATTTTAAAAGAAATCTTGATGACTAGGGAAACATCTTACCACGCTAATTGGCGAGTCATAGTTGTATAGTCATAGATTTCAGATAAGACTTCGTAATTGTGGCTCACGGAGCTCAACAATTGTGCTAGGATTCACTAGATAGAGGAAATGAAACTCGGGCAGGATCATATTTGATATATAGAGTAATCAAATTATATGGCCGCTAGAACCACCAACGCTTATCGTTGCCTTCTTCACCAGTTAATATCGCCATCCAACGTTCTCATCTGAATTCACCACGCTGGTATTACTCTATTTAATCTTCCATACTGATAATTCACAGACAAGAGATAGAAAGTACGACTCGATCCTTAAACAGCAATTTCAGAGGCTAGAATGGAGCAGCGCGATGCTGGGCATGGGGAGAGACCCCATGCGAAAAGTGTTACTATATATTACCACCAAATGATCATCTCGCTTAATCTTGTCAGGGGCAACAAAAATAGAAAGATACAGGTAAGAAAAGCTGCCTTTCTTAATTTGTCATTTCAATTAGAGTAAGATATCCTCCGATTAATGATTTTGGTTGTTTTCCTGAATAACTGCTATATGGGATGATAAGTGAAGTTGAAGAAAGTTGTTACTTTTTATATAAAATCTGTAGTTAATTACCGTTCTAACTTATATTACGAACATTAATAAATTGGACTCGATATAGTCATGCGAGAAAGAACGTAAGTTATTGTATAATCTATCTTCATCTGAACGCTTGTATAACCAATCACTTTATGTGACATTCGAGTCTTCTCGAATCTATATACTAGAATGCTACAGTGATGAGAAATTTGAGAGGTGCAGAGATAAATCTGGATTTAAGCTTCTATTGAGCATAATATATGAATCAGTGTGATGAGATCCGAATTTTCTGCCAACTAATTCTAACATTCCATCTAATCCTTTTTATAATACAGGTGAAGCTCTCTTCTTTCTTTCTTCTTTCTTACTAAGACTTACTACTGCACGACTACTCCACAGCTGATCTCGGATAAAATGAAGGGGCTAAAGGATGGAAAGTGCATGAAGCTAGGATCAATATTGATGACAATTGAGGGATGTGATAGAGAAAAATGCTTATGTCCGGAGCCCTCGGCTCCCACTTTATTGTACACGCCTTCAACTCCTTCTCATATTATCTATGCCCCTAGTCATTTCACACACTTTCCCTTTTTGTAAATTGCATATTTATGGTAAATGATACAGGTAGGAGTGCAGTCAAAGTACTGAAATACTGATTGAGACCGATGTCCAGATTTTTGCATCTCCCTGAATACTTCCTCTGATCATCAAAGATAATTTATCTCCCCCCCTCCCAAATTACTAGAGTGACGAAAGGTATGATGTAACTTTCTTTTCTAATATAGTTCTCCGCTCCTCTGCAACCCAACAATCCCTTCGCTCCTCATTTAGGTTTTGATATATTCCATCTAGATCTACATCTCTAATTCTTTAACCCTGATCAGATAAAAACCTGGTTATATGATTTCCCTGTACCAGGTATTTCAAAAATGCATGTTTATCTCGGTTATTTGTTCCCCATTGGCCTCTCGAAGATCAATAAGCTAGTTCGTCGACAAAATTTGTATGCGGCCGTGGACAAATCTCGCAGACTGGAGCTATCTTGCTAGCTATATTGAATTGCTCACACATAATGTTCTGTGCCTTCTTCCCCAAAATTTTTCCAAATGGAATATAGCTAATTGTTCTTCCTCGGATAATTCGGTATTGCATTTTGCTACTACATTAATCGCAGCCTTCTTCACATTATCAGTAACCGAACTCTCAGCAACCGAACCCCCAGCAACCGAACCCCCAGCAACCGAACCCCCAGCAACCGAACCCCCAGCAACCGAACCCCCAGCAACCGAACCCCCAGCCACCGAACCCCCAGCAACCCAATACATGCAAAATCTATCGATTTCGCTCGCTAAAGTTCCCGTACGAATTTTCCAAGAATTTGGATTCCTATCCTTGTAGTGATCGCAGGGAAAAATCTCCATATATCTTGACGCAATATAAGAGTGATTTTAGAGCCAATTACTGGGTATACTGATGTAATAAATTTACTACTACTACTAGTAGTCATTGCCTAGAAAGAGGGGATTCAAAAATAAGGAGCCGAGAATGTACAGTCCGTGCTAATGTTACGATGGTAATAGCTGACTTGTTTTCGTAAGCTTGGGCCATGTGCAAATCGGTTTCGATTCGTTCAATTTACTATGAGATTTCGGTCACCCTAAGAACTTATATGCACGCACTATCAGAGCATATAAACAAGTATGCTGGATCACTCAGGATCATTGGTGATCCAAGGTGATCCAAGGAGCATGAAGATCTATATGTTCAATATGAATTTCTTTATTGTAGAGCTTTGTGCTCAAGATCAATCATTTAGTATACTCTACTATTAGTTACGAATTGCATTATTGTCATTACTTTAAGTCCCTGCTTGACGCCTAGTTATAAACCACCTCGAGAGCCTAGAGCACTTCCACATGATCTAGACGGCAAACTGTCACGATTCACCATTAGGATTGATGGTGTTACGATGGTAGCAAGCTGATTAATTAGGAGAGCTTAGGCCTTGTGCAAACACGATCAGATTTCATCGAATTAGTATGTGATCTTGGTCACCTGAAGATCGTGTATGCACGCACCATCAGAAATCACGTGATAAGGAGCCCTAGGAGCCCTCAAAGCTCCTAGAGCTCCAGGAGCCCTGAGGAGCCAGAAAGCTCCTGGGGCCTCCCTTCTTCGTTCATTATATAGTCAGAGTAGTTTCATAGTTTAGGAGCTTCGTGCTCAACTTAGTTATCAATTAGTTTACCTACATTCTATTTGATCTAGTAACGAATTCACTTTCAAGTGAATACCAGTGATAAAGCCTTAACCTATAACTACCAACCGACGAACCTTAGGCAGCCGCCTGCCTTTAGTACAGTATCGTTACACAAACCTCATAACACTAGACTTATATTTTATATGAAAATAAATTATTAAAAATAAATAATCTTTTTGTTAAAAGGAATAGAAGTTACCGGTACTAATCACGTGTCGTGATTAGTAATACGGTTACCTAAACAGGCTAGATTAGACGAACCATAAGCAGGCATATTGGTCCCCTCAGAGGATACCAAGAGGAGATTAATATGCCTACACACGTAGTAATATAGTCAATATAGAGGCCTCTTCCACCCAATCTTTTAATACTTTTTTTAATTAAATTTCATTTACAGAATAATAAAATAACTTCAAAATATTAATATAAATAAATATAAAATAATTTAAAAATTTTAAATATTGATTATGTTAAAGTGAATGGTTCCTGCGTAGCACGTGCACAGGGCACTAGTCCTATTCGGACTAGATTGAGAAGCTCTCTGTAAGAGAGCTTCGCACTTCCGTAGAACTTAGATGAAGGGTGATTAATACACTAGGCCAATATTATCTCAGTTCTGCCCTATCAACTTCCCACTATTCCCTGTGTAAGGTCATTCCTTTTAACATATAACATGGTTTATCAGCAGTCCGCCCATATCACTAGTCCGCCCACTTTTTGACCATTTAACCACTTCAAATTCTAATTAATCAATCATAACTTATTCAATTGATTCAAACTATTAAGAATCTAATAATCTAGGATCTATTATACTATTTTGACAAGTTCTTGAATTATGATCAGTCTTTCCACACTTACTACAACATCGACTAATAGATGATTCCCTGTTAGAATTTCCCCCATTTTGACGCTCGTCGTATTGAATCTGATTATCAACCTTTTGTTATGATAATATATCTTCAGCTTCTTATCCAGTAAGTACTCCTTCATTACGTAATTGAATTTTTTTTAGCGTATCGATATTTACTTAATGCTTCATTTGCTCTTCGAAGTATACAATTCTTAGCACTCAAAAGTATATTCTTATATATTAATCTCTTTGTACTCTTAGTTAAAGCTTATATAATCTTAAATATAAATATAAGAGAGCTTGATTGATAACGAGCTATTCGAGCTTTTACTAGAGTTGATTATAAGAAAGCCTCAATTGGATTGTAAGGGATTTGAGAGATCTAAGAATTGATAAATTCCAAAAAGGTAAATAGAGAGGTAGAAGTACGAATCCTAATATCTAGTTTTGAGAGTATAGATTGAGAGTCGAATAATATTAGATCTACTCCACGAAAACCAGCTTTCATATTCTAAATAGTAAATGATTGTAAATATACAGCTTTGAAGATTATAAAGAATTCAATCTTGATAATATAATTGATATAAGCTTTGATAAATCCTTCAATTTGACAATTATATAAACGTTTGAGTATGTCAAAACACTCAACATCGAATGATTGAATTAAATGATTTGAATGTGATAATAATCTGAGGCATATAATATCATTTGATTTGCAATATAATTGAAAAGGTATTGATTCGTAGCTTTCGTACCTATCTATTGGGTTTCTTGAGACTAGAAAGAGCATCAGATTGAATTGATTGATTCTCTAGCTAAGCAGTTAAGCTGCGAGTATATATTCAAAAAAAAAAAAATTGAAGGAATAAGGTTAGGTATTCAGCCTTCGGAATTAAAGTGCTTTGAAATCAAAATATTGAAAGCAAACAAACAGTATACCAAAAAGGAAAGAATGAATTAAAAGTTGAGTTTTGTTTGCTCCTTATATACATCATGCAATATATATGCATATGCTGCCAAGATCCTAGGAGGTCAACACTATCCAATACTAGCATTTGATATTTGCTTTTTCTTTGACGAATAATATGTTTATCGAAATGTTTTAATTATTCTAAATCTATTTTATTATTTATTCATATATTAGAAGTAGATTTAAAAGCTCAATCTGTAGGAAAACCGCTTTCGGTATATCAATTAAAAAGATGATATTGTTAAAAGGAGTGACCTCACACAGGGAATAGTGGGAAGCTGATAGGGCAGAACTGAGGTAATATTGGTCTTGTAGGTAAATCTCTCTTCTAAGTTCTACGGAAGTGCGAAGCTCTCTTACAGAGAGCTTCTCAATCTAGTCCGAATAGGACTAGTGCCCTGTGCACGTGCTACGCAGGAACCATTCACTTTAACAGATATTGCTTTTGTATTATTAAGAATAAAGATATAATCTAATCCTCTCTATTACTACATATAATCACTGTAGTCCATTCTCGATTACCTAATTATATTGCCTTACTTCTACTATATCGTTCAATACTAATTACAACCATTCCAAGGTATATTACATTTATCATAAAGTCAATTTCATCGAAGTTATAGAAATCGGAATCGATAATATTATATTTCGCTTATATATTGAATATCAATCGAAACCATTCTCTAATAAGCTTTGGATCTTCGCAAAGAGCTCTTTGGAAATCATAAAGACGATTCAAACGTATCTTTTAACTCTGGGCATCGTTTGATAAAGCGATGAGCCCAGAGCTTTCCAACCTTCTTCGCACCCCGCGATTCGAGGATATAATTCGCTATATCTTCTATATTACTCAATTTAGATATAAATCCTCTCTCATCTATATCGATTATATACTGGATAAGCATCTTTTCTTCTAATTTTGTCAAATTATGATCTTTTGATCGATAGTCAGCTATATTAGTACAACTTTTAATTCTATCCCTCAAAGTAGATCGAGGTATATTATAAAGGTTTGCCACTTTCCGAATTGAGAATTGTGGATTAAGTTTAATAGCTTCAATAGCTAAGATAATTCGTACTTCTTTAGAATGAGTTTCCATAAGTAATTATTGATAAAACGCGTATTGAAGTGGAAGAGTTGGAAATGGCCAAAAAGTGGGCGGACTAGTGATATGGGCGGACTGCTGATAAACCACGTTATGCTTTTGTTCTATTATAATCTTATATCCATTTAACTTTTTATTCCACCCCTCCCCCAACTCAACTCAACATTAAGATTTATCTATTTCTATACCTTACCCTAGTGACCAATCCAATCTAGTCCAAACCAAACCAAGCCAAACCAAACCCCATCTACACAATACAACCATCAAGAACTCCCCCTCATAATTAATAAATAATAAAACATTTTTCCACACACCCCAACTCCCATCCCATCCCACCCCAAAACCCCACCATCTAAACCCCCGAATCAATCTCATCCACAACTGCACGATTAGTATACGCATTCCACTGAGTACAAGTCTGTGCCATCTCCACAGGAATCAACATATTATTTTTAATATCCTCGGGCCTCTCCAGAATATTCGCATAAAGACCTCCACTAACATGCCAAGCAATATGACAATGAAAAGGCCATACGCCCGGATTATCCGTCGTAATTTGCCACACCATATGACCAAATGGTCGTACGAGCTGCACATCTCTTCGTTGCGGATTCGATTGTCGCGTGATGGAGACACCGTCCCAGTTTCCGGGGCCTTCGTGCAGGATTTGCATGTTGTGTCCGTGGAGATGCATGGGGTGGGAGGCGGGGGTGGGATTATTGACGATAACGCGGATGGAGGAGTTGGAGCCGAAGTTTTGGACGTTCCATTCGGTTGGGTAGTTGAATTTTCCTTGGTCGGCGAGGAGGAGGACGGGATTGTTGTAATTTGCGCGGAAAGATGTTCCGCCGAGTTCCCAGAGGAGAGTGCCAGTTTCGTTGACGTAGAAATTTATGTCAAGGTTTTTGGTTGTGGAGGGTGTGCCGGCGGCAAGTGAGTAGTAAGGTTCGGTGATGGTGAGGTCGTCATTTGTGCAGGTTCCTGGATCTGGTGCATTCCATGCTGTGCTTGTGGGTGGTTTGCTTGTGTCGGCTCGATCGTAGTAGATTGCTGCGAGGGCATTGGGTTGCTTGGCTGTAGAACAGATGGTGGAAATACTTGATCTCATCCAGAATGCCGAGTTAGATCTTCCAGCATTGGCGGTGACGAGAACATCAGCTCTTTGACCAACTGCTAAGGTGACAACATTGGTGGTATATGGTTTCTGAATTTGTTAGTACATTTTGTGACTGTGAACCCATTGATTCGAGCTACTCACAATTGGTACAAAATCATTGGCAATAACAACCAACTTATGCCCGTCAATGCTAAATCTTTGTGTACCCTCGGCACCAGCATTGATTAATCTGAGTCTATGTGTCTTTCCTGTGGTAAATCTGAATTGCGAGACGCCAGCATTGTCATAACATTTAGTATTATCTCCAGCAGCCTTAGTGTTGCAGTCGAAAGTCATTTTTCCGTTAATGAGATTGTTATCCGACATTGGCCTAGGATTCCCGTTTCCACCACCTGCCATGACATCTTGAACGATTGAAAAGTATTCCTTATGATAGTAATCTGTCAAAAAAACTGGTCCAAGATCAATATCATATGGTGCGTTACTTGGTCCGTGAATGATCATAGGTCCTACAAGTCCACCTAAATCAATGTTAGTTTGGGAAGGTAGGAACACTGGAATATTTCTCAAGCTTACCAGCATATTGAGCAGAATAATGAGAATGATACCAGGAAGTGCCATAAAGGTCGGCCTTGAATGTATATGTGAAAGAAGCACCGGGGGCAATAGGACATTGTCCAACAGCAGGGACGCCATCCATATATGGAGTTTCTTTTTGTAATAAGCCATGCCAATGAAATGATGTACCTTCTTCAGGTCCTGTAATTTGATTGTGTACCTTGATCATGAAGGTATCCCCCCAATTGGCTTCGATAGCAGGTCCTGGGAATTGCCCATTAACAAGTATAACTTGTTTGGCATATCCATCTGGAGCAATTGTCCCTCTTGTGACGGTGAAGTCGTAATACCGAATGACTCCTGTGGAGGGAGCTGATGTGTAAGGATTATTTCCTCCTGCAGTTAATGAACCCCAGGGAAATCCATTTGGAAGAGGATTATTTGTGAGAAAAGGAGGGAAGGTTGGAGCCTGTAGAGTTCCCCAAAGAGAATTTCTAAACGATGGTTAATAAGTAAACACTTATTGAGTAGTATTTCCTAAAGCATAAGACTGGCACTCACCCATTAGTTACATCCTGAGATAAAGTGTTGATAATTCCAGCGGCGCCGGTAAGGATGCCCGTGAGAAAACCGGATAAAGACATATTTGAGGTGATCGTCTGAATGATATTGGACGAAGACTTGTCTATGGGATGTACATTTTGAAAAGGGATAAGAAGTACTATATATGGAAAAAGCTTGGGAGGCGGTTCATTGTTTACCGGGGATGCCAAGTTGACGGAGCTTTGCTTTAGTATTTGCACAGACCGAAGCCGTCGCGTAGCTTGAAAAAGATCAGGCTTTTCTGACACTTTATTAATGGCTTGAATTCTAATGTAGAATAATCAAATAAAAATTGTTCTTTGACATTAGGAAATGCCTGATTTGAGTCTGGGGTTTGATCCATCCTGACTTCAGAAATATGGTAAATCCTAGATGTATTGCAGGAATAGAATACGGGAAGGCTCTTTTGAGGAATTAGACCACCTAATGGAGCCAAAGACATGATAGTCGATATGCTGTACTCAATGTACTGCCATAATTTCATTGCAAATTCTGTACAACTACAGAGAGAGGAGTACACAGCATTAATGCTGTATCGAGTAGCAAATGGTAAGGTTATCCATTAACGAAAACGCATGGACGGTTAACGGTACCGAGGAACGAGGAACACTAATTAGATGCGATGTAGGGATCATGGATCCCCATACTAATCTCAAATGCAGCCAAAGCTCCTGATGTAGGTAAGTAAGAATACGGAGTATAAAGCAATATAACGACCAGGGGGGGTATCTGGGCTGACAACAAAATTACCTAGAACGAAAAGAAGAAAAAAGATCCCATGTCATGATGTCTCCTTGATCTTAATTAAATTAAAGGCTTGAGGAATATCTAGATCTATCCGACCCGTATCCCATCGAGGAAATCTCGTTTGTGTAAGTGGCCATTTTCGTGCCAACATATGTTCCGTTAACCGGTCGATCATTATTCAAAGAAGAATAGCCAGATATCATGGAAATGTTTCGCAGCAAAATCATGTCCATAATCGGTAGCAGTGTATGCCGGAACGAACATGACTAATTGCGCGACCAATGACTGTGGCAATACCGTTTTCGAGGATGCAGGAACTGACTGGTCTAGTTCGTATAGCGTAGAGAATGCCGCTAAGAATGATTTGATTCAGGGGAATCGGGGTCGATCTATTTTTGAATGTAGCTAGCCGTGGAAGGTCATTGTCAGAAGTTTAACAAGAATACGTGAAGGAGTCAGCGTTGTATTAGTCTGCAAACTTCTCCCTGAAGTATTTGGTGGTAATTGAGCCTAATTAGAATCTTGCAGTACAAGCTCACATTATTGCCACGAGGTAACCACGATTAATGGTACAAGCCTTGAGGTATCATACCACGATAGCAATATAGCCCAATGAGAATCGGTATGAGACATGGCTACTAGAATAAAGGAGTCGTTGATGTATCAATACACAATGTTGTGGTTTGTCGTGCTTTTCGCATGCTACTCGACGTTAAGCTCACGAAAAGATGTTTTTGCAACATCCGCTTTTTCATGCCTAGTAGGTAACAAACCTTATTACCTGGTTCAATTCCATGGACTGATTGTAAGAATGTCCGTGTCATGAATTTTATTGGCATCTGGCCATCATACGTTTTTGGATGGACCAGTTCTAGAATGACAAATCGCAAAGAGATCGAAGTGTTGGTTATTTCGGACGTGCCAAGGCCCTAGCGAAAAAAGTATTTGTGGATGACTACGATACTAATAAGTATTTTCTACCAATACACTTTCTTACTAGTGTGAATTGGGTGCTGAATCACGATTCCATATTGATAACTCAAATACATTTGGAAAATACTTCTTGACGTCACTACTAAACTTTTACCGTTGCGGAGCTACCCGTGACAATGGGTCGTACGGGCATGTTGCTTGCCGCAATGTCGATGTAGCCGAGTAGGTCGAAGAGGAAATACTAAAAGTTGATACTAAAATCTTTGTCTTTGGCTTTTTAAGCGTGAATTAAAGCTAACATATCGATGAACTCCAGCTGAAATCAAATTGTATTGCGAGACTACTAAAACTAAAGACCGGAAGTCATAGTGAGGTTTCACCATCAGAAGCGAAGGACCGAGTACCTTGTTTGGTGCCTCAAAACGAAGCACTTCTCATTAAAATCCTGTGGTTCGTTTACATAGACCATAATATTTGATCTGAACATTGAAACCTGTACTTTTTGATACGTCACGAGAAATGGGATAAAAATCCAGGATTCTCTCATATAGTTACCAAAGTCATAGTTGTTAAAGAGTTCGTGATACAACCTGAACCTCAAAAGAGAAGTTCCAGTTCTCATTAACATGAGAGCCATGCAATTTCATTGACCTGTTCAAGGTGACAGCGTGTTCCTGAAGGCGTATGGATCCTGTAGCGAAAACATATCAATGAAGAATTTCACCAAGCTGTTGCATCTGTTGCATCTGTTGCATAGGGCTTAAGACTGAGGATTCGCCATAAGTACTCGAGTAAGTGTCTTGATCATTAGCAGATGGTGTTGTGAATATGGATTGGTTCCTGCGCACTCATCCAATAGCGGGGAGTTTCCAAATGACGCCAAGGAAGCAAATGTAGACGACACTCGCGTGGTTGTTTATTGCAGATAATCGAGATAGCGATATAAAACACGAATATTATCTAACAACCTCACGATGGTCGTCAACAAACACCCGGAGTCGTTGCAACAACCCATGAATCGAGATCGCATGACACCTAAATTCATGATAAAGTAGTATATTCGAGTATTGTAGAATCGATCCCATAAGGAGGCCTAAAAAAGAGCCATTCGGGAAAATTTTGTTGATACATATTGACCCCTTTCAACTCCACCCATATGCAGAGAATGAGCAGCGAGACACCAAAATCCCACATTCCACATGCATCTACCAATTGCGTATAAACATATTCCATGAAACTACAAAGCATTCGCCGGTTTCCATCTGCTGCCAAGGTAGACGTGCTTCCCTCCACCCCATAATAGCGCATGCTCGACTATGACGTTGGCGAAGGACGGTAAGGGCGATTCATGATGAGGGGACGTCGGTTCGCACGACCAAATGCTGCTAATGTTTCTGTAGATGCAATACTGTCGGAACGAATGGTACTTCCAATTGCCATGAAGAATCTGGAAGTAACTTGTTAGCACGTAGATGTTGATTCGGAAAAAGGAATGAGAATAATGATTACCCAAAAGTAGATCCTGAAGTAAGCATATATGTGCGTAGAGTCCTCCAAACTCCATTTGGACCAGGACCAAATTTAATGATGGTGAGTGTGCCTTTAATCTTGTCAAAATGGAAGTTCATGAGGCCTGGAGCAGCTTCAACATACCATACATAAACCCCAATATAGCACCGACAGCTGTTGTTAAATATGGTCAGTAACTTGTATCTATGAACGAGATCATTGCCGCATACTGCCGCCCATCATAGCTCCCATCTGGACTGTAAAACACGATCAGTACAAGTCCAAAGTAGAGGGGTAAAGTGATCGATAGTCATACGTTTGTTCCAGATGGTCTGGCCACCGGGATGGCCTTGAGGTTGTGGTACTGGAGGCATATTTGAGTAGGTAGGTAGGTATTGAAGAAGAGGATTATTACTACTGGGTAGGTAGATTCAATCAATTGTCTGAGTGCCTCGAACTTGTGGGGTTATTAGGTCAAATCTTGAGCTCTGAACTTCAAACTTTCAATGTCCAGTCATGCATGATAAATAAATCTATCATGGTCAACGGCATTTCCCGAACCCATGCACGGACCAGCTCGAAACAATCTACCACACACCCCCACGTTCCCATCTTTCAAGTCTCTTCCAACTTCTTCAGGGTGAAAAGGTGAAAAGCCATTGAAACATCACGTGATTATTATCAAAAATCTAATCATTGATGATTCTATACTCAATCGTTTCGAGTGAATGGCTCACATAGAAATGAATCTACGTTCTTTGCGATAAGCCTTGGAATATCTGCTTCCTTCTTACGACATCCAAACCTTTTCCTTTCTCTTCTTCTCACATCGAGACTTTTTATCTGCAAGAGAGCGCGTGCGCCAGTGCTCTTATCCCCGATCTCGAACGCTGGTTGGCTAAACATATACCTCGCGTGTCTCAACCCAAATGTCCAAACTTTCCAGCTTGGCAACATCAAATTCAAAAAGGTTTCTTTCTCTATCACCAGCAATTGTCCTACAGTACCTGCATTACATAGATGTAAGTCTTTCTACTCTTTTCCTTTGGCCCAGGGTCCACTTAGTAGTGTTGTTGATGCGTTCTCGCTTCTTTCGCACTGCCCTTCCACGGTATTGTCGCTGGTCGTCATGGCGCCAATTCTTCTTGGGCAACTACTGACGATTATGACAAATCCAGTGCGATACAATATCTCTTCTATCCAGTCCATTAGATAGAACGTTGCAGATACTTACCAATTCACACTTTAGACCAGAGGGTCATTGGAGCGGGGATCTTGGTCGCAGTTGAAGTTGAATGGGGGGAGGAAAGTAACAACATACAACATTCCAGCGATCTTATTCAATCAACATCATCAGAACACACCTATTTGCTGTCAGAATAGGGTCAATAGTTAACTTGACCGATGACGGCAGTCGCAAATTTACCCAGTTTCCCGCAGATCAACAGGTCGGCATGGGGATCTAGTGTTAACCAAGGAGGAATGAATGCTATGAATGGCGACGAAGTGAGCAGAATGTTCATGCCACGGAAAAGCGCCCAGCGCGCCAACTCATCCTCGTCGATAACTTCATTATCTTCAAACTCGTCCACTTCATCCAACTCAACGGTATCGCAACAAACACCACAGACTAATGGTGTACCTATGTCTTCGTCAAGCGAATCAAACAATTGGGGTACGGCAGCAGCACGAAAGAAAGTTCCGAGGGTGCAGTCGTCGTGGAATAACAAATCAGATACGATAACTGGTTCCAATACGACACGACCTTCATCGACATTGACAAATGGAAACTCTGGTTCCTCCATGACTCCATTACATCAGCCGGCTCCCATGGTACCATCACAGCACATTATACCAAACGGATCACAACAGATGAGACCCCAAGGCCAACCCTCAGAAGGGGAGCCAATGCTCTACTTATTATCTATGAACGGCACTTTTGACCACAAGAGAATATCAGTACCATTCTATCCGGACAGCTTAAGAATTGGACGTCAGACAAATGCTAAAACTGTACCATCACCCGCGAATGGCTTTTTTGATTCAAAAGTACTATCGAGGCAGCATGCAGAGATTTGGGCAGATCGAAGTGGGAAAATATGGATTCGAGATGTTAAGTCTTCCAACGGTACCTTTGTCAACGGAGCGCGCTTATCGGCCGAAAACAAGGACTCTGATCCACATGAGTTGCAGTCGCAAGATCATCTTGAGCTTGGTATAGACATTGTGAGCGAGGACCAGAAGACTGTTGTACATCACAAAGTCGCTGCGAAGGTCGAACATGCAGGTTTTGCCGGCTCAACTAATAATGTTTTAGACATGAGCTTTGGCGATTTAAATCCCGCCAATGGATCAATGATGTTACCGTCTCAAGGACCAATGATGAGAGGGAGAACTAGTAGTCAAAGTTCAATGGGTAGTAATGGCCGCATGGGGCCACCAGGTAGTGTAGCTGCGAGCCAAATGAGTGTCATGGGTCAGCAACGCCCGATGAATTTCTGGTTAACACCCGTTACGACAGAGCAGATAGTAAAGAGGCTTTCTGTAAGTTCACATGGTTGCATGGATTGATTTTGTATAGCTAACATATAGTCCAGCACGAAATGCGGACGGCTCGATTACAAAACTCTGATCTAGGGCGAGCAGACAATTTCTTTAGTGGCCTGTTATCGAAGGAGAATGTGAAAGAAATTGATGGCGCGCCAAACGTAGAACTACCAAAACCTGCGGTAGCAAATGGTTCTGCATTACCCTTCAGGGCTGAAGGCAAACCTCGATTCTCTGACCCTCCTGCACCCCCGCCTCAACAACCTCTTCCTGAAAAGCCGGATGTTGCTCGTTCCCATATTTTTGACCCCGCGTCACCTACTGCTTCTTTGAGGAGGGCAAATATCGAAAAAAATAGGTCCTTGGCGAATGGCTCTCCGGTCAGAGAAGTAAGTAGTCAAATAATTACTTTGGTGGAGGCATTGGCATCAGCCAAGAAAGAAATTGACTCGCAGAGTGCTCGGATGCGTGATTTAGAGGATATGCTTCAGAAGGAACGGCAAGCACGAGAAACAGCGGAAGAAATGGCTAAAAGACTAGAGCTCCAGACCCCAGAGGGTAATATGAATGGGAGAGCTAAACCCGGGATGGATGGATCAATTATTGAAGATGCTTTTGATCCACCCTCGGAAGACGGGTTGTCACAAGACAAAGCCGTCAATGCACATGTCGATGCTAATGGTATCGCCGACTCATCTCGTCGGTTAGAGCAACGTCTTGAAACTATGCTTTCTGATATGCAGGAGCTGCGATCACAAATGGAGTCATACAAAAAGAGAGCAGAGACGGCCGAGGCAGAGTGTGATACCAACCGAAGGAGTTTAGCAGAAATGATTGAGAAAATTCGCTTGAATGAACGACTCGGACAATTAGATTCTTCCGATCGATCCAAATCTCCATCGAAGCAACACTCGGACAATCACCTCAATGGAGCTGTGAATAGTGGTGATTTGGCACTTCATCCTATGAAGCGGCCGAATGGTATAAAACATAGCTCATCCGAAAAAGATGAACTTCATGCGTCGCTCAAACATGTGATCGCCTCCTCAGCTAATACTGGCCACGATCCTTTATTATACCACTCGACACCTTATGTCTCAATGCTTGGTGTCGTCGTGATTGGTATGGGATTGATGGCATATCTCAATGGTTGGCAACCACCAAAAGTTAATCATTAGAACACACAATCTTTTAACACACATTTCCTTTTGTTTGAATCAAGCGCAGATACCATTTCACGCGGCACACATCTGGTCATCGAGACCAAAATTCTATATTCAGTCTCTTTTGTCATCTTTCACGGGGTTCGGAAGTTGTTTAACTTTGCATGTAGGCGTTGTGGGGTCGCAGGATTGTGGGTATCGAGGCATTGGGGAAAGCGGGCATGGGCAAGCGGACGGGGCACAACAATACCAAGATTATGGTTCGTTTGATTGTTTGAGGGGGAATGGATGGGTTTATCCGCATACATATACCAAAACGGGTTCGGGAATGGTATGGATGGATTAAATGGTTATTTATCATTTTGGTGGAATAGTTACTTACAGTTGTTGACCATAGCATAACATGGACCCGTTACCAGCACCTTTTTTTTATTTCTGATAATATGCGTTCAAAATGGTCATTTATGGCCTAGTCATCGCAGTCGTTTTTTTTAATTTGCTTAGCTTTCTCTTAGGGTGTATTTTACATGCATGAAGATGATTCGTTAGCATGCTCAAAAAGCACATTAGGTGGATATAGGGTTAGGGTTATGGTTGCATTACTCTGGACTGTATTTTAGTTATTGATAAGCCATTCATCGAAAACTCCTTGACCAATCAATCCCTATTGATTTGATAATAGAAAACTCTTTTCAATTCAAAGGATTATTATAAGTCGACAAAAGCTTTTAGGAGATTTGCATTTGTTGTGCTCAAAATCGAGCAGATTTCCTTTGCAGGAGTCATTCATTGGCTTTATCGCATTCTTCACTTTCGTGTAGACTTTGGATTGCCAAAAGTTAGGGTAGGGGATCGTCAATTGGTAATTAGATCTACTTAGATCTCCTCGTTGATGTAGTGGTTGGCAGGTCAATGGGACAAGAAAAGGCTTCTTTTTTTCATGGCTGTTATTTCCTCTGAAGGCTGGTTGGAGGTTTGAGGGATTAGAGGAGAATGAATGGCTAGGGCGAATGGCTGGATAGGAGAGATATTTGAGTTTGTGTTAAGTTATTTCTTCTTTGAATTTGGTGCTGTTTTCTTTGCATTCTGATATTATGTATTCGAGTATATTGCCTGGAGTTAGCATAACTATCATGAAGATTTTGATTTCTCATCTACTTCTTGATTGGTTCGTTCCATTTCTCTTTAGAGCGGAATCAAACTTTTCTGAGTCAATCTCTTTCGCTAGATGCTATATCCGATTGATGGGGAAGTGTGTAGCACGAGCACCCATTTCAACATGTTGACAATCAGTCATTACAAGGCAGGAACCATAGATCACCCGCACTACCTACCACAAAGAGTAAACTTGCAATTAGTAAAACCCACACACATTCATCTTCATAATCCTCACAAAGTATAGCCCTCTTTTTTTTTTACCAACGTTGTTCCTTACCTCATTGATTTTACATATCAGGATTATCAGACACAAACTTCTATACTTCTATACTTGAATGAAAGAAACCCCAGCCCGTATATACACGCGTTCGATAAACCCTTATTATACATTGGCACAAAATAGACACATGGATAGCGCAAGGGCCCTTTCAAAGATGCCAAGTCCTTCTGACTCACATTATGAAGGAACAAGAGGTACATCTGAAGTATCTCTCCATTCTAATGCTCCAAGGCTAGGAATTTTCAATGCGCCAATCCCGCCATTTCAGTCGCAGCAAAGTTTGGAAAGCCCGCTGAAGGAAACAAGACCCTCAGATCTCCAGAATGAACGCACTGGAGAAAATTCCACACCTTCTGGTGTTAATTCTTTGGGCGAAAGGTATGGCACTGTGCCGACTCCGGGGAGCTATTATAGACAATACTTGAAATTTGTGGAAAAGCAGTCGAAAATTGGGGACTTTTCCGAAGCCAAGCACAAGGAAGAGAGAGAAACCGCTGCAACCCCTGCCACTTCTAATTCGTCGGTTGAATCAAGCTCTTTTCAATTTCAATGTGATGGAATGAAAGATCTTCCTGAGGGTCGTATCTATTCAAGTTCTTCTTCGGGCCAATCGAGTAGTGACGAGGTATGCACCATGTTTTTGTTATCCACATAACGGCCGGTAACGTTTTATAGGAACTAGAGGCTAAAACATTGCGAAATAAACATCGTATGACCTTTCTCATCGGTTGTCGAAAAATCAAAGACGATTGCAAAGCTGGGAATTTTCCGGTGAATGTTGTCAACAGAGCAAAGTACCTATGGGAAATTCTCTTCGAAGCCAAGGACTATTGCCTCTGCTTTGATGGAATAATGGGTAAATTGCAAGCCTTGCTTGTTGCTCTGTGCATCTATACTGCATGCCAGCAGTGCAACTTTTCTCGAACCTTCACTGCAATTCGTATTCTCACAAATACTTTGTCATCAGAATACGAAGAGTCAATCGATAAATCTCTTGAGATTCTTCGGGAGTTCAGGATTGAGACGCAATGCTCCTGCTTGAGAACTTTTAGTATGTTCTCGTGTGGGATTGTACAGTGATACCTGCTGATACCTTTAGGGACGTAGCCCCAGAATTGCTGTCAGGTCTGCATAAGCTACATAAGGAAAGTATGTCAAGTGGCACATTGGAACCATTGAAGTCATGTATGAGATGTTCGGAGGCATATCCCATGAGCTGTGCGACTAAGTCCAATGCGCTTATTGACACTCCTAAGCCAGGTGATTTGGTTTGTCGACGATGCGTCCCCTGCACTATCCACCCTCACGTGGAGCAAAACCCTTTGAACTTGGCAGATAAGGCCTTGAGACTCGCTTTCAGCAGTGCTGTTTCCAAGGATAGAAAAAGGATTGAAAAGGAATCAAGCGCTGATTCATCAGGTGACGAGATGAGCGGAACCTCCCGACAAGGACAACCAGAAGCCAATATTACAGGCAACAGGAAGTACCGCAAAGTCGCAAAAGAATTAAATGACGTTCACGATGCATACGTTGCCGCTCTCGAAGACAATTCCTCTGAAACTACAATGCCAGATTCGCCGGCTCAAAATCAACAAATAGAAACCGAGACATCCTTATTTCCTATAGATATTGCTAAGAAACGGAAGATGTGAAATTCTCCTGATGAAATATCTATTAGATGAGTTTTCGGAGACTCGGAAGATTGGAATCTATCTAGAGACCAAGGAATTGGAGAATGGATAAATTGAATCACCTCAACATACGTCTTGTTGTGAATACAAGTCAATGCAAGCATAAAAGAAATAGAGATGGGGATACATAAGTATTGGAGACTGGATGCTAGATGGTTAAGTAGTGTTTTGTTTTGTATCGTACAGTCTTATTGGAGTACCCTTCCAGTAGAATTCCAGGTACAAAATTCAATATCATTTGACTTATCTAGTGCATGAATTCATTGCACAAATAATTTGTTTTTATTTTACAAAGTATGAAGTGAATTCAACTAGGATTGGATAGGAATGCATAAACGCTGGCAGGCGTTTGTGGTACCTCCTTGATAGAAGACTACAGTTGCCGATCAAAGATGGGATGGCAAGAGAACAAAATTTGATTTAGACGAGCTGACGGGATAACTTTCAATAACTAACACCTTTCAACTAGGAAAAAGCTATCGTTTCCCTCAATATTACATAAACCATAGAAAAAAATCCAAATCACATCAAAACCTCCTCCAGTACTATCAATCAATCAACCACCACGAAAACTCCCTGCATAATTCTCTCATTCCTCCACTTCCCAAACTTCAAAAGCACCTCTTGATTCCTCCTATGAATCTCCGCAATACTCTTCTCACTCGCCTCCTTGTATTCCCGACATATAACTCGCAATTCATCCAGATGGAACTCTTTCTCTAATTGCTGGACTGAAGATCTTGAAGTCGGTGTACCCTGGAAATTGAAAGTAGGTATGTTTGCATCGGTTGTTACTTTGATTACTTCGTTCAGCTCCTTGATGGAATTTTCGAGTCTGGTTTGGATCTCGGATTGGAGTTTTATGGCGATGAGGGCGTTAAGGGCGTTGAGGAATTCTGGGGTGGTTTCCTCGTGAGGATGAGTTTTGGGATTTTCTTTTTCTTTTTGTTTGGTTTCTGTGGTGTTGGTTAGTGGATATGGGTAGCGGAGATTTGAATGATTCATAAGAGTCTCAGAAAGACCTACGACTTCGAGTTGAGTGGTTAGGGTTTTGTTTTGCCTCAGTTGCGCCAGGTGAAGCCGCTGTTGGATTGTTTTCTTGAACACCCATTTTGTTGGCCGTATTGGAGGAGCTTTGAGATGATTCAGCTTGGCTGGTGGCATGATTCGAGCTGTCAGCTACAGGTACTGAATATTTATCCTGTTAGTTCAAGACTGCAACAGGAAAAGTTGAAAGCACTTAAGACTCATCGAACCTACCACCGGACTGTAAAGTCAAATTCGAAAGAGCATTCTGAATATCTGCATCACCGATGATAGTGAATTCCTGAATATAGGTTAGAATAGTCAAGTTCTTTCAGGCCTTCGTCTTCAACATACCTCGTTGATACCTCGCCTATCTGAAGGGCTTTCTTTCTTCTCATGACAGCATTCTCTTGCCTTTGAGGCAGCCTTTTTAGAAGACTTCTTCTTGGCCATGTTGACTTTTGTTCTGGATATTCAAGACTGAAAACTGGAATGATAAAAGTGGGACGATGGGCAGCAGATATATGAAAGAAGAACAATAGGGGACTTTTATTGGAAAAAGGATCGACGATCTAGCCCGGGGATTCTATGCCTTTGCATAGATTGCGGGAAGCAGAATAAGGAAAAGAGGTTTGTGTGAGAGCAAGATTTTATTAGACTGAAATTTATCAAATTTTCGTACTTCCTTTTGTATATGAGCTATAAGCAATTTTAAATTACTCAATCTGACTACGCATTAATGTCGTACACTTGAGACAGTAGATCTAGACTGCGCTGGCTCGTTTGTTCTTGCTCTCTTGTTATCTTTGGAAAGTTTAGATTCAGCTACCGTGACAAGTGGCGACTATCGTAGTTTCTGGGTACTCACGATTGGTTCTTAAATTTCCAGTTTCTGTATCAGGAGGATTTGTTCGGTTTATTTCTGAGTTTGACGGAGGATTCTAACTGAGGTTTTAGAACCATAAAATGCTGCTATCAGTGTGAGATGGGACATACCATATTTCAGTCGACAGCGGCAGTCTTTGTTCAAAGGTCCACTACGATGAAATTCAAGGAAACTTGCATCATCAAAGTCCTTAGCTTGTTCAAGTAACAGTTTATCTCAAGCTATCAACTTGACAAGAAGAAGAATAGGATTGTAGAGACTCAATTGGCCGCAGCCAGAGTGTTTGTGTGTTGTAAGATTACAATGTGGATCACAAGATGAAAGACTTTCTTATCTCCTCTACCTGCCCCACCATTCTGTTTGCTGTTGACGGTGCTTTTTTGGACTTTAAGGATCTGATATCAAAAAAGGCCCCTTTCCCGTTGTCGCGGCCGGCTTTGGTATTAGCCTGCATAATTCAGGAGCTATATCCTAGTCGAGGAATATCACTATGTATTGTGAAGCTTTCGATGCTTGCAGATCGAACCATATTCCGCACAAATGCGGCGAGGTTGCTATTGGCACTTTAGATTACCATACATTCATTGTTCCTGGGATGAAAATACTACGCGAATATACTTGTAATCAAAGTTTTGAAAGTGGCCAAAGCCATAGCACATGGCTCAGTGTCGTTTACCCATCAGTGCATATACTCTTTCAAAAGACCAATAGTTTTCTTACTTTTTGGTTAATCAAAAAGTATCGATCCTTACTATTCTATTAGTAGCCCAAGTCATTCTATTATATCTGCTGTGATATAGCATACCGATATTAACACCACAGAAATTTCGGCCGCCAATCTTTCTTAAATATGGATGCGGCACAAAAAGTAAGACGCTCGCCCCGGTTGAACAGAAAGAGAAGGGTGAGATATGAGGGTTATCGTGAAGCCAGTAAACATACCGTCGCCGGCATATGTAAGTACAAAGACTATGCGCAGAGCCATTACATTGTGTTCTAACGATACATAGTGTAGCTTTGAGATCTAACGACTCAAATTTTTCCACTCCGGATGAGAGCGATATTTTTATGTCCAGCACATCTTCGTCTTCCACCAGCACAAAATCCGACTGGGCACCTGGCGGCGTCGTGGATTTAACGAAAGATGAAAGAGATGCATTATCAAATTCGAAGAGCGGTGTAACTATATAGGGTAACTCCCATAATCTCTTTAAAACAACTAATTCGTCCATCCAGATCACAACACAAAATTTGATACCCTCCTCGCTACAATGACGCAATGCGCGAAGGTTCTGGCATCCTTCAAAAGAAGCGTCATTGCTTATCGGGACTCGGCAGTTGAATTCAATGCCAAGCTGCAAGTTGCCGCGACAGAAATAGGGGAATCACCAGCCACTTTCAGGGAAGAAATAGCATATCTGATAATAGATGTCGAGGCCCGTGATGATGAAATTGCGAGATTGAAGAAGGAAAACGATCAGCTGAAGAATGAAAAGGCGGAGATTGTAAGGCTAGTGCAAAGGAATGTAGAGCTAGAATCTATGGACAGGCAAGCTGCAAGGCTCAGAGAGCTTGAAGATTGGAGAAAATAGATGCGGGAAATGCTAATTGGAGGAGAAGCTAAGCTATGACGGCAAATGATAAATGCTCTGTCATATATTAGACATACTTTTTGTGGTCTAGGAGTAATCGAGGGATTGTTTTTGTTGCGGCAATTATGCACATATCCGTGCCCCCTTGTTGTGATGGCGCTTTTCTCCGTAGCCTTTTGTTCTCTTCTTCGTTTTGGAAATATTACTTGGGTGCTGGCGGCACATATTATAGATCTGCGTTGCATAATATTAATCCTGGGTATCTGTGAGTCTTTAGCAAATCTCTGATTAAGTGGCGTGGTGTACTTCTGGATGCTCATAAATCAGTAAGGCCTCGACATCATCTTTGTTATTCCTTGGTTTAATAAAAACCGAACGACGTCTAAAATCCCCTGAATGAAAAATGACTGGATCTCCCATCAATCTTATTCGCGAGGTAAAACTCCTGGTCCACTCCGATGATGAATCCTCAACTGACCACCAAATTTTTTGTCCAAAGGAGAAGAAGAAGAGTTCTCCCATAAAACTCAAGCCTCAAGCAATTGTACAGCCGGAGAGCCCCAATGGTTCGTGCTACCGAATATGCCCCATGTTGCAGAGTTATTAACACAGCACAGCACTTCAGAGTCAACGCAAACAAATGAAGATAGAAATCTTCAATGAGATGAATGACCTCATTCTACAGGCCAAAGGGATTTTCGACGCAATCAAGGGGAAAATTGATGAGGCAGATGAGGCAATCGAGTTTTCCGCAACAAGCCTAGCGAAAAAGGTGGACAGTTTGCAAAATGATGTCAAGGCTCGGGATAAGAAGTTCGACAAGCTGAAAAAGGAAAATTGTGAATTGAAGGAGTCGCTTCAGAAATGCAATCATGAGATAGAACAGATGAAGACAAAGGCACAAGATTTGGAATCCGGAATGGCAGAATAGATGGCGAAAGTCAAGAATCTGGAAGATTGGAGAATTAAGGCGCGCAAGTTGTTGACTGGTGAGGTTTCTGAGCTGCTGAACCATTCTTTGATTAGTTAGGTTAGAGTTGAAAATGAAGATGGAACTTGGGCTGTTTGTGTGCGGTGAGAGGATGGACTTTCTGATAAATGATGGAAGTTTTTGAAGCCAATGACAAAATTCTTCACTTCAAGCGTGGATCAAAATGCACATATCCGTGGAACCCCTGTTAGAGATCTTCTTTTCTTCACTCCATGCTTAGATATATATATGTATCTGCACGAATTCCTTCTAAATCCCGATCCTCTGCTTTTTACCCTAAAATAATCTTAAAATTATCTGCATTTATCACCGTACAGAGTATTCTTTTAGCATCTGTCTTCAAATGATTCTGCAGAGAGTGTTCACAACCAAATGGATGGGTACTATACCAATTATTGCATCGAAAACACCTCGTATCCAACCAATGGCAGCCTGGCGAAGAGAGCCAGGGCTTGGGCACCGATTTCCCGGAAGCCTCCAAAGTGTGGTTCGTTGCACTAGACTCAGCACCACAGAAAGCTGACACATTACAGCTCGAACGGCAAATCTCATGGAACTACTCGAAAAGATCTCCGGCTTCCACTCAAGATAAAGAAAAAGGGTTTTCCTCCATCGGAGAAAGAAGTCGTGCCTTTCAAAACTTTACCGCGGATATCGTTGCTAAAGTTTTCAAATTATCAAACTTGGATGATGTTATCAGAGCTCAAGATTTAGAAATCGACGATTTGAAGAAAGAACTGGAAAACTTCAAGGACGAGCATCGAATATGGAAGGAAAGGGCGAAGACTGCTGAGGAAAACTTGAAGTTATCGAAAGATGAATACGAGGCCGCGAAAATAATGATGCAAGGCCAGGCTGTGAAGATTCAAGAGCTCGAAGACAAAAAGAATGAACTAAAGTTGACGGTTGAAAAATTGGAAGATTGGAGAAATCGCGTGAAGAAAATGTTGAAGGAGCTGGTCGAAAATCTTTTTATTAGGCGGGCATAAATAATCAATATGTCTGAAAGTTTTCTGAGAAGTTATAGTTTTTCGTTAGCCGAAAGAAAAATGTAGCTTGGAAACTGCAAACATTGGGACCATTAACCTTTGTGAACTTGTTGCCTGCCTAAGAATGAAACTTTCACTTCTAGTTCCATTTTCCCAAAAACAAAAAGATATGAACTGATTTGTGATAAAGCAACATTGTGGTTACACCCGAGCTGGGCTTGATATCTAGTCCACAGTGCCTGAAAGGACGAGCCGAGAGCTAATATTAAAGCTGACCTAAGGCGTCCTGGTATCCAAGATTTACCCAAATCGGTGATCCTATAGGCGATGGCTTTCCCTCAACGAAGCTCAATGGCGCATCGCTTACCGACTTCCCAAAGCTCAACGACCCCTAAGCGAACATCCCGCGACGAGTCCTTCAATAAGGAGCGGCACAGTAAGAAGTCTAAAGTTTCCCCCAGAGTAAGTTGCATCTACGTGGGGCTGCGGCACCAGCTGCCACCTCTGGTAGAATTTTATACACTATTCATGCTGTTGAATTAAGAGGATTGATGCTAACTCCAGATCAAGCAGTTAATGAGCCGAAAGCAGAAGAGCTAGAAGAGATGCCTGGAGCCGTGAGCCTCACTGAGCAAGATGGAAACCTCAGTGTCAAGAACAGACAACTAGTGCAGAAAGAGACCAACCCCTCAACGTAATGTTCTACTAGATACAAGGAAATGCTTCGCAAGTCAGAGGAACAGGTTCAAGAATGGGCAAGATTGGAGACCGAACTTTTCCGCCTCGTTGATTCTTTCCAAGCTGGCATCGCGGCTCGGGATGGTGTGATCAAGAAACTCAAAAAGGAGAAGGAAGAGCTTGTGAAGATAAATCAAGGGAGCGATGGGAAAAACAGAGGCCTGTGTAAGGAATTGGATGAAGCCAGAAGACAAAATGCGGGGTACGATAAACAAATCGAGAGAACACAAACTTTGCAAGAAGAAAAAAGCCGATTGGAAAGCGAAGTTAGCAGGCTGACAAACGATATCAAAGGTTTTGAGGAATCGAGAGAGCAAATTCGTAAGCTTCTATATTAGTTAAGGTTGCAAATGGGCGCATCAGTAGTTATTATTGGTTAGCCTACATCTCCCGCTAACCATCTTGACTCAAATTAATCAAGAGATGTTAACGTTTAGTATGGGATAGTCTTAAAAGGCAATAGTGATCTTTTCTTCATTCTTGCACGCTCTTACACTGCATCCAATTCTTCTCAAGAATAGTACACATGGGCAGAAACTCTACCCAAAACAATCAAATCTACAAGATCCTGAAGTGCATTAACGGCTTCTCACACTAGAAAAGCCGAGTTTAGACTCCTATTTGGATGTTGGAGAAATTTCACTATACACCTTATCCCAAGCACCGCAATAAGCTTTCAGAATAAGGGGCTTCAAGCTAAAATGAGGAAACCCATGAAAATATTACACTCTGCAAGCTGAAGCACTAAATCTAGGATTGCAAGAGCTCAAACAAAAACTATCCTCAAAAGATGAAGAGGAAAAGACAGAAAAAAAGAAAACGCATTTCAGTATAAGATTAATCCCACGCCTACTGCGGAAGTCCTAGCTGAACCAAAAGAACACTATACGTGTCAGGAACTTCATACTAGAAATAAGCACAAATGAAAGAAAGCATGACAGCAGTGAACCTACCGCTACAGGTCCAAGGAATGCCATAAAAACTCTTCTATAAAAGGCGCCTACATTAAAAGGATGAAGAGGATGAAAACATTTTCCTTACTTCACGTCAAACAATCCACAGCCACAGCCCAACAACCCCAATGCCCCCCAACGCACCACCCAATTCTCTCCTCCCCAGCGTTCCTAGTACCCCTAGCGCTTCCACTCTCCCTAGTCCTTCAATTCCTCCCCCTCCCTCCACTCCCCCCAGTCCAGCAGCCCCGACCCTACAAAAACAAAACAACACCCCACACACCCAAACCCACCTCTTCCATCTCCATTCCATTCCATTCCATTCCATAACCTTACAACACACAAAGCCTTAAACCCAGGACTTGACACCTTCCAGACCTTGATTGAATCTTAAGTACCCTTATATTAAGACATAAATACAATTTGTATCTCCTTCACACATGTATACAATACACGGATTTTCGTCTCACAGTTGAAACTAATAACTATTCGAGTAATGACGTGGATAAAGGAAGGGTCTGGAAATTTAGGGTTTGTATGGGGATGTGGGATGTGATGGTTTATGTGTTTTATATTCGATACTCCATGGAGAATTTATTATCCCTTCTCCGTCTTTGTCTTTGCTTTTGCATTTTCTTTTCTTAACGTGATTACCGAAAATTAGAAAATCCAAGTACAAAACGAAATTCATCGAGCACACTAATGCTCAGTTTCAAAATCCCCAAAAAATGTAAGATTACTATCATGCTTAAGGATATATTTTTTTACCACTACTACTACCATTTCTCTGTCTTTGTCTCTATCTCTAAAAACATAAATTCATCATCCCGTCTATAGATATCTATCATAGATCTGCCTCATACATTTACACATAGATCCGATCGGGATAAATCCAGTCCCCTTCGCCATCCTCATCTCGCTACTTAAAATCATCTATCCCAAAAACGCCCGCCAGATTATCCCAGCACTCAATGCGTAGAAAATTGATACACCTATATCCAAGTAACGCCTTTGTAAAGAACAGAACCCTATACAAAAGTGCCTGGCAACACACGAATATATACATTTCCCAAATCCAGCAAATCGAAACTTAGAAAGCTTTTGTGCACGCAAGCACGCACGCACTTCATCGCCCTACTTCAAGAATGAAGTGCCGGAAAATGTTAAGGGATGAACCTTAGAATCACACAGCTTTCTCTCTCGTCCTCTTTCTCATGTTCACCAATCCACCTATGATCACCCCTCCTCTTTACATAAACCATATCCACTACTCCATCCGCCCTCTTTCTTCCTCCCATGGCTTCCCAGGCTCGTTTCTTGCCCGTATGACTCAATCCTTCACGGAGAGCACCATATGCAAAAGCTAAGCGCACATCCTCTTTTCCAGAAGCCCAGGTATCAGATTCGCCGAGATCAAATGTACTTTCTGTTTTCGACATATCCCAATGAATACCGGTTGGGTATTCGGCAAGGGAGTAACCATTTGTGAGGACCCATTTTGACAATCCCTTTCCGTCGAAACCGAATCGTTGGAATACACAAGCTTCACCGCAGGCATCGGCAACAATGTGAGATATCTCCGGAGTAGCATGATGCCAGGATTTGTAATGATGTAAAGAAAGCGGTTGATGACCAGCTTCGTAGAAACCGGCTGGATCACCCCATTGGTCTAGTTGGTTGAGCCGAGGAAGATAATTGAGCGTGATGGAGGTGTGGTTTTTGATACAATGGTAGAGGAGTCTATCGCCTTGGAAACCGGATTCAGTATATTCGCCTGTGGCATCATCGACGTCGAGGCACGGGAGTCCAATCAAGGTATGTGCGAGGGGAGGAGTGATGAATACACCGGCGCCGCCGTAAGCCTAATTTGTTAGTGGCAGGTTGACGGGAAGGATTTCAAGTGCTTACCATAGGAACTCGATCGTGCATAATGAAGTCCACTCTCTCCGTAAGAGTACCGATATAGTACTCTTCGTTGGGATCATAACTGTGCAACTCCTTCATCAATGCGCCGAGCGAGGGAAAGAACGTGTCATCATCAATCAATGCCAAATATTTCCTGCTCGGTCTCGATGGATGGCTGTAAAGAAGCGGTACCAAATCGACATATCTTCCTGGCATATCGAGCATAGGATCCGAATGTAGAACAGTCGCATCAATTCCAACACTGGTGAGCAATTTTTGAGCAGCTTCTAATTGCTCATCGCTGGTATCGTGCAATTGTAAAACAAGACCTGCTCCGTTCGATGTGCCATTTCCATCTGTAAGCCATCGTACCCATTCCTTTACTGGTCCCTCAACTTCGTCATTGAATCTCTTGTATGTGGTTGAAACTCCAAACAATAACTCAGAGGCATCAATCTCGTCTGGTCGTGGTGTTCTCATAACGTGGATTTCCAAAGGCTCTAATGAATCGGCTGGAAGTCTTTCTACCTCATCAAGCTTAATCCTCTTCCACCCACTAGGAAATAATTCTTGGCTGGTGTTCGTCATTAAAGGTCTTTCTTTCGCATCTGTAACATATCGTATAGTTCTCATGACATAGTTAATATCCATCTCGACATTGTTCTTTTTCAAGACATCTCTCAAAAATGCAGCATCATCAACATCAGTGATATTTAGTTCCACCGACGAGATCTGGGCTTGTTGTGCTTCATGAGTTTGGGCGATTTGCTTTGCAGCTGCTGAAGACTTTTCTGGTACCGATGCATGTTCTTCTTTTGGCGTTTCCCTAAATGCAGGTACAAAAGTCTGCGAAACGTTCTGGTGATAGTATGACAAAATGAGAAAAAATGCCACTGTCGCAATGGCGAGAAATCGGTGCACAGGTATCCGAGGCATTTTTGGGGCTTCTTTCGGGCTGTAATGGCGACTTCCGCCTGGGTATTTCCCTTGTTGCTTTCCCGAGGTGCTAGGGAATCTTATTCGACTTGTATCAAACAACAAATACTCGTATCGTGTAGAGGTAGTGCAATGCAATTGCAGGACAAAACATAAGATCAAGAAAATGAAGGTGTGAAGGAAAAGAAAGGGAAGAATAATAAGGATGGAAATCTAGAATAATGAATGTCGGACCAATTTCAGATGGGGAAATGGGGAGAGAAAATAAGTGATTGAATAATAGGAGAAAGGTGGAGACGATGGGGAATGAATCGGGCGTGGGTGACGAAGCGCTTGATAGTCCCTTGTCTGTGGGCAAGATAGTATAAATTAAGCATAAGGAAGAATTAAATCAGAGTGAAGAGTCTTCATGGTTTGAAAATTTAACATGCTTCAGGTTAATTACTAGCTATTTCATTTAAAGGGGGGTCCATTTTAGCGGGTCTGTTGACTTTGAGAGTTTGAAGGATTGGTGAATATGGAAGATAAGATGTTGTAGATCTCGACCATCATTGAGCATCCTCATATGTCAGTGAATATATTAAAGTTGTGACATTTCAGGGGTTAGACAGAATTTCAAGGTTCTACAAATCAATTTGTTATTGCGGTACACCGTCACCGTTGTTAATGACTGCTTATCTCTGGTTAATCTCAATCTTAAAACCATGGACGGAATATCGAACACTCACGTACAGTTCATGGCCAGCGGAAATGAAAAGAGAGTATGATTTTTCGTTAGACTATCGATTGAGGCTTGCACAGAGTTGTATCGATTGAGGCTTGCACAGAGTTGTGTCGATGCTACTGCACTGTCACATTAGTTTTGTTTGGAGGTTAGTTTGGTACAGGCTACTGATCTAAGATTCAGTTAAGATTTAGGGACCCACGAAATTTTTTTAATGGATAATTGCCTTGCCAAGACGGGAGTTTGCGAGTATGCCTGCACGTTGATCAGGTACAGAATCACTCCGCAACGGACCAGTGTAACAATGACTGAAATGCTTCAATTAACCAAGCATTTTAAACTTCATACCGAAGTTTCGTTCCCAAATAACAGCAGCTAGCGATACCAGATTTTGATAGTAATTGAAGACTAGTAAAACAACATTTGGAAAATTTGTGAGGCTCCTCAGACTTATCCTTGTTGACAGGCTAGATCCATGTTTTTGGAGGTTGCAGGTCACTGATCGGCTGTTTTGTTTTTGACTCTTAGCGAGTAGACAAATCACGCCTTCAAAAGGGGGAAAAGCACATGGGTAAAAACTTTAACTCTTTAGATAGACTGACTATCGTTTCGAAAAGTTCAAGATTTACATTGCCTATCACTGACACTGATCAGAGCATGTACCGCTGTAGCAAAAAATATGCTTCTTGTAGGTCCCAATTCAAGATAGCCTCATACTGACAGCTGAAAGAAGCTATGGAAATCTGTGGTAAACAGTCATCATACTCTCAAGTAAAGTTGCCCGATGTCACGGCTCAAATGAATTTCTCGTAGACACAGAACCATCCATACAAAAATGTGAGGAGTATCTTTGTCTGAGTCATACCATAAAGGTTATAGTATAACGGCGATGATCGGAGTAGACATAAAGGCAAAAACCCACTTGGAGCAGCCTTTAATGACGATCCGAATGACGTTTTCGCTCCCCAGAAATATGCCGAAAGGTTAAATTTGAAAGACGTGGAGGAGAAATATCTGGAGAAGAAAGATCAAACATGAAGGTCCGAAAATTCGATATAAATAGTACAATCAGAAGAAAAAGAGGTCTCACATTGATGGTGGGAAAATATGCGTAGGGAGCGAATAAGTATAAAATAGTTGTTCGAAATGCCATCATACAGACCTTTCTTCAACTGCCATCCTTGATCCTTAGGTGTGGCGGATAGATACCAATTCAACCCTTTTATTTTCAAAATAAAATAACTTAGTACCTAGCAGTATTTTATGTAACGAAGATACTCGAGAGACGAAATGCTGTGTGTCGTCACGTGTTTTATCACGTGTATAATGGCTGAACAGAGCTGGTTGACGCGGATATTTGCTGAGTAAGCAAAGTAAGCCATCAACAGAGTCGCGTCGACTTGTATCTTCCGTGACAGAACATACTTCTTCTCGTTCCTCACCCGATCATCAAAAATGGCTCCTCCTTTGAGTTTGAGTGATGATTAATTCCGTCTTTTAACCTGGACACGTCCTCAATTCAGTCAAATGACCATTCAGCCTGAACCTCTCCAACGTAATTGTCCACTCGACAATGGCCGGCTTCAACCTAGTACAGCGCGAGTCTCTGCTTCTCCGTCTACCGTTGGAAGCTTAGAATGTATTCCACTTGAGATTATGCATATGATCTTAAATTTACTCGACTTGCAATCTCTAACAGACATTAGAGCTGTGAGCTGGTTGACAGCGTCCCCGAATACAATTCAATAGTTAAGCACTGCCCGGATGCATTGCGTGCATTGCTCTCAACGCGCATGGCTGTTCACTTTACTGCTTCGCATATCTTTGAGGCACTCCGCAAGGAATCTTGCTTTGTCTGTGGAAAATTTGGGTCATTTCTCGACATGTTTACTGCTCAACGATGTTGCTTCGATTGTTTGGCAAGCTCGGATAGTCTGTTATCTATGACAGCAACTTCCGCAAGGAAAGAGTTTGGTCTGGATTTAAAAATGATGCGCACAATACCAACGTTATTGAGCATCCCGGGGGAATACTCGGAAAGTGGGAGGACATATCGAAGACGGACGCGTTTAGTCCGCATGCTGTCAGTCAGCGCCGCCAAATCACACCATCACGATACCGATAATCTGCATCAAAGACCAGTGCCGTCAACCACGTCTTCCCTTCAGCCGTCAGAACCTCGTCCGATTCGAAATTCGCATCCATCGTTGCAGAAATTCGACGCTTGGTTCCAAAATCCCCATCGGTTTATGCCAATGCTAAGATTTCCTTCCTTAGATCGAAGGTCGGGAAAGCTTGACTGGGGAGTTTCATGTCAAGCATGTCACCATGGGCCTCGAGATGAAAGCCGTGGATATTGTGATTGGAATACTGTTTACTCCACTTCTGGATACATTGACCATTTTCAGAAGTGTGAGGTATCTCAAAGAGCAAGAGCTGAGATACCACAACTTATTAATCACGATGGAGATTTCAGAAACCGGAATGATTTAGGTGATCAATTTGTGTCATTTCTCAGCAACTTTGAATTGTGAGGATATTTTCACCTTCATATGAAAGCTAATTTCAATGGAAAAGTTTGATTTGCGCTCCTGTCTTTGACAACACTAGCAACCAATGCTAATCCTTCCCTCACCTGTCACGCTAAGCAATCTCCTCTACGATCTTTACTCCCTCGGATATAAAATCCCTTAACGATGCATCTCGTCCGCCCCTGGTTTGATCAAATGAGCTGGGCACATATGACTCAAATCTCTCTTCCTTCTCCTATGTACAGGGTGGCATTTGAAGTTGGTGTTATTTCTTGCTCGACATTGAATGAATTAGGCATTTTTCTCGCATTTGCAGGTGTAACCGAAGAACCACTGTGTACACATGATTGATATCGAAATTTTTTTGAGTTGAGTAGTGCAAAGTTCGACCAGGAAGGGGTTTTGCCGTGAAAGGATGGAGTTTGGAGGATATTGGGGAGGTATCTTTTGTCTTTGCTAAAATCGGAAGTTAGTAACCGTCTCTCAAGAAATTATTTTCAAAGAAAACAAATGAAGGAGATCAGTGGAGCGAAAAATGGTCAGGTAGTAAGAATGAAGTATTTAATGAACTGGTCAAGCATACATGAGATTCAGGAAATCAAGTCTTTTAAGTAGACAGACCACAAGTGGTCTGGTTTGAGATGAATTGAATTCCTTAGTATCCAAAAAGTGTTTGTTTTAAGAGACTTCTGTATCAAATTGTAAGCCTATGTAATAGAATGTATAGTGATTATATACCTTGAAAAGTCTCTGGCTTTGGATAAAAGAATGTGATAAAATGCTGTTTATGGATAATAGGTGGGGAGGATTTGAACAAATCTCTGATCTTCTTTCAAACAACGAGATCAAAGATTGTTTATAGATAATGAGTGGGGAGTAGATATTGAAAGATAAAAGGCAAGGCTTCTCTTCTAACCTGCAAGATTTGGCTGCATAACCCCGACTTCCTAAAAGAGAGAGTTGCAGAATCAGGCTTGCTTACCGACATTAGGAAGCGATGATACCGAGTTTGAGATTCCTTCTTTCGACTCCTTCTATTTCAAGTGATATATTGAAATTGGTTGGAACATTGAAGCCGTTTACAAAATTGAAAGTAGTTTAATTCATTTAGATGATCTGAGCTTTTCTAATGACTTGGGATATTCAAATAGTTTGGCGAAAATCTGAGTAACCTGGAACTAATTATGACTCAAGCAGATCCTATTTAACCGGCATGAATCTCATTATTGTTTATCCAATCGAGTGTTAATCAAGACTACCTCTTCCCATATAACTTTATTTGACATATCATATTCAAAATACTTCCAATTGCGTAGCCAATTGGAACTTATATTCAACAACTTTTGATGTACAACATCAAAAACAAACGCTCATCAAAGATATGCCTCAGTTAACAATTTTGAATCAAGGAATAGAAGTTGAAGGGAACCAGCTCGACTTGTATAGGATGCTTGTGAACAATGAGCATTCTCATACATTTCTATTGATCTCACAATCATCAAGCAGATGATATGTCCTTCCCGCTAGTTTTGCTCTCCGAGCTGCCAGCATTTCCCTTGGTGACTGGGAATATGGGCACATCTCTCAAACAGCGAGAACTCAACTATATTTGTGGATAGATGGCCACAATATTGGTCCAGAATTCTGGGGGTATCTGACTGAAGAGGGTAGAGTGATCGGATTCCTCAAGAAAAATGTGGAAGGACGTCATGCTACTATCTCGGATCTTCCAGCTTGTAAGGCTGCGCTTAGATGGCTAGATGATTTGGGTATACTTCATGGAGATTTGAATAGGCATGAATCCTTGATTTCAGAGGCTAGTGCTGTGCTTATTGATTTTGAGACAGCATAGCGATCAGGAGGTAGTGAGGCCATGGGGAAGGAATTGAGGAGATTGGAAGATCAGATGCTGGGGTAATGGTGTGTAGTTCTTTTGGAGGATGAGGGAATGGTGGAGGATGAGGAAATGGGGGAGGAATATGACCAAGGGAGTTCATAGTACAGTAGGAAAAGAATGATATTCTTGTCCAAGCCAACACATTACTCCATGTGTTATCATTCACCCATTGTCTTGCAATTGATATAAGTACTTAGAATGTGATGAAGATGGATCCAATAGAAGGAAGCATGAAAACATGAAATACACTAAGACAAACTTCAGCAGTTAGAAACCTGGATTAGAAGTATGGGAAGTTGAGGTTAGTGATATATTGTGGTCGTTATGTATCTAGAGAAGCCTGATTCTACCGAGGTTACTTCGAGTGTGAACATGATTATATAATCATGACCTTGCAGGTGTATAAATTATGTAATACATTGTAATTCAATCAATCTAGACGAAGGTCTTCGGCTAAAAGTGTTTAATTATGATCTAATTCGATCAGGAGTGGGATCCGTTTGAAACTCGATAGCGTCTTTTTATGGGCTAGCTTAAACCCGATTGGCGTTTGAGTGTAGGGCTTACGGGAGTTATTATAGTGCTGATACCCTATAAAAAGTGTCAATCGCCCTCATCCTTATAGTGATCTCCATAAAAGAGCTATGACCCCACCAAAAAAATATAGTAAGCTGAGCACATCATCTGTTATCGCGACAACCACACCCCATGTTTAGAAATCAATCGTCAATTTGTCGCTCTTCTTTCATCATGGTATTTGACTCCATAACAATCTTCAGCTTCATTCTATTGTCCTCTCGACATGGCAGATTCTATACCTTCATCTAGCTCTGACGCTGCATATAGCTCCGACAACGATACTGAGGTTACTGAGAGCAGTGCTACTACCTATGCTTATCTTGCCGACGATCCCGTTCATTTCTCTTATCGGGATGGTGATCTCACATGGACGGGAGCTGTAGGAATCGATGGCGGAGTATCTGGTGGAAAAATCAAAGGAGAGGATGTGATTTGTGTTACGGAGAATGAGGGATCAAATGGTACCGCGGGTTATACAATCTTTAGTCTGCTACCGACGGATGGAGGGGTCAAAAAACTCCCATTCGAGTTGAAGACAACATCTGCCACCAACCTCCCCTCAGAATGTCTCGAAAGTTATCTTATTAGGAGTTTGCCAACATATCTTCGATCAGCAGAAACCCAAATATATGTTTTGATCTCGACATTATCCGGGACTGGGTTGGCGCCGGACTTTTACGACGCTGTGTTACGTCAAATACTCAACTCTATCGGGTTAACGGAAACGAGCTATACTTTGATCAGGACAAATGATGCAGATTCTGTAAAGGCATTTGCAAGCTCGACATTATTGGATGGTGCAAACAAGGGAAGAAAGCAATCGATATTAATGTTGAGTGGTGATGGGGGCATGGTGGATACCATAAATGGACTGCTTGAGAGCGGGGAAAAGTCGAAGTGAGCTTCTCCGCATATCCGTACTATGCTACTCATTACTAACAATCTGCGCACAGTTCATATGTCAAACCAACACTATCTCAACTTCCTCTTGGTACAGGAAATGCCCTATTCCATTCTTTGCACCGACCCTCGCCAATTCCTTCAATATATATACAAGGTCTAAGGACGCTTCTTCATGGTACACCTTTACCGCTTCCAATTTTCAGCGTAAACTTCTCTTTTGGGGCACGAACCATAACCAACGAAGGTCAAACAGAGACACCTCTCAAAAATAATGTTGTCTATGGAGCAGTCGTCGCCAGTTATGGTCTCCATGCTACTCTTGTTGCCGACAGTGACACAGTCGAATATCGAAAACACGGAGATAAGAGATTTCACCTGGTAGCTGGCGATTTACTTTATCCAAAAGATGGAGCTCTACCACATGCTTATAAAGCTTCCGTCACGTTGACAAGATCAGATGGTACGGAAGAACTTATACACAGAAAAGAGCACGGATATATTCTCTCAGTGTTAGTTTCCAAGCTTGAGCGAACTTTCACAATTTCTCCTGCTAGTCAACCCCTTGATGGTCAATTAAGGGTTGTACATTTCGGAGCGGCAACTGGTAAGCAAACAATGAAGGTTATGGAAGAAGCTTATAAAGATGGTAATCATATTGGAATGCAATGGGATGAAGATGGTCAAAAAGGAGAGGTTGGGTATGAGAGTATTGAAAAGTTAAGAATAGATTTTGAAGAATCTGGAGAAGGTTTTAAATGGAGGAGATGTTGTGTAGATGGCTTGATTGTAGGTGTTGAAGAGGGTGGCTGGATGGAAGTTGAAAGATTAAAGGGTGAAGGGACGGTAGATGTTGTGGTTGATTTGTAAGGTGTCGATTGACAAGAATGATGGTTAGACGATTAGATTCCTAGCGCACAAGATTTAGATTTAGATCGTTTAGAAGATTTGTCGATTAGGAGCGGGCTACTCTGGGCGTATCCAAAGATATGAGTTATATGATTTGTTTTTGCAATGGTTGGGTGGTTAGACTCTAGATTGAAATAATTAGTCCAGGAGTTTAAGGTTTGAGTCTAATTTTATAGATCTTTCTTCTCTTAATTATTATATCTAACTCATATCTATATATACCACCCGTATAGTTAAAAGATATCTCAACAACGCAAATCCAAACGGAAATATAAGTTTGTAAGATCTTAGCATAGGTAGGTCTATAAATCTGTAAATTTTTTGTTGCTGTTTTGGGAAGATGGCACGGAGAACTCACTACTCGGTTGGTGATGGTTTTCTGATTCAGTGGTGGTGAGATGGATTAAGGTTTTGTGTATAATTTGTATGGTTTGGATTTAGATTTAGATTTAGATTTAGATTTAGATTTAGTTTTAGATTTAGTTTTAGATTTAGTTTTAGTTTTAGTTTTAGTTTTAGTTTTAGTTTTAGTTTTAGTTTTAGTTTTAGTTTTAGTTTTAGTTTTAGTTTTAGTTTTAGTTTTAGTTTTAGTTTTAGTTTTAGTTTTAGTTTTAGTTTTAGTTTTAGTTTTAGTTTTAGTTTTAGTTTTAGTTTTAGTTTTAGTTTTAGTTTTAGTTTTAGTTTTAGTTTTAGTTTTAGTTTTAGTTTTAGTTTTAGTTTTAGTTTTAGTTTTAGTTTTAGTTTTAGTTTTAGTTTTAGTTTTAGTTTTAGTTTTAGTTTTAGTTTTAGTTTTAGTTTTAGTTTTAGTTTTAGTTTTAGTTTTAGTTTTGATGATCTTTCGGTATTCCATATCTCCCATCCTATTCTATCCTTGAATTAGGGACAGGCAGGATGGCTTCAACTTGAAGGATAAACAGAATAAGAATATAATTTTTTTTTTAAAATAATAATAGGATATATAGTGTTCAAAATAAAATAAAAGAAAAAGAGAATAATTAAAAAATCTTTGTGATTATTATGTAATTAGAATCTAAAACTATTCTTATAATTATTTTGATTATAAAAATTATTAGTTTTAATAGGAATAATCTATCAAACCTCTTTTATTTTATAAATCAATTTGATTTGATTTGTAATTAACTATATTGTGACGGAAATCCCTGCTTTCCTCCCACCTTTATTATATAAGAAACCTCAGGTACATTAACCATGTCCACACATGATACGATTACTCGAGATTAGTATGCGATTTAGGTGACCTGAGGATCAGATCCGGACAAGTACTAGATATCAATGGTTATCGGTAAAGTAAGATCATTAAAGGAATAAATACAACTTCTTTTTGCCTAGCCATTGCGGCTAGACCATTCATTTGTGTATATATAGAGTAGCTATCCCCATCTACAGGTGCTCTTCTCCTGTAGCCTTCTCAGTTCCACCAATATTTAGG